TTTTAAATTAAATAATATTCTTAGTAAAGATTTTAATATAGTTTTAAGTATTATTAATAAGTATAAAATATTTATAATAGTAAGTAGTTTAAAATCTTTAAAAGCAATATATAAAAATTTATTATAAAACTTAATCTTAAAAAGTTATTAAGTTACAAGTCTTTATTTATTAAATAAAATATAAAAGTCTAGTTAGTTCTCTTTACTCTATTAGTTATTCAATTAAATAGAATAATAGTATATATATATTTACTAATAAAGGCTTATAGAAAATAAAAGTAAAATTTTAATAATAATTATTATTATTATATTTATATTAGTATTATTCAAAAAGCTAAAAATATATAAATAGCTTATTAATATAAGTTAGTAATAAACTAAGTATAATACTTTAATATATATATATATTAAAATATATAGACTTACTACTAAGTATATAATTTAAGTTAGTATTAAATAATTTAAGAGAAATAAAACCAAAATAGTTCCTAAGATTCTTTAAATAAAAGGAGATATAATATTTTTAGAAAAATATTTAAAAAAGTTTTTCTACTATATAATAATAATAAGTAAGCGTTAAATCTATAATAAAAATAATAATAAAAGTAGAAATAAAATATTTTAAAGTTAAATAAGTAGTATAATAAGTAAATATAAGTATAATAAATAGATTTTTTATTAACTAATACTTTATTTTTTTTTTTATAAGAACTTGAATTTATTAGTCTTACTATTATTACTATTTAAAAGACTATTATAATTATTTTATATAACAGAACTGCTAAGTTAGTAACTATATATAATATAAAGTTTAAGACTATTTATTATTCTTAATAAAAGTAATTAAAGTCTTAAAAAGAGGTAATAAAGAATTAATAAAAAGGCTTTAGTTCTAAATAAATATTTTATATATTTATAGTTTTAAGTATTTAATATTATCTTATTAATTTTAAACTTAAAATCCTAAGTTAATAAAAAGTAAGGAAATATATTATACTTATAATATATATACTAATGATAAGATATATTATAATTATATATTATCTAATCTTTAATTTATTTAATAAACTAAAGTATTTAGCTTAACTAAAGTATAATTATTATAAAATAAAAAAGTAGTATTACTATATTTAACTTTTAATTTAAAAGTATAATAATCATTTTTCTTATTAAGTAGAGAAACTATATTATTATTTAGCTTATAAGTCTCTTTATTTTAGTAGGGTATATTTAGTTACTAGAGTATAAAAACTTATTATTTTTATATTTCTATAACTTTTAAATAGTTATTAATATAGTCTTTAGCTAGTTATACTTATAGTAAAATAATTAGATAATAATATTATCTTAAATTCTAGTTATAAATAATATTATTAAATATATTTAGAGAAAAAAAAGGGTTAAAATAATAACTATTAATTCTAAAGCTTATATATATATTAAATAAATATAATTATATTAAAGTATTTATTATATTATTTTTAAGTATTTAACTAGCTTTAGATTTAAATAAGATTCTAATTTACATAATATACTTATAATAACTCTATATTTACTAAGTAGCTTATTATATTAGTTAAATAATAAAAATAAAGTAAAATAACGATTTAAAAACATACAACACCAGGTATTCGCTGGTCGTCACCGACCCAACTACTAATCCGGCCCTCACTGGCTTATCTATGGGAGAGCGGACGGGATCCCGAGTTTTCCAGTGGGTATGGTCGTATGTACAGATTCCAAATTAAAACACACTTATATTTTTCTGGTGCACGTTTCCACTTCAGTTTCCATTTCTTACTCGTCCAATTCAACGCTCTAGGGAGCTGCACTCTCCGTAGCTATAACACTGGGGCTTTCTAGAAAGGCCCTTCTGTCTTTTGTTCCCCCTTGACCTAAAGAGTATCTTGTCTTGTGAGTGCCTCATCGTCTAGTAACATCGCGATTCCCACTTACGCACGCTAACATGCCAACAACCTGACAATGAAAATAGTAGCTCTTAAACCAGGCTATCCATTGTGTAAAGAAGTTTCCTACAATAGGTAAATATGTCGCGATGTCGTCTTGGCAAGAACCAATGCTGACTTCAACCTAAGAGAACAAATATGTGATAGGTTGGGGCAAATCCTCCTCGCTGGCAGCTAATACAGTGCTCCCAATCTTTCGCCGCCATTTGAACCTCTGGCATGGAAGTGCGTTTTATCTCCCAGTGCTACCGGTTACGATCGCCAGCGGGTCTGTAAGGTGAATAGGTACTGGTACCCCACCAAACTTATAATATCTACACCAAAGAGGTTCCGCAGAGTTGCATTACTTGTGGCTAGCACTAAGAAAAGTACTATAGAGGCTTAACATTCCTCGGGAGCTGGCACCTGCCTCCAACTCAAGTTCGATGAGATAAAAGGCAGAAACTTGGTTTTGATTGACGGTCATGGAATGTTGGGTTGGCGTGACCTGGTTCCTGAACCTCTAATAGCCAAGTTGAAATTGCCTCAGCCTCTGGACGAGATGCTAGGACAAGCTTTCATCCACACATTGCTATGATATTCAGAAACTGTTCGCAAATAGTATCATTTCGAACCTCATTTCGCGCATGTATCTCGGCTGATCTTGTATGTTGCAATACCATCAGCTTGAGCTAGCATTGGCTAACCCTCATTCGGGTACATGGCCTGCCTAGTCTTGTGACCTGCATATGTCCCTGGTGATAAGTCGGTAATCAAATGCACTTTAACAGTTGAAGTTTTGGATTGGATCAACCGATCGAATTTTAACCCCACAGCCCCCAGGTACCTATGCTGTAAACTGAGATGGACACCGCAGAGGAGTCATGCGCATGCAATGGCACCCTATGCCATGGTGTTTCATAGCAATGAGACAATGTGCCAGGTTAGTAAATCTATGGGATTATGTTATCCAGTGTACTCACGTAGGCTTGAAAATAACCGCCCCTAGCTACCCATGGGTAGTCGATGCTGTGTCTAAGTTTCGTAGGCATATCATAGTATATGTATAGAGTTAGTACCTAGTTAGGCATAGGTATATATACAGTTTCTTTTCGATATAACCTGCAGGAAGTCTTACCCATAGCCTCAAGTTATCTATCACTAATCAATTCCCATATGGTCACCGATGGGTAATTTTAAGCCTATCCTCACGCTAGGATCATTAAACCTCTTTTGTATCTGTTGCTCAAGTTTGCAACTGTGATATAAACGTTCAATCACTGGGAGCAATGCTGCAGCCTTGATCTTATCGATTCAATTCACATAACATGAATAGTAGATTTTACACAAAGTGGCGATGAAGGCTAGTGATGGGCAGTTAGTACATATTGCTCGGAATTACAAGCATAGTTCAACTGTGACTACTCGACCCTGGTCGTGCCTACACAAATGAAATCAGTCGCCCTGTAGGACTGGGGAAAATTGCATTTCATATGGAATACTTGCGGGCTATACCTGTACCCCTGTTTAAGATTCAACGCTTGTCCCAACCGTAACAACTCTGGCGACAAAGCCATGATAGACTCAGAATAATATAAATTCTGTCCATCGTATCCATGTGAGGCTACTTCATTTACCCAACTACTGCTAAGTGAGAGATGTTTGTGACACGCAACATTTGACACATGTTAGGTTGGGATAAGCTCATCGACGCCCCGCTGGAATAGTTGAAGAACACCCTTTCTTCCGCTCACAGAGTACCAGTTTGTAAGTGTGCGCATTAAAATTATAAACCACTCCCATAATCTTCAATTTCGTAGCATCCCATCAAATGGCTCGCAATGTAACTGCAGCCCAACAGTCCTTGGCGAATGAACCGATAGTCTTGATGGTATTGTAAGAGAAGACCTGGTATGTCTATCACCCATTAAAAATAACTTCAACTGTACACAAGACCTGAAAAGCATTCATGGTCGAATCACCATTGATTGCACCTACCTCAGAAGAGCTGAGGTAATTGTATAGAGCTAGGGTAGTGTTGCCATAGCTTGCGTGGACTCGTTCGATACGAAATGGGTTTGGCAAACTCAAAATTGCTGGACCAAAGTTGAACTGTGATTAACACCCTTGTCAAAGCACCAAATGTTTGAAGCATCCTTACCTCGCCAATTACCGAGGAAGAACGAAACGTCCGAGTGAGGCCCTCTATATGAAAAAGTCTTTGTTATAAGGGGATGTTTACCACATTCGACGCATTCAATGAACCCAGCATGAGCCAGAGAGAAGCAAAACCGCCGCCCGTGCGTTCGAACACGTTCTGCACACCGTACACGGAAAAGAATATGAGAAAAGTGATAGAGCGCGTTTTAGGGCCTTCAATTGTCATATCCGTACATATCTTATAGAGCCCCTGCTCTTACATGTAGCTTCTTAGGCGCTTTCTAGTATGCAGGCCGTCACGTCGATCTCCAGCCTTTCATCCAACAGAAGTTCCTCTAATATTGTCGTTTCTCAGCCTAGCGCACGCCTTTTAACGCATTCCAGCGTCACCGGCAAATTGTGCAGGTTTGCCCCTCATCCCCATCCTAGCCGAAGGATGAAACTCATCGACAGCAATAATCCGTGACGCCAGTACGTAGGTGTTCTCGAATTCACTCGACGCCTATTGCAGATTGAACTAAGCGAAGCCTAGTCTCTCACAGGCAGACTGACGAGTCTCATCTTCAATGTCCTCGCCTTAATACCTTTTGTGTGGTGAATTCCTCGCCCGCAATTAGGTGACCTGCCTCTATGCTCTTTTACGAGTAGTCGACACCGTCCAGCTCGACTGTGGACATTTAGTTAACATAGAACAGTAAACGTCCGGAAAGAGGAGCTGTACAGAAACAGTATATATGCTGTTTTACGGAAGCTCCACCAACTATTAGCACTGAACCAATAGTGGTACTACTATCACGTGCTGTATCACCCTGCTTGGCTCTCAGTTTCCTATGTTCGTCCCGGTTTGGCATAAATCAAATGGCTGTCGAGCGAATGCTTCACTGCGTGTACTCCTCAGGTGGGCAGGAACTTTTTCGAGTCGTTTTCTTGCTCGGCAAAAGATTGGGGGAAAGCGGCGAGGCCAGCCACAATGGCAACAGCCAAAAGGCAAACGCTGATGAGGGACCAGATAAGGCCCCAACATCGAGAAGAACCGCCATATCGTTTGGCAAAAACGCTTGCATCCGAGCTGTTAACTTTGCGGAGGATGAGATCATCACAGATGTCCCAGACCGAGTAAAGGGAGCTCATAACGCCAATGAAGAGCTAAACATATGTTAATTTAAATGTCTATGGCCCTGAGGTAATAACAAGAGGGGGGGGGGGGAACTTACAACAACGAATCTCAGAGCCTGGGCATGAGAAATAAACCATGCAGCGATGAGCACCCCGACAGCGAGAAGAACCGTGAGAATGGTCAGCCAGTCCTTTTTACCCCACCACAGCGTCAGTAAAAAGCAAACGCCAAGAACCATGGATGCGATCTTCGATGCGTTAATGTTGAAGCCACAGAAGACAAGCAGGCCACCGATGAGCGATGAGCCTAGATATCCAGCCGGCAGGGTGATAGCTTGTCTTCCGCCGCGAAAAGTGGTTTTGCCACCTTCATTGGGGTCCAGAGTAATGGACATTACGTGGCCGCCAGTACAGCATGCTGTGATGGCATGCCTATTTAAGCATGTAGTTAGTAAAATGTATAGAAGTGCCGAAGGAACTGTTGGTTCCTAAGAATGGAAAGGAAGAATATGGTAGAAAGTGTAGTGAGTGTGTTACTAACCCAAATTCGTGAAAAGCTACTGTGAGCATTTTAAAAGGCCATAAAACCTGGCGCAGATACGGAACATTCCAGAGGATAGCGATTATGACGGCGTAAGCACCAATAATGCCTAGGGTTACGCCTTGGGTGTGATTGACTGTGAGATTCCGACGGGCGAGAGTGTGATGAGTTGCTTCAGAGATGGCAGGAAGTGCAACAATTGCTGCCCGTTTCCATGCTTGGCTTGCGAGTGAGCCAGCGCGGGCGAGGCTTTGCCTAGCCGTTATTAGGGGGACTGGTGCCATGGCTGGCTTGCTGATTTGTTAGGAGTAAACGAGTGTATGTTGCTGTGATGGTCAACTGGATGGCAAATGAGAGTAAACACGAGGAAAGTTGTAACGTTTCGTTGTTCGATGGCGGGAAGCAAATGACTTTTATGAAAAGCGCCCCATGCCCCAACCAGGACAATGCACGCGCAAAAGTGCGTAAACAAGCAACTGAGCTGCTTACGCGGACATGAACTGGGCTGAGGCTGGGCTAAGTTCCCCGTCATCCCTCCTCCCCTGTTTCTCCCTTTTTTTCGTCTGGTTTCCACCTTGAAAACGGGTTTGGCAGATGAAAGGGGTTCCACACGGCATCCGGCACTGGCTTGGACTGGGCACTGCCACGGCGTAAAAGTGCAACATGTGCCGATGCGGTGGCTGGGGCTGAGTTTGACTCGTCTTTGACCTGTTGAACAAGATACTATTTTTAGGTACAAAACGAATACACGTGAATAATCATGTGATATGTATCGAGTGGTGCTTTCTATTTAAACGATATATGAAGGTAAACCAGCCAAGGGTAAAATCTGATGTCACCGTAGTTCCTGTCGTGGGGTATCACGGGACGTGCACCAACTTCATGCAGTTGGGCGCTTTAGCTTTCAAAGTCTCACCCAACGGAAAAAGATGACGTTTCAATTCCCTCACTTACTGCCCCCAACATGACCGGTACACTCCGGAGAGAAACCCCTATGCCCTAGGTCCAGGTAGCTTACTTGAGGACACGTTAATGTGATGCGGGGATAGTTGACATGCGCCCAAGCTCCTAAAGCTCCAGCTGTTCCTCTGTTGCTTGCCCCTTTTTGTCAGTTCCTGAGCACTTATATATTTTCAGTAAAGTAAACACTACCTTCATTTCAAAATTGAAGTATCTCTGCTCTTGCTTTGAAAGCCACCCTGCCCACCAGTTGCTCCTCAATATGGCCGCCACAGTGGACAATTCAGCGACGAGTCTCAGTCAACAGTATGAGACCCCCCTCGGCTTAGCTCACTCGACCATGCAGGCACTCAAAGACAGGATCAAGCTACATTATGATCTCGCCAGTGATTATTATCTGAGCCTCTGGTATGTTGTACCTGCACTCCCAGTTATCAGTTCGCATCTTTAAAGAAACAAACTCTCCATTCGCATTCCTGTAACTCCACCAATACACCCCTTGCAACAATTCTTGATGTTCGATATTGTGTGCATGAGAGACCCTTCAAATCCAGCGGCTGGCTAATTGCATGCGTCCCAGGGGCGAGCACATTCACCATGGCTACTGGGAGAATGACTCTCAGACGAAGGAGGAGGCACAAGTCAATCTCATTCAGTTGCTCCTGAAACTTTCAGGCGTGAGTGAAAACAGCGTGGTGCTAGATGTTGGGTGTGGCATCGGCGGCACCTCTCGTTACCTGGCGTCGACGCTCGGCTGTTCGGTTACAGGCATTACCATATCAACGAAGCAAGTAGAGATTGCCAATCGGCTCACTAGAGCTGAGGCAGAAAAGGACCAGGAGAAGCCTGACGTTGATTCAGATGCCGATGGGTTTTTCAAACTTGGTCGTGGCAAGGTCCGCTTCATTGAACTTGACGCAGAGAAGATGGGCGACTTTTTTGCTGAACAGGGCGGCTCATTTGATGCTGTTTGGATCAGTGAGGCGCTAAGCCACTTTCCCAATAAAGCACTCTTCTTCGAGAACACATTCAAAGTCCTCAGACCTGGTGGCAAACTGGCACTGGCAGACTGGTTCAAGGCCGAGGGCCTGAACGAGACAGATTTCAACAACGACATCAAGCCAATCGAAGGTAGCCGCGCCAGTATCCCTATGGGACAGCTTTGTTGCCCATTGTATTTCCCACCTCAACTAACCCATTTCAGATGGCATGCTTCTCCCTCCTCTCTGCACCCAAACAGGCTACGTGGACCTGGCCAAAAAGAGTGGACTCACACTGCTCGCAGGGCCCAAGGACATTAGCAAAGACGTGAGCAGAACCTGGTAAGTTTCTTCCTCCATTATCATTAGTGATCTTACTAATTCTAAAGCCAGGGACATAACGTGGTCTCTTGTGCAGAATCCCTCACTCTGGGCGTTCGCTCTCAGTCAAGGCCGTGACGGGATTGCTTTTCTGCAGTCCTTCCGTGCGATGAGACGAGGTTATGCGAATGGCACCTTTCAGTATGCCGTAATGTCGTTCGAGAAGCCGAGCAATATCAGCAGCTGAAAATAATATATTTCAGGGTTGCTGCTCGTGACTCCAAGCAGCGCATGCGAAGGCGTGTCTCCAGAATGGCAGATGGCGCACTACCGGTCAATAATGAAACAACATAAAGTGCGCAGTGGATAATAACATATCGCAGATGACTGCCGTATATCTCTGTGTATCTGTGCAGAGCATTTCAAGTGCATTGATGTAGTGGCGTCCGTATGGGGTTGGAATAACTTTTGTTCTTTCTTAGACTGACCAGAATGTATGAATCCAGACAATCCGGTGCTGATACCGACTGCAAGCGCTATAAGAACGGTGTCAATTGTGGTATTTGTGCGCGAGTGATACGTTTCTGGCCGCCTCAGTCACGAATTTCGACCGGACCTATGACAGTCTATGCTGGGTTTGAAGTACCAGCAGGTTGCCTTGCGGCTCACACATGCCATGAGGGGCGAATCCACATTGACAATCTGTTATTGGATATGCCTGAACATGATAACAATAGTACTAGCTGGGGAAATATAACATGTATTGGTAATCTAACAAGACGCAAGTTGCTGTTCTTTACCCTTGCTAGGCTCGTTCTTGAGAGTCTTAGTCTTATGGCTCCTCGCTTCGCTCGCGGGATACATAGAATAGAGGGACGTGAATAAGCATGGTTAGGTGGCAGAGATAGAGTTAGGAAGGATATAGTTGATGGTGGAATGAACATGGCTTGTCAATACAAGACCGGGAGGGTAACGTTGCCTGTTCATTCATACAGCACAGCTCTCTCATTAGTTTATCCCTATGATCTGGCATGAAGCATGGAGTATCTGCCTCATTCCCTCAGGCGACCACACCCACAACCAGCACAATCTGAAGGAAGGTACCGTGAAGACTTATGAACCAATGCCGAGGAGATGGCGCTCTTACATATGATAACACAAGCATAGATTGAAGCTACCATCATAAACCCTACTACAAATGTTGGCAACCGAAGTATCCTTTTCTGACCCCTTGCAATCCATAACAAACTGCTTAACAGCTTTGCCATGCGAAGGTGAGCAGTTCCGTCACAGGTGATGTGCCACTGTCTTTTCGCTCTTTCCCAAATACTACCCGGCTGCCTCCCTTCGAGACGATGCGGAAAGTAACATTGAGGATGCCCACATAGCCGTCTTTGCCAACGCAGGTTGACGCCGAGTTCAGGCGCTGGGCCACGGCAACGTTGCGAACAACGGCACTGGAGCCCGCTGACGTGCTCGTTTGCTTGGTGACCTGGAACATCCAATGTTAACTTCTTCTCTTCTAGCTGAGTATCAGAGCCAGAATAAAAAAAAGGGAAACTACGCACAGTGTCTGATGCAGTCTCACTCCAGTACGCCGTCGTATGAAAGTCGACCTCGGCGTTGGCACTGAGGTAGAGTCCACCCCGGACGACAACATCCTGCAAAAGCAATGCCTTACCAGGCTCACCCTGGTCGAGAAGCACATGGACCTGGCAGCTTGTGATTTGGCCGGCGGCCAAGCTTTCGCTGAAGTCTGGCAGCGTGATGGTCAGATCGTCGAGGCTGCCAGACCATGTCACCTTGGCATCCTGAGGACAAGCAGGACCACTGTGTGCCAGAGACTTCACCCGCAATGCCCCAGCAATGCTGGTAGTTGCGAGTGCCAGAAGAATTGCAGTGAACCGAACCATTTTATACTGCGGCGAAGAAGGCCTTGTGTGAAGAATCTGTCTTTGCGTGAAATGGTTCTGCGTGTGGGAGGCGATCATGTATTCCTGTTGCGATGGATATTCTCCCCTTTATAGACCGAGAGACTTCATCACGTCTTTCGAGGTTTCGAGATTCGGGGAGCTGCTCATAGGTACAAACTTTTCGTGCGTTTCGCTACCATGGGAAAGGTTCTGGGTCGAAAAGAGGCCCAGACCGCCTGATATGTGACGGCTCGCTAGATATGCGTCGGTTAATTAGGTATATATCCAGCAAATTAATATTCGTGCCGCTGGTGCGACTTTCCGGGCTCCTGGATAGTTCGTTGCTCATTGGGTCAACCGGTAACATCGCTTACTTGACCAGAGAGGGCCGGAACCAGACGTGGTTCTGTCTTGCTTGGTTGGCGAGGCCCATCCTAGCTTTCAGCTCTTAATCAAACCACGTTACATTTACAGGTTTGAACCGTGGATGAATGCGGTCTCTGCGATTTGAACCTGGATTCCGCATATTCGCCGCCGCCACTGCTCGTCTCAATCGAGAACGAGCGGAGCTTTAGCCGTCGCACTATCATGAACACCATCGTGCCACGGATGGAGGGGCTCCTTATTAAAGGGCACATGCATAGTCCAGAAAGAAGATTTTGCCATTGGGTTACCCCAAATGCGCTGCACACAATTTTGTCCTGCTGTTCACATGCATCTTGACTGAGATGCTGAGGTTGAGCGTCTGGCACAGCTGGTAATTCCACTCCGAGACCTACAAAGAGCTTAACGGTACAAAGCACAAGTAATGTTGCTCTCGAAAGACCTGTGCCATACAGTACCGGGTACTTTTTCCAGCGACGGCGTAGAGAAATATCTTAAATTGTCTGATGTCAGGTGAATAATCGATCTACTTTAATGACCCAACAATCGCCAGCCTACAATGTCTGCAATGCTGAGATGCCGTTTTAATGCTGCGCCGGACTCCCGATAAGGATGCTCTTGTCTCTGCGTAGCCAGTTCCAGTTATGAGACCCTGACTTAGCTTCTCTATCATGCAATTGTGACCCGTAATATCCTGCTGCTGACTATAGATACTAGTCCCAGCTCATCCAGTTGGACCTGAGAACGTCGTCTTCATCGGCCACTTGCTCAACCACTCCCTTCTTCTCGCTTGTTTTGTTTTCCTCGTCCGAGGAGCTCACCCTCCCATCTACGAGTCAATCCCAGAGTCCCCCTACAGGATCGCCCACCGAAACAAGCTCACGACTGCTGACCTCGGAAAGGGGTTTGTCCTTTGGGGCTACTGTTTCATCGTGTAACCAGTTCTGGCTGTATGGGTCGACATCTGACATTGTGTCCTCTGTGCGAGACTCTACATCCCCATCAGAAGAGTGCAAATCTGATGTTTCGAGCTCTGTATGTGATGTCACCTCGCCTCTTGACGCTGGAGCCGCTGGATCGGCTTCGATGGCAGGGGTCATGCTCAGGCTGTGTGACAGTGAACCTTCCGAGTGTCGCGAACGATGTAGGGGCGGCGTTACAGGTTTTCCAAAATCAAATTCAACGGCCTCGAGTTGTGCTGGGTTAATGGGGCTCGTCATGGGCCCCCGAGCCAACGATACATTGAAATGACTCTTGGCCGCCCTTTTGAGGCGAGGCTTGCGGACGACAACAGGCGATGAGCTTGCATGACCGTGTCTTGAGCGCATTTCAAGGCGCTCCTCTTCTTCTGTTTCTTCATCTGTAAGCACATTATCCATCATGCGACGGTGGTGCGCCATGAGCTGAACACTACTGCCTGAGCATCTTCGCTGGCGGTTCTTGACAATCTCTGTATCCAGGGCGGTAGCAGGGCCGCCGGGCGGAGCCAATTTTGTACATCCTGTTGATTTCGGCCATGGAGGTGGAAGGACGATACCGGTGGTGAGTCGGCGCAGATCTACTTGACTATCAGAAAAGACTACGCGGGCACGCAGGCGATGTACAGCTCGATCAAGGGCGAGCTCAATGGCGCAGCGGTCGCGAATTCGACTGAGCTTCGGCCACGTAGCCCGCTCGCCCATCAGGCAAGCCCGTAGCATGAATTCTGGGGTTGGATTGCTGAGAATTTTCGGGACATCATGAACGTTGATTTCTGGCAAAATGGTTATGTCACCCGAGTACTTCTGGCTGAGAATACTCCTAAGCTTCGTCACAACATTCGGGAAGACACCAAGTTCGGCGAGGAAGTGCAGGCGGTGCAAAGCCTCGTCCTTGGCAAGTGCCGTAAGTGTATAGACCCAATCGAGCTCCTGTTTGTTGGACGAGAAGCCTGTTCGACGGTTCGATGTATCCTCGGGTTCCAGCTGGTCATCCCGCGCCAAGAAGGGCACGACGTGAGGGTTTACTTGAGAAACAATGAAGTGATTCACGTTGAACATTTCAGCCAGCCTCGTCATGGGCAGGTCATTGTCAACAGAGCCATCAATCCATCTCTGTGGCGTCGGGTTCCAGGGCATATGCTCGCCGGTGTCAGGGTTCTTGACTAATAATGGAGCCGCGCTGAACACCAGCGGAACGGAGCACGATGCAGCCACTGCCGACCATATCATGACGTTGGGTGCCGTGATGTAATTGAGTAGACGCGGCAATTCGTACATGGATTCGGTGGAAACGCAAATGTTCAAGACTCGCCGTGTCCGGTTATATGCTTCCTGGAACGTGAGGTCTCCCACTAGGCCTCGCATCACACGGGTCAGGTGCTTGATGTCGGACCAACTGCCTTCGGTGAGCAGTCTTCGCATATGATCGAAGACTCCGTCAGGATTCTGTTCGGCATCAAAAACGGCAAGATCGCCATACGGGAACTCCTTGATGAGGCGGGGTATTTCTTCGTCGGTCCTGGTGCATATAACGGCAGACACGATGGAGCCAGCTGAGGCACCCGATATGATGCGCGGCAGCAGCTTTACATCGAAAAGGGCTTTCAGGACGCCGATGTGGGACATACCCAAGGTTCCACCTCCGCTCAGAAGCAATGCACTCCGGCCAAAGCTCTGGCGGGCGAACAAAACGCTCTCAAGGATATCTCTTTGCCCCATGCCCTCTGGCAGGGCATACTGGCTCTTTTCAACGAGACCGTCGATGGTCTGGATAGCCGAGTCTACGTAGCGTTCTATGAGTTGTTTGGTTCCAACGTAGGAATGCCTGTACAGATCGACATTCCCCATGCCGCCGAGGTCTCTGCAGAGGGCGGTGCGTACGAGGTGCATCATGGCTCGGGTATCGCAATTTGTCCGCGCATCGTCGAGTTCTTTCAAGCGAGCTTCGATTAATCCGGGGTAATAGTCGCCTGTGTAGGGATCCAACTTCCAAAGGTCATTTTCTTCAAGGATGTCAAGCTCCTCGGCAGCTTCTTGCCACTGTTTTCTAGTGTTGGCCTGTAGAATAAAGAGTTAGCAAAGTTAGAAAGTTATAACGCCGATGTTATGCAAAGCGCTTATAGAAAATACTTGCATCCTTCATGCGTAACGACAGAATCTGCTTCCGCTCATCTTGTTTCCTTCGGTTCTCTCGCTCGAGTTCGGATAGACCATCGCGGAGAGACAAGACCAGGTTGTTGGCACCTTTGATGGCACGGGATATAGAATCGAGAGCGCCACTACGGGATGGCGGCTGATGCTGTTTCTTGATAGAGGCAGAGCGCCCAGGCTTGAGTGAGGGTGCGGGACCGGGGGTGGTCGACGAGGGTTTGACCCGGATGGCAGGGAGAGGGTGAACGGAGTTGATGAGAACGTCGTTCATGGTAACGACGAGGAAGTCGAGCCGGGTTGTAGGGTTGTCGGTAGGGCTAAAAAGTGCTTGGAGAAGGGGAGGAGCCGGCGGACGAAAGGCAGCCGTGGTACCGTCCGTGTCGCATCACAGCCTGAAAGTGCAATGGTGTAGCAGACTTCTGACATGTGCTTTTGTCTTCTGCTTCGGTCGACGGTGGATTGCAGCGAGGCGGTCAGAGCATCCGCACCAGCATATCGTAGCTGTTACTGCGGGGTTTCGTAACTAGGTACAGGTATTTATTGGTATGCAGAGAGTAGGTAGGAAGGAAGAAGAAGTATAGATGGCGGCGTAGGGGCGCAGACTCGGTCGCCTACCGAGTGGTTGACGTAGGATAGTGGGAAGGAGGAAGAAGTAGGGCTCGACAGAGCGGCAGAGGCAGTGAAAGCCGTTGTAATGTAATTCAAGAACGCGTTGATGATGCGGTCGCAGGTGGCACGAACAAACACGAAAAACAAGGACTCGAGACAGGATAGTCAGATCATGTCAGCCCAGTGGGTAGACAAGGAAAGGATGCAGCTCCGAAGCACAGATGACCGGTCAAACCGGCCCTAGAGAGGTGACTTGGAGCGAGGTTGTGGGCCAAGTCACTCTGTCCTATCCTGTCCTATGATTTTGAGAGAAGAGAGCGACAGCCGAGAAGGGGAAAGGAAGAACAGGTGGGCGCAAAAGGAGGGCGGTGGTTGGTAGATGGCCGGACGAGGTTGGAACGGAGGGACGAGGTGAAGCAACGGACTCGACGGATAGCATTCGTAGGACGGGCGCCCAAGTAGTTGGAATTTGGCGAGTGCTAGGGACGACAAACGCAAGCAACGAATTTGAGGTATGAAAATGCTTGCCTCCAGCGGGCTGGGGAGGAGGGCAGCAGGGGAAAATGGGATACCGGCGACGGAGATGATGCGAGAAGTCGTGGGGGATGGGGAAGAAGATCAAGACGGGCGACGATGATGGGCGGTGATGACACCTGCAGGGGCCCCCAGACGGGGGTACTGTGACCGCCAAATGGAGCGGAATATGAATCCGGTGCAATGCAAGATAGTACAGCGGGGCAATCCGTCCGGTGATTCCCCACAAAAGCCTCCACAAGGGTCCAAAAATGCACTGTTGCGAGAGAGGCGGGGGAAATTCACTACCAGTAGTAAGAGTAGCGGCGAGACGGGGCAGACCTTCCAAAATCCAGAACAGAATACTGAAGAAGGTGGACGCGACGACGGAAATTGTCTGTTTGCCTCGGTGGTAGGCAAGCTGATCCAGCAGCCGCCCCTTCCCCCCAAAAACAAAAGGACAGAAATAGGTACGTGAATTAGAATACGTACCTCTGCTTCAAGGCTCCACGTGCCAGTGTCGCTGTGTCAGAGCAGACGTGATGGGCAACTCAGCAACAACCGATTCGACTTACGCACCCCCCACCAGTCCATTTTCTGTTGCTACGTATTCCCCGCAATCTACAGACACAAGCATAAGCGCCTCGTTGATCTGGACCAACAGGCAAAGGTAAGGTAAAGATGGTGGACTAGATGGCGAATAGGAGGTCAAGGAAAGGAGGACCCTCTTACAGGGGCAGATGACCCCCCCACATTTTGGAGATACCGGGGACACGAGTGCACTGGAAAGGGGGGCCAGGTGCATCGAACAGCGGACTGTTGGTACCCTACAAAGGCAAGTCGCCCGCCAATTACGGCCTGTCGCAACTCACCATGCTGAGAACGGAAGTGGAAGGGGGGGACCCCCCCAAAACGTTGAAAGTTGAACTACCTAACCGAATTAACATATGTCAAACTCCCATTCATTCTCTCTCACATTTTTATTCCCTTGCTCACCAACGACTGACTGCACGAAGCTATGTAGCAAACGTAACCCTGACGTGGACAAGCGGGTATGCTTGTCTGTGGGTACCTGCACTTATCATCATGCTCCTATTTCTACACGACCTCAAAATAGACGTTGGATACTGCTCGCCCAACGGGTCACTGTCAACCCATCATTCCGTTACAGCCCGGAACATGTCGGCGGCGCCCCACGAACTCTCCGGTTCATTCCATTTCCTTCTTATCTCGGCATGCAGCTTTCTTAAAAGCTGTATTACCTGTACCTTTTGAGATTGCTACAATAGACCTGGCTAAGCAGTGTCTGAGGGCATCAAGACTGTCGTGCGCCTTCCCAGTCTTCCCACCCCCACGATCATTTTAAACAATTTTGTTTTCAATTGCCACATTGAAGATTCGGAAATTCAACGGAATGTATCTACTTCCGAGCTAGTGAGAAAGGGGGGGAGAACAGTGTCCTCTATCACACGGAAACGTGCATCCACCCAGCCTGGCTGTTTTGCCCGTCGCCGTTTTACGTCTTAGCCGCACAGAAGCTTCTGATGGTGACGAGCTGCCCAAGACTTTCGTTACCCGGCCTAACCCGACTAGTCTTGACTTGGGCTTGGTTCTCTGCAGTTCATGAATCAGACGTCCGCCCATTCTCCACCGTCGCGTCTCATGCTATTCATATTCTAACCCAACTTTAGGTAAATGACATACCCTCCCATCCATTGCCCCGTGGCTTTTGAATTGTCACTTTCAGTTTTGCGATCATGACCCAGATCCAGATCCAGGCCCAGACCTAGGTCCGGATCCATATCTAGGCTACGTATTCCCCTTACGCCTGTTTGATGCGCGCCTACACCCGGTCTTTTTTCCTTTCTGTTACCGTCCCTCTTGACTCAACTCTAGTATCAGCCACCAAAACCTTTTGTCGTAATTGGAATCTCAGTTTGGATATTGTACGTCATTCCCGTTTACCTTCTGGTCTACTCCGCAGCCTTGCCACATAAATTCCTATCGCTGATGTTTGCTTTGGTAAGTCACCAATGCTCTCTTCATATTGCAAGTTTTCTCATATAACCAAGTTTTGTTCATGAGATGAAACTTTACTTGCCCAACCCTTTGTGCCTCTCCCTCTCCCTTCTCGTCATGACCCGCCCGTATCAACAGTTTTATCCTCAGTCTGTACCAGGGCTGCAGCGAACTCGACCACCCTATCCCGGAGAATGTACGCCACTTTCTCCTCTGTCCAAAAGTGCCCGGCTGAAGCAACTTCTTCTCCATGGAACTTCGAGTCAACGATGCCCTCTAACCGTTGTACCCAGCTTCTTAATTTAGCCACCGGTACGAAAACATCTTTGTCTCCGAATAAGGCCAGTGTCTGGTTTTCTACCAATTTCGTCTCACTCAGTTGTCGGTGATCAGAGGTGTAGGCCGGCGCTCCCTGTTCCCGGGGTTTCGTAGTCGCTCTAGCGAATAACCCTCGTCCTGCCGATGCGGGAAGAAAAGACATGGTCGCTAAATGTGTGATGACGCCTTGTAGTGGAGATACGAGGAGATATGCAGGCCGCACCTGTGTCAACCCAGTAACTTCCTCTAGTGCTAGAGGTGTGTCTTGAGGTGTCGGCCTCGTCTCCTCCTTTTCTTCAGGGAGTGTGGCGCCCCTGTGATGGTGTCTCTTCGTTTTGGCTAGCAGCTCATTCACACCACGTCGAATCTTATCTTCTGCGTCCAAGGAAAATGATCTCCGTGAGTCGTGACTCTTTCGTTGACTATCTTCATCGCCACCGACCCGCATACCCAAATATTTCTTCCGCGGTGACATTGACTGTGCTGCCCTGGCGCTCGCTAAGATCACGTTCTGCTGTTCGGCCAAGTGCTGTGCGCGCAAGCGTATATCCGCAGCCGCGGACCCGACCGCAGGGGTTTTAAATTGTACAAGTATATGCGTCAAGGGTGGTATCTGTGTTGTAATCATCGCCCCGTACGAGTACCCTCCAAGGAGCAGCAGTGGGTGTTCTGGCCGAGATTGCTTCGATTGCGTGTCGGCAGCTGACGGGGTGCGAACTGATGTCGGTGACTGCACGGCGTGCGCGCCAAACGGATCGAGAAAGTGCATGTAGTAGACCATGAAACCAACAAATGACATGTAATCGCTGCGCTCTGGCTTTGCTGTCCAAGAGGTGCGGCCAGCTGAACCGGAAGCCCCTCTATTCCCAAATGACATGTTAATAACAATGCAAACTCCTGCCCGTCCCCCCAACAAAGCTCCTGCTCGTCATACATGGAGTTTTCTTACCTAAAGTTAAATGTTCCTACAAGAAAACCCAGTCGTAACAGACTCCCTGCAATAATGTCGACGATCGGATCGTCATAACACCCGCCCAAGGGCGCATATGGATGGGCAACAATAGCGGCGTGCCGCTTCCATGGTGGCGGATTTGAGGCGGCCGGATTTAGTGCCTGGCAGTGATAGACACGACAGTCCAGGACGGTGTCGTCGTGAAGGCTGGGGAGCGTAAAGCTCAGTGTCGGTTCGGGAAGCATTTTCTGCTCTTCATAGTGGAGACATCGCTCGTGTTGTCAGAAATTGCGGCAGCGCGGCGACCAATATTGAATTGGGTGGTTTGGGGTTGGCTGAGAGAAAGCTTCACGAACTATAACACGGCAGATCAGAGTGTTCGGAAGGCTGGGATGTGGTGAAAATAAAGTTGAGGACCAAACAGATGAGCGGATGTACAGGCTCTTCTGTTGAGGTTAGATGGAATGCAGGCTGCTGATTACGTATTTTCGCCCCGCGATGTGAACCAAGCTAAGCCTTGAGGAAGACGTAACGGATTAATACTGTCGGGTAGGGACGGGATGCCGGGAAGCGTGGGACGTCAGACAGGGACTGCAGGCTTGTAAAGCCCTCGCATACAAGACGGGCAAAGCAAGCTTCGCGATGGCGTAGATGCACAGGGATTATAGCGCGCCAATGGGCAGTATACGTACTTCTGCCCCTCTGCGCCACTGCCGCTCACCTGGGCCTGCTTTGGGTCACCTCGTTTCACTAAGCTTCTTACCCCACTGCACCGGCCTGACCGACGTTCACCTTGGAAATCAGTGATGGAACTCAACGTTAATTTGTGCACTTGCGTCATCCTCTAAGGACTCACGGATTTGACTTCACCCTGTGTCGTCTTTTCGAGCTGGCCATTCTGATTGGCCATGTGCTTTAATTTCTACATTCTCGCTGTGGAAGTAGAATCTCGTAAGGATTCAAAGCTGACAAGATGAATGATCCAAATCATGTAGCGAGATTTTGATTTCAATATTCATTATGAGGTACTTCACCTCCGCTCATTATATCACCGCTTTTTTCTTGCCTCTGCCTCGGCTCTATCTCGTCTCCTCTTCTTCCAGGCCTTGATTTCGTTCAACAGACCCATGACCAGTGGCACACCAACTGGGCCCAAGAGCGGAAGGTATACAGCAATCTTATGTTCATCAGGGAAGTAAAGCTGTCCAACCATGCTCTTCTCGAAAAATGCTCGCTCTGCTTCGGCCTCAGCGATTCTAGCATGTTCCAGTCCTTGAGGACCGCCAAGGCTCGTACAGGCAAGCTCTAGATGATGCATTGTTTTGGCGACTCCGTCGGCAACATTACGCGGGATTGAGATGGAAGGCAGTGCTAGAGAGAGCCGTGCAAGAGACCCTAAGGTTGACGACGCCCGCAGCAGCAGGTCGGCCGATCGAATCCGCGTCAACGTCGACAGTCGCAATGGGAGAGAACCTGATTTGGGCGTCCCAAGAAGAGACAACAGATGACCGGCAAAGGTGAGCATGGGCTGCTTAAGAGTGGACGCAGATACATGTGATGTCGTTGGCGGCAATGACAGCAGATAAACTGTTCCCCACTGTGGGATCAGCCAGGACTGGGATGTTTCGGATCCCGAGTCCAATCCAATTGTTTGATTTCCAACAAACAAGAGGAAGTTCACTGTCGGGGCACCGCCGATGGAAGGAGAGAGGGGCCATTCGGCCGCATTGATAAAGGACGCCAAATCATCCTTGCTCAGCACCTGTGACTGTGCGCCTGGTGTAGCATATAATTGCACCTGGGTATCAATCGTGAAATTGTGAATGGGGCTTAGTACGTCGAGCATAGGTTGCATGTAATCCCGGATTGCCGCATCGATTTCCCATGTATTGGGCACGGAGCCACTCGTGAAGAGGGAGAAACTCAGATGATATGTCGGCGAATATCTCAGAGAGCGAGTGGTACGCTTGGCGAGCGACTCGGCCGCCTCTGGCGACATGCCTTGGGGCTTCGCATCGGACGCTCCAGAAGCCGCCGAAAGAAGGTATGATATAATGGCCTGTTCCTCAGCATATGTAGACCGCAACTCGTTGGCGATGTACGATGCAAGGGCGGACGAAGACGAGGTAGGCGACGGAATGGAATTGGGCGGGTAGGTGATATCAAGGACAGGGGAATGCGGATTCAGCGACGCTGTGGTAGATTCCCCTGGGCTGAGACGAATCATCAAGGCGACTTGCGAGTCATCCTCGGGCAAGGAAGCGGCAAGGTTGTCGCGGGGGGCAAGCTGTAGTCGGAGATGGTGGCCCGAAAAGTCATTCAAGTCATCGAGCGCATGTTGAGTAAGGCGGAGGAGGTTCTGCGCCTCCTGGTCCTGTAGTTTGTTTGCCTGTACCGAAATTCGGAGGGGGAAGACTGGACGACAAGCCTTATGTGCGAATGGTCAGCGGGGGTCTGGCTGTGAGCATGCGCCAGAAGGGAAACACGAAGAACACTCGTACCTTTCCATCTGCCCATTGGACCATCCCGGACAGGGGAAGATTGGCGCGGTAAATTGACGTTGTCATCCACCATATGGGCAAGCCTAGAAGTAGCACGATGGCCCAGAAGGAGAGAATGACGAAGGAACGACGGCGAACATCAGATGGCTTTTCAGGAGGCGGAGCCTTCCGAACTTGAGGCTGCGGTGACGGCTTGGAGATGGTAGCTGGGTCAGCAACGCCGGACGCCGGACTGCCCGCGTCGTCGTGGCCAGGCATTGTGGCAGCCATGACCGTCTATGGCGACGCTGAGGACAGGTTGCGCGGTTGTCGAGGTGAGAAGTGTGAGATGGTATATCGATAATGGCGTAGTGCGGATGCCAGCGACATGACACGGCGTCTGGGCTGAATGCGCGGTACAGGGGTACTTGCGATTGAATGATTATGTAATGTGATAGCTGTCATAGTACACCACCTTGATGCACTCCGTTGAGGTGAGCAGTCACATGGAGATAAGATACGCCTCTGAATCAGATACATGGTTTGATTACTGAGCACCCGTGTCGAGCATCCCTCAAAGCTCAGTTGACAGCTTAATCGACGCTTCGGTTGGCAATCAATAATTTGCCGCTGCTTCAAAAAGATACCCCAGAGAAGCACAGATCTACAAGAGTATTGGGAATAGACAAACTTTCTCTCTCATACCATCATCGTCGTCAATGGGCGCATGACACGATACTGCCCAGCGAATGCAGGAGGAACGAGACTGGCAGGTTCGCAACTCTCAGCGCTGTGGGTCATCAACACCATTTGGCATATTTTCATCGTTTTCCAACTAGACCATACGAGCCGAGGGACGCCAGGGTGACACCTGCGCCACACGACCTTGCAACTTATTGCTGCGAGCTTGTAACGCAAGTTCCGTCGGCGCTTCGGATGCCGTTACCCGGGTCCACTTCACTCTACCATGTAGCAACATGCAGGAGAAGACTTCTGTTGTATCTGTGTCGCTAGACCCTTTGCGCAAGCCATAAAAAGACGACTTGAAATTCAAGGACATACCCCAGGTGAGAAATCCGGGCCTAAGTCAGTGTTTGGTTTCCTGTTAATGCTGGGGTCCTCACTACTCATGTGGTCTACTACAACATGTAGGAGGTTAATTGGGCGTGCCCACTGCAGCAGTTCCTTTTTTCTTCTCCGGGTTCCCATTGAATCGTTCAACTTGTGTAGTTACATTTGGCGCTCGACCAGAGACGAGACTGGGGATCGTTCGATAGTCTCTTAACTCCGTCAACCAATATCTTTCTAGGAGTAGTGGTAGTAATGCGCGATCCCCTGCCACACCGGGCCGTTCACAAACCACCAGAAGAAGCAATACTCCCCTCTGAGTTGCGAGCTTTAGTCAGGCTGGCGATGTGCTTCTATGAGTGTTGCAGTATAGACTGACAGCTAAACATGTGGACGGATGAAAACAAAACTGCGCCCCAACTACCTCGGCAGCATGTCTACTTCCAGAGTTCATCGGAAACAGAACGTGCAGAAAAACGTTGACGCCATGCCGTTCCATACCATTACGGGTAGAGAAAGAGAGAGAGAAAGCGAGCGGGATGTTTGTTTCCAACAGACCCAGTCGTCTGGACAAGGAAGGACATGGAGAAGCCAGTCGACAAGGGGGCGGCAGAAACGAAGACGGGGGTTTAGGATGGATCAGGAACAGGCCTAACCCCGCTTTCGAATCAGCAAATCGCAACTCGCGAAGGGTGTGCTCATTCAGGAGACTTCTGTGACTTGCCCACCCATCCCCAAATCGAACACAGCTAAAACAGCCCAGCGCAGACGCTAAGCGCACGAGCTTCGCCAGATACCGAGGCACTTCTCCAGTGACACTGCCTTTTAGCTCATTTCGTAGGCCAAGCCCAGCACCCACCACATCACCTCGCGAAGCGAGCATCGATGTTGATCTGCAGCTACTGGTGCTGCTGGCTGCTCTGCATGGCATGGCATGGCTCTGCCAATGTCTCTATGCGACGCCTACTGCATGAGCCCACTCCGTACCACAGGACGGAGAATGGATTCCTTACATACCTCTGCAACCCACCCTTTCCTCCCTGGGTTTTACACCGAGGCACTCGAAGCGACAGCTTCCCTGCTACTATACTTTGAGGAAGGACGGCACCAACGATTGTCAACATGCAGCCTGCAGCACCACGGGTTAGCTGAACACTCTTCCACCAGCAGTGGTCTTCCTCGGCTGTTGAGAGGCATGCCATGGCCATGACCTTGTCAACGTGGAGCTTCGCCGCCACCCAAGCCAGTTCCAGGTCCAGGGCCCCGTCTCAGCCCTCCCGCCGTCCGGTCACTGGTGCTTCATTTTTTCGATGGGGTACGTGGGCACCCACGTCCCAATAACCCGACAATTGAGGTTCCCACCTTAGCTTCGGATAACACATGACTGGACGTACGGTACGTTCACGGGCTTGGATTGTCGTACCAGGTGGTGTTAAACCGTTTTGAGGGTTCGGGTCAATGTCGTGTCGTGTCGTGTTGTGCATGAGAGAGAACGACAGCAACTTGTCCTATATGGATCCCTCAAACCAGGGACGACACATCCAATGCCGACCACAACACTCTGGGTTTCTCCTTTCGCACAACAACATCCTTTTTAATCTTGTGACAGCCTCGACAGCCCGTTACAAATACCTACCCCCATCCTCTCGCAACTAACTCGGTCCTGAACCCAGACGGACCCTCTCTCTCTCTCTCTCTCTCTCTCTCTCTCTCTCCCCCTCTTCCCCTGCTACAACGCAACGGTCTCTAAGCCACCTGGCCCAACCGAGCAAAGCACAAACATAAAATCGATCCAGCTATACAGGTTCGGCGCTAGCAACCAGCGTCACCGTGACGTCCGTCTACGCTCTATTGTCCGCTGTCCCCTCTAATATTTGCCTGTCTATTTTGCCGTTGGTCTCTGTCCGCTCACTGCGCCGGCGTGAGTAACGATTCTGTGAGACGGATTCCCTCTTTTCAACCCAGAACCCTGAGAACTCTGCTGAAGTTACAATGCCTGGTACGTACGGCTTTCGACCCCCTGCTCAAATGTATTCCCACGACCACATTCTTAAAAGGCCTGCCAATCTCTCACCTGCGGCGCAATTCGGTTACCTCAGCCAAGCCTGACCCCCTTCCAATTGTTGGTCCAATGGCGCTGACTCAATTCCTTTCCCCGACCGTTAGTGCCGCTATCGCTTGCCGTGCCGGCTGCAGCTGCGGCTTATTCTTACATTAACGCCCGAATATCCCTCTGGTACGACAGGAAGTTACTCAGCTGCGCCCTTCCTGCGACCCTGTCTGCCTTATGGCTCGAGCGAACCGATCGCTTGAACCAATTCTACGTCCTTGAGCGAGCAGCTCAGAATAAATCATCGGCGAACCGCACTTTTCTAATCTTCGAGGGCAAGTCCTACACATACGCTGAGACTTACGAACAAGTCCTGAAATATGGCACTTGGCTGAAGGAACGTTTCGGCGTAAAGCCCAAGGACATCATCGCAATCAATTTTCAAAACTCCGACACCTTTGTCTTCCTGTGGCTAGGTCTATGGTCAATTGGCGCGAAGCCGGCCTTTATCAACTATAATTTGACAGGCAAACCGCTCGCACATTGTGTCAAGGCTGCTAAGACTTCCTTACTGCTGATAGACCCCAACGTTGTCGACAACGTAGGAGATGATGTTCGCAGCGAGCTGGACACCGTGAGGTTCGTCGTGCTCGATGCAGACCTGCACGATGAAATCGCCGCCACTGCACCCCGACGCGCCCCTGATGCTGACCGATCTGAAGACCAATATCAAAACCTGGCCATTCTTATTTATACGTCAGGCACAACAGGCATGCCAAAACCAGCTATCGTCTCGTGGGCAAAGTGCATTGTTGGCGGTGTCTTCACGTCAAGATTTACCAGTAATTCGGCGAACGAAGTCTTCTATACGGTAGGCACCCTCGCTGCATCTTTCATGCATCTCTAATTTGCGTACAGTCCATGCCCTTATACCATAGCTCAGCTGCACTGTTAGGCTTCGGCAACACGCTTGAAGCCAATGGTACGATCTGCATCGGAAGGAAATTCTCCACCAAGTCGTTTTGGCAAGAGGTTCGTGCATCCAAGGCCACTATCATTCAATACGTTGGTGAGACCTGTCGGTACCTGCTCGCCGCGCCACCTCAGAATGATCCTGTTACCGGCGAATGTCTCGATAAGAAACACAATGTGCGGGTCGCCTTCGGCAACGGCCTGCGGCCAGACGTTTGGAACAGGTTCAAAGACAGGTTCGGTATCGATACGATAGCCGAGTTTTACGCGGCCACAGAAGGTTCTTTTGGCACATGGAACCTCAGCCGCAACGACTTTGCCAAGGGTGCTGTCGGGAGGAACGGTATGCTCTACAGTCTTGTCTTGGGCTTGGACGTTGCCCTGGCTGTGATGGACGAGGACAATGAGATGCCATTGAGAGACAAGAAATCTGGCCTTTGCAAGCCTGCTAAGGCCGGCGAGCCTGGCGAGTTGATGTTCAGGCTGTCACCTACTGACTTGCAGCGCCGCTTCCAAGGGTACTATGGCAACCCGGATGCTACTAAGGCTAAGATCATCCGCAATGTCTTCTCCAAGGGAGATGCCTGGTTCAGGACGGGCGACGTGGTACGGTGGGATTCTGAAGGACGTCTTTTCTTCTCTGACCGCATCGGTGATACGTTCCGCTGGAAGAGCGAAAATGTCTCGACACAGGAGGTCGGTGAAGCTGTCGGATCACATCCCGCTGTGCATGAAGCCAACGTGTATGGCGTGGAGTTGCCTCATCACGACGGCCGGGCGGGATGTGCCGCGGTCGTCCTGGATGGTCAGCCGTCAGAAGAGGTGTTGCGCAGCATCGCACAACATGTAAAAAAGTCGCTGCCCAGATTCGCGCTACCGCTTTTCTTGCGTGTCATGCCACCCGAGGCAATGCAAACAACCGGTACAAATAAACAGCAAAAGCACGGTCTTCGGGCACAGGGTGTGAAACCTGGCAACACGGACACTGGCAGCGTGTACTGGCTGAAAAATGATACATACGTCCCCTTTTCAGAGCGAGACTGGGATGAGATTAACGGTGGGCGGGTTAAGCTGTAAACCCTGTTTCTGGATTCAATTAGATGCGAGCGAGATACCATTGTTGGTTTGATTCTTCTATTAGGACATAGTTGACCCTGGCTTGGCTGTCAGTTTAACACGTGTATACACATATACATTGCAGTTTTTGTGTTGTTGAGGCAAACTTTTCGTTTTCCCTGAGTGTAACCTGTTATGAGTTCCTAAATACATTGTGGTTCCGGATCCCGTCCGAACAATGTGCAGAAGGTCCTTACGAAGAGTAATCGACATTTTCACCCGGTGAACTACTAGACCATGGGTCACCTCGCGTAATATTTACGAGGGCACCTACGAATGCCTCAACTATGCCCATACACTCTCTCGCATTATGAGCGACGCAGCTGTCGGCATTTGCTATAACATCCTATATAGAATGGGTGTAAAAGGGGTGTTTCCTCATCTTTCTGGCTCCATTGGCTACGTGCGGAATGAATTATGTAGTGGCAGTCGACCGGGTGAAGACTGTAGATATCTTCAGGCAGCAGGTCCGTAACTTTTTCTCTACGCAGATTTCACCGCAGGACACTATGTTGTTGAGTGATCTATCCCAACCTCGTCATTCACCAGCAATGGTAACTTGATATCAGTTAGGATATGAGTTTACTGTTCAAAATCACCGTAGAGCGAGACGGCCAATGCAATTCACTGTCCTATTGATGTTCTTGTATATAAACACAAAAGCTAGAATTGCCCGGATATAGGCCTCGCCCAACACCTGTGACGCAACCCAACTTACGAATATAAGCATCAGTACTCGAATCAGCTGTAGAACGGAACGCATTCACAAGCAAATCGCAAAGGATATCACGAAAGATGAGCAACAACGGCCCTCCCTCCCCCAACACTGACCCCCCGACCCCTCCGGCGACACCTAGGCCTTCGCAGCGCTAGAGCGACGATGTTGTTGTGCCAAGGTTCTGATGAAGCACCCAGGTAGAAAGTGAAGCAAGATGCCCTCAGTAGGCAATAAATTCAGTCTTTCAACGCTTCAATGTTTCCCACTGACTACTCAATGACCCGAGAATGGCGATGTAGGGTGCCTAAAGCAAGCTTGATCCTCCGCAGTTTATGTACCAAGGAGTTTTTTTTTTTTTTTTTTTTTTTTTCAAGATATCAATGATTGCGGTGCCCATAATACACTTACTTAGGTATCCTACTTTTAACAGGTCTGAAGGTATGCTCAAATGGCCTTTTACGATGCCATGTGAACATAGTGGCCTTGTCTATTCTTAGTATCGTCAGAGTTACATGCTTCAACGGTTGCCCGCTCTTGTTTTCACAGTTCGAAGGTCCAAAATAGTAGGGCTTATTGCCGACTGGTCAGACGGCGCTCTGTCTTTGTAGGAATCCCGTAGGGAGACGAGCAGCGGGATGGACCTCTAGGGTCATCAGCTACCGATGGCAATGGTTCTCAGGCACTGTAAACGACGCAACTAAATTCACCGAGGCAAGGGCGGAATGCAAGAAGACGGAAACGTCAATATGGCCGTAGGACAACCTATGTACCAGCCCAAGAATGACGGGTGCAGCTCGACGTAGCCCAGTTCTAGCAAAACACACGAGAGACATTGTAATCTCAATGCCCAAGAGAGATATTACCACGCTGATAGTATGCGATGGTCCGTTACAGGGTGAGATCCTCAAGGGATTTCATGGCATATCACTGCGTTATGGTAAAGGGAAGATGGGACGTTGACATGACTGGACGGCTTCCAACGGCGGATTATGGGATCGGGCGGCCGGCAGTCGGGGCTTGACGGCAGACGTCGGCGACTAGAAGACCCGGGGGGTCGGTTGTCGGCGATGGCGTGCGAGGAAAAACGGGGTAAGGCGGCGTCAGTTCATGGGACCGGACGTGGTGGCGTGGGTGCTCTGAACCCTTTCGAGACCAACGACAGGCGCGGCGCATGTGCATGAAGGTGGGGGAAGCGACGAAAGGGCTGGGAGAAGGACGAATGGTGGAATGAGGTGATGAGTGAGTGAATTGACTCATATGACGGCGAAGGACAGAAACCTTCGAGAGCAGTTGACATGTTGTGCACGTCACAGCGAAAAAGCCGTGGCTTGGAGATATTCTCGGAGCTACCGCTGGAGGACTCCAAGCACCATGCATGTTGAGGCATAATGCTACCCAGTAGTCCAGCGACAGCCAGAGTGGAGGCACCAGGTAGTCAAGCTTAGAGATAAGGTCTCGAATAGCAGGACATATCGCCCTGTAAGCTGAGCTAGGCGCTAGGAGCTAGGAGCTAGGAGTTAATGGGAGCATCAAGGTGTGCTGTAATAGTGGTCAATTAGGGGACAGCGCCCCATGATGTGCCTTGGGCCAAGGATGATGTAATCGAGCACGCCATCGAGGCTAACCCAAAGGGGGTATGGAGGGGTAGTGACACCTGAGGAGAAAAAAAGCCCCTCCAACGCGGGGCAGCTCTTGCTGTGTACATAGTAATTACACATTGGATGTAGAATGATGGAAGTGAGCTTGGAGGGAGGGGAACAGCACCCCTCTCTTCCCTTCTTGCTGCTTTGGTAGGAGGGGGAACTATGCTCCTCACGCTGGTTGCACCGACAATCCTGAGACTGGAATGCCATTGATCGTTGGCATGTCAGCCTGATGGATTCAGCTACAAATACAATTGTGGTTGGAATCAGACAGCAGAGCTGAATCATTATGAACTAAAGGTAGAGGCAAGAGGTCGGCGGCTTTGACAATGCGGGGGCCCCGCCCAGCACACCCCAAAAAGCTGTCTTGAAGAGATAACCCAAGTACATGAGATGTACCTACCAAACCACGCCAATTGCCTGTTGCAGACAGCTCACTTCTAAAATCATGGGTTGGCTCGGTGATTCTAAGAATTTGCGATTGCAATCATGGACTCTATAGTGCACTTGTGTAAAGCAGCGCAGACATGCCTGAGCAAGGCAGATGGAAACCACGGAATGAGCTGACAGCTTGGGCAAAAGACGATCCGCATACTCGTACGGAGTGGTATAAGGAAAGACAGTCGCTCACAAAATGTAGGGGGGGAATAAAAAAGGGTTGAATAAGGTGAGGGTACCTGGGACCCCTACCACACCAAGACCACCCCCAAGCGGGAGGCATATGTATCCGGAGCTTGAGAGATAGATGCCTGACCTTAGTCGAACCGTAGGGTGCTCATTCTGCAGCTATTTATTCCACGTCGTGTCCCGCACCATCGCCTGCTCTCGGCCTCTCCTCTTCTCTCGCTTCCTCTCTTCTATTCATCTGGACTTTCTATTCCTCTCCTACAAACACTCTCGTCCAAACTTATTCCCGTTAATCATCCAACATCTGACACAATGGCTGACCAGCGCCCCGCTCCGTAAGTCCTGCCACCCTTCCCATCATCCATTATGTCTTGCCCCGCGTCGACCTTACCCCACCATCGCCATTATCATCACCCAAGGCCAGCTCAAATCCAGACGACGGCCAGTAGTTTCTTTCGACTCATCCGGTCAACGGCAACTTCTGCTACAACTCATAGCTGACATTTCCCTGCAGTCTTCGTCTCGGCACCATCGCCCCCAACTTCAAGGCCGAGACCACCAACGGTCCCATCGACTTCCACGAGTTCGTCGGCGACAACTGGGTTGTCTTCTTCTCTCACCCCGAGGACTACACCCCCGTCTGCACCACCGAGCTCGGTGCCTTTGCCAAGCTTGAGCCCGAGTTCACCAAGCGTGGCGTCAAGCTGATCGGCCTTTCTGCCAACACCCTCGGCAGCCACGAGGGCTGGATCAAGGACATTGACGAGGTCACTGGCTCTCGCGTTTCCTTCCCCATCATCGCCGACAAGGAGCGCAAGGTCGCCTACGCCTACGACATGCTCGACTACCAGGACACCACCAACGTTGACGAGAAGGGCATTGCCTTCACCATCCGCTCCGTCTTCATCATCGACCCCAAGAAGACCATCCGTACCATCCTCTCCTACCCTGCCTCCACCGGCCGTAACTCCGCCGAAGTTCTCCGCATTGTCGACTCTCTCCAGACCGGCGACAAGCACAAGATCACCACTCCTATCAACTGGGTTCCTGGTGACGACGTCATTGTCCACCCCAGCATCAAGACCGAGCAGGCCAAGGAGATCTTCCCCGAGGTTCGCATTGTCAAGCCCTACCTGCGCTTCACCCCTTTGCCCAAGGACAAGGCCACCGTCGCTTAAGTGCTGGTGGTCTTGAATGGAATTTAGTATGGGGGCGTTTTGCTGAGTGACGAGACCGACTTTGGTAGCCAAGTCTCAGTAGATCCTTTGAGACATTGGTGGTGATAACTTTACCCACGACTCGGACGAAACCAACAAATCGACTAAGAGGAAAGAGGGGAAAAAGAAAAGAAAAAAAGCCAAAGAAAAAGCTGGTCTTCTCTGCGTGATGGAGAGGATAATACCCAGGCGGCGCTGCACCAACATGGTACAACACGCTTCGTCCTGCCCGATACCCCCTCATGTGGTCCAGGCAACTGGCCCAGACAAGGTCCTTGGAGGAGGACATGCTTCCCGTAGAACGTACGAAATAATGAGATATGCCCAAACACTGCTGCTTCTTCTCCCTTCTGATATGCTGATCTACTCCGAGCATGTTATCCAATCATCCCGTGCTGTAGACATTTGAGGGCGACTGTATGGTGGATGGAGCCAGTCAATTGCTCTGGTGATCATAGTGTTCTGATTACATGGGGTGACTGACATACGCGCCTCGCCTATGAGGTTATTAACAATTGCATGGCCGAGAACATTTACCATCGGCCACAAACGAGTCAAAAGTGGTTGACACCTTGTTATCAATCATCAATGGAACATTCAACATAGGTCGCGGTAAACAATGAACCGAGTTAATGCGTGTGCCGTCATGATACCGTAATCAGGGAAATGATGGAACTCGGTGAATGGCACACAAAACTGTTGGCCGAGGTCAAGGAGAGAAGACGAGATGAAGTTGAATATTTGCATCGTCACACATATGGGAGCCATTGTCCCGGTGGACAAGGGGGGCGGGGGTAAGCGAGTCCAGAGCTTGGGAGCTCATGGCTCTGGTAGCAGCAAGTGCCATGTGTCTTTAATTTAGCCGCCGTATGACGGATGAGTATATACTATGTACTATTGTTGATCAAAGTTGGGGACTGCTCAGGTACAGGCTCAGGGGCCTGTTACACGTTGACGACTGTCTCTCGTTCTGTGCTGTTTGAACGGCTTACCCCTTCAGGTGGACGCTGCTATGACTCGGCCGACGAGAGATAGGCCATTACAGAAAAGGGCACGGCCGGATGGTCCAGCTACAAAGTTACCTGACCCGGCGACTGTGCTGTGGTGCTGTGCCTGAGGCTGCGTAGCACCACCGGCTTCGAGAAAGCGCCTGGCCGGAACTGAATGGTTTGGGCGGGCTGCAGCAATAGTTTATGCTATAGCAGATGTAAGTCTACGGCCAGATGAAGTAAGCGTGGTAGGCAAGTAAACGGAAATTGGTTTGCGTAGTAGATCCAGTCGCGCTGGACCCAACCCTGGGCGCGGCACGAGATAATTAGTATGCCCTCTAGACGAAGTAATGTTGGAGCGACTCCGGATTCCAGGAACACCTGGGGGATGTTGAAACATTGGCACCCACCACATGACAAATGGCCGGGTTACCACGTTTTCCGGGTAACTGACTCTCTGCGGGAGGCTGGTAATGTATCCATTGCCTCGGAGCGTACGGAGTACCAAAGCTAAGGGGTCGCAGGGCATGGGAGGAGGAGAAGAAGGAGGAAGAGGAATAAGAAGAGCCTGGCGGGGTCATCAGAATGCCTGTCCTGGGATGGCTCGCTCCCCTGAGACTTGACAGCAACCCCCCGGGGGGCGTTGTTTGTTTCCGTAGGAGAGCTGGGCGTTTGGTGGCAGTGGCGGGAAGGGGTTGGAAGCGTCATTTTAGTGTCAGCGTACCTTGCTGTAGCATCAGCAGCATCAGAACTTGTGGTTCTCGTCAAAGTCTCACCCCCCCTAGGTTCTGACGGAGGTCCTATCCGTGACATACGGAGAAAGGATGGCCACGAACGGGCAACGTGGAAGACGAAGGCAAGACTAACTAGCTGGCAGCGGGCAGGTAGCGTAACAAGGTCCAGACGAGCGGTGTCGACTGGGCCCAGGGGGCTAGGGTCAAGGGTCAAGGGGCCAGCCGGGGAGCAGGGGCATGGTACCTCAACCCAGTTAGCAACGGTGATTGTTAGTGATTGCTTAGTGCCCGTTTTCTCCTCTTTGCCCCCTCTCATCGCCCTCGCTCTATTTTGCCTTGATGAACCTCAAGAGCAAAAGGGTAGCTGCCAAGCACCAGAAATTAACCAAATAGCCGGAATGTCCTTTCGAATTTCTCTTTCCGTTTGGTCATGATGAAAGGGCTAGGGTATTATTCTTTTCCTCCTTGAGCTGATTGGTGATACTGGCACCACCCACACACACATAACGCACACACTGGCTGCACTCATACTAGTAGAGAATAGCGCCAGCGTTTCTGCAAGAGAAGGAACGCAGAAAGTACCAGGGGAGGGGGGGGGGGGGGAGGGAAGAAAAAAGGGTCTCGTTGCAGCTCGATCGTCTGATGTTTTTTTCCTGTTGTTTTATCTCTCCTGACGCAGCCGCATGGTTCCGGTTGACGGTGCATGGGCCGGCCGGCGGGAGCGGAGGAACGGCGCTCCAGAGTAGACGCTATATTATCCGTAGCGCTGCAAACTTCGTACTACTTTGGACCTAAAATTTATTCAGTCAAGCTAACACATGGCATAGTCTGCAATCCGCACTTGGTAGCAGTGGTTGAGTTTTGGAGGCGGTAGTGGTAGTAGTAGTAGTAGTAATAGTAGTACCTAGTAGTAGTAGCGGTACACACTGTATCCGTGTATCCGTAAGCTTAAGACAGGACAGCGCCCCCGTCAGTTAGCTTCTTTCTTACCCTCTCCCATCCCCTCGTCTGCGCCCACGGCTTGAGGGGTCGAGTGACGCCTTAATACAACAATACATAGTACTAGAGCGGATACCTTGGTACTTGGTGGTTGGATAGAAAGTACGTACTCTCAGGATATCTTTTGTCCCCCTCAGCAGAACTCCGGGCAAAGAGCGTGGGCCAGGGGGTCAGTGCGCAGACATGAGCAGTTTAGTGGAGGCTGGATGAGAGCCTCTATTAGTGCATAGCATGCATTTACACGACACATATCTTGCCTCAATTCGCTAACCGCAAAGTACCCTCCCTATCTGGTGTAAGGTACTACTTGGAGCAGCACGCACTAATTACTACGTAACCTGTTCTTTACAGAGTGTAGTAGAGTGTTGACCCGAGGTGTTTAGTGGATGGCAGGAAGTGTGATGAATAATAGTAAGTATGTGTGTTGGAATATCATTTTTGCTATACGCATATGCACAAGTAAATGCCTAAGCCTAGAGCTCGAGGTATCTTTCATAAGTGGAGTAGGGGCCAGCGTGTGTGTGTGTATATGCGTACAGAGATGATTCAGGTATTCAATCAGGGGGTGCTGAATGTGGCTCACCACTGCACGGAACATGTGGAAGGAAGGAAGTATCGAAGGTACTCTATACCGACGATGTCGGAGGCAAGGTACTCCCGTCTACATGCGCCTTGCCTTAACCGTTCAGTTGGGGCTCTCCGCCTCTGAACCAACTTGCATCCAACCTTTTGACTTCCCCCTCCTCTCTCTTCCTCTCTATCTCTCCTGTTCCCTTTTTTTTTTTTTTTCCCTTGTGTCTTTATTTTCAAGTATCTTCTTTTGCTTCTCCCTCCTTCCCACTCATAAAGGGTACTAGTAGTCTGGATTGACAAGCAAAGCTAACTTTTTTTTTTCTTCTCCTTTCCTTCCTCTCCCTCCTCTCTTGCCCACCTCGGTACATTTAGACAGCCTTATTACGGATACGCCTAAGCATCCAGATCTGACTTTCGCAACTGAATTGTACCTGAGTGCGCAGCTTGTTTGTACCGTTTTAAGCATCAATGGCCAAGGGCGGCCTTCATTAAGGTACGCACGTACAGGCTGGATAGCGCAATAATCTCCATCCCACCCCCCCCCCCCTTTTTTTTTTTTTTTTTTTTTTTCACTGCTGGGCTCTCCTATCCAGTGCAGAGGTTCATCACTAGCCCCATTTTCCCATCTCCATTCTTACCGCCCGCCGTCTTCTCCTCTGTGTGACCTTAACCACACACAGTCGTCGTCTACTGCAGATAGAACGGTGATGCATCGCGCCCCCCCGTCGCATCACATCGTACCGTATCGTACCTGTCTATCGCGCGTATCATAGCACACTCACCGCGCGCCCGGTCCTCTTTTCTTTACTATACGCGGTGTGCCTTGCGTTGCAGTGTGCAGTGTGCAGAAGCGACTGCAAGTGAACGCTGAAACCCGTTTTCTGCCTCACTCACTCTCCCTCTCTTTCTCTCACTCTCCCCCTCATCATTCAGTTTCCACTCTTACTACTCCTCATACTTCCCCTCATCCCATCCGTCCATCCCACCTCTACCTCTCTCTCCCTCTCTGCGGCTGTACAGATAGATACCTCCGGGCCTCGCATGCTCATAACTTCGTTTAGTACTTCTCACTCGCAGGCCCGACCCGCCCAGCCCACTTCTTCCCTCGTGTCCCCGTCGGACTTGAAGCTGCTTTTCACTTTTTGACCCGGCGCCTAGTCTGTGCGCCTACGCCCAACACCAGGCCGAACCGAACAGGTCGCTTTCTTCTCGCTTCGCCTACACTACGTCCACCTACCACACACAACACACACTCACAGACATAGATTCATACACACCCATCACTGATCCTCGGCCAAAGCAAGACGCCTTTTCTTGCTTTCCCAACTAGTGTCATCGACAGATCCCCCTTCCGCCCAAAAGGTGCAGGACAGGCATCTGGAAATTAATAACTGCAACCCTGCTGGTGGTCTTTGGCCCGTTGCCGTTCCCCGCTGTCTGCCACAATACACACACATACGCACCTCCCTCCCTCTGCGGCCACCGCTGCTTTTCGGACTGTTGCTCCTCTTTTTTTTATTTTTATTTCTTTAATTTTTTTGCTGGACCCCCTCTTCCCCCTTTCCCTGACGCGCCTTATTTCGTTACCTTGTCCGACTGGCTACACCTTACCCTACCGTACCTTACCTTGCCGTACCTTTCCTCAGGTACCATCCATTGAGAGTAGACTCCCCTAGCTGCTCTTTCTCGTGTCCCTGAATCGCTTCGTGGTCGCCGTCGCCGTCGCCGTTACTATCCCCGTCGGTCGGTCGCCATTGCTTCTCCGTCACTCGTAAGATCAGCTTTTCCGGTCATCTGTCCGTGTCCTGATCTGAGAAGGATAGGGGCATCTAACGCGAGCACGCGGCAAGTCACCTTCGCTTCACTTAACCCGAATTCGACTCGATCCGTCTTTGCCGATTTCGTCCTTGACCCGGTCGACAGACTGTTCAACTCCCTGTGCCCATTTGGCCCCAGGTGCGTACATGTTTTTTTGCCCGTCATATCCAGTATACTTCCATCTCACCCTTCTGCCTGTCCTATGTGCTGTTCTTTTTGCCTCGTGCTCGTTACCCCCGTCCACTCCTAGTCCTAGTCTCCATCCATCCCCGTCCATCCCCATCCTGATCCTGTCCCATTTGGCCCTCCACTCCCCAGCCCACATCCCACTCTATCTCTTGTGCGCCGCTTCCTGTCAACTGTGGAGAGCAGAGCCAGAAACGGAGAGCCAGTGCTAGAAACACGCACAAAACGACACGGACAACAAGGCCTTGTCCCTCAGCCCAGCCCAGCCCAGCCTAGCCGAGAGGCCCAGTCTACCCAGACGTGTCCACCTCTGGGAGACAGATACACTTGCACGCACACATGCTTCCACACATTTACACACTTCTCAAACAACTACCTTCACACACACACACATACGACAGAGACGTAAATCGAGGCGAGGCGAGACGAGACACTCACGCCTCGAAAGAGAGCCACTGTCACGACCCCAGCCGGGAGCCATCAAAACTACCGCCTGAGCCATACCCGTCATCCGGACAGGGGCCCCAGTAGAGAGTCAGGCCAACCGATGATCCCTGGCTGAGTCGCTTGATCCAGGGTCCCCGTTCGGTCCAAGATAGCTCTCTTCGCTTCTTTTCTTCTTTTCAACGTAACCCGGCTTCTGGTCCTCACGGATCGGCCCTTCCCCCTCTCCCTCCTTCATACACACGGTCTTCCTCCACCATCTTGCGGCTGTGCTTGTTGTTGTCGTTGCGATCTTCCCACGGCTAACACTAAGAACTTCGCTCTTCTCCTCCACTGCTCTTTCCATTCTCCTCTTTACCCTTCATCTCTGTTCCCTCTCGAACATCCTCGCTAGCTCACGGTGCTGGCGTCGATCTGCGTTAACGATAATTGTTTGGGAACACTCGTTGTCGCCGCCTTTTAACGCTTTCACTTGCTTGAATTGGTGTTGCGGACCCCTCTCTCATCTTCGCCCCGCATGAAAAACCTCTCAGTCCCCTTTTCGTGCCTTTGAGCCTTCCTCCCCCGCCTTTTACGTCAATCTAGGCTCTGCTACACAACCCTACTGAGGCTGTCCATACAGCCTGAGGGTTGATTCTGCCGCAATGTCTGGCCCGGGACTAACCTCGAACCAGTCTCACGCGCAGAACGACCTCTCGCGCTTCTCCGACTCGGAGCCGGAGCAAGACCGGTCTCCTCCTGGAAAGACAACCTCCGACATTCTTTCGGGCGTCTATCGAGGCTTCAAAAAGTTTGCCCCGAGCAGAGACGACTCGTCTAAGCTGTCGAGACAACCCTCCCTCTCTCACCTCGGCCTCAAAAGTATCTCTCCGAGCTCGAACTCCACTCCCTCTCCTCCTCCTTCCGCGACGCCCACGCCCGTTCCAAGCTCGTCCAAGAACCGTCCCCTTCAGCATGGGAGGAGTCTGAGTCTGCAGAGCAGTCTCGCCAAACCCCTGCCCGAACCACCACCTTCGCAGCCTTCGCCCACAGGAGCCGACGTCCCTTTCGCTGCCCACTACAATTACGGCAGCCTTGGTGCTATAGAAGAGGCTCCGGCTGATGATATGGAAAGTCGCACTAGTACAATGGACTCTAGTGTTTCGGTGGATAAGGCACAAATGTACACCGGTGGAATGGGTTACAACACCGACATGGCCAGCAGCCAAAGCAGTCTGGCCAGCTCATCGAGGCAAGATGGAGGGGAAGAAATGAGGGAGAACCTGACGCCACGGAGTAACGGCCCCTTATCAGCAGGCCCTTCACCCTCTTCCAACACAGGCAGAGCGCCTGCCGTAGGCACGCCCACTGCCTCCTCCTCCTCGGCGCATCTTTCAGGGCTCATGTGTAATGTCCATCGTACGACAGGCAGGGAGCCACATCCACTTGTCGGAGCCACAACGACAATCCTGGGTGATAAGCTCTACGTTTTTGGTGGAAGGATATTGTCTAGGAGCCGCCCTGCCCCCTTGACCTCCGATCTATACGAGCTGGATCTTATTCGTCGACACTGGTCGAAGCTCGAAACAAGCGGCGACATACCGCCCCCACGATATTTCCACTCCATGTGTCCCCTGGGAGACACCAAGTTAGTCTGTTATGGTGGAATGTCTCCTACGCCGAACCAGTCCGGTACAGGCCCGGACCAGCAGCCCGAAGTGACGGTCATGTCGGACATTTATATCTACGACGTTCCAACCCGGAAATGGACCTTTATACCCACTCAAGAAGCCCCCCAGGGCCGCTACGCACACTGCGCCTGTATTCTACCCACCTCAGCTTCCTTTACGTCACACAAGGCGCCGCTGTCGGCCCTGCAGCATAACCCGTCGTCGGGCAACCCCAACGAAGGAAGGATAGGAATCAACATAGATGGGTCTGGCGGCGCCGAGATGGTGGTTGTAGGTGGCCAGGACGGCGCAAACCACTACATTGAGCAGATTAGTGTTTTCAACCTACGAAGCCTTAAGTGGACATTTATCGAACCGCTCGACAAGAGTTGCGGCGCTTATAGGAGCGTCGTCGCGCCTCTACCTCCTTCGGTGACGGCACGAATTGGCAAGTCGAGTGCGAATGGTTTCCAGCGGGACGGCGGCATCAGCCAAGAATCTCGAGAGCCAGGGTCATCAATGCTAATCTACTCCAACTATAACTTCCTGGACGTCAAGCTCGAACTGCAAGTCCGATCTTCGGACGGCACTTTGACGGAAAAGCCAATGTCAGGCTCTTACTCGCCCCCAGGTCTGCGATTCCCCAACGGCGGCGTTATCGACACATACTTTGTCGTAAGCGGCACGTACCTCACGTCGTCGAAGCAAGAATACGCTTTGTGGGCTCTGGATTTGAAGACATTGACTTGGTCGCGGATTGACGCGGGGGGCGCCGTCTTCAGTCAGGGCAGCTGGAATCGTGGCGTGCTATGGAATCGCAGAAACACGTTTGTAATTCTTGGCAATCGGAAACGAAGTCTTGTCGACGACTATAATCACCGACGAATCAACTTTTCCAATGTTTGCATGGTTGAGCTGGAGGCATTCGGTTTCTACGACAATCCCAGGAAGACTAGCCCAATGTCTGGATTTGTCTCCGCCAGCAGCCCCTACACCGGTCCCGGCTTAAGTTTGGCTAGAAAAGCTGGTTCCACGGCAGGCGGGCGCTTCCATTCGAGGGCTTCCGAAGAGCTGGGCGAGAAGGCGCTCGCTTTACGTGAGTTATCAGACATGGATATCCTGTGTTTGCATGGAGAAAGAATACCCATTAACTCGAGGATTGTGGCGCGACGTTGGGGACCATACTTTGTGCAGTTGTTGCGCGAAGGCACAGCAACCCAGGACGGTAGTGATGCTATGACCTTGCGGTCAGGGCTCGGTAGTGCCGTTCGGAATTCTACCTTGACCATTACGCCTTCTCGTAACACGATTGAGAGCACAACTTCTTCCATGGCTAGTACGGCACTCTCGTCTGGATCATCAGCCAAGCCTCCCAGCACAGCCCCGACTAGTGCCTCTGCAGCCTCTTTCTCTCTTCCGGGCTCAGGCTCCGGCGGCGTCGACCCAACCGCTGTTAACTCGGCCCCGACTCCAAGATCGCTGCCACCCAACTCCAGACCACGATGTCTTTACCTCCCGCACACCTATCTTACCGTTCAGGCTCTTCTCCATTTCCTCTATACGTCCTCGCTACCGCCGCCGTCATCACCACTGTGCACCCCCCCTATTCTATGCTCACTCCTTCAAATAGCCCGACCTTATCGAATTGACGGGCTTCTCGAGGCGGTGGTCGAACGCCTACACGCCCTTCTGGATTCGAGGAATGCGGCCGCTGTTTTCAATGCCACCGCTATGGCTGCCGGTGGTGGTCGCGGCATAGACGGCTCATTGAACCCCAACTTCTTCATCCCTATCGACGGCATGGGCTCGCCGTTGTCCCTCTCCGATGGCTCTCAGAATGGAAACAGCAGCACGGATCTGCAGGGTCTTGGTTCTCGCACCGCTGCATTGCGCATCAACACTGCCACATCTTCCGGGCGGCCATCCAGCGACGAGCTCAGCGCGACAACGAGTGTCAGCGGGTCCGAATGGAGCTCCGAGATTGGGGATTCCGAGCGCGGGGGCTTGCGTGAAGTCTGGGGTGGTGAGCTCAGCTCTGTCATTGGTCTGCAGAAGCGAGGACTGCGCGGCCTCATGGAAGGCAGGAGAATGCGCGAGCGTACCGGGACCAACTCCGGCACTGGCATGAGCGCAGGCATGGTTCCGTATGGTGGACAGGGTCGGGTTGGTCTTGGCATTGCCGGATCGTGATGAAAGCTGTGTAAGAGGCTTGGGAGTGATGGCAGATGGAGCCCGGGGCGCGGAAGTAATGAACTTATGATAGCATGGCCAAATCCAGCATTATTCATCAACAAAGTTGGCCGTATGACCTAGTGCATGTGACATTGTACAGCACGGGGGGGGGGCTCATGAGATGGCGTTGGATGGAAGATGAGAAAGGTGCGTCGCGGGCTGTTGCTGATTGATAAGAACGAGAACGGGTGCTTCGTGACCCCGTCGACCAGTGTCTTGGCTGGAACCTCTTTATACCATGTCAAGGACGCGCGCAAACGCTCGTGATTTCGGGCAGCAATCAGGAAACGGGTCTTTGTATATCTGGTTAGTTTTGGCTACCCACACATGTCTATCTAAAGCGAAGTTCGGGGGGAAGAAAAATCTACAATGTCATCCGCCGATTGTCTGTTTTTTTTTTACCTCAACCAAGCAGAACTTAAGTCGAAGCGTGCTAGATGAGGCTATATATATACCTCGTTAATGGTGTTAACCGGAAAATGGGCAAGCGCCTCGACTGCGGCCCTTGAGCACCTCGACACCCTGGGCCAGTTCTTCAATGCCCTTGCCCACAGTCTGCTTGGGACCGATTTCCTCAAAGAGAAAGCCCTGCGGCATCATCTTCTCCGAGCCGGGGACGATGCCACCCAGAAGTCGAGTGGCTAAGCCCGTAAGACCCCAGCGGGTCCAGACAGTAGCCGGGTTGTAATAGGGATGGACAAGGTAGTCGTGGTGCTGAATGCGACCCGTCTTGGGGTTCGGCTCCGAGAAGAAGATGAGTGGGGTGAAGCGAGGAAGCATGAGATGGCGCATGACGAAGCGGCGAACAATGAGGGCTGCGTAGGCGGTGAAGCCGGCGACGATGCCAGGTTCGGCGTAGCTATTTGTGCTCCCATGTCAGTTTCTGGGGTTATCATCATCGCCACTCGACCCTTTCCGCAAAGTGCCAATCGGCAGAGGCAGGGAGGGAGGCGCGTAAGGCTAACTCACCTGAACGCATCCCGCACCCGGTCACCCATGAGGACGGTAAGAACCTCCTGAGCGAAGGGCTTAGCGAAGCTTGGGACGGACCAGATCATCATGCCCATAAGCTGGCCGCTTGGCTGGAGGTTGACCTTGGCGGGCTTCATAACCTCGATCTCGTAGCGTTTCGCCCAGGCGGTGATGTCCTTGGCGAACTCGATGCCGTCAGCCCACGATTCTTGAGTCAGGTAACCCTTGTACTCAATGTCCATGGCATCGCCGATTGCCTTCCAGTGAGTACCAACGGCACAGACCTCCATGTCGGTAAGGGGGCGCCACTCGTAGAGTTCCATGAAGCGTATCGGTTCGGTGACACAGACGGACAGAGTGTAGAGAAGGTCGGCATTAGAGATCTGGCCGGCGGCCTTGTAGCCGCTGTGCAGGTAGTTCATGCGGGCGATTGCCTTAAGAGCTCGGTCAGAGGTGGGTGGATTAAGAGAGAACCTAAGGAGTTGATCGATTAGCAGGCGTTGAGCTGGGTTGGCGTGACGTTTCTAGCTTACTCTCCAAAGAGGATGGTAGTATCTTCATATCTATAAAAGATGGAGTATCAGCCAACAGAAGTCTCATGGTGTGTAAGATGACTATGAAAGGTTTTGAGGATCGGTTGACCCGGGGTTGGCTTTGCGAATATTTGGCTTGATGCCGTGGTGCAGCGTTACCTCTTTGGTGAGTTGTGGGGATCCGCAAGATTCTTGGTAGCAACGATAAGCTTTGAAATGGTCGAAATGCCATAAGTCTGAGTGGTAAAGATAGTTAGGGAATGAGATGAAGAGTGGACAATAAAGGCGGGGGGGAAAACCTTGAAGAGGCCGAACTGAAGAGCCAAGGTGTAGAACTTGGGGAACTCGAACTCAATCATGTTTCTGATAATGACATGGGCATCATTGTTGGTCATACGCGCCAGAGAAGCTCGATCGGTGTAGCCCAGGCGCTTTTGGAGGTTATTGATGCGCCTGAAGCGGAGCGAAGCACAGAGGACAATCCAACCGGCAAGCAAGGCTGCTAGCATTGGGATGATGGGCAGAGTGGCAGGCATGGATGCGGTGTATGCCAGAATGCGTGCCGCAGTGTAATCAGTAAAGGTTTGAGAGCGCGTGAAGTTGGTGGGCTCATCGTCCATGGTGTTTGGCGTATAGGTGATCTGCACAGGGCTGCACCTTCACTGAACACAATCAGAGGCCAATCAAGGGATGGTAGTGGTTCTGTTGAAAATGTCGAGATGTTTAGGGCAATGGATCATTCCACCACAAACGATATGAGGAAGGCAGTAGCACTAGGAGAGGTAGTGTAGTGATGCTATTCCTGTGCCGGCCACGAATAAAAAGAAAAAAGAAAAAGAAGAGGGGAAAGAAAGAAAGTCAGTCGGCAAATGTACTGGTCGGCAATGGTCAGCAAAAATGAAGCAGAGGGCAACTAAGTGAAGATCCTTGTAGATAGGAGCGTCTTTCCATATGACACGAGTGGGATAAGGTGGATGAGGCAGGGGAAGAAGAGTGGATATGCGAGGCAGGTAGGACTGGCTAGTGACAATGTTACTTGGCTTGTCCCAGCGATTTTGCTGATTTCCGTCAGTGATAACTGGGAGCCTAGTGGCTGTTATGCACGTGTTAGGCAATGAGAGAGTGAAGTTTCATTCAAGTGGAGTGAATGTAGGTTGTAGGCGGGGGAGGCGAAGAATGAGCCATCTGATGGCCAAAAGAAGTGCGAAGCCCGAAGGAGGAAAGAGGCAGAAAAAAGTGAGGTAGTCAAAAACTAAGCAGAAAACACCATAGTCTTTCTCCTCCCCTGCTAACACTACCTGGTGAGAAGGCTGAGATGGAAGGATGCAGGGGTGGAACAGGACCCTTGCTAGCCCTTTCGGAGGGCTACTAGCCTAGAATGCGGGGTCTGAGCACTAAGTGTACCATGTCTAGTCGGCCGCCATCGGTGCTTGTACTTCCTCAGTATTTTGTCCGTTGTGGGACAGGGACACCTCGGCCCGTGATCATCATCAAAGGTGGGACAAAGAGCCAAGAGGGGTCTATCCTATCGGTGAGTGATGCACTGGGGTTCTGATAGGATAATGGCCAAGGCAGGCAAAGGTCAATGAATGACTGCCGAAAGCGACTAGATGAGCTAAGAAATTAGAGACTCTTAAAAGTCCCGTCTGAGTAAGAACTCTCGTATGAGTGAAGCAAAACTTGTGTCAGTATTACGATGGAGTCTAATCCGACGCGCCACAATGAGTTGGGCGGATAGTAGCGCTCTCCATACCTCTCAAAGGATCACATCTGAATATGGAACATGTCGTCTGCCACCGCCAGCAACTCATTTGGGAGCCTCTGGTCTTTCGTCTATTTCGAGTTGAATGCTTAGTTGGCTTTTCTCAATCTACCTTTATGAAGACGGCAAAAGCCAAGAGGCAGCTTCGCATGATTTTAGGGACCAAGGTGTTGGTTAATAGCCGAATATGCATGCAAGCCAACGTAAGCTACACCTGGTGAAGAGCAAGATGTCATCAGTCAGTTTGTAGCAGCCATCTAATATCCTGAATGAGATAGGCAAGGAAAGAGCTTCTGGCGCGATGAATAAGGATGTGGCTAGTTTGTCAACACCTGATGGAAGTGATTGAAAGTATAGGCTCGTTGTCGAATCTTTCTGGTGGGAAATAGATGACATGTCTAGAGACAAAGTGTAAAGATAGTGTGATTTCAGCGACACTAAAAACAAATGCTCGCCTGCGTGTAGAAGTTGGTAGGTAGAAAACTTGAGATACGACCGCGAGTGAAAGGAATGGGGCGGATACTACAGCCTTGATGTATGATGGCTCTAGCCAAAAAGAGGATATCAAAAGAAGGTTCAAAGGGAATGGGTAAAGAGCTATCCAGAGTAGAAATTTAAAGAAACTCAGCAACAAGAAAATGCTCGGGGGGGGGGGGGGGGTCATCAACGGCAAACCCAGGAGAACCCATGGGTCTTGTGGAGGAAACGCCGGCCCGCTGTGGATCATGTGCCACGAAAGAGGTTAGCCTGGGCCTATTTACAGCCCTGGCCACTCAGAGGCCCGGCCGATGTCCATCAAAACCCACAATAGAATGAACGGTTCCACTCTGCCCTCCAGGCGCGCGTCTAACTTAAGCTTCATTTCCATCATTTCAACCTTTTGACAACACACTTCTGTCGTTTCGCCCATCTCCCTCTTTTTTTACTCCCCCTTTGGTACCTGCTTGAGCCAAGTGGTTCATGTACTTTCAGCCTGTGCGTCATGCAAGATTCTATGCAATAAACCGCTCTCCTATGATTGGATGCCCGTTGAGAGACAGCTCTGCCATTCGTCGCCGTCTACCCCTGGTGGCTTTAGTGTTTTCTGCTAATCGGGACGTGGATCGCTTCGAGGTATGCTGCTGGGCCCTTGCTGCCAACACATACCGTTCACTGCTGCGAGTTTACGGCAAGGCAGCTTGGTTGGCCCGCGGCGCGCGCGCCCGCTTCCAAACCAATGCGACTGTCCTGCCTCATCTCTCGTGCCGGACCCCATTGGCCTTTTCGCCGCCATCGTGGGGTCTAAAGTCCGCTCCAACAGACTTTGGCGGCTCGAAACTCACTCCATCTGCCCGTGACTACCTTGCCCTTGCTTGAAGACCGATCGACCCCACGGATGGCGTGGCATGATCCAGCCCTAAACAGAGACGAACCTCTCCAGATGACAGCCTCACAAGCGTGGAATGGCGGGCGCCTACTCATACCCAACACTTTTGCTAATTTCGACCCTCTTTTCCCGGCCCCATTCTCTTCCCGTTTGAGCCCTCTGTTTCTTTCTTCGGCACCCCGGCAGCCGTCCGATCCCGCCAAGGACATTGTAGCCGCCCTCCAGACCCGGCCAGTTCTACGCGCCCAACTTCAGACAGACGCCCATCCTCACAACCCGTCTAGCCAATGCCCGCCGGACTCTACCTTGAAATCTGCTTTTTTGGACACACGAGACGGGTTTCATGGCAGCTCTGGCAGCTCTTTTGCTCTTGTTACGCCAAGCTGTCCTGTTTCAGATTCTGATGACCCTGGTCTCATTTCAACCGCGCTTCTATGTCTCTTTGTCTGTCCACCAGGTCGTGATGTTGCTTAAAGTAAGGCCCAGTGTCCGGTTCCTCGACCATCTCTTGACCTTGTGTTCGTCTCCCAAGCAAACCTCATTCCGCCTTAACAACATTTTCCTTTTTCTCCATCTCCTTTTTCTTTTCCTTTTTCCTTATTTCCTTCCTGGTCTTCGTCATCGTCATCGCCTTCGCGTTTCCTAAACCAGATTTCCTAGATTTCTTCTGATATCTCTTCTGCATTCGCTATCTCTCCTCCGTTGTCTCATACTCGGCCATCGCCATCCTTGATTTTACCTCCAGGCGAGGCTCAGATACCAGCATCAAAGACACACTTCTATCTACCAAGAATCTGGTTCGCAGCTTAATTTGATAACCTGCATTCGTTAAATCTGCACAACACACACATAGCAACTTACTAGTTGCTCCATCTTCTGTCGTTCCACCAAGATATCATGCCCGAGCACACCCGGGCTTCCAGCTCGAATCATAACCGCTACGTCAACTCCATGCCTGTGTCTCTCGCTCCTGCGGCGAATCCCATCGCCATGTACAACCAGCGCATGGCGATGCCGCAATCAACCTACTATACAGTGCCCTCGTCTGCTCCGATGCAGCCGCAGCCGCAACCAACATACGAGAGCTACGCCCCCGTAACGGCACCCCCCGTTTCCGTACCCCCTATGCAGCACCGCGCCTCCTCGGGGGCCTGGACCCCACAGGATGACCAGCAACTGCTCACGGCCCGCTCTCAAGGCCTTAACTGGGGTCAGATCCAGATGGCCTACTTCCCCAATAAGACTCCCAACGCTTGCAGAAAGCGACACGAGCGTTTGATGGAACGAAAGGGAGCCGACGACTGGGACAATCGCAAACTTGAACGCCTGGCCAAAGAATATATGAGCATGCGGAAGGAGATTTGGTCCACTCTCGCAGCCCGCACCGGAGAGAAGTGGAACGTTGTCGAGTCCAAGGTATGAATAAACATGGCTGGCCCAACCGGAGAAATATCTTACTGACTAGGCGCCCTTACCAGTGCATGTCCAACGGACTCAAGAATCTTCAAAGTGCGGCCCGTGCCGGGGCCAGACGCGAGCGCCTGGAATCGGGGCAGCCACTACCACCAGGGTATGACGATGATAGCGGCATCAGCGGCCTCGGGTTAACTCCAGTTGACGAGCTAGACGCGTCCTACAGTAGCCCGGAGACCGTGTCTTCCGGACATTCCACGAGCGGTGGCAGCACTACCTCGGCTGCCGGTTATGTCACCTCCTTCGGCCATCTTCAGCCCCTGCATGCTAGCCAATACGGCTACGGCCACACGGGTGCCCACCACGGATACACCAGCTCGGTATCTTCGAACGGCTCCGTGAACGGCGGATATGGAAACCCCGGCCAGTCACAATCACCCAGCCCATACCTCCATCCTCATGGTCAGAGATTGCCGAGCGTGGATATGGGAATCGATGCCATCATCAACAGACCCGGTGGCGGCGGTGGTGTGCAACCAATGTAAACGAGGTTGCATTCTCTTCACCAGAATGATTGACGCTCGCTTCATACTACAAAGAAAATGGATTAGGAGGTTTCGTCGCTTTAAGTTTGTTTTTCTTCTTTCTCATTCTTCTTTTTTTATCTTTCTCACTTCCATGTTGGCTACAAGCATCGTCCATGGGCAGTCAAGGGTGGTGTTCCAGGCGTTGGGACGGTTGATACAGAAAGGATAAGGGGTTTTGTCCCGCCTGGGTTTGCTTTGCGCAATGTGATAACAGTACAACGGCGACGAGTTTTGTCTCTGATAATGATGGACGGCGAGAGGAGGAAAACACCCGAGACAGTCACGACACTTGAGTGTATATTAGCATCTATAGATACCACAGAGGATGGGGGGGATCTGGTATGAAAAGAGAACCGGGACACGCAATATCTAAATGCTTTTTTTTTATCCCTCAACCAATTTCACAAACCCTCGCGAGTATCTAAATGGACAGCCACACCATCTAATCGAAAACACGAAAACACAAAGTTTACAGAGTGAGATCAGTATCTTTGAAACTAAAGTTCCAGACGGAGGGCCACAGCGGGGTCCGCTTCTTTCGATGACAAAGGAGCACACTATGATACATGCAATTCCTACACTTGGCGCCCCTACCACCGCCGCTATCTATTGCGCGGAGTAGGCAACTCAACAGGCATTTCTTCCAACTCGTCCTCCCACTCGTCCTCGTCGTCGCTACCCATGACACTGTTCCATACGCGGCCCCACATGCCCTTCTTCTGGAGCAGTGCCAGAACCATAACGACAGGCAGATGCCAGACGCTGGCCCAGAAGAGGCCCCTTGCTGAGCCCTTGTGGCCTTCGTACTTCCAGAACCGCACAGCCTCCCATAACAACCATCCGTTGACGGGCAAGCTTGTTACAGCAAAACTCCACTCCGTGACACCGGCAGCGCACAGTGCCACGCTGAGGGGGATGAAAGCAATGCTGTACCGGAGGGCCACGCGCGCGTTGCGAGCAGGGTTGGTCCACGAAAGCATCCTGAGTCCGGCCTTCTTGTACTCTTCCCTAATGGGCCATGACAGAGCCATGAAATGGGGAAACTGCCAGGCAAACAGGAGACCGGCCATGAGCCAGCCACCAATGGAGCTGCCGTCACTAGCAAGGAGCAGTTCCCGCCAGGATCCGTCGCCCGAGGCGGTTTCACCGGCAGCAGCCGCCCAGCCCATAAGCGGCGGAATTCCGCCATTAACTGCACCCAACCACGTGTTTGCAGCGCTCATGGCCTTCATCGGGGTATACATGCCGGCGTAGATGACGATATTGGCGCCTCCAAGAAATGCGACAGTCGGGTTAACGCCAAAATACAGCGCACCAACGCCGGTGGCGGCTGTGGCAATGGCAAACATGACGGCGGCCCTCTTGGAAAGCAGGCCTCTAACCAGAGGACGGTTCCTCGTGCGGGTCATCTTGGCATCAGTCGAATGCTCGTACAGCATGTTGAGAGAGTTGGCGGAAGCGGCGCACAGCGCGGTGCCGGTGGTCAAGAACAGAAGCGTCAGAGGGCTGAGCGAGGGCGACTCGGTGACTGCGGGGGAGAGGAAGGCGGGCACGGGGTATAGAGCGTAGGTGCCCATTGCCGTCAAGACGACGAGCGCCGACAGGCGGGGCTTCGAGAGGGATAAGAGAGTCGAGAAGATGCGGCGGGCGGAGTTGGCGGGCTGTCGTGCAGCAACGGTAGTAAGGGATGAGGAGGCATCTTGAGGAAGAGGAGCTTCAGAGGAGGGTGGAGCGGCGGCGGAAGCTTCGGCGTCGGCCTTACGTTTGGCGGCCTGGCGGCGACGATGTGGGAGATCGTGGTTTACGTCGATCGGCATCGTCTCGGAGCGGATGTTGGAGGAGGAGGTGGAGGCGGAGGAGGAGGATGATGATGATGATGAGGCAGACGAGGCTATCGAGGCAGAGGCGGAAGAGCTACGGCTCCCCGAGGGTCGAGGGCGAGCATTGGCGCGATCCAAGACGCCATTGGAGAGAAAGTAGCTTGTACTAAGACGCACGGCGGGCGCGGCCTTCGCTGCGGTGGTAGAGGCAGCTCGTCTCAAGACCAATGGCGACTGGATGATGCTCCTAGGGGAGCTTGTGGCCTGGAGGATACATTGGCGACACACATTATCGAGTAGGTAAGGGCGCAAGAACGTATTGGGAGCTGGCCGCATGGTTCTTGCTCTGCTCTGCGCTCATGTCGGCCTGGGCGAGGGGGAGAGAGGGTAAAAGAGTAGTCGGCAGCAGACAGTCGCTTTGTCTTTTCACTGACCCATGCAAGGTGCGTTCCTGTGTCGGGGATCGTATAAGAGGGTTTGCCACTGGTTGCAGAGACAGTGGCAGGCGACAGACGACGAATTGGTCGAGATGTCGAGACTGACGTTGAGCAAGAGAAATATCCAAGAAAGCCGCTGGCCGCGAGAGAATCAGGCGGGTTTGGAAACGGCCTTTGCGAATGGGCTGAGAAAATGTTTGACCAATCAAAAGGTGGCTGATGGAGAGCGAAAAGTGGCCCCACTTTCCCGGGGCTCTGATCTCGGCGATCGGCGGGCACTTAGTAAGATCCGACCCCGACCCCCGATCCTGCCCGTTCCGGTTACTCCTCGTGTTCATCTCAACAGGATGGTATCAAGATATAGCGACACATAACCAGCAACGAACGGTCCAAGTGTTTTACCTCTCTGCCTTGAGAAAAGAAAAGAATGCGGTTCAACACTACAGTTCGTGAGTAAAGAATAATTTCTGACCAGTACACTTAACCATCCTACTACCCTTAATTTCCCTATTTCTGTTGGTTTCCCATCAATTTCGGTCTTTTTGCCAGCTTATCTTGAACCTTGCCATCACTCCCATCGTTCTGCGTAGTGTCTAACTTGTTGCGCTTACGCTTCCCACCGGATGAGCGACTGTTTGTGTTCTCCTCGTTGTCCGACTCTGGCACCAACTCGTTTGAATCAGCTTGGCTTAAATCATCCTCTTCTCCGTTGTCCCGATATGTCGGGTCGTGCGGGAGGCCAGGACCTTTATGGGCTCTGCGTCTTCGTTTTCCCGCCTTCCCATTCATTTCGTCCTCATCCTCCACCTCGTTGACGTCTTCCTCTTCCTCCCCATCTCCTCCATCCGTGCCTTCATCATCATCTCTTTCAGAGATGTAGTCACTGTCGCTGCCATCTTCGCCATCTTCCATGCCAGGAGGCAGAGGGAGGCCCCAGTTATCGCTGTTTGAGTCATTATTCGGGTCATGCTGCCAATGATGCGTGGTCCGCGACGTGGGGCCATCCGTCGGACACATGGTCTTCTCCAGCTCAGGGTGTGCTGCGATAAAGGCATGCTTGAGCTGCGCGAACGTGTAATTTCTGCTTTTGCGAATCCATCCAACCCTGCTTGGTAGCAGTGGCTTCCCGTCGTCGGCATACTTGACTTGGCCTTCCTGTGGGGGTATTCGGCAGCTACGTTCCGGGTCCGAATGAGCCTATGGTTGCGTATTCTCAAGTCAGTCATCATCTCATCATCGAGTCAAGGGACTCAAGGTTGCCTTACGTTAACTTGAGTTTGCCTATCTGGATCATCCCTTCTGGGTGCTTTTCCACCTCTCTTTGGTGCCTTGCGGAAGCATCGTGAGCAGTACATGTCATCGTCCGGGACAAAGTCTGGATTTGGGGGTTTTTGGGCCTTTGCCTTCGCCTTTGGCTTTGGCTTAGGCTTTGGTTTTGGCTTTGGCTTTAAGGTCGTAGAAGATTTGGGAACGGTTCTTCCAAGTTTACTGCCCGACTGCCCAGCTGTGCTGCTTCCCTCTATTCCCTCATTATCTTGAGGAACCTCCGTCAGTAAATTCGTTTGGGGTTCCCTAGCTGGAGGACGCCTGAGCTCTGAGCAGTCGACAAGTTCTGGTCTCATCCTTGAGCCTCCTTGAAGAGAGGCATCCTCTTGATTAGCTTCCGGACAAGACCTGGAAGGTTGACCAGCAGCATCACTGGCTCGGTTAGCACCTGTGGGCTGTTTAGCCATAGCCGTTGACCCGTTTTGATCAGACATCCCATAGGCGCCAGAACGGATCATACCCGGGATAGGCTGCTTCCCCTCTTTGATTCTCTGTCGCATCCGATTCTCTAATCCACCCACTATATCGGCATTGTCCTGTCGAACGCGAGTTTCGAAATCCTCGGAAGAATGAGCCTTCTCCATATGATCATTCCATTGCTGCTGGCTCATGAAGCCTACCATGGCTCCGCATTTTTCAAAGTGCGGGCACCGCTTGTCACGCCTGTCCAAGGCGCTCTCGTTGTCTGGGTCCCATAGGCTATGGCCTGGATGAAAAGGTGCTTGGTCTACAACGGGCGGAGGTACCATTTTCTCAGCCAGAATGTCCCACAGCTGATAGACATGGCATTCCATGTGCGCCACCTGATATTTCCGCTCTTCCCATTCTCCAAGTTCAGGTTGTGCCTCACGCTCGTCCTGGGGCCTACGGAATAGCAGGTCGCAAAGGGGGCATTGTTTCTGGGGTATACCGCTGTGTCTGGTTTCAAAGTGTGCCAAAACCTCTGACGGCGTGAGTCCAAAAAGGGGTTCACGACAACCGTTAACATTACACTTAGACGGAGGGTCTTGAACGGGAGTTGGGCCGGGTTTGTCGTGCCACAGCAGAGGATGAGTCAAGTATCGAGAAGGGCCGCGGGGATGCTGCTGTTTTCTAATCAAACTTCTGGTGGTATTTTCGCCGACGTATAATGGATCTACAGGTAGGTCCCTGTCCTTCCAGTAACTTTGGGGGTAGATGTCAAATGGCGTGATGTTTGGAGGTTTCTTGGCGTTGCAGCTGGTAATGTGCTCCTTGATATCATTTATTGGCGCCTGCACGCCATCCTTGACAAAACTGATTTGGCAGTATGGACAAAAGCAGCCCAGGTCTCCAAAGAAGCCTCCACAGTGTTTCCGGTGCCGGTCAATGTCATCGTCCGCAAGACTCCTTAGGGAGAAACCGCACTTGGCACAATGTGGCTTCTTGGAGTGAGATGTCCCCTTGCACCGATGTGGAAACTCGTCATATGGTGCCAGTTCATCTGCATCGTGCTTGCTGTTCCATACATTATCACCACACATTTCGCAGAACGTACAGCGCCCTGCTCCGTCCGCGAGGGGAACACAGAGGCGATCATGATGCTCACGCTCCAACTTATTTCTGAGCGCGTGATGATCACGACCACAGCGATCACAGAAACGATACTCGGACTCCTTGCCGTTGGCCTTGGTTGGCGGGCTCAGTCTAGGAAGCGGTCCGGCTACAGGCCTGGACCGTTCCATGATCCTAAATCCGGATAGGCTTGCCGATGAAGGAATCTCCGTTTCGTGGTTTCCACGTGCATTTCGAGCCCGTGCTAATGATACGGGATGGTGTCTTGCAGAAACAGCAGAATGGGATACATCTGGTGCCTCTATAACCTTTCGGAACTCATCTGCGTGCGCAACCTTGAAATGGTCGTTCTTTTGCTTTTGAGACCAGTGGAGGAAAAGCTGAACATCACACCAAGGACACTTTGCTCCAATGTGGGCCTCTTTCAGATGCTTTAGAAGCTCTTCTTCCTTGTTCAGGCGGCAGATGAAGTCGCACTTCTCGTAGGGACACTTGTTGAGACGGTCGAGAACCATGCCGCGAACTGTCCAAAGGTCGTCTTGTAGCTTTCGCTGTTCTGTCACTGTAAGCACGTTTTTGACCACCATGGGCATCCGGCTTCCTCCGATCCTCATGACTTGTTCAATCGGCGGTGCGTTAATGGGAATGCCAGGGTTAAATATTCCCTTGTCAAAAACACTAGGTTGCTTTTCCCAGGTCTTTTCGCGTGGCTCCTGGCAACTCTCCCGCGTCCCTTTTGATTTCGGCCGCCTCTCAGTATTTGGAGGCTTGGGAAAGTGATTGCTAGGTTGTATGAGCAACGGTACGCCTAGTTCTGGGCAGAAACGGGCCACCTCTCCATAACGAGGTCCCCACGGAGACTTGTCCAACTGTTTGACTGTGTTCCCTTTCGTTAGCAACATTCATCAGCTCTGTCGAGGAGCGGCTTTGCTTACCGAAGTCGGAGGCGTCATCTTTTAGAATGGTGATACGCACTTCTTGTGCAACGATAAGGCGTCGTATCATGGCTAACTCACCATCGGGGGCATTCGCTCTTAGGACAAATTGAGGTTTATGCCAGCTGCTAGAAGCTTCCTTTGATACAGAAGGCTCAATAAGAATAGAGTCATTCTCGGGGTCATACTTGATATCAGGGTTGCCTTCATACAGCTTTCGAACTTTGGACTTGAAGACTTCCATCCTGTGTGAATCTGCGCTGAATTCTTGGTGTTCACTTCGGCCATCCGTAGTGAGGAGTTTGCAAGGTTGGTGTCCATCGATTGGCTGGATAACGAAAAACCGACACGGCTCATTCAAGTCACCAACTGAATGCGCAATGAGTTTCGAGAGGGCCCTCTGGTCTTGTTCGCCACTGTTCGGACTTCGATGATTCCATCGAACTGGTTTGTGTTCTCCCGCAGGGTACAAAATGGAAGCGTTGAAGAAGTCCGATCCACGCCAGATACGATAGTGCGAGGGATTTACAGGCATGTTTGCGGACTTTGTTAACATCTCAACTGTCTTGAGAGCGCTTTGGTAGGGTTTCTCGGCGCTTTTTTGGCGATAAACTTGTCGATTTCGTAGGGTGGAGGGCGTGCTAAGACTCCCGGGCAGGTAAAAGATGACCGAGTCTTCTTCCAAGGAGTGCATATGAACAGACAGTGACTTTCCCTTGCTAACAGATGGGTGCAATAGGTTCCAGAGTCTGTGGTCTATCTCGAGACCTCCGTACCATTGTCTTGCATAATCTTTGATAGGACTGGCATCGCTGGATATGACAACGTCATAGTGACCACTTCCAGGGTTGTCTGGTCGACCTACAAGGACCTGCTGGGCGGTAGTGAGGAATGGCATGTACTGGTTGGCACCCCAAGGTCTTCGAGATGGCCATTTGTGTCCCTGCAGTTTCTCTCCGCAAAACGCGTAGTGAGGAGGCATCTTGAAGTACGCAACATCTTCGTAGCCCTCGCTACTGATATGGCTTAGTCTCACCAAAGTGATCAAAAAGCTACTCTTAGCAGGCTCCCACTCAGTAGGGGTGACTTCCCCCTGGCGGTGAACGAACCACACACACTCCGTGGTTGACTCGGAATTCTGGACCAGATACTGGGCGGCATCACTGTTATGGTCGAGGGGGATGCCAGCGTTGAAAGACCGCAAAACTTTCCTGGTTTTTTGGTCAATTTGAACAAGAACCATATCGCTCTGGTCGTGGCTTTTCAGCGAAAGGAGCTTTTTGACAGCCCCTTCAAACGTGTGCAGATTGCCAGGATCAAACTTGACTCGGCCCTGGAAGCCGAACAAGGGAACAAAATCAGCGCCTTGAGAACAAGAAGCAGATTTCTTTCCCGTCTCACTACCTCCAAACGGCATCTTATCGGAGCTGTCGCGAGGGCGGACGTGTGGTGGAAATCTCCGTCGAGAAACGGACGTATTGTGTCTGCCACTGATACTCGTATCGATGGTAGAAGCAGGTCGATTACCATGCTTGCGGAAGGCCCCTCCAGTAGGATTGTCATGACTATGTGGCACAGACGTTGGCACCATGGCGGTTGGCTTGCTTCCAGCTTTGAGTGAAGTCTTGCCAATGACATCTCTTGACCAATTTGTAGTGGGTAATGCACTTGAAGGAGCATTGGTACTGGGCTTAGTCGAAGCACCAGCAGTTGCTTGGAAGCATTTGGTTGAAACTGGAAATTTGGTCACAGAACTATCGTTTGCGTTTGTCTCATGACCAGGAGGGGCGGCCTGGCTGGCGCTGGTAGTTGTATCTGAAGGATGTCCACTGCCCGGTTCCGCATTGCGCTGCGTCTGGTATACCGGCTCTGGCATATCCTCATCATCATCATTATCGTCGTCGTCGTCGTCTTCAAGACCGCCACCGCGGAGACTCAAGCTATGAGACTGGGAAGCTTGAGGGAGCTGGGATGCCGGTACGGGAATGGTACTATAATGGGATTCCGTTCCTGCAAATTAGAGGTTAACAGCTTGCCAGGCTCCAAATAGATGGTTTCAAACCTCTCATATGATCATGGCCATAGTTCCGCTGATCGTGAGCTGTAAGGAAATGCAGCGGCGGTTGTACTTCAACTTCGCGGAGCTCGTCCCAGTCATCAACATCAAACTTTGGCTTAGAATGGTCAACAAGATGAGCCAAGACCGGCTCAACAGGTAGTCCAAAGTAAAGCATGGTGAACTTTGCGGCTAGAGACGGACTGCAATCTTTCATTCTACCGTTGAGAAGACCGTGGTAGCGCCTGGTGTTGTCCTCTTGGCAATCCCTCAAACTGCGAGGTTCTGTTGCAGGCAACAGAAGTTTTCTTTCATGCGGTGTGAAGTAACTATCCAGGATTTGTTCAATATGGACATCCGGTTGAGAAAGCAAGCCTCTGAAAATTCTTTCAGTCGTTATCCAGGCTTCATCAGTCAGCCTGATGAGAGGGTTGTACCGTTTCTTGGGCTCGATTGCATATTGCGACAGGATTGGCATGGCGCAAAGGAAGACAAGGCAGATTGACTTAAAGACAGGTAAAGAGTGTAAAGCAAAATTGAAGATGGAGGGAAGAAAGACGACTGATGTGTGCTGCGTTGCCACGAGGTACTAAGAACGACGAGGATATATTAACAAAATGACTAGAAGGAAACACGACCAAGTCCAAATGACCAGATCTAGGGATGCTGGCCGCCTTTGAAAAAGGTCATATGGTAATGCAAATTGAGATATTTTCAGAGCGCGCCTGCCATTGTTCCCTAGTGAGATAGGTGACACGAAAGTAGCTGCTGTATGAAGGGAGACATGGAACTCAAGCTTTAGGTACGCAGTGGTTACAAATTTTGAGATTAAGCAGCGTGAATTGCCTACATATCGTCGGCAGACGTTGCTACTATGAAGACCTATACAGCGGCATAGAAGCATCGGCGAGCTCGATGCTGGCCTGTAATACCGCTCTTTTGCAGATTGACCCCGTGGCTTTTATGGTAAGGAGCAATGCAGGCTGGTGCTAGGAAAAAGAAGAGTGTCGATCAAGAGGACAGACCAAACGGTGATTGAGACAACAGGCATTGCCAACTATCCGTGGAAATAGCCATGATGAGAGACTGGAATTTGGCAAGATATGTTTGTGGTTCTGATACTATTGTCTTGTGAAGACACCACATGGTGTCGATGGTTGTACGTTGGACACAATCAAGCACTGGACAAAGACGTGGAGGCAACATTGTTTTTTTGACCGGAAGCGTCTTCGAACAATCAACGGATATTATTCCATGAATGAGAGTGGAAATGGAACAGTAAACGAGAAACAGGACCGAGTGTATGATATTGTCGCTGTTAAAGAGTAGAGTGAGGGCGGCGTATGTTATTGACTTGGACTTGTGTTTTCTGTCTTGAGGAACACCTACAATTGCATTGAGGGTACGTGTTTCCCAGTGGGCTGCACCAAGTAACAGTGCCATTGCAAGGTGCTAATCAGAATTCGTACGCTGCGCTTCCGCTTGCCCAACTCATTGATCAAGAGCATCCGCACTCCATAAGTGCCACCCCAACAAACGGACCGGAAACTGCCCGTGCCACTGCCTTGTCTGGAGTTGTTTACTTTCAATCAGCTAGTTCAGTGTGTCGGATTCGCTTTTGTTTTGCTCTGGTTTTGGAAAGACTATCGTAGCTTTACCAAGTTCCCCGCCGATTCGTTAAACTCCTACAGGTGTCAACCTGAAGAGCTTCTATTTAGTGACCTTTACTAGCGTATTTGGTAAGTAAGTACTCCGTACAAGTGTCGGGGTTAATGTGGTGCATTGCCAAAGACTCCGCATCACCAAAGGTGAGTGAGATCCGGTGACGGAGGGGAAACCTTGCGGGGACCCCACATGTATGCCGAAACCCACAGTTTCTCTTCATGAACAATAGAAGCCCAATTGACAACTGTACGATCTGTAACCGGTTTCCCTAGGCCGGCGGGCTGGGCAGCAGAAGTCTCTGGAGGTCATGCGTTGCTGCGCTTACGTTTCCCTTCCCGAGGACTCGCCCAGAGAAACCTTTTCCTGTTCGTATATACATGACTGGCCTACCCGTCTTTGGAGGCACGGGTTAGTACTGGTTAACAAAGTCGTCTGACAGCAACCCAAAGAGGTGCGGGGTTCTGGGCCCAGCCAGCAAAACCACCTCAAGGTTAGTGTTCTGGCCTCTGGTCGACGCATACCTGGTATCCATAGCCGCCGTTGTTGAGAGAGTATTTCTGCAACCTCTCATCCCATCTATCTTGTTGCTGTGTCTACAACTTCAGCGTCAGACATCCATACCTTACCTAGCTGTTGAACCTGAATTGAAATATTTTGTTTGCTAAAGATTAGCTTTGTGGAAACCTTTTTACTTTCTTTCTCCAGTACATTGTACATTCATCTTCATTCCCAATCCACCATTATGGCTTCGCAATCCGACTCCTTATTGAACAGACTGAGGTCTGTGAGCCAGGTTGACTGCGACACTCTTGATGTTGAAGGTAGCTTTTTCCTTTCTTGACAACTTATGTCTCCGAATGCCTTTCGCAATGAGATGCTAACCACGATATAGTTGCCAAGGCATTGGGCCCCTTTGTGGACTGCACTTCCAACCAAGCCATCGCGTATAATGAGCTTACCAAAACCACACCTGACGGGAAGCTTTATCATGAGCAGCTTATTCGTGATGCCGTGAAGGATGCACAGAGCTGGGCCCGGACAGCATGGCCAGACATTGACCCAATTCTTTTAGCCGTGGAAATTATGGTATGTGTTAGGATACGAACAGATGTCCGTTCGGTTTCGCTGATGTGTCCATAGATGGTCAGGCTGTCAATACAATTTGCCCCGTTCTTGACAGGTAACTTTCTTGTTCAGACCAATACCAAGTGGTCTTACTCGATCGAGAAAACCCGTTACAATGGCGAGCGTGAGTTCACCCCTTCAGTCGAGGCATATGAATGCTTGACTTGGTCATGGCTGACTTTTGGATATAGGGATCGTCGAAATCTTCAAGAAGCTTGATCCCAATTTCGACGTCAAACGAGTGTGCATCAAGATCCCTTCCACTTGGGAGGGAATTGCTGCCTGCAGAATTCTTGAGCAAAAAGGAATCAGTACTTTGGCAACGACAATGTTCTGCATGGAACAGGCGGCCCTTGCCGCTGACGCCGGGTGTGCCTACATAGCCCCCTATGTGAATGAGCTCAAGGCTCATTTTGTCCCCGGGTGAGTTGAGTTTGGACATGCGCCGGTCAAACCTCCTTCGCAAGAAAGTACGTGTACTGACCTACTTGATGTTCAGTTATGTAGATCAGCACAAAGCCTTCGACTTCTGCAGACAAGCCCAGGCATACTACATTGAGAAAAAGGCAAAGACGCAGGTGATGGCTGCCAGTTTGACTTCCGTCGCCGAAGTCGTTCGACTTGCTGGAATCCAACACGTGACTGTATCACCGCATTTGCTCCAAGGCCTCGCCACGCAACCCGCCTCAACATGGCCGGAGGAGATCGGCGGTTATTTTGCGGCTGGTCCTGACAAGGCATGGGATGCTGATTTTGGAGCTGCACTTCAGGACGAGAGCGAGTGGCGCATTGCATTCACACGCAGCGGCAACGGCAAGTTTGAAGAAAAGCTCATCCAAGCTATCAACATCTTCTCGGACAAGCAGGATAGTCTTGAGGAGCTTGCCCGTCGTTTCCTGTAATTCAATGCTGTCGTTGTCGGCATGTCGAGAATGATAGCTGTTCTTGCGGGTTAGAATTGTACCCAATATGAAAGACTCAGATAGCCCGGGTCTACTTGGCACATATACATCTTTGATTCATGCTTTGATTCATCCTGGCCAGGCAAAAGTTATGGGCCGCAGGTATTTGCCTCCTCCATGGCATTTGAAGACACAAACAGCCCCGGTTCAGCCCTCTCCTCCCAGAAGCAATCCAGGTGTCCTACATACCACAATCTGTCCATCAGCCCGAGAACGCCACCATCCCCCGCATTGTTCGCTTCAGCACAAGAAGTATGCAGGATGATAAGAGCTCGGCTACGATTGGCCTACACCGCTCATGCTACTTGGACCCCCTGTCTTTTGATAAAATATCCTGATAACCCTTGCCTCGTTATCAGTGAACTCGTTGCCCACGCTTCGTATCTTCCCTCATTAACCCAGCAAGAGATAGGTGTCCGTAGAAAACTTGCCATTGCCGAGCTGAAAGCTGTCGATTATGTGGCCATGTTACTTTCCGCAGACTGCAGCCCTGTTCGAGCCAATCCCACACAGGTAGGTCTGTCGGGGAAAAAAAAAGGATCGCTGCAGAGGGGGTTACATCGTACTGAGCTGGCTGTTTGCGGACTACATAGAGTCGGGCATGTCTCATTTTTTTCTAAGAGACGCCACACAGTTCAGCAGCATTGTAGGTGGTGTTTAACGTCGTGTTGCTTTTCGGCCCCGGATCTGCCACCTCCCCCGGACTTTGTTTTGTAATCCGTCGAGACTTTTTGTTGTCTATATTTCCTTTCTTTCTTTGCTCGGTCACATTACGGATTTGGATCTGTAACAATTGGATCGACAAATATTCGACAGCACGCTGGTGCAATTCGGCGGCAAAATCGTTACTCACAATGCGGGGTTATAGCAAAGAGGAGGCCAAGCGACGATGCACTTCGGTGCAAGCCTGGGAGCTCCCCAAGCATCCCAGCGCTATTGCTCCTGATGGCGTCTGGGTAAGAGTTTTTTTATCCAGTCGGCGAGCAAAGTAGAAAGTGATAGCAACTGACCACATATGTAGACAAACTCGGACATGGACCCAGTTCCCCTTGAGCAACAGACATGGAGCATATGGACCATTCTGGCTTACTGGAGTTCGGACTTGATGAACTTGTCAACTTTGCAGACAGCAGGAAGTATCTTAGCAGTCGGATTAAGTTGGAGAGAGTGAGTTGCGACGAGGTCTCACGGGGTTGGCGATAAGTGTACTCACACGACCTAGGGCAATACCTGCCATGGCTGTGGGAACCCTTGCCATTGCAGTGGCCATGGTTCTCAACGGTGCGATTGGTAGCAGACTACACGTCCCGTTTTCAGTCATAGCAGCAGGGAGCTTTGGCTTCTACTTTCGATACTTCGCCATCGTCAGCCGAGCCATCTTAGCCATGTTCTGGTTCGGGGTTCAATGTGCAAATGGCTCATTCTGTCTCACCATCATGTTGAGCGCAATTGCGCCTTCTTATGGAAGAATCCCGAATAGACTGCCCGAATCAGCAGGCATCACATCCATGGGGATGTGTTCGTGAGTTCACTCGGTCATTTTGCATTTCCCAGAGCCCGCCGCTAACCTGCTCATCCAGGTTCTTTCTGTTCTGGCTTCTCCAGCTTCCTCTGTTGCTCATTCACCCAACCAAACTTCGGCCTTTATTCTATGTAAAACTTATCGCCACGCCTGCTGTAGTCCTTGGCACAATGGGGTGGGCAGTAAAGAAGGCTGGCGGTGGTGGAGATATCTTCAAGTTGCAGCCCGAAGTCCCTTCGGGGACACCACAATATGCCTGGCTGTGGCTGTCCTGCATGTCGAGTGTCACAGGCCAGTGGGCGACGATGGGGGTTAACATCCCCGACTTTCTGCGTTATGCCAAGAGTCCCAACGGCCAGCTGGTGCAGCTGCCCTTCGTCCCGATGGTGTTTACGATTTGTGGCACATTGGGTATCATCACAACTTCAGCCACCAAGGTTTTTGTGGGCGAGTACCTTTGGAACCCCCTAGATATCGTCAGTCTATGGCTCGCAAACGGATCTGGTGGGCGTTGCGCTGCCTTCTTTGCAGCGCTTGCCTGGTTTATCGCCACTGTCGGCACCAACATCACGGCAAACTCGATTAGTGCCGCTAATGACCTGACAGTAATGTTCCCCCGTTACTTGAATATCAAGAGGGGATGCATCGTCGCAGCCGTTATTGGAGGATGGGTGCTGGTACCGTGGAAGATTCTCAGTTCCGCGCAGACCTTTCTTAACTTCATGGGCGCCTATGCCGTGTTCCTCGCTCCCATCAGTGGCATTATGGCGGCAGACTTTTGGATTGTCAAGAAGCAGCGCTACGACCTGCCTGGTGAGTACAGTCTTAATGATGTCGGCTTTGTCATATTTTATCATGTTTCTGCTTTTGTAATACCGAGACTAACAGCTCTGCCAGCACTGTACGATCCTCATGGGCGTTATCGGTACGTCGCTGGATGTAATTGGCGAGCATTTGTGGCATTTATAGTGCCTGTAGGCCCTTCACTACCCGGGATGGCGCTGGCCATCAGTGGGTACCCGGCGGTCAAGATCTCTGAAGGCGCGAAACATCTGTATAGCTTCGACTGGCTCTTTGGTTTTGTGGTATCGATCTTCTTATACACGGCTCTTAGCTGGCTCGTGCCGGCCCAGGAATCTCTGGTGCCACAGACGATTTGGGTAAGGGAAAACATGGGCATCGAGGGTACAGCTCAAGGCAGTGACGTCGAAAACCCCAATTTCCCTGAAAAGGTGCGAACGACGTCTCAGGATACTCATCGAAGGCCCGATTCCAAGGTACTTTGACGTGTGGCATGTCTGAGCTTGGTTGGATAAGGCGTGATAGAAAAGGAATACACTCCTCTCAAAGGATCATGTGTGGGTATGATGCTGGACTGAGTAATCCCTAGAGACTGTAGGGTGGTTATGTCTTCACCGAGGTACATCGGTATTGGCAGGTAGCTATCCACGGTGATATGCCAGTCAAAGCTGAACCTTTTGGCACATTTAGTCGGCGAGGAATCAGGACCAAAATGCCGGGTGGTGGGTTTGATTAGAGTTGTGGAGCACCATCAGAGTTGCCCAGAGCCAATACCATGTTTCATGGTCTTTGACCATTACTAAGAGTTAACAATGGCCGGTTCCAATAAGCCGGCGACTTGCAAGGCCCGAGATGAGCGTTGAGACAATAAAACCGCGGGGCTGTAAACGGTCTTCGGGGACCACGTGGGCGGCTTTGCGGCAATCATCGGCGTTCTCGGCCGTCTAGTGTAGCAGCTCAGTCTTGTGATGACGCAAAGAGAGAGATCAGTTGCGAGTTTATTGTCGGTCTAGGCCATAGAAACAGCCAATGGAATTTATTTTGAACTGCGAAGTACGATATGTTGAGCTGACTGCCGGGCTGGCCCCCTCTCAATAATTTTGAAGTCTGAAAAGACAACAGCGCTGAACACAAATGTCCAGTGTCTCTATCCGCATCTGGACAGCTCCCCCAAAAAGCGGACCCACCCCCTCGGGCTTCCCACCTGACCACGGACCCACTAAGTGGTCGAATTGCACAAACCTACGCACAAGCCATCTGCATAACTTATCCGTTTAATGCAGACCGCTTGATTTGTGAAAAACCCATTCCCCCCCACCCTCAGACTTTTCTCTCTCCCTCCTAGAGCAATCACGCCATCGCCCTTGTCAGTCACATCATTGTCCAAGCTCCACACCAGAGCCGCGCTCTCGACGTCCTCATCCCCCAAAGAAGCCCATCTCGGCCATTCACCTTGCGAATACTCCAAATGCAAGCGCCGCGGCGTCTGTTTAGCGAGCTTTTTCAGCTCTCAATCCGGCGGCCCGTCCCTCCTCGACTGGCACACGCCCCTGTTGCCCTTCGTGGGAGTGGCCCTGCTTCTCCTTCTCCTCCGACACGCCATCTCCTACACGCCTCTGCTTGCTCCAGGCACACCCAGCCGACATCCGCCTCCTCGACATCCTCCGCTAGAGGTGCTGGTCGTGGGGACCAGGAACAACAGCATTCTTACAATGATGGACGGTCTGGGAACCGACCCCCACGCCGTAGGGCCCCGGCTACCGTCCGGACTCTGCTCGCTAGTGGCGGGCTGCTTTCTCTCTTCATTGGCCTCTCGGAGCCCTTCCATGTTCCCCAAACAGATGATGTTGACGCTTCCGGCCCGGCATCCTCGACCGACGACCGCGACCCGTCCCTCCCTCGCTTTCGGCTGACCGAGGTCCGCAAGCACGACGCCAAGTCTGGCGCCCCGTGGGTTACACAAGGCGACAAGGTCTACGACATAACGGACTGGGTTGGTGCTCACCCGGGAGGTGATGTCATTCTACGTGCTGCTGGAGGTAGCATTGACCCTTACTGGAATATCTTCACCATCCATAAGTCGCCCCATGTATACGAGATTTTGAACCAGTACCTGATTGGCTTCATCGACGCGGCGGATCTCGTTGATGGCAAACCTGCTGCTCAGGAGATCGAGGATCCCTTTAAGCACGACCCAAGCCGTGATCCGAGACTCATCACATTGACTCCTAAGCCTCGCAATGCGGAAACTCCCTTGGAGGGGCTGGCCGACAGCTACATTACCCCTAATGAACTCTTCTACGTGCGTAACCACATGTGGGTTCCACAAGTAGATGACACCTCGGACTACACCCTAAAGATTGAATTGCTCGATGGAACTATCAAGGAGTACACTCTCGACGATCTCAAGACCAAGTTCAAACCCTCAACTATTGTGGCTGTACTCCAATGTTCTGGTAACCGCCGAAGTGACATGACGCGCAATGCGCGAAAGACAAACGGCCTTCAGTGGAATGTGGGTGCCATCTCCTGTGCTGAATGGCAGGGCGTAAAGCTCTCGGATGTGCTCGCCGACGCTGGTGTCCCGGTCCAGCAAGCAATGACCGGCGAAACGGAAGCTAAGCATGTTCAATTTTCGGCCCTTGAGGCCTATGGTGCATCGATTCCAATCGAATCCGCCCTGGATCCCCGTGGTGATGTACTTCTCGCCTACTCAATGAACGGCAAGCCGTTGCCAAGAGACCACGGATTTCCGCTCCGTGCACTTGTTCCTGGCCATGTCGCTGCTCGATCTGTCAAGTGGTTGAGCCAAATCACTTTGTCGGATGAGGAGAGCCACAGTCAATGGCAACGCAAGGACTACAAGTGTTTCGGCCCCAATGAAACGAAGCCCGACTGGGATAGCGCGGCAGCCATCCAGGAAATGCCCATCACTAGTGCCATCACAACTGTGAGGTTGGGTGATTGGACAAGCGACGCCGAGGGTTCGTCAGAAGAACGGCAGGTATCTAGCGGTCGCCAGGCCTCGCTCAAGGGATATGCCTACTCTGGCGGAGGCCGCAAGATCGTGCGAGTTGACGTGAGTCTCGACAACGGCAAGACATGGGACCAGGCCGAGCTGCTCGAAGAACCTGGAGCCCCGCCCAAAGCCGGTCACAAGTCATGGGCATGGAAGCGCTGGCGGTACGATGGGGTCATGCCCGTTGGTGCGGCCGGTGAGGACGGCAAGACGTGCACCACCATGCTCGTTAAAGCCACGGACGAGGCCTACAACTCCCAGCCAGAGAGCTACGACGCCATTTTCAACCAGCGGGGCAACCTGGCCAACGCCTGGCACCGTCTTCAAGTCTGCACCGACTGTAATAAGAAGACTAGAGTTGCCGCTACCCAGTAACTAACAAATGAAGAGGAGGAAATTTGAGAAAAGAGAGAAAAGAAAAAGAAAAAAAAAACACCTTTGAAAGTTGACAGAGGTGGGTGAGAGAGAAGACCGATACGTGGGCGGGCATATTTTTTTTCCTCGTGTAAAGCGACAGACAGCGCATTCAGGAGTCATGAAGCGAAAGCCGGCTAGTCCTTTTTTTTTTTTTTTCTTTCTTCTTAGTTTGATATCCACAGTTGTGTCCTACACTACGTAGTGGACTTTGCATTATTCAGCTTCATTTCATAACCAGGCAGTCAGTTGTACGTAGAATGGAGAAGAGACGGCATATTTGAAATCGCAACTGAAGGATTCAATTGTTACGGTGCAGCACAGCCCGACAAGTCTTCGTGTCCTCGACTGCCCTCTGTAACGTGACTAATGGGCCGATAGTCTTAAGCCCTCCGCCATCTATTCTTTAGAAACCATCCCTGACATAGAAATACATGGCTCATGCGCCTAGCTAGAAATCTAGTCTTCATCCTCCTCCTCGTTGTCGGTGAAGTACTCAAACTCACCGGGCACAGTCGCCTCCTCATCTCCCTCTCCGTCCTCATCAACAGCGGTGAGAACACCCGCAGCAGCCGCAGCACCGCTTTCATCGCTCGCGCCGGCGAGGTCACCTCTCCTCTGGCGGCCGAGCAACTCGCTCAGCTCGTTAAGCGAGCGGAGGTCACCACCAGCGCCAGCTCTAAGGGCCTGAGAAATGATGTTCTGCTGCTGCCGAGGCGTCAGACCCGCCGATGAGCCACCAGCGTTACTTTGGCCGGCGACGGGAGCCTTCTCTGTCGTCACCTTCTTCAGCTTCTCCTCCATAAGTGACTTCTCTTCGTCAGGCTGGGTGTCTTGCAACAAAAGAGGTCCTCCGGTGGGCTATTCTTAGTTAGTACAACACTTTGTGGATTAGGATGGGACATCACTTTACCTTCTTGACCGGCTTATAACGACCAGCAGGGAAGCTGATGAACTTGAGCTGTCCGGGAAGCACCCGCGACATGTTTTCCATGTCGTAGCCGACCTTCTCCTTCTCTGCCTTCTTCTTTGTGTCAGCCGGGGGGGCGGAAGCCTCCTTCTCAACGGCATCGCCTTCCTTCTTGTCTTTACTCTCGTCTTTCTTCTCGTCAACCTCCATCTTATCGGAGACAGTTGGCTTCGCAGACGAGTCGATGTCCATGCTCTCACGTCGCTGAGCACGCTCCTTCTTCTGAGCTCTTCGCTTGGCCTGCGCAGTAGTGGAAAGGATAGCGGTGGCAACCATAGTGGGCCCCTCCTCGGCCTTGACCTCCTGCTCGGGGGGGTAGTCGAAGAGGCTGGGGCGGGTGGCGCAGTGGAACTTGAAGCTGGGGATCTCAAGATCGTGATCCAGGCCAATGATGGAAGTGGGAGAGAATGCCAGCGAGAGGAAGTGGGTGAAGGGGAACCAGTACCAGTACTGAGTAAAGACTGCCATACCAACAATGCCGGCCATGTTAAGGTTACCAGTCTGGGTCTGGAGACCAATGGTGCAGTTGCGGCCACCAGCATCGATGATACCCAAGGCAAGAGAAGCACCGAACTTGGTCATGGCATCCTCGTGGCGGTCACCCACAACCTTCTTCAGGGTCTTGCGGATGGATGCGGCCTTGGGGTTCATGACCTCGTTCTGCTGGATCATGATCATGGCCAGAGCAATGTGGGCACCCTGGCGGACAAAGTCGGTGGGGTCCTTCATCATTGGCTCCAGCAGGTCAATCGCTTCGTCAAGACCAGTTCCGGCGCATGAAATACCCAAAGCCATGGCGGAGCCGTATCGAACATGAGGGTTGTATGACTCGGACAAGAGCTCGACCATGCGAGGCACGCTGCCGGGTTTGCGGAATAGAATGAAGCCCAAGCTCATGACAGCAATACGACGGACATCATCGTTGACATCGCTAACAGCAATGTGCAACAGCTTGCGAATGGCCTTGTTGCTGCCAGTGCCGCAGTAAGCAAGAGCAACGGTCATGATACCGCCGTACCTCAGAGTCGGGTCGGGGTCGTTGAGAAGACCTTCAATCATTGCATCGGCACCCTCCTGACGACCATACATGATCAGGGCCATACCGATCGCCAAACCACGGACAATCTTCTCGTGGGTGGTCTCGTGGGCGTAGGTGATCATGTCTTCCAGCGCTCGCACGTTGCCTGTGCCAAGCATGATAAGACCCATGGCAAGACCGACAGCTTCACCGTTCAAGGCGGAGTCAGTGAAGAGGACGGTTCGGAGGTTGTCAAAGATCTCTTCGGAGCCAGTACCCATGCCTGCAATACCAAGACCCAGAGCACCACCGTGCTGGATGACCTCCTCCTCAGCGGACGTAAATTGAGTCTTGAGATACTCAAGAGCATCAGCGCCGTGGTTAGCATGAATCAGACCATAGGCGTAAAGGGCACCGCCCTGGCTGAAGATTGAGCCACTGCTCAAGCCGCTTTGACGAGGCAGATACGGCTCGAGAAGCTTTCGGGACTGCGTCAGGTTACCGCGGTGGATGACTCCGAGAGCGGCCGTCGCGGTGAACTTGGACCAGTTGACCGCCTTTCCGAGCCACTCAAGGTTATCGCGGAAGAACTTGTCGTTAGTTGTGCCCTGGTTCATGAAGGCGTTGCAGAAGGTAACAGCAGTGTGGAAGATGGAGTTACGGCCCTCCAGACTGTCGCGGACCTTGTTCAGGATACTCAAATCGGTGCGGTTATTCCTGTAGAGGAACTCGAGGTTCAGCTGGATGGTCTTGCTGCCATCCAAGATGGAGCGGATGTTCTTGTAGACCTTGGCCAACTCGTCCGAAACCTCCTCTTCAGACGACTGCTGGTTCTCGAGCAGAGGTTCTTCCTCAGTGGTCTCACTTTCTTGGGCCTTGGCAGGCTCGCCAGAAGGCAGGGAGTTGATGATCTTGCCCAAAAACTCCTGGGTTCCGTTGTCGTACAGGTCGAAAGCGATCTGGTATGCGTTGGCGATTGAGTTGCGGTCGCCGTTCTCGATGAGTTGCCGAAGCATGCGCGAAGCCTCTTCATCGGAGCTTAGATAAACGACGCACTTGGCGATGGCGAAGTAGTCGGGGTTGGGGATTTCGTTGAGGAGATCAAGAATCAGGCGTAGGATCTCGGTACGGAAGCTTCGTTCTTGAACAATGTCCATGCAGATACTCAAGGCGTACTCCATGAGCTCTTCGGCGGGACCTTGGCCGTCAGATGACTTGCTCTTAGACCGCTTCTCATCCTCACTGGCTCGCTTGATGACGCGGCGAAGGACCTCCAAGTTCTTGGCCTCGACGGCAATGCCGACGACCTGGCGATATCTGCCATCCTTTAAGCAAGCCTCGAACAGACGCTCAATTACGCGTTGGAGGGCAAGCTGTGTTGCTTGATCGTTGATGGGAGCAATAGACCCAGAACGGCCCTCCTTGACTGGTTGGAATGTAGGATCGAGGATGGTGTTGTCGGTTGAGACTCGGGAGAGGAGCGACTTGGAGGGGAGGGTCGTCTGGGAAAAGGGCGTCGTGGGCGAGATCAGAGCTGAACCGTCAGCAGCACCACTGGCAAAAGTGGTCGCGAGAGCGGGCAGGGAGTTATCGTTCTTGGGCGACTTGGGAACGGTGTGCTGGGCGGAAGAGGCGGCAATGTATTGGTCGATGCACTTGGAAATGATGGTTTCCTCGAACTCGCCGGGGGCGTCAAGCTTGAAGAGATCTCCAGCGGCCAGCGCAAAGGTCATGCTCTCATTGTAGGCCTGGAGATGGTAGTAGACCTTGGCAAGAACGAGAGCGGCAAGCTGCCGTTGGGGAAAGGTATCATCTTCGTAGAGGGCCTCGCTGTGCAAAGGGTCAGTATCTCAAACAAGCTAGAGCCCCGCGAGGAGCAATTAGCGGGAGGGGAAAGGCCTTACATCTGGCTCAGAGCACCTGCGACCTCAGTCCAGACAGTATCAATGTCATCATTGAGGGTCTGAAGGGCAAAGACCTTGAGGTCGTGCTCCTCATCGGCCAGGAAGCCCAGCACTCCGGTAGCTGATACCAGGCCAGGCATTTTGGGGAGGTGGCCACGAGGACAAGGCGTAGCTTGAGCTAGCTGCGAAGAAGGAGAGAGATGCGCGACTGAGACGTTTATGACAGTTGTTCAGTCGGTTCTAAAATGAGTCGTCGCGCGGACTAGGTGGTTGGGATGGGATGAATATCGGATTGGGTGGTGATGGGAGCTCCGAAGAGGCGGTTTTGGTGATGGAAGAAGGACGTCGAAGGCAAAGGCGCGAATGCAGCATCCACGTCAGGCAGGTCTGCCTGCCTCTGCCTTGCCTTGGGGCAGCGTACCTCAGTGGCCCTTGCAGCACCAATCCAACAAGTGCCAATAGCAACGAGCGGTGCTCAGCACGGACCAAGCCCGAAAGATGAGTCAGCATGCCGCTGCCGTGCCTAGTTAAAGCTGCACCCGGAGAGACAGCTGAATCATATGGAATGAGGTAATCACAGCCCCGACTGTGTTGAGGTAGTGCTTTCCTCACCTTTTGACTTCGGTTAAGCTTCGGGGAAGCCGTGGATGGGAATTGGCTGTTTCCGTCACCATCCACCCAAGCACAAGCTTACCTTTGCTTGGTACAAACTGCAAGAGTGACCTCACATACCCGCAGCCAATGGGCCTCGGCCTCCTCCCCGCTTCGTCTGGTCGCCGGGGGGTAGGTCACTTCAGTCAGTAAAGGTCAACAACTCACCTGAGGCCAGCTCACTATCTAGTTCCATCTTCAGCTTTTTTACTGCAACTTTGTCTTGCTTTGCGGATCATTTATATTGGCTTTGTCCAACTCTACAGGATGAGTTCGGAATCGCATCCAAGTCTATTACTGCTACCCTTCCCACCGCGACCGCCATCTCGTACCTCACTCAGCGCAGCCTATCGCCCCTCGCTTCTCGCTGTTCTTTCAAAAATCAAGAATCCTGCTCGGTCATCCGTCCTTGTTGTTGCCATTGTGTGCCCCATTTTGCGCGGAGCCTCACCAAAGACCAAGTCATTGTCATGGACCGCTGCGCAGTCTCTTGCGGCTGGCATCTACAGCCTTATTGCCGTCGTATGCGCTGAGCAATCCATCGCTACTGATGTGAACGGAGGTCCGGGTTCAGTTGATGCGCGCGTGGTACTTGTTGATCATGACGCCAACCGCAGATTTGCGCCGGACTTCGTCGCCGCCATCGAACCAAACAACACGACTGTCGTTGACCTTCCAACCTTTGCCTCTGCCTATCACCCTTGGAGCTACATCTTCCACGTGAACAGCGAACAGGGATACCGCACTCTGTCAACGTATCTTAAATTTGCCGAGGGCAAGCAGACGATTCTTCAGTCGCAGCTGGTTGTGGTTGAAGCTGGGCTGAGCATGAATCTCGAAGGTCCTGGAACAGACAACACGGATCCGACTCCTGGATACCCCGTGGTCTGCCTAGGTGGTACATTTGACCACCTGCATCCAGGACACAAGCTGATGCTCATGGCTGCGGTTCTCTTGTTACGGGTTCCAGAAAAGGATTCCGGGTCTAGTTGCCGCCTGGTGTTGGGCATCGCGGGCGACCAACTGCTGAAGAACAAGAAGTATGCCGAACTTGTGCAATCATGGGATGACAGGGTTAAGTACACCCTGGACTTCCTAGCAACTCTGCTCGAACTGGACAAGAGCGGATGGAAGAAGAAGTCTGGCCCGGTCTCGACGGTGATGACCAAGCCTGGCCACCTAGAGGCAAGATTCCGGAACGGCACCATCGTAGTTGAATGTGTCGAGTTCCAGGATGTGTATGGGCCCACGACTTCAATGCCGGAGATCGAGGCTCTGGTGGTTTCTGGGGAGACACGGTCTGGCGGCAAGGCAGTCAATGACAAGAGAATCAGTCAAGGATGGAAGGCGTTGGAGACGTATGAAGTGGACGTCCTGGACGCCCACGACCTTGGCGACGAGGCGGCCAGGACGGATGACTTTGCGAATAAGATTAGTAGCACTGCCATTCGACAACAAAAGGCGGAATCCGCAGCGAAGTCGAGCTTGTAGAGGGATGGAGGGATTTTCATTTCAACGGCTGAGCAGAGGGCATGATGAATATCACGAGTAGATGATACCTAAGGTCCAAGACGCATAAGGCCTATTGCTAATCTTTGCGTTGCCGATGCCAATTCTGTCCCACCCTGCCCAACAGTTCACCACCAGGGCACCCAAGTAAGACTGGCTAAAGGTGTCGTTTAAAGATGAGAGGTAGATGTGGAGAGCCCAGCGCATGGAGTATGACGAGCAACAGAAACAATGGTCCAAGGCGCATCAAGATTAGGGTGTTGCATCCGTCTACGGGCCAAGAGACGAATAATGTAAGGTCACGGCAGTTGGGAAGCAAGGGTGGATGACGAGTTGACGTATGAAAAACCCCCTGAGTAGCCATTTGACTGGCTAGTGGCGAGTAGGGAAAGGATTGATGTACTATTCAGATATAATATTAGCACATATACATACCTCAGGATTTCAGGAAACAACTGGTTGTACAGAGCCAGAGCCAGAGCCAGGCATGAATTGCGGAGTAGAAGTAGGCCCACAGAGCAGCAATCTCAAACGATGAAAAGAGACAGGGTTAGCAACCCCGAAGTGGACGCGGACGCGAAGGGGTTGAAAAGAGGAAAAAAGGCACGATCAGACCCCTCTGGCGCCATCGACGCGACTCCACCTTCGCCCAGCACAGCCCCCGATTAGTGCCCCCGTCCAAATATCTGGATTTGTACACGCCATGTACTTCCGGGACGTCTTTTTCTGTATAGGAACTTTGGAGCATACCCTTGCGTTTGTGCAATTATCAGGGCTATCTGATCCTTTCGTGCAATGGCGCGTGCCTCATTCACAGCGCTCCTCTTTACTGCTGCTCCTAACGGCAGTTAAATGTTGAAAGGTTGACTTTCGTAGTGTAGGTGACCCTCTCTCTGACATGAGCATTCTTGCTCAAAACACTTGTCCTGATATTTCTATATACGATCTCTGTATTTTCCTCTTCAGTTTTTCTTCAAGAGCGACTTCCATATCCAGGCTCATATCTTCCCAATCTAGCCAGATTATTGTCACTGTGAGTAGGTAGCTTAGAAAAGAGAAGATGAGTTTACTTACATCGATAATTAAGGCTGGCCTCTTAGTACTGGGAACTTGTGTTGGCAAGAAGAACATGGTATGATAAAGGTACCTATACATTGTCAGGGTTGTACACACAACATACATTGGAGCTCCCAGGAGGTGGACAAGTGAGTAGTGAGCCAGAAGTGAAAAGTACCTTCTACCTGCACTAGTGTACACGTAGTCGAACAGGACAGGGAAGAAAGATAGCGGAAGAGAACTGAATAAAATAAAAATAAAACAAAAATCCCCGACAGGTTGGGTTCAAGCAGGGCACCGCAAAACAAGACAAGGCTGTGCAGCCCGCCTTTCCGCCTTTTTTAACCACTGGGTGATTGACTCTTCTAAGCTGAACTGGTTTCCTGTAATGGTGCTCTCCAACATATCCCATCATACCAACATACTGGTTTGCATACATATTTTGCAGGCACCGCACTGTTGATGATGGTAAATGCACACAAAAGGTAAGGGTATGTATGTATGTGGGTGCCGTGGCCCCCTTCTAAAGGACAGCCAAAGTGTGCATTCTTTCACTTGCCTTACAGGAGGAGCACATGCTATGTATACACAGCAGTGTGCTTTGCAAAAGAGCTGCGATGACCGTTTCGTCTGCCCCCCAAAACCCCCCCTGAGTGGCTCTTGATAGGCCAAAACCCATGGGCACCGACATTCACTACACACTAGCGTAGCATAGCACCACTAATACACCACCAGAGCAGCTAGCTCCCCTGTCGCCATCCACCCTCAGAGATATCAATCTTGGATGCGTGCTCAGCAGTATCTGATGGATGGTACCTTTCCCTGCTCCTTCTCCCACTTCCCCTTCTTGGCTGTGAATGTACTATAATGCTAGCCACCATACCTTGAAAAAGGCAGCTATAGGCGTGTATGTGTATATGTGTTTATATGTACATGTATGTACACTCACTCTCCTTTTGTGGCCTTTGTGAAAGAGCTTTACTTGCACTAGAGAGAGGAGAGAGAGAGAGCTCCTCTTACCTTGCTACCTTGGCGTGTCTCTCTCATCACCTTTTTATTTCATTTTTTTTTCCTTAATATTTTTTCTTTCTTTATTTTATTTTACTTACCACTCTGACAGACAGCCAACCGACGCCCTGTTGGTACTGACAGCCTAATCTAGCCAAGCTCAGCAAATGCACCAGCTACGAGTCCCATCTTTGCTCACTAACTTGGACGGATAGTTCCTTGAGCTGAGCTGAGCTGAGAGTGAGTGAGAAGTGAGAGACATAAGGATCCATCCATACTGGGGGAGACAGGAAGCAGAACAAGACACAGGAACCCTGCTGCGATCGGCGTCGCGACCAATCCATTTCCATCCTTTCTTTTTGTCTCCAAATTTCCCACGCAGCCGCAACAGAGAGAGAGAAAGAGAGGACAAGATGTTTTCTTTCTGAGAATACAACCACTCGACCACCACACTTACGCCCACTCGCACACACGCACACCCACACGCACCACCCCATTTATTCATCCCATTTAGTGTGTGTGCACCTGTGTCTTGCCCCCCTACTGCTACGACTACTACTGCTACTACCTAGCTTTCGATGCCTAGCCTCCACCCAAGGTAGCGACCACGACATCAATTGCCCGCGCCTACATCCATTCGCATCCACATCCGCATCGCACACACCACCCCCCCTTCGCGCGTCTTCAAGCCGATGTCTTCTCTTTTTCTCTCTTCTTCCCCTTCTCCTCATCTTCTCTGACTTCGGAGTACGGTCCCCTCCCCATTTACGATTCGCGACGACTCCAATTCGCACACGCACGCCCACATATATCCCAATCTTACCTCATTCCGACTTGTATCCGCCCCAGAGAAACAATTCGCCGAACTCGAACTCGACCTCGATCTTGACGTCGACACTCGACTTTCAACCCCCCACAAGCCGTCAACGACCGTGTCGTGTGCCTTGTCGCTAAATCGCACTTCTCTCGTCACTCGACCGCGTGCGCTCCAAATCCATACCAACCTCGAATTCACCATTCCGACTGTGACCTTGTCGTGCTTCGCATACTTTTGCTTGGTCTTAGCTTCTGCCCAATCCGATTCAGTTCAGCCCAGCCCATCCCGTCTCTCCGAACACCGACACCGACAGCGATAGCGACTACAACCGCCCATCACCCTCGCCGCCTGATCATGCCGACGTAATGTACGACTGTTGCCTCTCCATCTTGTTCAAGTAGAATCGCGTCGGCCGTATAGATCACCTACGTCGCGACAGTACCACGACCCGATAACCCCATCGCAATCCCTCCCGCACGCCGCGCACATGAGCTGTTGGTATTGACAGGGCGAAGCTGAAACTTTGCGCATTGCAGCAGACGCCGGGCGGAGTGTTGGACCGGACAAACAAGCAAGACTACACATAGATACTGGCCGTCCGTTGCACGCCCTGCGGTCTTCACTATGGACCTGAGAAGCTTGATGAACACGTCCGAAGATGCTGATCGGTCGAGAGCATCTGCTGCTGCCGCCGCTGCTGCCGCCGCCGCTGCACCTTCTGCTCCTCAGCCACTCCATGCGCAAAAGCAGCAGCCGTATCTTCAACAGCATCCTCAACAGCATCCTCAACAACATCTACAGCAGCATCCGCAGCAGCCCCAGCAACATCCACAACACCATCCGCAACAGCAGACTCCTACGACACCTTCGCAAGCCACTACCGCTTACGCCTTTAGGGAATCTGCGTACAGCCACGCCTTGCACTCGTCCCCAGGCAAGCATCCGGCGCCCCAGGAGTATGCCGTTCATCCCCAGGCCTCAACCCCGTCCTACCCTCCCAAGTCGCCTTATCAAACTCCGGGCCCTTACCCCGGCCGTCCGGCACCACCGCCGCTGCAGGCCGGCGCCCCTGGGCCCTATCCCGATGCACGATCTCCTCAGAGCGCCTCTATGCCCGCTCCTTCGCCGTATCGTCACACTCCGACATCGTCGGTGAGTGGCCCCAGTGGTGGTTATCCCTTTCCTTTCACCGGCCCACCGCAAGAGGTTGCAAGCCCTGTGCAACGACATCAATATCCACCATCCAACGCGTACCCCCAAAGGGAAAGCTATTCCCACCCGCCTGGTGCAACCGCACCTCCTTATCCACAACAACAGCAGCAACAGCAGCAACAGCAGCAACAGCAGCAGCAACAGCAACAACAACAGCAGCAGCAGCCGCCACCACAACATATGCCTCAGACACCGCCTATTGGTACTCCCGGCGGCGCCCATCCCTATATTCACCAACGCTCACAATCAACACAATCGACTCCTACTCCTACTTCTGCACATAGCCAGCAGCATCCGCAGCAACACGGTCAGCAATATCCTCACGGTAGTCCTGTGGCGAAATCGCACCCGCCGCCTGAGTATAACCGACAGCACTCGCAACCTCCTACCCCACTGGGCCCGCCCCAGACCGGGCCTCGACAATCTTCCTCAGCGCCGAGCTTTGCGCAACCACAAAGTCCTTATCAACAAAGACTGTCCGCATCGCACTTAGCCCAAGCCACACCTCCACCTCCTCCACCTCGTATGCCCAGCTCCCACAGCACCCACAGCACCCACGAACGAAGGTCGCTGTCGCATAGTGAACGCGATAAAAGTGGTAGCGTCAGCCCCAAGACCCGGGTTCCGAGCTTGCCGAGCAGCCTTGGTGGCCTTCCCGAACCCGAACCGCGACCGCAGCCGAGTGTCGCCAACATGGTGGAACCCGAACGCGAACGCGCCGCAACTCCCGCCAAGAGAAAGCTTGCCGATAGAGATTTGAGCCCTGGAGAACTCGAGAGAAAAGAGCCTCGGCCTCCGCCTGCAGAGGTCAATGGCGGCCCCAGCATTGCGAGCTCCCCAATCGTTCAGCGAAAGAGGAGGGTATACACGACGCCACCCATTTGGGCACAAACATGGAACGCGCGCGAAAACAAGCGATTGAAGTTGGCCAACTTTGAGCTGCAAAAACGAGGGCCACCACATGTTAACGGAAAACAAGAGCCCCCCAAGCAAGAAAGCAACACCAGTCGCCATGCATCGCCCGAGGCTGCACGATCCGTTCCTCCCCCGATGCAGGAATCGAAAGCAGAGAACCATCTTGGTCCCTGGGAAGAAAGCATTCTCGGAACCCGCCCGTACGAGGAATTGTCAAAGATGGTTGCCGATTTCCTCTTCAAGAACGTGTCCCTTCATCCCGACTCAGGCGAGATCATCGGCCGTGGCGTACAGTTCGAAATTGAGGCCAAAATGGGTCTACTCATTGACAGAGACACGAATGAACGTGTCGAGAGAGCTATTGGCACCGAGTGCGTTCTGCACGATACTGGCCGACTGGCTTTTAAGAGCAGCATGACAGAGGTATGGTTTTTTTTTTTTTCCCGTTGCTGTATTTTTCCCCTTCTTTTTCTTCTCTGCATAAATTCAATCGAGCATTGCTGATATTGATCTTCTACAGGCTCAACATAGAGGTCTCAACGATTTCCTCAACCAACTTGTTGTTCAGACCGATCCGCGGAACCCTAACGCTCGAGGCCGAGTCCAAATTCAGTACAAACACCGACGGGAAGTTGATAAGTTCTTTGAGCTGCCCAACTCCTTGCATGCACGTCTTCCCGGATGTGTTCGAGCCCTCCTCCCACCCAGGCGACCTGTCAAGGTTCGCGTTACCTACGATATGAAGACACAGCAAGTCCTGGCCATGATAGTAAAAGCCCGAGTTGCCGACCTTCACATCCACCTGCCAACATGCCCCCTTGACTGTCGAATTAGCATCAATCTGGAAATGGCATGGGACGGGTCTATCGAAGAGTTGGAGAGCGTAGCTGTCAGCCATGCTGAGAGGTACCCCGATCGCAACAAGGATCGCCTGAGCTATAAGCAGAACCACTACCAGGTCGACTTGACGCAAGTGACACAGGTGATGCCTGGTCCTGGAGTAAGTTACCCTCGTCCGATTGTCTAGGTTTACCGACTCGGCTAACCCCGTCACAGAATACCCAACGCGTCGACAAGGAACACGAACTGGAAATCGAACTGTCACCGGACATCGTTCTCGAGCAACAACGCCGTGCCATGAGGAACGAGCCTCACTCGTACCCCCAGCTGGTAGAAGGATTTATCGATAACGTGCGGATTCTCGCTCGCCGGAGTCGCGATTTTGTGTAATATTTGTACGAGAGCATCTCAAAGAATTTTTTTTCTTCTTCTTTTTCTTATTTCAAGCTGGCTCGGGTGGTTTGATACCAAAAAAATATGGCTGTGTCTGGCGTCGAACGGTTACAGCGGTGCATTTTATCTTAACCGACTATTAAGTCCTTAGTCGAGCTCTCATGTCTTGGGACATAAATCTAGACATGCTGCTCATCAATAATTTTTGGCACGTAAGCCGAATCAATACACGCGTGTTAATTACCGCGATAGTGAGGTTCCCGCGGCTCTACAGTGTCTTGTCACTTGGCTCGACATTCTATCGTTTTCCGTCAATTACTTCCCGGCCGATTAGGAACACAATGAGACCAAACCTGGTGAGACTTAAACCGAAGCAGGGATAATAGTTACTAAATGATAGCCTCATCCTCCAGATGGCGGCAAATACTACAGAAGGGGGGTATTTATATATATAATGCGTCTAAATAAACATCATCTAAAGACTTTACGAAAAAAATGGCCTGAAAGCCAGCCATATTCAGCTGGCCTACGCCAGTTTCTCATCACCTTTGCCTGTGCCGCTGTGTCCGACAGGTTGAATATCTTCCGAATCAGCCCCGCGTGCGCTGTCGCCTCCGTTGACGTCCTTGGGGGTGACGAAGTTGGTGGTGGTGGGAGGAGCAACGTCGCGGCCTTCGGTATCCTCGATCTCCTCCTCGAGGACGAGGTTCAGAAGCATGCAGACGAAGGCGGTGACGGCGAAGCCCGTCTCCATGATGAGAACGATGGCGTCGAGGAAGCCGCGGAGGCCGCGGTTGTCGCCGGCGTAGGTGAAGACGTTGTCGAAGTAGGTCGGGACAAGGGTGGCGCCGTAGCCGAGGGTCAGACCGGCCGTAAGGATGAAGCGGTTACGGCGGTTGAAGGGCACGCCCTTGGTGATGATGGCCATGCCGGAGACGGCGACGGCGGTGAAGAGGAAAGACGTCATGCCGCCTAGGACCGAGGACGGGATGGCGACGAGGGAGGCGGCGAACTTGGCGAAGATGCCCATTATGACGAGGAAGAAGCAACTGGAGTGATTGATTGTGTTCAGCAGGAGGAAGAGCAAGAGTCTTCAATAAAAAGGGTGGTAATAGACGTACCAGCAGTAACCGGCGCTGCGGTTGGCGCAGCGGGTGAGGGCGATGACACCGTTGTTTTGGGCAAACTGGTATCTTGTGAGCAACTAACGACCGGCGTTTTGATTTGGGGAAAAAAAAAAAAAAAAAGGACAGTCAACTTACAGTGGTCATGGGCGTGATGGTCATCAACGCGGCAAGGACGCCATTGATACCGTCTGCCAACACGCCTCCCTGGATTCGAGACTCGAACAGACGGCCCTCGACCTCGAGGCGGGAGACGTCGCAGGTGGCGGTGATGTCTCCGATGGCTTCCGTCGCACAGATGATGTAGACGGCAAGTAGAGGGCTGGCACCCAAGTTAGCAAGGATTCTGGATCTGGATTCTCGCTCGGGGAAAATGCAGCTACATCGGCTTTGCTACTTACAGGATGAGTGGACCGTAGAGGGTGAGCTTGAAAGTGTGCACCCAGATGAAGGAGGCGGCGGGAGCGCTATCAATGCCGGACCGGTCAAAGTATCCGCAGGCCGCGGCGATGATGCATCCTGATGGGGAGAAGAGGAGTTAGTCGCCGGCATCACATTGCATTACATAGTCCGGGGAATGGACGGCGTGCGCAGCTTGCTTACCGACAAGGAGACCAATTACAACCGACGTCGACTTCATGATGGGCGCGCCAAATCTCTCGCACAGAATGATGGTAATGAAGACGGAAAATCCCAGGCCTAGATACTCTGCCGAGCCCCACGGGAGGGCATGAGGCGCCGCGATGTTGGGGCAACGAGCGAAGAAGTCCGTCGTCGGGTTGGCGCAAGGTCCGGAACCGCCCATCCAGTTCTGGAAGCCACTCTCAACGAGATGAATACCGATGAGCATGACTAGAGGAGACGTCAGGTCGAGAATCTCTTTCTAAGAAGTAACATCCTAGGCTTACCAGTAGGACCAGTAACTATGGGAGGGAAGATGCGGAGCATCACTTTGGGCGGCAAGAAGGAGATGGCGATTTCAATGAGAGCACAGAGAGCACTGGAACCAATGATGGCTAGGCCAAAAAGAAGTCAGTCATCTGACTGGATGGAAACACTGCTTGGGGCGAGGCAAGCTTACCGCCATACCCATCGGGACACGGGAGCTTGTTGCCCTGGGCATCTGTGGGACAGAAGCCGTTGGCATACATCTGAGCGAGAGCGCCCTGGGCGACGGGGATGATGGCGAAAGAAATGCCGACGACGGAAATCAAACCGGTGCCGATGTAGTATCTACAAACAGCCGTGTAAGTGGACTATCTATCTAAATTCACCAAAAAAAAAAAAGGGGCGACGCGGGGTTTTATCTCACGGAGTCTTGAAGACGTGAAACCGGGTGATTTGGATCGTGGACAAGAGGCCGGAGACGATCAAGGCGGTTGAAACTAGATACTGCTGCATTTCCGGGGTGAGATTGGCACCGGCGGCACCGCTGAGCAGGATGGGCGGCGTGATGATGCCGGCCAACATGGCGAGGGCATGCTGGAATCCCAGGAGCAGGGCGAGGAGCGTTGGCATCCGGTCATGAAGACCAAAGAAGGGGGCGGCCTTGGACGACTTCTTCATGAAGGGCAGATTGGGGCGGAATAGAAAGGCATAGTCGTAGTCGCCGACGAGGCCCTGCTTCGTGAAGAACCTATTCCTGGCACCGCGGAGGCGATCTCCCATTGTCCGTTTGGGAGACGTCCCCGGGACGATTTGCGACGGACCTTGATCCTCATCCATCTTGTTGTGTTTCTCCTAAGCGGTCTTGTCTTTTCTTGTTGTGTCTTGGTGTGACGTCAACAATAGCAATGAGGAGGCAATGGAGATTGTTCAGTTTCGTCACTCGAGGGAAGTCTGTAGACCTCGAAGGTTGTCAAAGAGACCAACGGGGAACTTGAGGCTGATTTCGACGTCAAAGAGAGAGAGAGAAGAAAAACTCTCTTCTTTGGGCCAAGCGATGGAGTAGAAAAAAAAAGCCAAGAGAAAGAAAAAAAAAACCTCGACGATATCCACGATGAATCACACAAAGGAAGATGTGGATCTCACTATATATATATATGTATATATATCAAATTGCGACTCAGTCAGTCATTGTGCAGTATTGGAGTGCGCAAAACAATACGGTACCGTATCCAAGTAGCCAGTCAGTAATCTACATGGGGGCTGATCCTTTTAGTTGATGAATTCGAGCAATTAGCTTGAACCGCTATCAGCGGGATAAGCAGCACCAGACGACGTGAATGGCTAGTGATAGTAAAAAAAATGTGTATTCAGAAGGGCGGACCCGTTTGTCGCGTAGCTGGAGCGCCACCCCGGAGGAGAACAGCATGGGGACCGGGTTGGAGACTCCTCCCTCTCCCTTGTCAACGGTATCTCTATGTGGAAGAAGACTGGGATGGGTGGGTTTGGTTGGCGTCTTGGTTTCTTTCCCTTGGGTGTAACTGGGGGGGTTGGCAGAAGAAAAAAAAGAGACTTTGCAGATATCCGTACACTTAACAGAGTCCAAGCTGAATGTAGATGGGACGGGGCTTTGATAGAGTTCGATTAGGGAATCTGCAAGTCTATTTCCAATGTGCCTTTGTCACATATACTACAAACCCTCCAAATCTTGACGGACCTCACTAATCCTGACGGTACTTAAGAGTGTGGGGGAACACCCCTGGCATCAGTCCCGCGTGGCACACACACACACACTCTCTCACTCACTCTCTCTCTCTCTCTCACAACACACATACACATGGAGACTGCCGCCGTCTTCGCTCGCCACACTCTCGGGCGCGTCCTATGGCCGTCCAAAACTAAACCTGGGGAAATGCGGCGAACTGCGAACTATTCTGCGCGGCGTGTGAGTAGATCAGAGCCAGGGCTTTGTCTTGGTTGCCACTGACTGGGGGGTTTACGGTCCGTGCAGTTCCGTTCCGTCTTTCTTTGTGTTCCCCTGGTCGCCTCTGAAATTGTCCATTCTACACTACATACTCATGTATACTATTTTGTTTCAACATGGCAAAAGACGTCCCAGAGATTGTTGCTGGCGAGTGTCTTCAACTAAGGAACCTAATGCCTGAAGAAGCTCAAATGTCGTGATATTCTGATAATGACCAATCATGATGTCAATTGGCCATCCAAGACAATGGGTCGTAGATAAGGATGTTAATCATGTCTAACTGTAAGGGTACAAGCAACCCTTGAGCGACATTCTATCTATGCTATTCAAGCCTGGCAGAATTGCCTCGTCTGACTTTGCAAGTTCGCCATCTAGCTTCTGATGCCACATTATGACCATGGCCGCGATCAGCCGAAAGACTATGGGCAGATGTTTCCTCCTGCGACACCTGATGCGAGTAACCTATGGCATGGGGAATTTGCTAGTTGGTAACCCTCGGTTATGGTAGAGATAAGACAAGACAAAGAAGGGGGGGCCAGAACCACCCAAGAAGCGCAAGGCGACGCCGTGCAGAGATAAGGAACTGCACCAAACAAGTCAAGGAGGGGATCCCGGGAGATAGAGGCGCTGACGGAGCCTCGTCTAATTGGCCCAACCGCTTGCCGAGACTCGGAGATACTGAAGTTCACCACGGTAAGGCGGACGGAAGGGATGCGTTTCTCCCGGTTCACACAGTTGTCCTAAGTCTATCGCCGGCGGACTCCGCCTACGAGGCAGCTCTGTCTACCGAGGGGTTCACCGGTTTGACGTCTTGGACTTGTACCGGCTCGAGTGGTGCATTACCGTCTCTATCCGCGTGGGTTAATTCCGGGGGCTGTCAGAGGCAGCTTTACTGCGTCATCGCTCACATCCGCCCAACCCATGACTTTGCTGCTTTGAAATCCCTGGCAGCATGGTATTATAGTTTTCATTGATTTTTCAAAGAGGGCGTGTACACAGGGAGCGATCAAGTATAGATCTTCTTATACCATTAAGTTTCTAGCTTCAACTCGCAACGCCCGCATCTACGAAAGGATATCTAGCCACTCCCCTATTTCAGGCCTGTCCTCACTTCCAATCTATCCGTCTTTTTGGACCGGAATATCCCCCCTGTAGCCTTTTCTATGGCCTGATCAACTCCGTCTCCCAAGATACGCCGAACTACCTACTGCCTCACGTTACGCCGCAAACCCGGAATTCATAATTACTGAGATCGAGACAGCCCGCTACGGCGAGACGACTCGACGAACACTCCTCTGGTTGTATTTGCAGTCAATAAAAAAAAAGGTCCCGTCGTTTCCATCATTGTCGTATTCGTAATCATCACCGCCGCTATCGATAGTCATCCCTCATCCCACGCACCACGTCCTGCTGCGACGCGAACCTTGCTTGATGATAATTGTGCAGTTGTTGTCGCCCAAACTCTCGCACCAGACCCAAGTGTCCCTTGTGCTGCTTCTTGAGGCACCCGGCGAGCTCTGCTTCCGTCCGCGTTCCGCATTGGCACATGTTGGGGGTCCCCGAGAACTTTGCTCGCTCTCCCGGGGCCGTGAACATGATGCTGATTCTTCGGACGTTCTTCCAATTGGCGGCAGCGTATTCCCTCTCGCCCCGTTGCCCAAGAGCCAGCTTGGCCAAGTTCCAGTCCGTGTCTCCGTTGCGGCTCTCATATCGCCGTGCTGCCATGTTCTCCGTGCCCCGTTTCTGCTCGATGGAGGCAATCGTGCACGACGCCCCATCCTTTCCGGACCGCCTGCAGTTGCACCGGTCCGGGTTGACCTCGGTATCTTCGTCAATATCCACCGTCACCAGGGCCAGTCTCCTGGTTGCCCGGTTCTGGGTATATAGGACAATCATCGGCTTCGGTGGCCGCCGGTGTACGGTTCCGGTCGTGTTCCCGCCGATGCTCACCGTAAGTGTGTGAGCCTCGCTGTTTCCTGAGCTGTTGTTGGATGGCGACAGCGACGGTGTCGTGGAAACGTTGCTTGACACGCTGAAGGTTCGGTCTGGATGAGTATTGAGGGTGGAAATAGACGGCCGTCTGGCAGCGGACTGCCATGACCCCGGGAACAAGCTGGAGGATCGAGGACTAGATGGCGAAGACGCCATTCCCGTTTGCCGATTACCAACGGGAGGAGAGCCTGAACCCTGTGTGCTTCCAGACCCTACAGGCCGTCGTGGTATAGACATGGGTGGCCGGTTGCCCAAGGGGCTCAAACCGCCGAGCGTAGAAGCTGATGATACCGAAGGGTTACGCGACGAAGGTCCTGCTGGGGACCCGAAACCGTTCCACATGGGTGTCGTTTCCGTGGGGCTTGCCGTAAGGTTGTCGGGGGAACCCCAAAGGCTACGGATAGTGCTTTGCCTCGAAGTCGATGATGTTGCAGGTAAAGAGTTCTCCCTCACAACTGCTTCGTTGTTGGTCACGAGTTGGCCGTCGAGCTGCTTCGGAATCCAAAACTGAACACAAGCGTCTTCCACAAAGGGCTCATCCCTTCCAGAGACGACGAAACTGACCATGGCGTTATACCTAATAAAAAATAAAATGTTATTTGCCGACAGGCAGGAGTTGGAATAGGTGTTATACTTACTGGCAATAGTTATCAAAGACTTTGAACCCCGTCACGGCCTGCTGGAATTTGACAAGGTCTTTGATACTCAAGAAAGATAGTCTGGCGATTCGCTCATCTTTCCGTAGAATCATGTCTAACGCCCCGGACCCCAGCATGGAAGGCACTGCGTACAGTGGATTCAGAACGACAGTGGTGATGTCGAAATCGATGGTTTCGGCTGGGTATGGTCAGCGTGCTTCTTTCATCCCGACCGCAGCTTTCACGTACCTTGGCGACGTGCAGCCCTCGAACTCCCCTGTTCGACACCAGAGATGTTTATTCTGAAACGTCTGCCTTCTGCACCCATTCGTCGAAGCACCTGGAGTTTTCTCTGGACGTTGGCGGTGGATCCTTGTAGTTGACTAGTGACACATGTGTTAGTAGAAAAACCACCATTCTTCAAGGATGAAACGTACATGTCGAGAACTTGCTCCATTAGAGCATCTTTGGTTACCACATCTACCAGTGGCGTCTCCTCTGTTTCGGGCCAGATTTCGAGCATATCTGGCGTCAGGCCTGCCAGGCTGGGTTGTACGAGGTCCACCTTAAATCGTCCACATTGCGCAGAGAGGCCCTACGACTGTGAGTACTGCACACCATATAAGCTATTCAAAAGGAGCTGGCTTACATCCTCAAGCTCTTGAACATACGACGGCCAATGCGATACCCCGGGGATAGCCTGGTTGAGTTGCTGTGACTCGCGTATATGCTGCTTCAGCCAGATACACTTCAGAAGACTTATATACTGCCCCAAGGGGGGTATCTTGTCTTCGACCAGAATGCCAACAGGTATGAAATGGACGGTTGACTTGTCATAGTGAAGCACAAAGGCATCGGTCATCTCCTGGAGGGTAGGCTCTGGATCTTCTGCAGGCCGGTTCATCCATGCTCTTTGGAGGCCCTCCTTCAACACTGGCGGTATGTTAAGAGTGTGCACTTCCCTGTGCGCTTGCCGGTCCAAGGCCTGCTCAAGATCTGGGACTAGAACCCCAATCAGGCGATGTAGGTCTCCATGCACTGCTTCTATGCGCTTGGCGAGGTCCTGGTGGACTTTGTGAATGTCCTCTCGCACACGACATAAAAGGTCACTGAGAGAGTCATTAGAATCAATAGCAGCTTTCAAGCAAGCGGAACTCACATCTCAAATGGCTTTAGCACGTGAAGAATCTTGGAGTTGTGAAGGGCTATTCTCGCCCGGAGCCGATCCGCAGCCGGTGCGACGAGGACGTTGAATTCGATATTTTTCACAGGACCGCTACTCAGTCGATAACGGTGGTTTTTGTTGAGAAGTTCGACGCAGTCGTTAATCGTATCAAGGTAATCCCCGATGATCTCTCCCAGCGACGACGGATCCCATCGCAGTGACTTTGTAAATGAGCCATCCCTGCGAAGAGACTGATCTGCCTGGATCACAACACGGCTAAGAATATCAAGGCTTTGGGCCAGACCTCTAACGTCGCGACCAAACTCAGCATATTGCCTGGCTGGGATGTAGTCAGTTGATGTTGGAGTCTAAAACGATGGAATTGCATGAGACAGTTGGATTCAGCCTTGATGCCGCGCCTCTTAAGCGGAAGGCTGAATCGACGTTCTTTAAGCGGTGAAATGAGCCCATTAGCCCGATAACGGGCTTATTCCAAGGTCGATACGCACTAGACGCGACCAGTGATGAAGGATGATGAGCAGATGGGAAATGCGTGGAACATACTTGCGTTATAATCATTATCCCAACCGAACTTGTATAGGTCCCAACAGACCTTACTTATATTGACGATATCACCGACCTGGATAGGCCCTGCCATTGGGGGAGTTGAAATAGAACGAGAAGAAGTCTCTCTGTCTAGTACGCCCTACAAGATTGGCATTCGATGCGCGTTGCTGTCAAAAGGCGCGAGCAGAGTCGATTACAACGACAAATAGAAACTTCCAAAAGTGGGCTCCGTGTCTGCGACTGCGAAGCAGATGGAGGGGAATGAGGTCAGATTTCAAGGAAAGCCTGGCCACAGGGTGTGCATACAACTTTGAACATAAGGTGCGCCACCCGATTCGTGATAGTTGTGCGACAGAGCGACAGGTGTGGCCGCCACGTAAGGTTGGCCCCAAGGACTTGTGACTTGAAGAGTCAAGAACAGATTTAGGGTGGAGGACTTTCTGATCGAAGCATCAAAGGAGGAGGGGGAAGAGGAAATGGAGAAAAAGCAGCATCGGCAGCAACAAGGCGAGGGGAAGAGGCACGCTGCAAGACGAAAGTGAGGCTGATGGGCAAGGCCACCTTAGTAGTTTGCCTAATGGGACGGAACTTGAGTGCGTTCGGTCAGTCAGAACTGAAATGGAGAAACGAGATGGTGTGGACAGCAGTGCAGGCAGGCATCAGCAGGGGGGAGGGGACAAGACATGTCGCCGCGCCTCTCCAGCAAAACATAACGCCCCGATTTGGGTTGCTTGTTTGCAGGGTTGGTGAAGGCAGAAGGGCTGAGAGTCCCAGTCTGGGCGAGACTGGGCAGCTGAGCAACTCTTGAGATGTTGTAGGCTTGGCCAAAGAGCGAGGTTATGTTATCGCTGGATTCATAACTCGGCGGCGTCCACCGCTCAAGCTGAAGAATGCAAACGCTTCCAAGCTTGAGCTCGTCAGGTCGGCGGCGCAGGCTGGCGTGTGCCGGATTGCCAGGGAGCGAGAGCTCAGGGTTAATCAAGTAATGGAAGGTTGTCACGCGGTCTCAGCTACCCGAGACACCCTCACGAAGACAACCAATCCGAACTGATCTCAATTCGTGGCATGCGGTGTAATACGCACTCCGTCCATGCATGGCACGCGAGTGTGCGGCGTAAGATTGCAAGCTCAAGATAAGGTGCAGATATGGGGGCTGTGTCTTGGAACACGTACTTGAGATGAACTAGACTGGCTATAAGCTTGCTCTGCCACACGGGATAAAAGCATCCGCGCCCCCTCGGGAAAATGAGATGCGAAAGGACTTGCTGACTTTTTTGATGACTGTTGGCCTTTTAAATCATTATTTCTTGTATGACAGATGCCAAAGGTGACTTTAGAGAGCAAGTTAAGTGTATAATGTACTACTGTATACCTTCTAGTCTGGTATTCGGCTTACATGTAAACTGGCAAACATGACAAAAATATCACCCGCCTATATCAACACTTCCAGGCCGCTTAAAACCCATACAAACTCTAGGTAATGGTTCTTAAACCAATCGATAAGTTTTCTCTCTTTTTGAACATTTTTCATCCATTATTTTGCTTCACAAATAGTCTTAAAAATGCATGAGAGGGCCGGGTGACTAGACTCGGTTAACTGATTATAAATATAATAGTAAAAGTGCATGCTTCACTGCAAACAGGAAGCCTGGATAGATGCATGTCGATGCCGTCCACTCATAAGACAGCACGAAAGCCCTGTCTGATCTGTACTCAAGTGTCATGAAATGCTGGTGGTGGTGGCAGTGAGTCCCCTTCAATCCTGGGGTAAGAAAACCGTAAAGGTGTCACCACAAGTTTACCAAGGCCTCTTCCCATTCGTGCTCGCTTCATCAATCCTATCAACTTGCGTCTCCTGAGACCAGACTATCACTAGACCGGACACTGCTTAACAGTTACCTGCAGAGACTAGAGCCTCGGCAACGCGTCCCCAGTTCCAGGAAGCGCGCAATCAAGAAGTGTGACGCCCACTTGGCGACTTCTTCCCTTGCAGCATGATCATGCAACATTGAGTTTGCGAGGCAGATTTACAGGTGAGGCTGTCATTGACCAAGTGACTCTACTCAGGCACTTCCCGGCCCAGTGGCTTTTCTCGGCACGCATGCATGCGGCTGCGGCACCCTTAAGCCAAGTCTGCCCTGCCTTGTGTATCGGTCTGTCGCCTCTTGGTGCGCGCCCCAGGTGTCAAGGTGTTTTCCTAAAATCACGTTTGGATGGCATGCCAGCTCGTCACACGGGCTGTGGTAGACATGGTATGCCATACTTAATCATGGAGCCACCCCTTACAGCCTGGGCTGCTATGAATTTTGTAAGAGTGCGGTTTTGATCCTCCAATCCGGAGCTGTCTACAGTTTTCCCAGCTTCTTGTCGCCTCTTTGCTTTAAAGAAGATTCCTAGCATGAATGATTTTCCCAGTTCGGCGGGCATCTATGAAGAGCCCCATAACGTCGACGATCGTGCAAGTAGCTGTGACATAGATGTGGTAATCGGTGGCATCGAAGGCAAGGGCATCGTCACTCACGCTCCCAAGGAGGGATTCCGATTAGGATACTTCGATGTCTTCTGCTTGGTCGTTAATCGCATGATAGGTAAGTGCATGTTTTTACTACGGTCGCGCAATGAGGAAAGAGCATGGCTCTTAAATATTATAAGCGTTGCTAATACTCCGAGATAGGTACTGGAATATTCATGTCCCCTAAGCGAGTGATCGAAGGCACTGGAAGCGTCGGCGCAACGTTACTCTTCTGGCTTGCTGGGTTCATCTACTGCCTTTGCGGCACTCATGTTTATATCGAATACGGCCTGAACGTCCCTCGTTACAAAATAGAAGGTGTTGAACAGTCTGTTCCTCGAAGCGGTAAGATAGGCTCATGTTAAGACTAGTCAACTTTGCATGATTTGCTGACTACCGTACAAAGGTGGCGACCTGGTATACCTACAATACGTGTATCGCAGGCCCGCTTACCGCAAAAACACCCTTCTTTTGTCAACATGTATCTTCGGTATAACGTTCATCATTCTCGGGAATATGGCTGGTAACTGTATTCATTTTGCAATGCGAGTCCTCGAAGCAGCAGGCCAAACAAGCCTGGAAGCAAGCCCGGACGCAAGCCTGGACGCAAGCCCGGACAAGAGACCAAACGAAGGCCCGAACGAAGCCTCGGTCCGCGGCATCGCTATTGCCGTAGCGATTTTTGCATGCTTCATCCATGCAACGAGCAGAAGATTCGGAATTCTGTTGAACAACTTTTTGGCCATTATAAAGATCATGATTATGCTTTTTATCATCGTCACTGCTATTGTCGTTGGTGCGGGAGGGTTTCCCGAAACCACCCGCAACTATATTGGCGAGAACACCTCACCAAAAACCTCTTTTCAGGGCGGGTCTTCAGAAGCGAATGGGTACGCTCAGGCGTTTCTTGCCATCATCTTCACCTTTTCCGGATTCGAGCAGCCTAATTATGTCCTTGGAGAAATCAGTCGGCCGAGGAAGAAGTTCCCTATTGCGATGGGAACTGGTGTCGGGACAGTTGTAGTCTTGTACTTGGCCGTCAACATATGCTATGTAAGTCAAGATCTACTGTATTTGGCATCACATGGGAAAAGGTTTAACGCAGTTTCAGATGGTTGTCGTACCCAAAGAAGTCCAAATGGACCAGAATGTTGCCCTGGAATTCTTCAAACGCACATACGGAAGTACAGGACCTGGGCCTCGAATCTTCAACGCATTTCTCGCCATCTCATCCATGGGCAATATCATTGTCATGGTATGTTTTGTTCTGAACATTTAACACGACCAAGGTTGATCAGAAGACGCTGATATAAATCCAGACGTATACGGCTGCCCGAGTAAAACAAGAAATTGCCAAAGAGGTAGAAGAATACCCGCCATTAGACATCTACTAAACGAATGCTAACACTTTCATAGGGCATCCTCCCCTGGCCCAAGTTCTTTGCACAAAACACAGACATGAGCCTGGGACGGCTTGTCCGCTGGTTTCAAAAGAAAGGCTGGTTCAAGTCGCTCCTCCAACTGCGATGGTTTTCTCCTGAACACCATAGCGAGAAGACACCTGTTGGCGCTTTGGTCCTTCATCTCGTCAGCTGCATCATTCTCATCTTTGCGACCATCGGAGTTAAAGCTGAAGTGGCATACACCGTACTAACATCCCTGAGTGCCTATGTTGTCAACGCCTTCATCGGAACCTTCCTTGGCCTGGGCATACTGATCCTGCGGTTCCGTGGCCCGCCTGTCACGACGGCTGACGATGGAGCGTCGCAACACAGCAATACTGCACCGCTGCCGTCATGGGCCGACATGACTGGGAAGCATTTCAACCCATATCTGTCGGTTTTCTGTGCGGTTATCTACACATGCGGGGGCTTGTATCCGATCATCACCAACTGGATCCCCCCTTCACTTACCGTCGATTTGACCGTCAAACCTTGGTGGCTCGTCCCGACTGTGTCATGGATCATAATCGCCCTTAGCATCGCATGGTTCGTCGGCTTTGTTCTGGTAGCTCGTTATATTGAAAAGAAAGACCACCGCGTCTTCGTCGTGGAAAAGAAACCAGAATTCGAGGCCGCAGATGGCAGCAGTCGGACCTCAGAGGCAGGAAAGCAAGGGGCTGACCTTATCCAAGTCCATGAGACGGTATACCTGAGCTGGGTAGGCAGGGAAGCGCTTCGATCAAGGCGACCGGTGTTTGATGAACAGAGGGAGGCCGACGGTTGTATGTCTGAGGTTACGGCGTCTCCTTATGCCGGCACTGACTTTGCCGCATTCATGTCCAACCAAGGCGCCGCAACAGGAAGAGGAGACCCTAGATACTGAAAGGAGACTTGAAGGAAAAAATCATGTGCTGGTTGACTTTGTTATTAGAATATTTCGTCATAAGCGCCTTAAAAAGGCTGTAATCTTTATTACTCGTGTACGTAGTGGTATCTAGGCGGGCATTAAACGCAAATCTGCTATTTTCATCGTAAAACCTTCCTTTTTTATCGTGGCACCCATTAAACCCATCATGGCTCTTGCTCGACAATGTTGTTGAGACGTGGTTGGAGTTGAGCAAGGGCCGAGCGGTCCTGTCCATCAGGCTCATAGGACCGGAAGACCTCTCCGCGCATCAGCCTGCGTGGCGCCCGTCGTCCGGTAAAGAGCTCGAACTGGGCAAAGCCCTGTTCTGGTAACAGGTCCAGACCATCCATCGTCACCCAACCTCGATGAGAGACTTGTCGTGCCTGGTTGAGTATCGGTGTGTCGAGGGTCTTATAACCCAGCTCGACGAGACAACCGCCGGTTGGACTTCCGAGCCACGCTTGTGGAGCCAGGAAGTTGGGCGCAGGCACATCGCCGATGCTATGTGTCGGGATGCAGGATACGATCATGGTCGGTAGTCGGAAGTCTTCAGGCCATGACTCATTGAGATTCCTGATGATGTGAAACCTGGTTTCCACGTCCGCATTTGCGCTTAGCAGTGGCAGGTCATGCCGCTTCAACAGTCGTGTGAAGTGGCTGACCATCTTTTCAGCATTCGCGATCGTCCTGTTGTATACTACGATGTTCTTGACGCCAAGCTGCAACATGCTATAGGTCGCAGCACGAGCCATACCACCCGCACCGATGATGAGACCACAGCTTGTCGGCCGTACGGCGTTGGCAGGAGAGAGTCCCCTCCTTAGGCAAGCCCTGATGCCGATCCAGTCGGTGTTTTCTCCGTAAAGTGCTCGCACAGGTCCAGCACGATTCCTGCAGTTGAACAGCTTCTCATCTTCTGGGATAGTACCATCGGGGTTCAGCCGCCGGACGGGGACGAGGGTGTTGACGGCACCGATGGCTTGAGCGTGACGGCTCAACGAGTGCGTGAGGGTAATGATTTCCACCTTGAAAGGCAAGCCAACACTGGCACCTGCAAAGTAGGGATCTTCGATAAGTTCTCTGAGGCCGTTTAACGACGGCGTTGAGAACGGCCGGTACACATGTGGAATGCCGCAAGCCTTGAGCGCGGCGTTGTGCATAGCTGGCGACAGACTGTAGGAGACGTGAGCACCAAAGACATAGATCTTCATGGGATCAAACAAGAAGGAGCTGTAAAGCGCCTGTGTCGCTTGCACGGCTGTCAAGCACGGCTGCTGGTGGTTGTGACTTGCTGCCATTGGCTCTGGGACTACGCTTGTCAGAACATGATTCATGGCCGCCGAATGTCTGCCGCGAGGACCAGAGTTGTAAGCAATAAGAGGAACTTTGTGGCCCGGAGATGCTTCCACCAGAGCCTTTAGGTGGTTCACATCAAAGTTGTCCTTAATCGAGGTCACAGGTTTAATGAGTCGAACAAGGTCGCACCCTAATCGGCGGGCTCTGTGATAATGAGACACCCAGAACGAGTCACCCCAGGAAGGAGAGTCGACGGCAGGCGTTAGATGCCCAATTATTTTTGAGCGCCTTTTCATCGATATGATGTGAAGCAGTTGGTAATCGTTGAGGCGGAGGTCGACAGTCAGGTACTCGGGCGAGAGCCGAAGGCCATGAAGGATGTAATCCATGTACACCGTCTCCGAGGAGTCTGGAAGAACGACATGGTATATGAGGGGGATCACGGTGCTCCTTCGTATTGAACCAATGATTCTCGCAATATCCGCTGCCCGTTCAGAGTCCAGGGTCGTCCCGCCCGAGATGCCGTCGACAACGATCTCAATGGCATCGGCACCAGTTTCTAGTTCCTCAATGTCGATCTCATTGTTAAGAAGGCTCGACAACGATACCGAAATGGCGTATGTAAACCGACGGTCCTCAGTCGGTATAGATGCCAGCGGAAAGGCAGACTCGATGAAAGGAATAGAGCCTTTGGGCATAATAAGACTAAGAAATTTGAGGAAATGTCTCTCTGCTCTCTTGAGCGTCAAGTACGGCGCCGGTGGTTTCTGACCACCTGCATGCGCCTCTATCCTCGCTGCCTCAGTCTCAATCCACGGGTCCGCTGTTTCGGAAACATTGAAGAACTCGAGGTTGCTGCATGTTCGAAATATTGTGCTACTGGCGGCGAGGAGGTTCCTAGCCTTGTCCTCATCTTCGATCTTTAGGTGCTCTTGGATGGCTTTGACGTCGCGAACAATGTGCACAACAGGGTTTGTCCGACAAAAGTCTCTCAAGAGGGTTTGTACACCACGCTCCATCCAACTGCAAACGATCAGACAGCCTCTGGAGTTCTGTTCGAGAAGGTCACGCAGGACATCTGTCTGGCGACGGTGACATTCGGCGGGGCCGTGAGCCCGTTTGTATGCAAAGCTGGTCAAGCCAGTGGCTTGCTGGAAGGCCTTTTCGCAATCGGTGGCTCTTCGTGCCATGGCGGTAGAGGCGATTATAGCAAGGGTCGACTTACCGGCACCACGAATGCCGGCGAGGACAATGGAGGCGTCGGCGGGGAAGGGTGGAATCTCGTTCGGCAGATGGGTTACTGGTGTCGCGGGCCTCGTTACTGGAGTCTCGGGTCTCGAGCAAGCAGCCATAGAGTACCTACTGCTGCTGCTCGTCCTAGGACTCTGAGGCTCTCTCGGGGATGCATTATAGGCATTGCGACTGTCAACGCGAATAAACTTTGTGGGATTTTCCAGTTGGTGGTGGTTTTCAACGTCGTCGTCGTCGTCCATGGACGCGGTCACAAAGGACCGTTTCACTCCGGCCGTCGCCATGGCTCCTCAGCCTCGACCTCGACCCTCGACCTCGAACTGGCCGTGACAGTCCCAGTTGGCTTTGGTGAGAAGCCCAGGATACATGCGCAAGCGGCAGTGTCAAGTTGAGAGAGGGAGAGAGAGCGAGAGAGGGCGTGCAGGTGATTGTGTCTGTTGGCTAGCAATGTGTTTCCTCCCGCGCCACTTGACTATGTGGTCCTAACAAGGTCAGGCTCTCCAAGGAGTCAAGTCAGTCCCGTTAAGGCGCATCCAATGTCAACTGAGGCGGCAGAATTGTCAGGTGTGAAGGTACCGTTCCCCATTTCCGACGGTCGGGGCTGGACCATTGCCCCTCTCCCTTAGCTGGAGCATGAAGAGGTACTCTGTTGAACATTTATCCCAGAGGTCTCGAGTTAGTGAGTTACTTTCTCCGCCAAGTTTAGTACCCATTCCGAGACCACCGTCTCAAAGTAGGACCCCAATGAAAAGACAAACCAGGAAATCCCAACCGCTTTCTTATTCAACTCTTGCAGAGTTGACTGTTAAAGCAAAGCCTATGTTTCTCTTCATAGAGTCTATCCGATGGCAAACTAACACTAACTAGCCATCAGTAAAGCCTGCAAACGGACCCCATGACCGGGGTCTCTATGTAAACGAGTCATCCCAGAGCTTGAACCGTGCTCCATCAAAAACACCAAAGTATCTCACTAACACCCCGCAACTGGATTTCTTTGTACATGGCCTTTTGGAGCCAATGAATGCCACTGGGATTCCAGCTGACCTTTGTCCCCAAGCCCGAGATCAGACTGAACAAACAATCTTTTGAGACAGCGCCGTGACTATCCGACTTGAGCCTACCCCAGGATTTCCCCACCTCCAGCGAGTGCGAGGGAAATCTTGGAGAAGCAAAGACGTCAATCTTCGCCGCTGTCGTCGTTGTTACTGCTGCTGCTACTGCTGCTGTTGCTGCCCCTGCTCTGTCATCTCACCCTGCAGAGTTGCAACATTCAGCCGCCATCTCATCATCCTCCTCCAGTCGCTCAAACCGTCCCTTGCAGGCGCGCCCTTCCCTCTCACGCAGCTCTCATCGAAGTCTTTGCCATCGTTCACGCCCTCATGCCGTCCTCAACGGTGTGAGCCACAGGAGCTGCGCTGCCGCCCGAGGCATCAAACTGCAGGATGCCCTCCAAGAGAAAAGTCCACGATGCCGAGACCGATGTCACTTCGATCACTGCCCCCAAGCGCCAGCGAGTATCTCGAGCTTGCGACCAATGTAGAAGGCAAGCAACACTTTATTCGCACTTCGTTCCCATCTTGCTTTTGCTCTCGGATTTTTTTGTTGTTCGTTTGCTGCCCACAGCGAAGGTTGTAGGCCTCTTGTTAAGGGACTTGTCCTCGCTCCCTGATGATCCGGGCCCGAAGACATCTTAGGCTGATGACATCCTTGCCCTACGTTGCTGTCTTGTCCTTACCCATTTTGTCCGTCTCTTGTCGGCTCCTCACCATGGGGGATGTTGTTCCCATCTTGCTCTACTCGCCATTTTGTCGTACGCCCGGCTAGATGCTAACTAAAGTTACAGTGCCCGAGAGAAATGCGATGGCGTTCAGCCTCAATGTTTCTCCTGCGTAACCCTGTCGAGGCAATGCACATATAATGTCGCCCCGAAGAAGCGCGGCGTACAGACCGGTCTTATTCGGACGCTGGAGCTTGCCCTCGTCTGGCTCTTTGACCAAGTCCCTGGTACGGAAGAAAAGCTGGCTGAGTTGCTGGCCCGCGAAGGCGATGGTGGACAGTCTCTTCTACTAGACAAAGACAGCGACGCTGGCAATCGACTTCACAAAAGGTGGAGGAGATGTCGAGTCCATAAAGACATTGACCGACTCCTATCTGGCAAAGACGGCATAAGCCCTCGCCAGGACACCTCAGGGGATGAAACCGACGCAGAGGCGGACAGCCGCAATAAACAAAAAGACTCAACACCCAAAGACGGCGGGGATGTTTCCCCAAAACCAAACGCCACCGAACGAGCGTCAGACGCGACCTCGAAAGAACCCAATCCCAGACATCGGCATGACTCTGGGTCCCGACGACAGTTCAAACTTCCAAGGAATTTTCCTCGGCTACTTGATGTCTATTACTCATATACCCACAGTTGGCTTCCAATACTGAATTCCAAGGAAGTCCTCGATACCATCGCGGCCTCATACCCGCCAGACGGTCTCGATATCGACCCAGAAGACTCGAATGGGAGTGCGGCCCATGCTGAACTCTGGTGTGCCCTTGCTGTCGGAGCTTTCCAGGATGCAGCGTCATCCCATGTCTCTACAGATCGGCCCAGTTTTGTATTTGCAGCTGCGCGGAGTCTAATCCCCATGGAAACTGATATGGCACTGGGACATGTAAAAGCTCTACTGGTGTTATCGCTGGTAAAGTTGGGCCAGGACAACGCAGCTGCCGCCTCATTACTCATTGGCCTGGCCGTCAGAGGGGCCATGGCTTTGACAGATAGACGCTCTCGAAATAGGGATCGCAACTCAACACCAGGGCAATCAGCCCCTTTAACCCTCGAAGCGAACCCGACTGCGTTGGATCGCGTATTAATGGCCTGTCTCGTGCTTGATACTATAGTGTCCCTGGGACTTGGTCAAACACCACATATGAGAACTAGCGATATGAAAGACAAACCAACAGACGAAAACGGACCAGAGGAATGGGCTCATTGGGTACCTCGAATTGGGTTTGGGTCCGAGGAGGTCGAAGGCGCCGCCCACCCTGCACAGTCTCTAAGTTCTTTCAACCAGCTTTACCAGTTCTTCCGGACGCTTAACCAGAGCGTTGAGTCGGGGACCGCAACACAGCGGATAGGTGCAGCGGACCTGGTTCAAGTGCTTGATCCTCGTTTCTCATTTTGCAACTCCGTTGTGTTCGGAGCATCGACGATACCCAAACTCCCTTCGGCCTTTTTGATTCAGGCCACCTTCCTTGGCGCTACGTTGACTTTAATGGCTGATGCGCGGGTCTCGCTTATATGGAGTTTAATGGAAGTTTTGGAAAATTCCATAGCCAACTTTGGCGCGGCTGGCGTTTCACCGCTTCTTGTCACGTACATGAGCATCGCTAATACCAAGAGTTGCGTGAAGGCTTTGCGAGACGATGATAAAGCTAGATGGAACTCCATAATGGGGGATTTGGTGTCCGTCTGGCAAGATCGGACGACAAACATGGACTTGTCTCCCCTGGATATTGAGCCGGGCGGCAAAACATCTATCCAGGCTGAGCAATCAGCCGCTCAGTTCTCACAACCTGCTACACGCCAGACCCCCCATTATACACAGTTCCCGATAAACACAGATTCTTACCACTCCAATGGCGGTGGTTTCTTACAAACAGCTTCCTCAGCTAGTCCTTCGACAGCGAGAACACTCCCCTTCACCCCTGGAAGTCAGCTGGACGCGTTCCCTTCAGGATTTATGGGGCCATTGTCCTCCTCCACCCAAGCACCCTACCTGATGGGACAAGGGGCTCATGGTGTGGATTACGACGCCATTATGGACGAGCTCGCTTCCATAGACTGTACAGATAGCATGGAGGCAGACCCGCAGTTTATGGCCAATCTTGGTTTTGCCCCAGGATCAGACTTGACGGACATGCTGCGGAGTGAATTCGGGGGGATGTGAGAAGAGTTAATGTATTACGACCTTTTTTAGTAGAAATGAACAATTATCCAAAGCTACAAAACGTACCACTGTAGTGATCCGGTCTTTGGTTCTGAGTCTGATGTGAACGCCCACGTATATAAGCCCCGTGGCAATTATGTTCATCCATGCCAAGGGTATCGATCTGGAGAAGAACGGACACGCTAGCCCTTTTCGTGTGTTATTACTGGAGATTACAACAGGCTTGTCTCTCCTGAGGATCGCCTTGCTGTCTCGTCAGCAGCTATGGAGGGGCAACTAGTGCTTCCGGGAATTGATTTGAGATTCAACTCCGCGGGAAAGCCGAAAGCGAACAACGAACGGAAGTACAATCACCAGGCAGAAAGAACGGTAGCTGGAAAAAAGCAACAGAGAAAGGGGGAGAGTAAATAAAAAATGGTGGCTCGGCATTTGATCTCTGAACTCTTCAGTCAACCACAAATGATGATGTACAATTGCACGAATATACACAATATTTTGATGTCATCAACCGGTGATGTTAAACATTCTAGACACCTTTTCTTGTATTTGACCGTGAATCTCGCAGAAACAAAAAAGGGTAAACAGAATCCTGTTTCGTACTTGATAATAAGTCTGTTAAAAATGGTTACGTCTGTGCCTGTTCAGCACTTGTAAGTAAGTATGGTAATAAAAACTACAGTTCCCGTTCATTCCGGTGAGATTACACAATCAAATCACTAAGAGAAGGCTTGACTAGAACATTTCTCATTGCTTTACCTATGCAATGGATGAGTTATCACGTTGGGAGTTTGGCATGTATTGACCGGGTATACTCAACTCCCCCTGCTCGAGCAGCCAACTCATTCGGCCCTTGTTTTGCTTGCCCCAATCTCCCCCGTGGGCAAAGACCCATCTGACGGGTGGAAGGCTGGGGTGTCATACGCCTTTGTCTGGATTGCTGTCATTTCTAGAGGCTGGAACCCAACGAGTTGGCGTTTTCTCGGCTTCCACGTGCAATGTGAGACAGTTGAAATCAAATGCACCGTCGATGAGAGGATAAACATTCAACCACAGACCCCGGTCTGGGCATGGGTTCTCCAGAGTTTAGGGGGCTAGAGAGAGGGTCTAGCACGGAAATAGGCGTTAGTGCCGTGGATCACTGCGGAGAATACGTCCTCTACCGGTGTCCACGACGCTATGGAGACGAGTCAGTGCCCCCCCAGGTGCAGATTTTGCTCCGGTTCGGAGCCACGCTTTCACAGGATATGACTCCAACTAAGGGGGGAGAAGCGTTCACCCCATAGTCAACCATCTGTAATTCAATGCGCAAAGGGCGTTGTCAGAGTCTATTACCCCGGATCCCATTCGTCCCCCCCAGAGGCGTTTCCTGTGCGCGTGAATTGAGCAGCCTCCGCACGTAAGCCCCCCAGACTTACCCCAGACGAACCGACAGGCTGGCTGTCAGTGTTTACCAACGTGGAGGGAGGGAGCCCTGAACACAGATATAACAAAGGCAAACCCTGGACCCCTTTGATCAGAGTCTTCTTTTTCTTCTTCAGACTGCTCAACCCCAAACCTGAATTTGGAGTTCCCCAGTCCCAAAGGCCCGAGCAAAACATCATCCCCAAAGAGACCCATTACAACCAGCACAATGGCTCTCCTCACTCTCGTCGAGGACCGCCCGACGCCCAAGGCCGTCTACAACTGGCGCGTCTACATGTGCGCCATTATTGCTTCTTTTGCCAGTTGCACCATTGGCTATGATTCAGCCTTTATCGGAACTACGCTTGCTCTGAAGTCCTTCACCGATGAGTTCCAGTTCGCGAGCTACAGCACCAGCGGATTGGCTCTTCTCAAGTCCAACATCGTCTCTGTCTACCAGGCCGGTGCCTTCTTCGGCAGCTTGTTCGCCTATGTCAGCAGTTACTTCCTCGGCCGCAAGAAGAGTTTGATTGTCTTCAGTCTTGTCTTCATGCTTGGCGCCGGCATGATGCTCGGCGCCAACAGAGAGCGTGGTCTCGGTCTCATTCTCGGTGGCAGAGTTCTCGCTGGTATCGGTGTGGGCGGCTGCTCTAACATGACGCCCATCTACATCTCTGAGCTTTCCCCGCCTGCCGTTCGTGGACGTCTTGTCGGCATCTACGAGTTGGGATGGCAGATTGGCGGTCTCGTTGGTTTCTGGATCAACTACGGTGTCGACTCCACGATGGCTCCCAGTCACTCTCAATGGCTCATCCCATTCGCCGTTCAGCTCATTCCTGCTGGTCTGTTGCTTGTTGGAGCTCTCTGGATCCCTGAGTCGCCCCGTTGGCTGTTCTCCAAGGACAGAAAAGAGGAGGCCATGAAGGTCCTTTGCTGGATGAGGTATGTCTGAAGAATTATGAAAATGAAAAACACTTTTTTGCTGTAGAATATGAGCTAATACGCTTCCCCAAACAGAAACCTGGACGCCAACGACAAGTACATGGTCGAAGAAGTCAGCTACATCACTGCGGACCTTGAGCGATACAGACGGGAAGTCGGCGCTGGATTCTGGAAGCCTTTTGCCGCTCTCAAGCAAAGCAAGGTTCAGTGGCGCTTCTTCCTCGGTGGCATGGTAAGCATTTCTGTCAAAAAAAAAAAAGTCATCAACGATCGTGGCTGATTCCTGTATAGCTTTTCTTGTGGCAAAACGGCTCTGGCATCAACGCCATCAACTACTACAGCCCCACGGTTTTCAAGAGTATCGGTATCACTGGTACCAACACGAGTTTCCTCACCACCGGTATCTTTGGCGTTGTCAAGACGGTTGTTACCTTCATCTGGATTCTGTGGCTTATTGACCACCTTGGCCGCCGCAACCTGCTCCTGATCGGTGCCATTGGCGGATCCCTCTGCATGTGGTACATTGGAGGCTACCTTGCTCTCAACCCGGCTGCTGGTAACAACGGCGGCGGTCTTTCTTCCGGAGGCATTTCCGCCATGGTCTTCTTCTACCTGTGGACAGTGTAAGTTGCGAAAAAAAGAAAAAACGATCCCACCCTCTTGAAACTGGAAGAATATGCCGGCTGACTTGGGAAATGCCAGATTTTACACTCCTTCTTGGAACGGTACCCCGTGGGTTATCAACTCTGAGATGTTCGACCAGAACACTAGGTATGTTGCAAAGACGAACGCTTTGGATGCCCAGGCCATTTTGGACTAACAATGTCTCTAGATCTCTGGGTCAAGCAAGCGCTGCTGCCAACAACTGGTTCTGGAACTTTATCATTTCCCGTTTCACCCCTCAGATGTTCAACGCCTGGGGTTACGGAGTCTACTTCTTCTTCGCCTCCCTCATGATCTTGTCGGCCATCTTCGTCTTCTTCCTCGTGCCTGAGACGAAGGCTGTGCCATTGGAGATGATGGATCGTCTCTTTGAGGTTAAGCCCGTCTGGCGCGCTAACAAGATCGTCCTCGACGAGTTGGCGGAAGACCAGAGCTTGAGGCAGAACGACTCCGACGGGGTCGCTTATGGAGAGAAGTCCGACGAGGGAGAAGTCAGCCAGGTAGAGAGGAAGATTAGCGTCTAACGAATTGGGGCATGATTTACTAATATGAATTAAGGGCGTTTGAATGGGTGGGCCAAATGGTGGATATTCCCAATAATCCAATTCATAAGCTTTCATCCCACATCGAGAGAAACCGAGTGAAATGCCCCCGAGCTGCGCGCACTTCTACAGCCGTCAAATATGCGCAAGGCTGCAGAAAAAGAAGAAGAAGAAAAAGAAGTAAAGCGTGACCAACGAAAGGGGATTTGATACCCGGGGTAGACGAGGAAGTCGATAATTGGCGACAAGGCATTTGTTTGCAAGTAGAGGCTCTACGTATCGTACAGCCTCACTGCACCTGAGAGCACGCAAGCAAGGTACGAGGCGGTCATATTCCCCCCCCCTATCTGCATGTAGATTGAGTGTGGTACATCTTCTGTGAATACAGTATCTGTCAGTAGTGTTGAATTTGACAGCCACAACCCTCCTCCTCAGCCCCGTCATGCATGATGCAAGTAATGAGCAGGTTATACTTTGTGAGGGCTGTAAGACATGGCATCCTGGGATAAGCCTCACGCAGGCTTGAATGCCTTCTCCCATTGGGTTCTCTTCCACGGGGGGAACTTACCTGCAGTGAAAGGGAAATGGAGCGGCTAAAGCTGGTGACCTGGTAGCTACTTACGAGGACCCTGACGCAGTGTGTCAAGCCAAGACAATGGAAAAGCCTTATATTGGTTGGCGTATTGTTCTTGATCCTTGCACACCCAAGACGATCTGGAAGATGCAGTAGATCCCGAGCGAGACTGGTGACCAAGATCGGGGTAAGCAAGCTCATCCAGAAGGGCAGCCGCGCTTGTAACTACCTTGCACCGGTAATAAAAGAACTGCCTTGGCGGCCCGTCATCGTTATATAACACGAGTCTGCCAAGTTGCATTGGAACTTATCGGGACGTCGGCATGAAACCCTCCACTATTTCGGAATGTCGTCAATCTCGTTTCGCGGGTGAACGTTCTCTGCCTGGAAAAAGATTGAAGCGCATTGCCCCCCAGCAGTGACTGCGCCCGCGAATAATTGTGGTTCTCCCCCCCCTTGGTCTGATTTCTGACCTGTGGATGAGGCGGGACGGCCTTGCGTTATCTAAGCATTATCTATCTCCAAGATGTGACTGGAGTTTGTTCGGGTTACGTCTAGATGACTGTTGAACGGAATTAGGTATACTGGAATACATCTTGCAGCATATTGTTTTGAAATGGCTCCCTCTACGTGTGGAGTAGACTTGAAATGAACAGTGCATTGCAATAGTTAGTAATATTACAGCCCAAAATTATGAGATCAATACATGGGGAAACGGCTGCAAAAAAGACTGTCGTCTGCGGCTTATCATCGCCAGGGTCAGAGTTGATTCCTTCATGTTTTGCATAGTACAAAGTCAACTCGCCCACGCTATCCTATGATTTGTTTAACCACTACATCGTAACAGGCTTTATTTCTAAGACTGCTAAGAACATCGTCCTATTTCATCGATTTCACTTTGACGAAGACGATTTGAATGTGTCTTTGGTGTTATTTTTTTTTAATGTCATTTATTAGTGCCGCAGTCAACACAGTGTACAAAGCAAGCTCATGATCGGATTTACAACAAATTTTGTCTGCGATGAGCCTATTGGAATAATGTAAAATTCAGTATTTTTGGATGGTACGACGAAGAAGTCTTTTGAGGAAGGCATGCAGTGTGATGGTATGTAGTGTACAAAAGACAAGCCGCTGTTGACAATATCGATTCCCGAGATCCTGGTGAACACTTCAAAATAGAACTCAGTAATGTGAAGACAGATTTACTTCGCTATGTTGTTTGCTTTACACGCGATGTGATTTTTTGTAAAGTCTGAAAATATGTTTCTGATCTAAAAGTGGTAGGTAGTAGCGAAGGAAACTAAGCAAACACTTGCGGATTCAAGATAGAGTTAATAAATTTAGACTTTCGCCATCCTTCACAACGAGTTATAGGCTCATGGACACGGTACAGTTACAAGACATTTAGTTGAAGTTCATAATTATTCTTGTTAAAACAGTCGCTATGAATGTATATGCAAGTCATCTCAAATCTTCGTTACATTTCTTTTTTTTACAATTTTGAATGTTGTGACAGCTTGGCCGCAATCACCTCCTTTACTGCCTGAACGGGCAATTGGTCAACCTCCTTGCCAGTCCAGTAACGGTCCTAATTCAAACAAGTCAGCAAAACGTGTACATGAGACGAAGGATGTTAAGCGGTGTGTGTCAACATACCTGTTCCAAGCCCTGGTAAATCATGGCCTCGGTGCCAAGGATGACTTGCCAGCCAGCGTCCTCCGCAAGGGCGGCAATCTCAGTGAAGGGGGTAGGGTTGTAGCACATCTCGAGGATGGCGCCCTTGCGGTCCTTTGACAGGAACTCGACGATAATCTCACGGGCCACAATCTCCTCGGGGGTCTTGGGAGGGAAGTTGGGGACGCAGGCAACGATGGCGCCGGGGGCGTCAAGCTCCGTCGCCTCCTGGACGGTGGAGACGTGGTACATGTTGTCTCCATAGCCCCGCGACGTGCACTCTGCGATAACGGCGTCGACCTCGCTCTTGTCGCGGTTGACGAGGTAGATGTCGGTGGCCTTCATCCACTTGCGCAGGGCGTAGACGGCACTGCGAGCGGCACCGCCGCCGCCAATGACGAGGGCGGGCTTGTTGTGGTAGATGGCGTCCGGGTCAGCGACGTTTTGGACGAAGGACTCACGCACGCCGATGACGTCCGTGTTGGTGCCGCAGTATATCCGCTTGCCGTCACGTTCTCTGATGAAGAGGGTGTTGCAGGCGCCGACGTCGCGGCACTCATCCGTCAGCTCGTCAAGGTGCGGGATGATGGCGACCTTGTTAGGCATGGTGACGGAGCTGCCGTAGAACTTGGGGTGCTTGATGAGTTCCAGGAACAGTGCCATGTCGGCCGAGTCCAGTCGCATTTGCTCCCATTTCAGACCGATCCCTTCGTAGATGGTGCTGTGCAGGAGAGGTGACAGGGAATGTGTGATTTTCTGACCAAAAAGGTACCCATGGCGGTCGAGCTGCTCGATCTTTGCCACGATAGGATCCTCCAGCTTTTCCATGATAGCGGGGCTGGCCATGTTTGGCTGTGTTGATTGGGAGGTTTGATGGTTAAGAAAAATGTAAACTTGAGCTTCTAGTCTGTTGGCGTGCTTTTGGGGGTATCTGGCGTTTGTCTTTGTGTATACAAGTTGAATCGTGTGACTGGGTGAAAAGGGGGAAATGTGACAATGGTATGTAAAATGTAGCAATCAAGCAAACAAATAGAAGAATGGAGACTGTTTGTTCTCGGAGTAAAGCTATGCTGAAGCCACTTTTTGATGTTCCCTGGTGTCTCTCTTTTTTTTTCTCTCTTCCGACAGGTTACGAGGCCCAATAATAATTAATTGTTCTTGCGGGACACGGGGAAAAGTCCGGGGGTGAACATTGGGGTGCTTCAAGATCCAGTAGGGCTATTCGTATTGGCAAACACGCACGTTTCTTGGAGGGTCTCCCGGCAAAGAACTCTCCAGAGATACTCCAGATAGAAGTGCCGAACTTTACGAATCTCGGAAGCGTGGGAGAACTACGCCTAGCCGACCAGATTAGAGAGGCAAAGTGAGAAGAAGCGCATCACACCCCCCAAAATGTGTCTCGCTTTGTTAGTGGTGCCCACTTCTCAAGGGTTGAAAGCTGAAGAATGTTTATCCTCTCCACTACACTACCCCAAAAGGGGGGGGAAGCATTTATCCTGACAACCGTCGCCGCCTGGTAAAGATTGTCGTCACCAGCTGCCAAGTTCAACACCATCAACGACCGGTCTTGGTGACGGGCGTTGCACATCACACTCAAAACACTCTCAAAAGGTACATTGGGTACGCGGAAAGCGTCATCCTTACAAGCCCGGCTACCCTCGGCGACCCCAGAATTTCCAAGACTCTTATTCCGCAGCGCAATGATGCTGATAAGTCGGGGGAGGCGGCGGATGAATGATTTGCTCCCCCAACCCACTAAACCACCCGGTGTAATCCGGGGATGGCATGGTAGCAGGCTGTCCTATGAGACCATTGGATAGTCTACTTATCCTGTGACAAACTTGTCGTATGTCTCTGGAGACTTTTGTGTCGATGATTTGGCTACCGAGTTGCAAATAATCTTCCTGATCCCCCTGTTGCCGAGGGACACAGACTTACGACCCAAACGCTCTCCCCTCCACTCCCACATACCTCTGACCTTTTCTACCATCTGGTAACCCCCCTAAAAGCCACTCGAGCCTATCTCATAATCTTGCGTCTTTATGATTTTGTCTTGCTACTGCATTTGATACCCTTGAGAGTCACTTCATCCCTACTCTCTCTCTCTCTCTCCCTCTCGCTCTTACACACACACACACACACATCTCGCCCACCATGCCTTCCCGTCTAGCCATCAGCACCATGTCGCTCGGGCGATGCTGGGCTGGTCACACCTTTGAGCACAAGATGGACATGGCCGCAAAGTACGGTTACCAGGGCATCGAGCTCTGGCATGAGGACCTTATGGATGTCGCCGAACAGCTACCTGGAGGAGCCGCCCTGCTGGAGAACCAACTCGCTGCTGCCAAAATCGTCAAGAGGATGTGCAATGCTCGCAACATCGAGATCGTCTGTCTTCAACCTTTTCAACACTTTGAGGGCCTCATCGACCGTGAACAACATGCTCGTCGGATCGAAGAGTTGCGCGTGTGGATTCAGCTCTCCCACGTCTTGGGCACCGACCTGATCCAGATTCCCAGCAACGTTCTTCCTGCGGAGCAAGTTTCCGAGGATCTTGAGCTTCACATCGCGGATCTCGCAGAGGTGGCAGATATCGGTGCCGCTTCCAACCCTCCCATCCGCTTTTCGTATGAGAGCTTGTCTTGGGGCACGCGGGTCGACGTCTGGGAGACCTGCTGGGAGGTCATTCAGCGGGTCGACCGGCCCAACTTTGGCATGTGCCTCGACACCTTCAATATTGCCGGGCGCATCTTCGCAGACCCTTGCTCAGCAACCGGAAAGACGGCCGACGCCGAGCAGGCAGTGAAGGACTCCATCCAGAGACTCCTCACCACCGTCGACGTTTCCAAGATCATTTACGTGCAGGTCGTGGATGCCGAGAGGCTCGCCGAGCCGCTGACACCCGCTCACCCCTACTACAACCCCGAGCAGCCGTCACGCATGTCTTGGTCAAGAAACTGCCGTTTGTTTTACGGCGAGTACTCCAGAGGTGCCTACCTCCCCGTCCGGGAGCTCTGTGCAGCAATCTTCCAGGGGCTGGGATTCGAGGGTTGGGTCAGCTTTGAGCTGTTCAACAGGAGGATGTCGGAGGAGGATTACGACGTCCCTGAGGAGTTGGCTAAGAGAGGAGCGGCTGCGTGGGCCAAGCTTGTGAGAGACATGAGGCTGAGAGTGGAGGAGCCATCGACGACGATGACGGCGTCGCTATAGTTTCGAGATTATCATGACTGTTATGACACACAAAATTGCAAATAGCGAATGTACAATAATACTACTATTTTGATATTTTACTTTTTTTATTTTCATTTTTATTCTTAGTGATTAACTTTTATCTAAAGCCTCACTTCCTTCTTGATCTTCAAATGTTTCGCCGCAAACTCAATGGCAGCCGTGTATCCGTACACTCCCAACCCGCAGATGACGGCGGCCGCCTTGTCGCTGAAGTAGCTGTGGTGCCTGAAAGCTTCCCTGGCATGGACATTGGAGATGTGAATCTCGACAAAGGGGATGTCGACACCCAGGAGAGCGTCGCGGATGGCGACGCTGGTGTGCGTGAAGGCGGCGGGGTTGATGACGATGGCGTCAATGTTGCCCCTGGCCTCGTGGATGCGGTCGACGATGGCGCCCTCGTGATTGGACTGGAAGTTCTCAATGTGTACTTTGAGATCGGCCGCCTGCTTCTCGGCCATGGAGACGACATCACTGAGCGTCGTCGATCCGTAGGTTTGGGGTTCCCTGGTACCCAGGAGGTTCAGGTTGGGACCGTTGATGAGGAGAATGCGGCTGGCCATTGTGAAGGAGTTTTGAGGTGTTGGGATGATTGACTGATGAGACGGCTTTTTTTTTTTTGAGTTCAGCTTGATTCGAATCTACTGATTATAACTTTAGATGGTTGAGATTCGTTGTTGTTCATAAAGTAGTCTTTCAACCAAGTGGATAAGTCTTGTTCCGTCTAGCCGTCGAGAATGCTCAGCCGGTGATGGGTGATGGGTGGGATGAGAGATGTGATGAGCGCCGCGGGGAACGCATCTGCCCCGGATTTTGAAAAGGCTCACGTAAGTGACTTAATTCAAAAAGCCCTCCTCCTACACATGGCATTCCTCCTGATCGGCATCTCTCTCAACTCCTCTGGAGCTGTGACTTGATTTCTAACCCACTGGGTCTTTGACGAGCGAGGGGGAAGCTTCCCAGCTCCTAATTCGGAGTTCCACACACACATACACACACACGCCCTACCCACACCTTACTAAGGGACCCCTCGTGTTATTTTTTTTATGGTTTTGGGGGATGCTATCCACTGTAACTGGCTCGCCTGGCCGCCCAAGGGACCTGTCCACAGGGCGGGGTGCCCAGGCGGGGTGTTTCCCCGCTGATAGGGGCTGATGGCGCGCCGGACGTCATCCCGCTGTGCTTCCGCAGTCTCCAGCACTCGGTTGGCGGCGGCCCAGCGGTCGAGTCACCAATTTTCTGACTGATAACCAGCCCCAGGGGGGGCCGATCCCGCATGCGGTCGTGCCGTCTGATGTGCTTTTGTTGGTTTCAACCATTTTCTGCTACTCTCGTGTTCTTTCTTCTCGCCAATCTTGATTACTTTTTTTTTTTTTTTTTTCTTCTTCTTTTTTGCTTCTTATTTTTATGAGAATCTTTCTAGAAAAGCCGATACCCTAAAGGACTGATATAAATAATGGCGGACATTAGCGACAATGAGCTTCGTGAGATCTACGACTTTGCCGTTCAATTGGGCAAAGATGCGGGAGCCATGCTCATGAAGGCGGCGAGGTCGAGGTTCGAGGGCGGCGAATCGCAAGTCATTACAGAAAAGGAGAATTCAGTAGACCTGGTAACCAAGACAGACACAGGTACGCACTCTTGTAGAGAAACTCTGTGACAGCGTGGGAGCTGCGAATTAAGTCACTGACAAAACCATCTCACTCCAGAAGTTGAAGCTTTCATCCACACTTCGGTCGCAAACAAGTATCCCAACCACAAGTGAGTAGCAGCTTGTTGCCATAAAGCTCGTCTCTTCCCTCTCATCTTCTCACGCATTCATTCCTTACAATTGCCAGATTCATTGGCGAAGAGACATACTCAGCCGGCTCATCCCGCGATTACCTCGTCGACGACAGCCCGACATGGATCGTCGACCCCCTCGACGGCACCGTCAACTTCACCCACCTCTTCCCCATGTTCTGCGTCTCCATCGGCTTCGCAGTGAAAGGAAAGCCGATCATCGGAGTCATCAACGCGCCCTTCCTCAACCAGACATTCTCCTCCCTCAAGGGCCACGGCGCCTGGATGAACGAGACGCAGAAGCTGCCCCTCATCCTCAGCCCCCTGCCGGCCAACGCCCCTAGCGGATGCGTCTTTTCGTGTGAATGGGGCAAGGACCGTCGGGATACGCCAGATGGAAACATGCACCGGAAGGTCGAGAGCTTCGTCAACATGGCGGCTGAGAGAGGTGGAAGAGGCGGCAAGGGCGGCATGGTGCACGGCATGAGAAGTTTGGGAAGGTTAGTTTATTGCCATGGCCGATGCAAGGGACGCCTGCTGACGAAACAGTGCGACGTTGGACCTGGCGTATACCGCCATGGGATCGTTCGATATTTGGTGGGAGGGTGGCTGCTGGGAGTGGTAAGTTTACCTTGGCTGTTCTTGTCAATATATTGTGCTGATGCATTTCCTCCAGGGACGTCGCCGCAGGAATCGCAATCCTCGAAGAGGCCGGTGGATTGATGACCATCGCCAACCCGCCCGGAGATACAACAGTCATCCCGGAAGCAAAGCTGGGCAGCAGACTTTACTTGGCCATTCGGTAAGCTGATGTCCCAGGAAATCGTCGTGGCTCGTAGCTAACAACATCTAGTCCCGCAGGGCCTTCTGAGAATGAGACCGGTCGACAGGCACAAGAAAGAGTGGTGCGAGAGACGTGGAAGCGTGTAAGACACCTGGAATACTCAAGACCTGGTGTGTAAGACAAAATAAGACGAGGAGACGCAACTCGACATTGCAGACAAAACCAAAAAAAAAGAAAAAGACATAATTCCATTTAGAGATCAGTTCTAGCTTGTTCTCCAGCCCATGCCCTCCGCACAATCTCTCGAATCTTTGCCTTTTCCAACGGGCGCGGGTTCCAGTATGGCGTGTCCGAAGCAACATCCGTGACGTGATCAATCTCGCTCTCCTTCATGCCCACGTCCCTGAGCCCCGTCGGGATATCCAGGAGCCGGATCAATTCGTTCAGACCTGCCACGATACCGGCGACGGAGTCTTCCGTGCTTTGGAAGAGGGCCGCCGACAACTTGCTTCTAGTCTCCTCGGAGAACGAAACGGCATTGTAAGCAATGCTGTGCGGGAGCAAGATGGAGTGCGTCTCCGCGTGGGGGAGACCCAAGGTCCCGCCCGCGGCGTGAGCCAACTTGTGCTGAAGCGCAATCCCAGTTGCGGTCGCCAGGAGTCCGGCGAGGAACGCGCCGTAGAGGGCCGATGTGCGCGCCTCAGTCGATGACGGGTTGTCAACGACCACTGGGAGTGAACGAGACAAAGCCTTGATGGACTCAAGAGCAAGGTGGTCTGTGATGGGACTGGCTTGACGTGAGTACAACGCCTCGACTGTTTTCCCGTTAGTGATGCTGCGATGCCTTGTGATCAAACGGCTCCAAGTGACGTTGAAAAGGATAGGCGACAGGCACAGCGGGGAAACGTACATGAGTGTGCCATGGCATTTAGGCCACTTGGACCGCTGACTTTGGCCGGAAGATCCATCGTCAAGTCGACGTCGTATATGACGACCTTTGGTAGAACCTTGGGATCTGTAGTTGAGGTCTTTTTGCCGTCCTTGGTCTCTCCAATGATTGGCGTCATCTCTGAGCCCGAATAAGTCGTTGGAATGGCAACCTGTGGCAACGCGGTGCGGAGGGCAATGGCCTTTCCTAAACCGACCGCGCTGCCTCCACCGACCGAGATGAGAACATCTCTGTTATTCGCACGTTCTACCGCTGGCCCGATGATTTCGCTCGGGTTGTGGACTTTGGCCGTGTCGAGGATGTCTGTGTCTTTGATGCCAGCCTCTGTGAGCTGGTCCTGAATCTTGGTGGCCAGAGAAGTCCGAGACGGAGAGCATATGATGAGTGGTTTTGAGAGGTTCCGAGACTTGAGCTCGCCAGCCAACTCCTTTAGAGTGCCTGGCCCGAAGAACACCTTTGGCGTGGTGATGCCGAACACAAAAGGCGCAATGGACTCCATGGTTTGTTATAGTGAAGAAGAGTTTCTTTTCCTGAGGTGTACAGGGTTGGTGTGATTTGGGGTGAGAGCGTTGCTTATTTTAAAGGCTGAGCGAGGTCTCCAAGTTGTCAGTTAGTCGTCATCGCGGGGGGAGTGGGGTCCGACCGTTGAGACAGTTCTCCGACCCGACAAGGCCGGTAATCCCGCCTGGTTGTGGCAAGTGTCTTCCTCAGACCCTACACTCATGGTGTAAGCCGTTGTTCACCTGGAGTAAATGGCGTTGGATTTCATAAACTAATTACGGACTTTCTGCCGGGACACTTCAATGCGAGTAAGCAGTCGATTATGGGGCATGGTAGCCAACGCAAACATGGATTCGAATCAGTTCCATTGGTTGCCTATCTTTCTTCAGACGACCCTGGAGGGGTATCATTAGTTATATCGACTTAATCCAAGCCATCGAAACCCAGAATGCCGTGAGCGCCCATGGGGCCCAGCTTGGCCGCGGCTCCCGTGTTCTGGCGCTTGCTCTGCCTCTTTCCACCGTCACTATCACTGTCGCTGTCGCTATCGCTATCACCGCCCGCGCGGCGCTTGCCGGGCGCTCCGTCCTCGCTGTCGCTGTCTTCGTCGCTGTCATCGCCATCGCCTCCTTGAAGCTCTGAAAGCTCCTCCCATACCTTGACAGTCCTACCACCGGCAGTGATCAGCCGGTTCTCCGAGTCAAAAGCGACGGAAATAACACCCTCAACATCGTCGTGTCGGAGGTTGACCACCTGATCGACATCTCTAGTAACCAAGTCGACGACCCTCAGGCTGCCGTCGCCTAGACCTACAACCAGCTTCTTGCCCAGGCCAAGCTCCTGAGGCACCAGGGCCAGAGCATCCAGACTCTCGCCACCCGACTTTCCACCATCGACGATGATGCGCTCCTGCTGATCATCCCAAGCGCCCCGATCCCACACCGTGACAACACCAGACCCAGAACCAACAGCGACGACACCGTTGTTTCGGTTGTTCTTGGGTCCCAGGCCAGGGACGTAGGTCGCGGACAGCAGCTCGTCCTCCTGGTCGTCGGACCGAACAAGAACACCCTTTCGAACATCAGTTACGGCGAGAGTGGTGCCACCGGTTGAGACCCATTGCTTCGGGAAACCAGACGTGCTCTCGGCGGACGGGGGGAGGGGGACCACAGCGGAGACGTAATCGGAGTGAGGGAAATGGGTCTGGGCGGGCTTGGTGGCGGGCGCGCCGTCTCTCAAGTCGATTATGTGCATGGCGCCAGAGTCGCAACCGAGGAGGAGGCTCTGGGGGTTCAAGACGTGCATGAGGGTCGGGGCATCGGTCTGCTTGTTTGAGGAAGGAAGGGCGACCTTGGAAATGACCTTGCCGGTCTCGGGGGAGAAGTGCTTGAGCAGTCCATCGGTGCCGGCAGAGTAGACAGCTGTAGACGACATAAAGTCAGCTTTTCTTCTTGTAGATCGCCGCAGCTCTTGGGCAGGTTACTAACCAGATCCATCGTGACTGTAGGCGACAACTCTACAGCTACCCTTGTGCCTTCTCGTGCGCCAGACACTCTCAATCATGCCCCGACCGGTCGAAGAAATGCTGGTATCGGCATCGCCAGACGCATCGGAGGCGTTATCGACAGGGGCCGGCAGGCGGAAAGTCTCGACATGGCCAGAGGCGAGGCCGACAGTCAGCATCGGCTCAGTTGGATGGAGAGCCTGGGTGAAGACGTCGGCCGACAGGGGGAGGGTGCAAAGGTTTTCGAACATTTCTGCGGCATCAATTGGTGTCCTGGACACACAAACAATCGATTAGAGAGGGGGAAAGAGGGCCTATAACAAGGGCTGGCTGGCAAATCTTGACAGAAGCTGACCGAAGCCAGGTTGGAGGGGGACTACGACGAAATTTTTAAGGTGAAGATTTCACCGAGGTGTAGAATGCCCCACCTGAGCTCTCACCGAGCGCCACTTCAAGACCAGCGGACCAGGGTGCTGGGAAGACAGTAACCAGCACAGCAGGGACCTATTCCCGCCTCGTTTGAAAAGGTAGAAACACGGACACACGGAGCAACCCGTCCAGCACGAACCAAAGGACTTTAGTTTTGAAATTTGGTTTTGGCGACAATCCATGTTTCTCGATTGCGACGGTGCAACAATCCGCTTCCCTGTTGGTCCATTTTTGTTGTGATACCGATGGCAGGCACAGCCCGCCGTGAGCATGTGTGCCGCAACTCAAACCGGCGTTGCATTAGTAAATCTCTTGAGATGCTGGCAATGGCTTCAACGTAATATGTTACGACCCAGCGCTCTAAAAGTTTTTGGGGCCTTTTTCTTTCTTTCTTCAATGATTTCAATTGCTTAGCGGCTAGGAAAGTTCGATTGTGTCAGTGGAAGCTGCTTGTTTTTTAAGGTGCTACCTACCTTATTTGTCGACCTCTTTTTTAGCAGAAAAGGAAAGAGTCGGTCGGGCTCACTGTCCCTTAAGGTTAATTGATGCGGGGTCCTTCCCCGCAGGGCGGTAAAGTGTAAAGTATACATAGCGGCAGCTGCAGGAAACACTGGAATGGTCGCACCTGCCACAGCGGGGTTCCTGCATCAAGTCGATCCCAGCAGTCGAAAAGCAGTCCAAAGACAGAAACAACGGCAGGTACGGACGGTCGTGCAGGACAGAAAAGCACCCTTGTTTCGCACGCATCATACATTCCTCTTTTACTTCTTTCCCCCTTCTTTTTAAACCGTTTCCCTCTCCTCTTCCCCTTGAATACCGTTTGTGTTGAGACACACCCCTTATTGAGGTTTCCCCAATAACGCGACGCAACCGGTACCCAGACAGCCCCCTTAAAAACAAGTCTACCACCGGCTGCATCGCAAGCCATGAAGCTGTTTCCCACAGCATTAGGAGGCCTGTTGATTTTCCTGCAGTCCTCCGCAATGGCGTACCCCCCAGAGAACCTGCGCTGTGTCATGTACCTGACCGGGTCAGCAGCTCCCCTCCCTCCCTTGACTACATCCGTCAACCGCTGCAGCTGCTAACGTCCCGCCATAGTCAACATCCCAATGTGCCTTCCAAGGAGCTGGTGTCTCACATCACCCACGTGGAGTTGGCCTTTATGAATTCTGACACCTTCAACAAAGACGTCGCAGAATGGCCGCTTTTCACCACCGTAGAAAAGGTCCGTACCCAGTTCAGGCCTGGTACTAAGGTCATGGTCGCCATTGGCGGCTGGAGCGATACCAAGGGTTTCGACACTGCTGCCCGTACTCCAGAGTCGCGGAAGAAATGGGCCCAGAATGTGGCCGACATGGTCAAGGCCACAGGTGCTGACGGTAAGGAGCCACCATAGATTATAGTATATTGCAATAGGCAAAGCAAGACTGACAGAAGCAGGCATCGACATGGACTGGGAATACCCGGGGTGAGTGGAAAAGAACTAATCTTTTCACATGTGTCTTTCTAATGAGTACACCAGTGGAAACGGTGAGGACTACAAGAACAACACCAACGAGGAGAAAAAGTGGGAAATCGACGCCTACCCGTTGCTCCTTGAAGAAGTCCGTAGACAGCTTCCCAAGGATAAGCTTATATCAGCTGCGACTCCTGGTCTTGAGCGTGACATGATTGCCTTCACAAAGGAAACTGTCCCGCGCATCGAGCGCGCTCTCGATTTCGTTAACGTCATGACTTACGACATGATGAACCGCCGAGACAACGTTACGAAGCACCACACCGGCTTGGAACTGTCCCGAATCGCCGTCGAAAACTACATGGCTCGGGGAGTTCCTGCCCATAAGATCAATCTCGGCTTTGCCTTCTACACCAAATGGTTCAAAACAACCGACTGCCCTGAAGGCCAGGAGGTCGGTTGTCCAACACCGTTGATGGAGGACCCCGTTACCGGCGGTGACCTAGGCCAGACCGGAGGCTTCAGTTGGAATGACGGAGTCCCAGAGGAGGTCAAGGGGTCGTTTGAGCGGGCCCAAAAAGATGGCAAGTATGACGAGAAGGGTGGTGGATACTACTACTTGGACAGGGCCGAAAAGCGATGGTGGACGTACGATAACCGCGATGCTATCCTCCGCAAGTTCCCCGCTCTCGTCGATCGCATGCGGCTCGGCGGTGTCTTTGCCTGGGGTTTGGGAGAAGACGGTCCCAATTATGAGAGCCTCAAGGCCGTCAACGAAGGGCTGGCGCAGCGAAGTGGCAGAGGAGGGGTATGGTGGCCTGGTCCGCCACGTGAGGCTGATGAGCTGTAGGTGAGCCCCGAGCAGCGGAGAAAGCCGCTGCTTTTCGTGTCCTAGAAGATGAACCGTCGACTCACTTTCGAGTTGCGCATAGTGCCAACCGTGCGGCGTCGCACGTGGAATGAAAAGCTTACATGTTATTGTGAACGTCATGATAAGACGCGATGTCGATACTAGACCAATTGAAGCTTAATTATCAACTCTACTGCTTCGCAAGCGACCTAGTCTACCTTGCTCGGGTCTTGGGACATATTGCGGATGCTACTAAGGCGTTGACACGGGCAATGGCCAATACCTGTTGATTGACGACTGCGGTTTACCCTCTTGTCATGTAGTACCGAAAAGGAAGCTTGGGCGCAAGCTAAGCTTTGGTAAGCTATGATTGGATGCTGTCACGATTTGACGAGATTCTATCTCTCCAGACACGAGTGACAAGCCTCAATTGACAACTTGAAAGCCCTAGCTCCAGAAGGCTTCCTTGTGGTTCCCAGCTAGGGTTGATGCTATCGACCACTGCACACTAGTATTCGCGCAAATCGGTTCGCGAAGTACCTCATCGAGGCTTTCCAATGGCCGCTGTCAAGTGATGGGCCGAAAAAGTTCTTTGCGAGACAATATAAGGTTTTTGTCTTTGTGATACAACCAACAACCATGTCAAAGGTCCCAAGAGGTCATGCTTAGACAGCCACAGATCTAAGTTGTCTTAGCCAGATGAACGGTGCAAACCAAAAGTGTTTGCATCGTTGCGTCACATGGAATGACAGCAGCCGTGGATAACTGGTCAGACGGTCTCTGGTTTGACCGATGTGGCTGCAGGTTATGCGGAAGATGAAGGGGACCTAAATGAGCTGGTGCTGTAATACAGAAAACCGAACGATCTTAGGACTCAGCAGGGATTGTCTTGTAGATGGCTGGGCAAGTTAATGGGCAAAGTGTCGAGCCGGCAACTCGGAAGTAGAAGCGGAGAGCCAAGAGGCAAGACGCGTCAGGGACTCGCGCTTGGGGGGGGCTTAAAAGTGTGGGATGAGCGCCGGAGGTAAGCACACCGACAGTGAAGAGTTTTTTTTTGTCCTTTCGAATAGGGACACAGGGAAGAAGAGGTTGGGTGGTCCTCAAGGAAACTTGGCGGTCTGACATGAGAGACCCACGTCATAAGGGTTGGTTCCCGTCGGGGGAACACCCTTTGCTGCATGCTGGCGGTGCCGGGGCCGAGACGGGTCGGCGGCCCACTCTTTGCCGGCGTTAGGTCATTGTGAGGTGCCTCTCTTAGGGGAGCATGCGCTTCAAGTGTTTCCCGTTTGCAAGTTCGTTAGTACCGGTAGTTGAATGATGTGTGGTCCATGCTGAGACCCAATGGTTCATGATCCATGTCTTTGCATCACAAGCCAAGAATGCAGGGTCGCGAGGTGGTGCAGTGAGGGAGGCTTTTAGTGGTTGTTGGGCAGTGCGGGTGACAGAAGCCAATCGACCAGATGATGGGTGGTGGGCGACGTTTACGCGGATTAGTTTCACCTGTCTGCCTCTACCAGCGAGTTAAATGAAGATGCTAAAGGGCGAACGAGCAAAGCCAATAGCTGTCAGCCAATGCCTTCCCTCGATCTCCAGCGTTAGACACATCCTAGTGTCGCGTCCCTCTAGCCGTGTCTTGGTGTTCTGCGCGGAGAGGGCAGCTCGGGCGAACGATGAATCAGTACTGATTTCATCGAAAGTGACAGAACGGATGGAGGAGTCCGCCTCTGTGACGCAACATGTGTAATTCACGTAATTGGGTTGCAAGAACTACGGCAGCGGCATGCCGAGCAGCTAAGCAAATTCTAGGCTTTTTTTTTTTGCTTTTCTTTTTCTTTTTTTGGGTACTTCTTTTTTATGAACTTGTAGGGCGAAAGCCAACGCAAGAAGCGGCACGTTAGAACCTGGCATAACACCAACAGAAAAATAACAGAGACCAACCTTCAATAGGATTGCAGATGATGGAAGGTGCGAGCAGGGTGTTCCCCCGAAGAGTGGATACAAGCTTACCTAATGAGGGAAAGCGATGGGGGCACTTGGGAGTCATCCGCCACGTTCAGTGGCCTGAAGTGGCTGAAGATTAGCGTCGACTCTACTGCATGGCAAGCTAGCGCAGCTTCTGATTGGGCTACATGCCTGTCGAGGGCTCCAACAATGAGGTCATTGCCGCCTGTTGACCCTTCCCAAGCTGGAACCACGTCATTGTCGACCCTCCAGCCCCAACCTCATTACGCATCGCCAACTGTACCTAAGCCCACGCCTGGTACTACCATTCAACATGTCCGCCGTATGTAGCAGGCCATCGTAAAAGTAGTACCCTTGGTGAATAAAGGAATGAGTGAATGACGGTGTACGTATCCTGCATACACTACGGAGTAAGGTATCTGACAATGCCTGCGTCAGGGTCTTGCCTGGTTGCTGTCAAAGGACGATTACCTCCTTGCGCTGCGCTTCCTTTCACTTCCTTTGGGCAGGAAAACGGCGTCGTTTGCCCATCTGACGCCATTCGGTCGTTGAACACGCGCCTTGTACCTTGAATTTGAGTGCTTGGTCCTTGTCCTTGACTTACTACTTATTCAACGTCGCTGCCTACTCCAGCCTCCTCAAACTTGATCTCTCACTCCACAGATACCCAACCTACACTACAATCAGCCAACTCGACTCATCATCCACTGAGCTTACTTAAGCTTAACTACCCTCCCATCCCCGTCAACTAAGAACCAACTCCCACAACAATCCAGACAAGGATACCTAAGATCGCCATGGCTCTTGGACTCGTACCCATTGCCCACATCGTGGCTGCCGTCTTTTCCATCATTGAGCTTGGTCTCAGTGGTTATGGTACGTGTCTCGCAACCTGATTTTTGCACTGTCCTTCCTTACTAACTAGGTTAATAGTTGCCAGCAGCTACTGGTGGCGCTCGCCCGATATCGTCAACTTCATCATCTTCTGCTCCGTCTGGTCCCTGTTGGTCCTGGCTTATGTCGGCCTAACGCCTCTGTACCTGACCCGCTTTTTCCACAAGCTGGTGTCCCTTGGTCTTCTTGTTATCACCACCATCTTCTGGTTCGCTGGCGCAATCGCCTACGCCGTCTTCGTCGGCCACCCGAGGTGCGGAGCCAACACCTACTGCGGCTCTGCCCAGGCCGGTGTTGCTTTTGCTTTCTTCGTCTGGGCCATCTTCACGTTCCTCACTGTCCTTGACACCCTCGAGGCCATGCGCTCGCGCGGCCACAGCACCAGCACCAAGGCCAACCACGCCTACCCTGGCGCCTAAGCCATCGGCTGAGATCGAGCGGTGAAATGAGATGTGTATCTGATATGCGGCAATGAGTTTGAGTGGCTGGAATCGGATCCGGGTTTTGCGACGGCCTTTCAAATGATGTGGAAATACCCCTTCGAGTATGAAATGGAGTTTGAGTTTTGGAATTTGACAGTTTGAGATTACTGGCGTCGAGGGGATGGAGTTTTAGGGATGCAGAACATCTGTCCTCGGCAGATGCTTCAATAATACAAACATCTATTACCCATTTAATCCGTTCTCCATACACATATTAAAACAATGCATCGGGTGTGGTCTTTTATTTGTGAAATGTGATTGTATGCAGCTAACTTCGACTCTCTACTGGCTAGTCAAAGACAAAAGTCCTCAACGGTTGCTAACGACGTCCACGTATTGGATAGCCGCGGCAACAACTACGGAGAAGTAGGATGCAAGATTCCAGTACATACGGGCGCAAATGACTCGTGGTGCCGATATGGGAGGCTTGGCAATGACCGTATCAGACAAATTTCTGGAGCCCGTTTAAATTGCTCTCTGAAAGATGACATGGAACAAAGGGGCCGGATCGGAGCTCCCGGAAGCCGTAACATCGGAGCTAGACACCGGGTCTCAAGCCGTGAGCATGGCCTTGGGTAGGGCTGTCGGTGAAGTTAGTCCAAGGTGGGTGAACAAGGTAAGGCGTATAGTCTTGGCCTCGGTCTGCTTTGTCTTCATGATGAGCACGTGCCTTTATGCAGCCAGTGAGCTTGCGATGCAGAACATCGGGTAAGGAAAGGGCGTGGGTAAGGAAGAGAGCTCTTTCCCAAGTCCTGACTTCCGCGAGAGCCACCTTCCTTTTCAGTTGACCTATGGAAGCACAGAGTAAGAGCTATCGAGGATGCAATTGGCGAATGAGGTGTCTTCCTAGCGGCACGCTGTGCCTGCCACAGCTAGAGTGGGGCCGCTCAACGGCACTAGTGGGCTTATACCCCGGTGACCCCTCCCGATGAACTGGGCTTGTGAGGGAAACATTGCGGGATGAACCCCACCTCCAATCTGCCCTGTCGTAACTTCTCCCTACAGCACCTCCGGAATTATTGCTCTACTTTCGCGGCCGAGGTCTCTCGTTGTTTATTCTTCTTGTCAAGCCTCGTGTGCTCTCTCTCTCCCCCGGTCCGCAGCCAGCCTCTCCAATGCTACCTCAGCACTGTATCACCACGTGTTGGCAGCATGCTTCTCCTACGGCCCACCTCCTAAAGTCCATCATAGCAGAGAGGAAACGGCCATACCGAATCTAAGCATATCGTCCGACGCTGCCTTGGACATGATCCAACCTTTACCTCCCTGTGGCCCCCGTAAGGATCGGCCAACCCTCTTTTATGGGACTAAAATATGCAGTAGGTATCTCGGCCTACTCATCCAGTAGCAGGGCCCTCGCTGTTGTTGTGCAGCTTTTTTGTCTTGGCGAAAATTCCAATCTCCCTACAAAAAGATCGTCGTGTCTGCGCCGTCGTTCCCACTTGGTCAGGCTAGCTTTCTGTCTTCCTCAGCTCCAGCTCCTGTACAGATTGGCTTGACTTCAGCAGGTTCCTAGCTGATCGCCCTTCTTCTTCTTCGCTGCTCGTTGCCCTACTGTTCACGGCCAATTGACCCTCAACGACAGTCAACATGCATCTCAACTCCATTGTCGTCTCCGGCCTCGTCGCCGCGGCCGCCCGCCAGGCTGGTGCTGTTCCCTGCCCCAAGCCGCCCCCGACCTACAAGCCCATTACCAACATTCAGTTGGGCCCCAGACCCTACTGGTTGGTCAACGACATGGACGATGGCCCGCTCAAGGAGAAGCTTCAATCGTGCTCTGAGCAGCCCATAAAGCCCTCCAACTGGAGCATCGGTCACCGTGGCGGTGGTACCATGCTGATTCCCGAGGAGTCTGTCGAATCCAACCTGGCTGGCGCCCGTATGGGTGCCGGTGTTCTCGAGTGCGACGTCGCCTTCACCAAGGATCGCGAACTGGTCTGCCGCCACTCGCAGTGCGATCTGCACACGACGACAAACATTGTCGCCATTCCCGAGCTCAATGCCAAGTGCACCACTCCCTTCAAGCCCGCCGCCGATGGCAAGCCTGCTAGCGCCAAGTGCTGCACTTCCGACATCACTCTTGCTGAGTTTAAGACGCTCTGCAGTAAGATGGACGGCTTCAATGCCTCTGCCACTACCCCCGAGGCTTTCCTCCACGGCACCCCCAGCTACCGCACCGATCTGTATGCCACTTGCGCCACCGTCATGACGCACAAGGAGCACATCGCCTTGACCAACGACCTCGGCTTGCTTTTCAGCCCCGAGCTCAAGCTTCCCGAGGTCGACATGCCCTTCGAGGGCGACTACACCCAGGAGCAGTACGCTCAGCAGATCGTCGACGAGTACAAGGCTGCCGGCGTCGCCCCTGAGCGCGTCTGGCTTCAGTCCTTCCACTACCCCGACGTCCTCTACTGGCTCAAGGCCGAGCCCGAGTTCGGCAAGCAGGCCGTCCTCCTCGACGAAAACGGCGACACCCCCGCGACCTTCCCCATCGCCGTCGAGAATCTGACCGAGTACGCCGCCGCTGGTGTCCAGATCATGGCTCCCCCTCTGTACTACCTTGTCACTGTCGAGGACGGCAAGATCGTACCCAGCAGCTACGCTGTCAAGGCCAAGGAGCTGGGCCTCAAGCTCATCTCCTGGTCTTTGGAGCGTTCTGGTTTCCTTGGAGATGGTTCCAAGGGAGGCTACTACTACACCTCCATTGCCAACGTTACCAACAATGACGGCGATGTCTACAACCTGCTCCACGTCCTTGCCCAGGACGTCGGTGTCGAGGGTATCTTCTCCGACTGGAGTGCCACCGTCACCTACTACGCCAACTGCTTCGGTCTGTTTTAGACGAAGAATAAATGTTTGTGAATACCTATATCTTGACTAATGCGCGAGGAACGGCCGGTCACGCAAGGCCTAATGACTTTGTTAATGACCATGAAGATCAGTAAATGGTCGTAATGTATACCAAGCATAGATAGTAAAATGCATAATGACATGATTTGTCTCGCTGCGGGACGATACAAACTCTGTTCGCGTCACGATTCATTTGCCTTTGTGTTTAATTGTTAAGCTTCAACTGGTATAAAACCTAACGCATAGTTGCGGGACGATTTCGTTCGCATGAACTTATGATAGAGACTGCATGGTTAGGTGATCTCTAATGAGTGAACTAATGAGCGATATTCGTGAAACAAGAAGCAAAAGATGGATCGACCATGTCAACAAATTGAGAATTCGAGAGGCGAATGGGTAAAGTACCTACTGTGTATGTCGTGGGTAAGGGTGCTAAGCATGATTGACCACCTGACAGGACATCATAAGTTCTTATGAAAGTTGACAATGACCTGTGGGTTGACTAGGTATTTTCTTGTATATTGGCAAGTGCGTAAAACAGGTGGGATGGCGCAGTGATGCATAGTGCTTGATGGTCATACTAGGTAGGTATAGTTAGTTGTTGTTCACAACTTGATCTTCTGGTTTTTGTCCAAGTACCCTGTAATTGAGAATCCGCTGCTTTTTTGGAAAACAACGACTTGAAGTTGGAAAAGTGGGTGTGTTATCACGTGACACACCCAATATTCTTTGGCCACTGACCATTCAGTGCGTGTTTTTCGCGAAGAGAACTGTTACAGGGTACGAATATTACTACATTAGAAACTCGTTTCTCTCTTCTTTTCCTTCTTTTTCACCTTTTCTCTTTTCTTTTCTTGTTTTTTCAATGAAAAGCTCAAAAATACCACCACACTTGAAAAAAAACTTTTTAAGACCGATCTGGTGCATTGTGACGAATATCATCGAGGACGAGAATTCATGGCTGCCATTTGCCTTGTATAACTCCCTGAACATGTTCACTTGTGTTTTTTTCCAAAAAAAAAAAAAAATCTTGACTTGACGCCATTCATTCTGTCTCAAAGTCTCAGTGATGTTGGTCTGACTTATCAACTTTGTTGAACGGTTGTTACTCAAACTTTGCTTGAATGACTGATGGCAATAATCTTAACCACAGCCACAACAATACTTTTAAGCCCCAAGTTTTACCTATTGCAGAGAGGTCGTCGTATTCAGCTAATTGGAACAATACTGTGATACAGTCAGTTTTCATGCAGCCGCGTAAGTGTGCATGCCTAATCGTCGCACAGCTGCGGGTAAAGATCCAGTGAGCTATAACTGCAATTTCATAGCGCTTCAAAGCTGCTTCAGGTATTGATTGCTCAAGACAAAACTTTTTGTTGTAAACAAATTGGTCTCAAAAAACCTCTTCGCTTATTTTCGCTGCCGCTCAGTCTTCTTACTCATCTCTTATCTCCCCTACCCTGACTCGGCTTTACTTTGCTTTGGCTAGTCACCCTTACCTGACATCGTCCGTTAACCAAATGCCGTATGTATAATCATTATGGCAGGTTTGAAGTTCAGCATCATCTTTGGTCCGACCTTCTCACTATGCAATTGGTATTTAGTATAAGTCTCCTTCTCTCAGCTCTAATGAGGGAGGCGAAAAAGAATTCCGTTGTGCTGCCATGCGCTCATTGTGGTGCTTGATTATGTTACTTGTCACAAGCCCAATTGCCGATCTTAAAGTCGAGTTTGTAGTATGCGATTTTGTATGCCGCCTCTGCCTCACAATTTCACTGAAATACTGTAGGAGCTTCAGCAGCCTTTGACGGCCTACTTAACTTCGCATGAAACACTCTGTTGTATTTTCTCACTACGTAAACAACATGCAAATATGCCACAACTTCACCATGTATGTCTCCTTTCCCACCAAGGGAATTGCTAAAAACATATATAACATCAAGAACATAACGTCATAGATAGAATTGACATGGAATCTAATAAACTTTGTATGGCTCGACGAGAAACCTAGATGCTCGCCAGGGACATTGGCGGCAGCATAGGATCTTGTCTCATAGGCGATCAGTACACCACTGGGACCTTTGTAAGGTGTTGGTTATGCCAGTGTAATTAGAAATACTTAGTTCCCCAGGCACACAATCAGCAGCTGGAGACACCAGGAAAGCAGCCGCAATTCTTGTGTCTTCCATCGGCCGGAGGTTATGGTCATCGCAAATGGCGCTATAGCTTCTGTTGTTGTTGACGAACAACTCGCCAGGAGGTTTGACGACGAGCAGGCAGCCATTCTTAGATATTGCACCTCCATCACGTCAACGTCATTGACAGGCCTTACTCACATCAGTCACTGCTGGCGGGCCTTCTCCGGTCTTGTTTCTTCTGTTTGGGCCTACAGCTGCCGCTTGGCTCGACATTTACTCGGGATAACGATGACGGAAGCGCGCACCGCTCCCGCCGTCTCAATCCATTATCCCATTGAGTGCGGCAAGGCGCCATTTTTGCCAAGGGCGGGGTATCGCCGATGATGGCTTCCAGTCTATTTAACTAATCAAATTATTCAAGTGCATCAACTCACTCTCACCTCGAGGCTTGCTGAAAGTATCTGCGCTCTCTGTCGCTACATAATGCCCTAGAATAATTCAAGAGTTTCTTCAGCTGCTTATGTATCACCTGTATGAACGTTGAAATTTTGAGAAAACGTGGCTACGGAATTGTAGATACTTGTCTTGACGGAAATGGCGTCTTTCCGCACTTGATGGGATAGTGAAGCATACTGTCCACCACCCGTCACCTGGGTCTGCATGCGCCCCAGGACACACACGCTTATGAAAAAGTCCTATATCAAGTAAGATTTCGAACACAGTTAGTCTTTTTTATACATCACTTACATCGCCTAAACTACGATGTATATAAGAATAGCTTCTCTCTCGTCGTTAGCGTTTTGCCTTAGCAATAACAGATATATGTTATTACTGTAGAGTGGGCTCTCTGTACTATCGTACTGCAGAAACGTAGGCTTGCACCAAAGATTGTATTTCCGTGACTAACTTTCTAACTAGACAATATCTTCCGTACGAACAGTTATACATGTCTTATATCTTGACATAAGTCCCGTCTATTAGATAATATTGCCGATCCCTTCCTTACTTAGATGAGTGCCGAGTGCTCCGTCAATGCACTCATCCCATGTGTTAGTTGTGTCGTACGGTCATGTAATGTCATTACTGCAATAATTACAGCTACATAATAAGGTACTTATCAAAACCTATAAGGTATAACGTTCACGGCTGTAAACGTCTGATGAAATCTGCAGAAGTAACACATAGCCTGATCGACATCCAATAGCTACTTTCAATCTATCAACTGCATAACAAGATGCGCGATACTCTGGAGGTAGCCACAGCAATTTCTGAGAATTATTTATGATCCATGTGCCCTTCTGTGAAAGCATATTACACTGATTATAAAAACCCCAACTTGGGTCTTGGATCGTTGTTGCGAATATGTTGTCCAACCTGCTATGGCCCTCCATCGTCTGCGGACAGTGGCCTGTAGCCGTGTCCCAGAGCTTGACAGTCTCGTCGTCAGAGGCTGAGGCCAGCTGGCGCCCATCGGGAGAGAATACCACCGTGTTAACGGAATCGTCATGGCCCTCTAGCGTCTGCTGACACTGGCCTGTAGCTATATCCCAGAGCTTGACGGTCATATCGGAAGAGGCAGAGGCTAGCTGGCGCCCATCGGGAGAGAATACCACCGTGTTAACGGAATCGTTATGGCCCTTCAGCGTCTGCTGGCACTGGCCTGTGGCTGTATCCCAGAACTTGACGGTCATATCGAAAGAGGCGGAGGCTAGCTGGCGCCCATCGGGAGAGAATACCACCGTGTTAACGGAATCGTTATGGCCCTTCAGCGTCTGCTGGCACTGGCCTGTGGCTGTATCCCAGAGCTTGATGGTCTCATCGGAAGAGGCGGAGGCTAGCTGGCGCCCATCGGGAGAGAATACTACCATATTAACGAAATCGTCATGGCCCTCTAGCGTCTGCTGACACTGGCCTGTAGCTATATCCCAGAGCTTGACGGTCATATCTAAAGAGGCGGAGGCTAGCTGGCGCCCATCGGGAGAGAATACCACCGTGTTAACAGAATCGTTATGGCCCTTCAGCGTCTGCTGGCACTGGCCTGTAGCCATATCCCAGAGCTTAATAGTCTTATCGTCAGAGGCTGAGGCCAGCTGGCGCCTATTAGAAGAGAATACTACCATATTAACGGAATAGTCATGGCCCTTTAGTGTCTGCTGGCACTGGCCTGTGGCTATATTCCAGAGCTTAATTATTTTATATGAGGCTGAGGCTAGCTGGCGCCCATCGGGAGAGAACACTACCGCGTTAACGGAATAGTCATGGCCCTCTAGTGTCTGCTGGCACTGGCCTGTGGCTGTATCCCAGAGCTTGACAGTCTTGTCGTCAGAGGCGGAGGCCAGCTGGCGCCCATCGGGAGAGAATACTACCGTATTAACGAAATCGTCATGGCCCTCTAGCGTCTGCTGATACTGGCCTGTAGATGTTTCCCAGAGCTTGATTATTTTATATGTGGCTGAGGCCAGCTGGCGTCCATCGGGAGAGAATACCACCGCCTTGACGAAAGCGTCATGGCCCTCTAGCGTCTGCTGACACTGGCCTGTAGATGTTTCCCAGAGCTTGATTATTTTATATGTGGCTGAGGCCAGCTGGCGTCCATCGGGAGAGAATACCACCGCCTTGACGAAAGCGTCATGGCCCTCTAGCGTCTGCTGGCACTGTCCTGTGGCTGTATCCCAGAGCTTGACAGTCTTGTCGTCAGAGGCGGAGGCCAGCTGGCGCCCATCGGGAGAGAATACCACCGTGGTGACACGGCCTCTATGACCCTCTAGCGTCTGTAAACACATATTCCAGTCTGTATTTGCCTTTGTTAGCATAGTAATCCAGACTGGTGCTTCTGCTTGGAATAGTTGTTTCATTAAGCTGCGGGTAGGGCAAAATATAAGAGCAGCCATATAAAGTTGTAGCGGAAAGCTTTCTATACATTGCTTAAAAGATAGGACAAATCGATACGCATCTCGGATAAGGTCTGCGAGTTGTTCTTCTCTAGTGCCTGCCTGTGAGAATTTTAGATAGTATCCTAATATGTAGAAGTCGCAATGGACTCAACTTACAACTAAAGATTGGAGTTTATGTATCGCAGCAATTGCTTGTGGTATGGCCTGTAGAAGACTCTGAGACTCTAACCAGTGGAGATAGTGGCATTTGAGGAAATTGTAAACGCTGGAATTGTCCCATAATTTACTTCGAGTTGAGTTGTCTGCAGGATTTGCATGCTGAAGATGGTCAACCCAGTAGGTAGACGAGTATTTCAGAGAAGCCAAAGGGTCTGGGTCTGGTGGTGATATATCCTCTATACAGCTTCCCGGGGCGCGCAGGTTATAGATATCGCGTCTGAGTGTCTTAGATAATACGTCTAGAGACTTTGAGAGGATGATTTGGTGCTGGTGTGTAATACCTGAAGGTAAAATCTGGAGAAATGCTGGATATGCCTTGTTCAGCAGGAAATCCTTAGCTGACTGATGGACAAAGTAGATTATATCCTTACGGATAGCGAGAAATGAACCGCAGTTGCTACTAATAATATCCTGAAGGGATTCAGGATCGTCCGCCAGATTATGAAACTCTTCGATGAGTGTGGTAGACTCGGCAAGCGAAAGTGGGCGATAGGTCGTCACCACCAGAGCAAGAATCTGCCTACAAAGGTTGGCATCCTCTTCTCTGTCAATTTGTTGCATCATCCTTACATAGAAAGCATCAAGTCCAGGTGGGAAGGACTTTACCTTCTCTAAGGCCTTCCACCGAGGGGTCTTCTCGAGTTCTTGACAGACTAACGCGACCCAGAGAAATGTGCCATCCGCATTTGCTGATAAATATTGATATACTTCGCTGGCGGTATCATCTCGATATCTCTTAAGTTTCCTTAGTCGTGATATCTTGGAGGTGATGTAGCTTTCGACAGCTGTTACTACTGAGTCTGCATTGACCTCCAATGATAGTCTCTGGGCTACTGTACAAAGCTGTTCTTCGATCTGCAACCAATTGCGGCTTGAGACGAGCCACTTTGCACTAGTTGATTGCGATGCTTTTATAATCAATTTGAGCAGCTGTTCAAGGCCCATGGAGCACTCGTCTAATGCATCGATAAGGAGGCAGACGCCTTGAAGTTTCGAATCGTGAAGCATATTCATGAAGATCTCAGACATCGCTTGCCACGCATTGACATCTTGGAAAAGCGCCTTCCCGCCTTGTTCATACTTCGTCTTCATATGTGAAAGAAGGGATGGCTCTTGGTCAAGAAGCATGAAGATCAAGCCGCGTAATACCCCCGTTGCATTGTTAAGTCGCTCGTCGGTGGCTTGACAGAAGAAGTAGGTCAAGAGGTTTCCTTGAGGAGCGCGGGTTGCTTCCAGCTCATCGATGATACCGCACAAGAGCATGGTCTTTCCTTTCCCCGGGTCGCCCTTGACCCAAAGCAGTCGTTGGTCTGGGTCGTCGCGCCATTGGCAGAAGTCGGGGTTCTCAAGCACCCAGACGTAGGAGTCCTTTAGCAAACCACCCTTTGTATCCTCAATGCGTTGCTTATCGTGGCGTGGGTCGGTGACTCGTAGGTCAGCCAGAATTCGTAAGTCTTGATCGGACCGGTCTATTCAGTTTGTTAGTAACATCCTGGTTAAGGCTTCAAGCATCCCTACTAATGTAAAGATCCCCACTGACGCTAAAGTTTCCCGTGCCTGTATGTTGAATTCCGGTGCCACGAAACTCAGACTGTGAACCGGAGCCTGGTCGGCCTGTGCCAGATCCAGTTGCCGCCATATTCAGAAGTGGGATTCTTAATGCGTCGCTTTAGGAGTCTCTCTTTCCTAACCACGCCGGAGGCCAGTACACCAAGGCGTTGTTTAGCACTATCGTCGTTAAAAGCCCGGAGGAATGATGATGGACGATGAATCAGGCTGCGGTGAAATTGTTCGAGAAAAGGAATTCAGGCTGAGCAGCGGCTACTGGGCCAATCAGACTACAGGTGCAGGGTATGCTACCCCTCCCCATAAGGCATCTGGTCCGCCATTATCCCATTGTGTGCTGACTGACTTCATTTGATGCCTCTTTCTCCAAAAGTCGATTTTATGGCTTCTCATAAGTTCCGCTCAGCCAGTCTTGCATTCATGATTCCGTTACAAGCCTTATCCCTGTCAATAGTATCAAAATGCAGGATAGGCTGAGAACTTATGAAAGCTATACTATCGTAGTGGTATGCGCTATCGACTTTGAGATAAGCGCCGTCTGATATATGCTCGACCGAGAACACCCTAGATTGGCTATAAAGGAAGGCGATTCAGGAAGGCGATTCAGGAAGGCGATTCGAATATTTATATGCTGGGGGAGCTTAGCGGCTACGACGTGGTGCTCGCATGGCTTCCCGGGAACCTAGGGAAAGGCTTCCGCGGCCGACGGTAGCTATAAACATAGCGCGCACCTTTCCTTCCTATCAAGCAGCGGTTTTTCGTCGGTATTGGCGGAGGGGTACTGACAAAGAAGCACGATATCCGTCTAGGCGAAATTATTATAAGCATACCCGAGGGGCAATATAATAGCGTTATGTAGTACGACCTGGGGAAGGAGACTAAGGCTGGGTTTGTGTTAAAGGGGTTCCCCTCGCCTCCGCCGGCTCTCTCGAGAAGCGCTATCGTGAAGATGCGGTCGTTTCATTTCATAAGCGGAAACAAGACGGAGGAGTTCTTGTCGGCGATGCTGCGCAAGGGACGCCGCTTGTCCGTCTACCTGCTCACCTTGCTCACCCTGTACACCCTGGCTCGCCCAGGTCGCACGACTTTAAGGCGGCGAGTGATCGGACAACACTTGAGTGCACAAATGGCGACTCAGAGTTGCCCCGGATACCTATTGCTCACGATAAAACTTTTTTTGTAAATAACTGTTCGCAAACTACAAGTGGGAAGAGAATGAAGCTCAGCCCAGGTGAAGGGAATAAACAACCTATCAAGGCTTCAATAAATACGTAAAAGTCCGTGTAGGTTCGTAACACATGGCCAAAAAACTAGGATAGGAATATGAATTGATCTCCGGTTCTTTACCATTCCAGCGGGGTCCAATGCTATGTGAAGTGAAATTTCACCGTCTCTCCAATGTGCCCATCGTAGGAAATGGTACCAGAAAAACACTTGGCCCCCAAGTTACGATGACGGGCACAGATATTCAAAAATCGGACTTCTCAATTTTCCTCGACTCTCTCTACGGCAATGCTGCATTCCTTAGTGGGGTGCGTGCAACTGGGAAACATCTTTATGAAGGTTTTTTCTGTCTATAGGAAGATAAAGGGCTTGGTTTTATGGAAGGACAAAACATAAAATAGTAGTTCTTCAATAGCATTCGCATGCATTTACAAAACAGAGTCCTCGAAAGGCAGAATAGAACTACAGGCGGCATTATTACGTAACGTCACTGGCCTCGAAAATTTACAGCACCATGGGGTCTCATATTTCTTAACTTCGTTCTTCTATTGGAGAGTATTACGCAAGGTGTGATGCTTCGCCTCACGTGCGTGCCGGTCAAGACCTACGAGTATGTACCTATCATAAATTTAACTTTGTCCATCCTGAGTCAATCGCATATGTCAGGTTAAGAACTTGCGCTAGCGCGAAATAATTACCGTGTAAGTTTTGAAGAGATCCGGCAGACTGACTATTATGTTAATTTCGTTTTCAATGCAAAGTAATCGCGCCCCAGCAGGGCAGAAATATGCAGTAAAACGCAAGCGGAGCCATCCAATGGCTGGAATTACCAGAGGAGAAAGAATGCAGACATCCGACGAAACGATACCAAAACAAAAAGAAAGGAAAAAGTCGAGGAGACTTAGGACGGTTATTACGCAATTTGTAGGGATGGATCCTCATGAGACAAACCAAGTGGGACAAGTTGTGACGGAAAAGTTGCTCGCGCTCAGATAAATGGTAGCTTGCGCGGCCGCGGCACATGGCAGTGCCTTTTGCAGTAGTTTATGTACGGTGATCAAAAGTTATAGACAAGAAGAGTACCCCTAAATCCTTCACCAACTGATTGTTGTCATCTCGACTTTTAGACGGAAGGCCAGCCGCCAGACCAGCTGATGACGTTCCAGCCAAACTGAGTCTGAGAATCGGCGAGGCCAATATCGGTGTTCACTGCGCAAAAAAAGTCAATATGTGATCCGAGGTAGAATGGACCAAAGGAGGCCAGCTTACTGTAGTGGTAATAGAGGACGGTACCACGCTTAGGGTCAGTAAATACTCCCTGTCCGCCGGGCGCGTAGACCTTGTTGTGGCTGGCGAGTAGAAGCGTGCCGCCGCCCTGGACGCAGCTCTTGCCGCTCTTGTCGGTGTAGGGACCGTTGACAGAGGAAGCCCGGCATGCGAAGATCTTGTACTCGTTGCCCGGGGTAGGACGCTTTTTGTCCAGACCGCAGCAGGATCCAGAGCTGAAGAAAGCCCAGAAGGTGCCGCTCCGCTCGAAGACGAAAGCACCCTCGACGGGCTGAGGAGCGGTACCGTTGAAGATGATGTTGTAGGGATTGCCGCTAGCCTTGGTGGCGGCAGAGTTCAGCGGTACCTGGAAGATGTTTTGCCAGAAAGAGCCGAAGTTCAGGAAGTAGTTACTGCCCGACTTGACAAGCTGTGCGTCGATGGCATTGTAACGGCTGCCATCTTTGGAAGCAACGCCGGTGGCGCCGTGGTCGGTCCAGGAACCGGCCTCCATGGTCGGGGAGGTAGCATAGCCGATGGCCGAGTCCTGAACGCCAAAGGACGAGACGGTGTAATAGAGGATGTACTGGTTGCCGACCTTGTTCACATCGGGGGCCTAGGGGAACAATATCATGAGTATTTGACATAGCGAGTGTAGTTACAGGCCAAGTGTTGACTCCATAACCCTCGGCTTCCCCCCAAGACCAAACGAGAACAAGCTAGTGTAACAAGAAACGGCGAAACAAAACTTACCCAAAGATCGTTATTGCCCTTAAGGTTGATCTTGCTGCCCTTGGGGAGAGCAGCGCCCTGGTAAGTCCAAGGGCCAACCAAGTCGGGAGCCTTCCAGATACCAATCTTGCTGCCGGTTTCGAAGCGGAAGTAGGTTCCATCATCGCGGCGGACAACGGAAGGATCGTGACTCCAGCACTGACCGGAGCAGGCACCGGGGTTGGCGTAACCCTGAACAGTGGCACTCAGCAGCGCAGCTGCGAGGGAGAAGATGGAACCGAATTGCATGGTGAGGGAAGGGAGGAGCACTAGCCAAAAGTAGAGGCTCTGGTGCTAAATCAAAAGAGTGACTGGCGAGAAAAAAGGTTTAGAGAGAAGGGAAACAGGCATACGATGATGGAAACAACAATACATATAACGGTAACATGAGAGAGAAACCCTGCCCGAACAGGGCGTACTTGTCTGTGTATCCTTGAACGAACTCAGATCTCATCAATTGAACCCCATCAAAAAGCCCAGGAAGACAACTAGATTGCCGACGACAACATGAAGAATTTCTTGTCGGTTTACCCACAACCCGCCCCTATTGGCGGAAATTGCACTCGTAAGCTGAGAGTCATCTGTAAAAGACGCCCTATGTAGAAGGGTAACATGAAGACAGCAATATAGATGGAGCAGCCATCATAGGGGACCCCATCCATAAGATGAAGGGCTGGCTCTGAACGTTGCAGTCGTCCGATCTCATGTCTATAGACTAGCTTTGGTGGGTAGCTTTAGACTGACAGAATACCAGGAACAGCAAATAAGCAATTAGGGATGGGTAGGGGAGTTATGTAAGCCTAGCAAGAATTGCCGTGTGCGCCGTACGCGGAGAATGGAGAGAGGCATAACACGAAGCAGGGCTACAGGGCCGAGAGACTGGGCGGAAAAACCGGATCGAGTAAAAGGCGCGAAACCTCGTCGTCCCAAAGGTGTGTGCGAGAGGGGTAGACCGCATGAATGACAACACCACTCTAATCTGGAGACTCACAACGGGTATCAGAGTGAAAGTTGGTGTTCTGAGTGCTCTCATATAGCCTGTGGCTCTGCATGATGCTACGCATTTATTCTCACGATTCACACTTTTCGCTCTGTTTTGCTCCGCTTCTGCATCTATGGGGTTAGATTATCGCCGGCGCATCTCCTGCGAAGGAACGGTCATCACAAGAGCAAGTGGACTACGTACCTAGTCATTATGAATGCCTTCTTAGCAAAAACTGACTCTGCGATGGAGAAGAAGCAGGAATTGGCAAAATGATCCCTCAAGACATGACGAGTACTGCCACTTCGACAAACAGACCCAGATCAAGCGGTCAAATCAAATGAGAAGCAACTGGGGAGATGGAAATGGGACGGAACAGACGGCTGAACGACTTGAAACCCTTACAACAATTTTTCTCGATGAAGGGGGGATTTAGCGGCCTTGCAAGGCTTTCGGCCCAGTCTCCCCAGTCTACTTGCAGGGGTCATTCAACATTGCTACTAGGCGAAGGAAGTCGGCTCCTCGCCGTAACACTGTAGCTGGATCCCCCCCATATGAGTACGGCAATTAGTACAAAGTACGGTTAAAGAAAAGAGGGGGCTTGAGTTGTGACACAACTTGGATTTCAATGTAGAGGTCACCTTCGTCCCGACATATCAGCTTGAGATCCGGATTCCAACAGTTCTCTACAGGCGGTTCTTGTTGTAACGATCGTCTGGATAGCCGGATCTCAACGCTGATCATTGAGATCAGCGGTGTTCGTGTGGGTGAGAGAACAATAAACTCGCTTTTTTACCTCCGTATCGCACACGTTATTCAGTGGAGATGAGAACGTGATGGGCAGCTGTAACACACCACACGGGCCACACAGGGAGAGTCCGGGTATTTTGCGTAGGAGCAAACGGTTGCCCTGACTCGGATGCTTTGTGTTTCTGTTTGGCGCGAGTAACGCATGCCTCGTGTCCTCTTGTCATTCATGGCAATACGAGAGAGTTGATTTTGAGGGCTTAAAAAGTCCACGAAAGAGAGCCCGAGAAAAATGCGGTTCTCAGCGAGCCGAGATGTCTGACGGACTGGGGAATCGAGCATTATAAGCCCACTTGGTGATGTTTGGGCTGAAAGAATCATGTCGGTTACAGACCAGCTCACGGGAAATATGCGGGGATGAAGTGGATGAGAGTTGTGGGTAAGAGTGGGCATATATATATGTATGGCCTCAAGACCCATCCTCGCATAGTGTAACCATCATCTGGATGCAACTGCCCTTCTCGTCTCGCTCGAGCGGCCGAGGCCATCCTCGGCGCCGTGCGTGAGGGCCCGGACCGTCTCCCCTCTCCCCGTCGAGACAGGTTTTTTGGCCGGTTCTGTTCAACGATGATGAAAGGAGACCCAACTTTTCGGACATAATTTAGCCTCGGACCGCTGTGATATTACCGTGTCATACAGCGGACGTGTCAGTGCATTCTACCTGCGGGCATTACGGCCGCCTAGCATTTTTTCAGTGCCGGGGCTTCCGGGCTTCGGTCGGCGGTCGGGGGTTAGGGGGCGTATCTGTTCAACCGTGTTGTACAGCCACCGCGACGATGGACGGACTACTCCGGAAGCTTGTTGATTGTTTCCTCCAATCACGCATACATAACTTACTCTCCTGCGACGCGAAAGGAATGTTGTCTGCTTGGCGCCCAACCGGCTGCAAGTAAAGGGGTCTAGAGACGCGTCGGTACTGTGATGCGGAGTGCATGAGCAGGATTTGGAAAGCGAGAGACAAAGGATTAGCAAGGAGGCTGCGCAGATGACATTGCAGTGTCTTTGCATCCATCCCCTTGCCAGGTTTGCGGGCGCCACTTGGTTGGCTCTTGGTGGTGGTGGTGTGTTAATGAGGAGAGCCAGAGACAACCTTTCAAAAAGGAGATTGCGAGAGACATTTTGGCTACCGCTAGTTTCAATCGCTTTGAACAGAGCCCCCACGAAAATGGCTGAAGGCAGTTATTTCTGTCTTTTTGCCATGTGGTTGGGTGTCTGATCGGCTGCGGATGTTCTGGAATAAGTTTGGAGTCTCGAAGATTAGGATGGACAAATCAACGGGGTGCCGCGCAGTAGTGTTGAATGTATGTACTAGTATGTGAGTGTGTTTGTGTGCGTTTTGCCAAGTGTAAGGCACAAGGGTCCCGACACTCTGGATCTATTACGTTACGAAAAGTTGTCAAAAACTGGCCCTGGCGGTCTCTGCCGCAGCTTATCTTCCGATGGTTGATCGGCTAGCCAAGCCAAGCAACCTCATCGGTGACTTCACTCCTCACCGGCCGCGCGACGAACCCTCAATGCTACGTCCAGAAACTTGGCCTCGTAACGTACATTCAGGCCGCAACCGAGAAGGTTTTCCTCTTCTCTCTCTCTCTCTCTGTGTCTCTCACGCCATCTACTGGACGCCACTTGATGCCCAGCCGTGGCGTATGCTGGCTATGAATCCCTGTTTGGCCGTTTTACCGAGGTTTGGTGATCCCATGAAGCATGTCTGTCATGCCTAAATAGGCCCGACAACTACGGCCAAATCACTATTGGTCTTTCAGTTGTCTACGACTGCTACGATTACATGACATTGGTCAGCTAAAAACTTTGTCCAGGTCCTCAGACCACTTTCATAAGCCATCCTTCTAGCAACACGAGGGTGAGAAACTTAATCTCACGTACTTGACCACGGCAGCAGACACAGGGCATCTTGGCCACTGAGGGTGTGTCATGACATTTGGACATTCAGGAATCAAGGTACTACCGCTTGAAACGGCGCCGAGGATGCAATCGACAGTGTGGTAAACTCTCTTCATAATGCTGCCATTTCCACCACGACACGAGCAGAATTGACAACTTGACGATTCCCCTTTTGGGCCGTCAACCCGGTTCTAGTAGTGACCCTTACCCGTCAAAGGTTAATGGCCGCTACTCTATGGTAGTCAACCCTGCGAGACGGTACTGCCAGTACTGAAAACCAACACCGAGGGATGAAGCCGAACCAGGGGAACAAACCATATGGCTCTAGAGCGGGTTATGGGGCCGACCCTGACGCTCCGCGGGCCTAGGCAACCTCAAAGCTACCTAACAGATAGGTTTCTGACATGTTTAAAGGGGTAATAATCAAAGATCCATGTATTGATGCATGCACTGCGCGTGGCATGGCAGGGTAACTGGCGTGATGGATTACCCGTGCGTGGCAGAAATGCGAGATGGGCCGGTGCGAGAATGGCAGCTGCTTGATGGGGGAAAGGAAGCGACGGAGCAAACGTCAGATATAGCAGACAATCGGATGTACGAATGCAATTTCAATTCAGCCTTGGGCCGGTTGGCTAGTTTTTAGATGATTGAGGGTGAAGGGTCGGGTCTGTATGGCAAATCCTAGACATTCTTCGGCCGTTGGGTGTGCCCCGCCGATGAGCCTGGGGTCAAGACCCATGGGAATGCGAAGATGACGGCCGAATTCACCTGCATTAGTGTAGCTGCAAGGGGCATCTAGGTTGCTGATAAGGACATGCGCTCCACGGTTAACGGCGATGGGACCAGCTTAAGGTGAAGAGAAGAAAAGAAAGTGAAATCGATGAAACCATCGAAATGGTCATTGAACTTTGTTTAGAGGCTTTTTCTGGCGTCTGCGTTACGTTGGGCGTAGATAGGTCCTATGAGGATTGTCCATGGCGATGTGCAGCCATTGTTGGTTGGGGGTTCCTTTTAGCCCAAAAGGGTTGGTGACAAGGGTCTAGCAGGCGTTACATTGTTGGACGCTCGGCGATGATGCACCCAGAAAAATATCCAGATTTTTGAGTTATTGAAACATACATGGTATTTAGAAAAACCGGCAGGGAGACAGCCGGAAGACCGGGATGAAAAAACAAAAAGGATGTTTTCAAGTTCAGGGTCGAAAAATGGAGTAAGAGGAACTTTTGCTTGGCTTACGGGCGGTCATCTTTTGGGGATGGAACTCGAGTTGATCATGCCAAAAGGAATCCGTCGGAGCAACGCCCATGATTGATGAAGAAAGAAAGCCGAATCGGGCCTGATAACATCGAGAACGCCAAAGACAGACCTTGTCTTTCGAGAGGCTTATCCTTATTATTCAGCGAATGTCAAACCAATCTATCAGACAGTTGAATCATTTAATCAGACTCGGCCAGTAAGCCGGAATCGATCACCGAACCAGGGCTCGAATCCCTTTTCCCAGTGTGTGGTACGCCGAGCTACAGTGCGTTTGACTTGGGCTGTGGTTGACCCTGGTCCCCTAACAGGGACCCTTGCTGGCCCAAAGCTACTAACGGTCTCTTATCAAGACATTGATTGATAACCCTTGGCTGACTATGAGTGAGGACAGCAAAGAAAGACTGGATAGTGGACAAGATGAGAGACAAAGTGCAAAGGAACTGCGCAGAAGAGGAAACGATTCCGTCTGGTTAATGTTCTCCCCGCCTCATCGTGAGACAAGCCATCGACTGAACCAATGCAATGCAATGCAAGAAGCCACTCATCGTCAGAACCCTGGAGAAGGGGGCTTTACAACGTCCGAGGAGGTACGAGCTAGGGGGGGTCAGCAAGCCAAGACATGATTGACCGAAAAGAAAAGTAACCGTCTTCTCCTGGTATAGTGTGTAGAAGCTGCGGGCGTGGAGTGTAGGCGGCGTTGGATGCCCCGTTCAGCATGGTACAAACGGGCGTTGTAGCTTGAGGATAGGAGCCAGAATGTGATATCTGGGGACATATCCCACCATGCGTTGGCCATTACCCGAGACTTTTGGTCTTCTCTGCTCTCTTCTCTACCTATTCATTGCTTCCGCCATTGGGCTGCTTGTGTCTGTGCCGTGCTTTCTCTTGGGAAACACAGACAGGAAGGGTAGCAAGCCGACTCGCCGAGCTCATTGAGGGTCTATGAGCGTATCTTGTCTCCGAGTTGGACGAGCGATAGTCGCACACGACATGGTTAACCCAGGAACTCAACAGAGACAACTCTCCGAACGTGGAGTATTCCCGCGAAGAAATTATTGACCGACGAAGACCCGAAAGCAGTCCAGAAAGGCAAAAAGGCAAAGGTCATCGCTGCATCCCGTCATCTACCCAGCACACAGCCGTTCATATCGACCTAGAGACTCTCACTCAAGGGGGACCAGATTTCGGAATTCCCCCTTTCAAAAGTAAATTCTCATCCATTTTTTTCACTTCTCTCTCATTTGGACACACCAGATCTCATATTTCAGTATCGTGTTTGTCGCACGAGGCGTGAGCTGATGAGACTTCAGTTACTACCTGGCCTCCAAAAGGCAGGAAAACGCCCGACCAGTCGCGGCCGCATCCGCTCACACATAGCGGGCGCAACAAGACCCCCCAAGACGCCGAAGCGGGCGAGGATTTGAAGAACAACACCAGACGATTGGCCCCCAGGTCCCCGCAGTCCCCACACTGCCTTCCTCCATCACCTTCATTGGTCCATACTTCCTTTTTCTAGTCTTTTTCTTATCGCGGCCCTCTAATTGCCTGATTCGAAAAAGATACGTATCGTCCCTTCTCCATCAGGGGGATCCAAACCACAGGTGGGCTACACTTGCCTCACCACCACCAAGAGCAATTCTCTTATCTTATCTGCCGTAAGACCGTCGCCGATACATGCGCCGACGCGCCGACACTTCATTGTCGTTGTTCGTCACACTCAGATCCGGATAACTCTGGTAAACTGGAAGTAATTTGCTCACGGCTTGACCCCGACGCCGGGGCCACAGCCGCCCTTGTCGTCTATTAGGTTCATCAATTTTGTGTGAGCCTCGCTGCGTTGCTTCTCGGCCGTCACAATGTCAGGCCGAAGCGCCTATGTGCGCAAGAAGATCACCCAGACCGACAAGGAAAAGGCTAGAGCGAGGTCAAATACGGCCAATGGCGGTGAATTTGATGAGATTCCCATCCCCGACTTTCCTTTGCCGCTGGCAGGGGCCTCACTGCCTGTTGGCACCGGCATCGGAACCACCAACGCCCGCTTCCTCAAGTTCTCCGAGCCGCCTCGCGATGTCAAGAGTGGAACTCCCAGCATAGGTAGCGGAAGCGGAAGCAGTGCCGATGGCCGCCGAGACGGAGGCGTTGGACCCTTGGACGACTTCGCCTATGCCCGTGCCCGGAGGCCCACCATCAAGACGGAGGATGTTTCCGGCATTGAGAAGTCGGGGTTGCGAAGCAGGCTGGATAAGAAAAGCGAGGATGTAAGACGAGGACTAGCAAAGACTTTCGCTTTCAAGCGCAAGGAAAAGGAATCCGAATTCCGCCCAGAGTCTGTGGCTACCGTGAGGCCGAACCAGTACCAAAATCCTACGCCCCTCTCTCCGCCAGAGCCAGAGTACACCTATGAACAGTTCAACATCGACTCCATACAGCAAATGCAGCTACAGATGCAGATGCAGTTGCAGATGCAGCAGATGCGCTATCAAGAGGCGGACTTGCCCACGTCGCCGCCGCCAGCGTCCAAACTGCCCCCTGTTCCAACAACACCGCCCATCAAGCGATGGATCGGTGCGGGAAGGCCGGTTCAGAGATGGAACAAGCTGAGAAAAGACCCCGAGCTGTGGGATCCCAACGGAGACGTTCTGGTCTTCTTCGGTCACAAGGGCCAGACACCGCGGCCGAACCCGTCATTCAGACTATCATCGCATATTGTTGAAGCCACCGAGTCGAGGTATCTCATTACGTTGCTACGCGAGGGCACCACAGAGGAGGACATCTACATGCCTCCGTCACCACAAGGCGCACCCCCCATGCTGCGGCCGCACATGGGCCGTGGCCAGCCGACGCCGCCTATATCAGAGGATCTCGGAGAAGCCGATGGTCAGATCTCTTACGAGATGTATTTCCCTACTCCGCCGAATATGACCAAGCTGGAACAGCTGCGGAGCCAGATAACGACGAGAAACGTGTTTGCCCTGCTTTACCACGCATCTCTTGTCGGCCTATCGCTGCAACAAGCCCTCTCAGACCTTCACTCACGATTGGACGCCTATCTTCCCTCGGATTCTGACAATGTCGGTACGATCATCAACTACTTGTCCGCCCGTGGCATCGACGACGTCCGCAACGATCCGGAGACGGCAGTCAGCCTCCTGGCATGGTCAGAAGGACAGGCAGTACGCTGGGAGGAGGGCTGGCGTGAGAGTTTCCTGCACTGTGCCGGCATGTACAACCAGCTGGAGCAGTGCACCGACTTCAACCAGCTCACGCCCATCACCAGGGCACTGTTGGAAAGGGCTTGTCTCGAGACGCAGCTCCGCATCCAGGCTGCTGAAGAACGACTTGCAGAGTTTCAGTACGGTGACATGTGGCCGGCTGGCGTCAACGGGCCCGCGAAAGCAGCAGCGGATCGTCTTCAAAAGTTCTTTTTGAGTCACTATTCGCGCGCTCACGGATGCTGGCCGCCAGCCCCAACAGCCGGTCTGCCAGACTCGGAAGGTGAAGACATTTGGCTCACAAGGGGCACCGCCCAGTTACTCCAAAAGGACTTTGGCGCTCTCTACGACTACCTCATCAACCGCGATATTATCTGGGACATGTCGGAGGCCCGTTCAGGACGCAAATGGATGATGCTCAGCGAGAAAGACCGAGGGTTCGACGCCGATGTCGACATCCCAATGACGGATATGCTCGTGGAATATGATAACAAGCTGCGATTTCCGCATATACCTCACCCGTTTCCTCTGGTTCCGGAGTCGATCCCTCCGGCACTGATCCCTAAGGAGACATCCATGTTCAAGAAGAAGAATGGAGCGACGGCCAACAACGGAGGACGAGGCGGCGCTTTAGAAAGACGGGTCCAGTTGGCATACACTGAAGCCACTAATATTTACATTTTGGGATCGGACTTTACCCAGTCCGACCTCATTGACGCATTTGTCAAGTTTGAAAAGTCTGACAGCATCACCGAAGTCGATCCGGCCGTGGCTAGGAGGGGGCGTTGGGTTCTCATCTACGGCATCCTCCAAACGCTGGCGAGCGTTTCCGTAGATGCTCCCAATGTGCGGTACCGAGACGACGTCCCATATCACCTGTCTCCTCGTCTGAAGGGTGCAAGAGTACCTCCGTGGAAGGGATCAGGCACGCCGGACGAGGCTTCGCACGAGCTGTCGCATTGTTGGATTGTCCAGAACACTTGGAATAACACGAGCAGCAGCGGCAACGAGAGCTCCAGTGGATCGGGGAACACCAGTCCTGTCCACAGCCCTGTCCATGGTCCTGGTCGCACTTTTGCCTATCCCCCGGCACCGCCTTCCACCGCCTCAAGAGGCTCCGGCTACCAGACGCCTGCTTCTCGTTCCATCTACTCGACGGGATCGGCGCCGCCGTTCAGTTCCGGTCACAGTGTTGTTAGCGAAAGCGATACGAGCAGCAGTGTACGCACGCCTGCGTCCAGTCGTCCAGCGACCAACATGCGCCGGGCGCAATCTCGGGACAATGTCAAGGGTCTCGGAGGTGGGCCGGGCAGCCTGCGTAGCGCGGGCACGTTCGGAGTGGAGCGCGGCGAGGGGATGGAGTTGCCGATGCGTAGGCGAGACCACACCGCCCAGAGCGACGCAGGCAGCAGTGCGCATGGGGGTTACGCGCGGTCGAACACGTCGAGCCATATGCAGTCGCTGCCTCTCTCGGGCAGTATCACAGGCTCGGGGGGTTTCCTTGTTATCGACGACGTGGTGGACTCGAAGAGGTCACGAAGCGGGCACAACCGACAGGTTCGAGCGAGCGCGGAGACGGACAACACGGGGCCTCGGATTCGGGACTTTGACCTGGATGTGATTGACGACCACGAACCGTGAGGGGTGGTTATGTGAGATGAAGGGGGTTGGATGAGCATGATGGGATGACAACAGAACCATGTGCGCGCGTGTAGCATTGGTATGAAAAGAAGAGGGTTTGGACGAGGGACATAGCAAGCGATATTTGAGACGGATAAAAAGGTTTTCCTTTTTTTTGGTTTACTATTATCTACTCCTACGGGACTCATGTCATGATAGACTTCAAAAAGTTGACGGTAGCTGTAATATTAGAGTGATACCCGACAATTGACGGTCTGATTTATATGTGTAGATTGCGCTGGGAATTCTCCATTATAATGGGCGGGGGGGTATCAAGGCCGGCTTCAAGTTATCAGAACAACATCTAAGGGGTTACTACTGCGGAAAATACGTATAGTCTCTTGCTCGTACAATGGAGGGAGGGTTTAACCCCTACCCTTCTTCTACTGATGGTTCATCCGAGCTATGTAGAGTTTGTAATACTCGGCTACCTTCCGACGACCACGAGGCATCAATTAGACATGAACGGGCAATCACAAGACCAAAAGTAAAGTCGATGCTAAAGAGTAAATAAAATGTTGGGGGAACCAACAATGATGTGACGTGGACGAATCTCGGGGCTGAAGTTTCCGGGGAGATCTAGCGGCGGCGGCGGTTGTCGACGGGATTTCAGTGATGATGGGCGCAGATCCCCCCCCTGAAGAAGCATCTTAGCGAAAGGTGAGGTGGTAGTAGTGGTGGTAGTAGTGGTGGTGTTCGGTTCTCATGGAGAAAAAAAAGGGAAGCCAGAGGAGCCCACCCGGGATTGCCCCGCTCTAGACGGCACGTGGACGGGCGGTTGAGCCGTAGCGTTGAAGCTGGAGGTAATCCCGGCGGACGCCGGCGATGTGGAACCCCCAGTCAGGCGCCGATGGTTCTGGAGACAAGGTGGAAGTATTTTTTGTCGTTTTTTTTTCTTTTGGTGGAACGAGTCAGTGGAGCGTGCAGGCTGGTGTCGAGCTGGCGGCCCAGCCACCTCATCCATCTCCACAATTTTACTTTGCATCAACTGGAGGAGGACCCACTGGCGGTGAAGAAGTGACTGGCCATACATAGATAGTGTATGAATAATATGGCATGAAGGAGGGAGCGAGAAGGAGGGTGCGGCCTAGAATCTGGCCCAAGGCAAGTGTGAGGGCGTCAGAATCGGCATCGTGACCAACCCCGCTGTTTTTAGCCTTGGGTTGGGTTCCGAGTAGGTTGTTTCCTCGACGGGTGGGGTGGGGGGAGCTCCCCATTGGTTAGTTGGTATAGTTCCAGGTTCCACTCGAAGCTGCTGGCCGGGAAACCGGGCGGGAACACGACTGCCCTTTCTGCCCTTCTTTTTATGTTCTGGGAAGTCCCTGAAACGGAGAAGGCAGGAAGAAGGCCTGTCGATGTTGCTTTTGGGTATCTGCGTTGCCTACTCTGTACCTGATACCCGATACGACTTCTCTTGGACGTATGATAGATTCTAGACTCGGTTGGAGTAACAACGGTGTGGTTGGGCACTTTTACACACCCAATAAGCACATCTGTTTACAGACACTGGTGGCTTAGAGCAACGGACATTGAGCAGCAAAGAACCCAAAAAAAGACAAACTCCACAACCCGTGAACCGTTTGGAAGTGAAACATGACGCTCTCCCGGTCTGGGCCAGGCAGGGCTGGCGGGCCGGTGGTAGACCGACAATGAGCGCATGATTGAGGTGGCTTCGCTGAAGAGAAGCACACGGCAAGCCTCAAATCTGTGGGATGACGAAGACGCACAGGCTGTTGCTGCAGTTTGTGGTTTGTCTGCACACGGAAGGACGCAGGCCCAGATGCAAGGTCAGGGAAGAGGTGGGTGGTGGTAAAAGTGATAGATAGAGAAAGAAAGAGGTGGTGTCCACTCTCTCTCCTTCCCTGCTGAATTTTGCATCCCCGGCGCAGTCAGGAAGGGAAGGAGGGCCTTTGCACGTAGGAAGGGGACCGACAGAGGGTAAAAAAAAAGAGAGAGAAGTCGCGACTGCCGATCACAGACGTCATAGCATCCAATGCAGGGAAGGACCCTTTTCCCACGTCCCTGCCGCACCAACACCAGAACCAGATTCAGCGCCAGTAACGACAGCGGCAGAAGGAAGCTCTCGGGCTGCCGCTGCGACATGCGCCTCCAATGGTCTGTGCAATGTTTGACGGCGGTTTGTAGACGTGGTTTTTAGTCAAGCTAGACCTGCAAAGAGACAGCCGTCAAAGGGTTCGAGGAACTACTGCACCGAGCTGCAACCCCCGTCATCGATCTAGGCCACACACACACACACACACATACAGCAGCCTCTAATGAGCTCCCTTCTCATCACCATGCACTCACTCGTTCCATCTCTCACTCACACGGGCTTCCCCCAATACGTAACAGCAACACTCCTGTTCCTGTTCTAGTCCGCCATATCCCGGTCGGCTTCTTCGTCGGTGCCATTCCCCTCTTTGGGTTGAGTGAAGCTGTTCATCTTAGCTCAGTTCCATCAAATCCCAGCAAGGCCAGCCCTGTCTGTTTGTCTAGAAACCTCCAAGAACCTATTCTTATTCTCTGACCCAGGAATACATCCACGACAGAAACTGGGAACCATCCCTGCCACTCTTTTTTTTGTTCCCTAGTGTTTTGTTGCTTCTTCTAATTTTTTATTTTGTTTTTCTACCCAAAGTAAAGCTGCCTGGCCTGGTTTGCAATGCCACCCATCCCACAACCAGGGTCGCATCTTATTGAACCCCTTCAGCCAAACCGTCGTAAATGCGACTCTGTATCTTTTTCGCTTCGCTTCACCATCCATGACTGTGGTTCAGCCCAACCACCCCCATTTGACGTGAACCCCCCTCCATCCCCATCTCCAATCCCTCGTTATCCTATTACATCGCCTCGTCAGACTGCCTTGCTTTTGCTTTTCTGCTCAACCTCGCTGCTTAACCCGCCCGCGGCGCAACCTCTACCCTCCTCTATTTGATGCTGTTCCCTGCGTGACCCTGCTTGCCATGACTTGCTGACACCTGCATGCGCTCACACACACTCTCTCATACACCACACCCGCCAAGATCCAAACCCTCTCGTTGACGCACCTCCAGTCGGTCTTCTTTGCCGAATACTTAATTGTGCTCCCCTCCCCCCCATCCCAACCTCTTTTTCGTCTGAAAAGTCTAGGAAGATTCTTCTTTTTCTAACCTTCCCGTCCACTGTCCTCCCCTCTCTTCTTCCTGTCCCACTCTACTTGTGCCAGACAGCAGTAGCAAACAACAGCGACCAACTCGGAACGCTTCGTCAGACTACCTCTCGGCTACATTCGCATCGTCGACTGGTATCATTGTCGCAAGCTCAGTAGAAGCGCATCTTCCTCCTACCCTCCTGTCATCTCCAGTCGCGCCGCCTGCTTAGGCCAAACTCGCCCATCATGTTGTTCGCAATGGGATTCGCAGCATTGCGATTTATGCAAATCATCACCCTGGTAAGTTCTCACCACCACCAAACGCCAATTCTCACGTAGTCTTGTTCCCGCGCCCTCGCGCACAGTAAGCGAGGTATGAGCAGTCGTCACTAACAAGCCCACCATAGATTCCGACAATGGGCATGCTCGCCTGGTTCGTAGACGGTTTTGTCAAGGCCAACGTCGTCGTCCCCAACTACATCCTCGTCCTCTTCATCGTCTCCGTCCTCGCTCTCGCATGGGCCATCTTCACCCTCTTCAGCTACCACCGCAGCAGCACGAATGCCCTCTTCGTCGCCGTCATCGACCTCGCCTTTGTCGGCGCCTTGATCGCCGCCGTGTGGTACCTCAGACATATCAACCGCATGGACTGCGTCAACATCTCCCGCAACGGCCAATGGACTGTGACCTTCCCCGAGTTCTTCTCCTTCTCTGGCCCGCGCCTCGATGCCTTCTTTGACAAGCCCTGCGCCATGCTCAAGGCTTCGTGGGTGTTTGGCATCATCAACTGCATTCTCTTCTTCTTCAGCGCCGTCCTCGCCTGGATGCACGGCGACCGCCTCTCCGCGAGCTACGAGCGCAAGTCATACCACCACGGCCGTCACCGCCGCCACCGCAGCCACAGCCACCACAGCCGTCGCAGCTCCCACTCTCGTCGCCGCGTCTATGTCTAAACGGCGAGGTCCGAGGCGCATGCAATTAGATGTTGTAACAAATGAGATAATGAAGAAGGAATAAAATGAGAAAGAAAAACGAAACCAATCAGTCATCAACAATACAAGAAGATACCATGGAATGTCACGATTAAGACTTGGGAAGGAAACTTTGTCCAGAGAATTTATGTTGTGTGGTGTCAATAACACCAACAACCGGCGTATGTATGTGGAGGAATAATCACGATTATGAATTAAACGTCTTATATTTGCATTTCCGTTTTTTTTTTTCCCTCTGTTCCTCTGATCCTATTTATGGTCCCTGTCTAAACACTTGGTTCTCTCCGACGACGCATCGGCCCGGCTGGACCGGTCGAGCGTCTTTGTCCTGTACACAGAACGATTCCCTGACCAGAACATGAAGAAAAAAAGGACATGATCATCATAAATGAATAGGGTATATCTTACGGCCCTCTTTGGATTTTTTTTTCTTTCTTCTTTTTGCGTGACCCAAATGCTGCGTGCTTCCTTTTTTTTTCCCCTTCCAACCAAATTTTAAAATTTCTCCTTTTTTGTTTGTACCTCAATCCACGCCGTGAAAAATGTCCCCAAGTCTACGACCTGCTGGCGTCCTCGCCAACCGTATATCCTCTCGCAACACCGCTCCTGCCCTCCTCTACGACGGTGCTGCTCTCGTCGTCGTAGTCGGCCCCGAGGCCCTGCCACGTCCTTTGCGACCGCAGATACTCCGCGCCGGGACTCAACACGCCGTTGATGGTCGCCACCTCGCCCACCTCCCTCCGTACTAGCGCCGACTGCGCCGATTGCTTCACCCCGTCGTCGTCGTCGCCGTCGTCGTCTGTCTCCGTCTTGGCTTCGTTCGCCGACCGTATCGGCATCCGCATCGGCCGGCTGCTGCTCACAAGCTTACCCGTGCGCAAGTCGTACTCGGGCGGCGCCGATTCGTCGTCGTCCAGGTCTTCATCATCCTCCTTACGGACGGCGTCGTGGTCCAGCTTCTCGATACCGCCCCACCACTCGACGCCCCATACCCTCTCGCTCTCGGGCTTCAGCGCCACCTCGAGCTCAAACGGCGTGATGACGGGCTTGAAGAACCCGGCGTCCTCCTCGACTAACCCGCTCTCCCAGCATCCTACCACGACCCAACCGTCGACCTCGGCGAAGTTGGCCAGCTTCGCCGCGTTCAATTTGCCCACGACAATGGTATAGCTCTTCTTATCTGCCTCGGCGATGCGACGGCGCAAGAGGTCGATGCTGGGGAGGTAATTTGATACGGAGAGCGTGTTCACAAGGATGCCGACCACGCCGGCCGTCGCCAGCGTAAGCACACGCGCGAAACGACGGCGCAAAAGCGCATTCGTCGTCCTTGTCGGATCGTCTGTCGAGAGGTTCGCGGTAGATAGCACATGAAGGGAGGACATGCGCGTCTGGAGGGCGAGCAGTAGCGCGGGCGGGGGTGTCGAAATGTGGAAGAGGGAGTACTGCGCGAGATCGGCTTCGGTCGTTTCGTTGTCGTCGTCGGGTGATGATGATGATGATGTGCTGACGATCTTGCGGTTGGGGATTGTGCCAGCTGGGTTGTGAATCACCTCGGTGCGCAGAACCTGCGTGTAACCTGTCGACTGTATCTTTTCGAACAGCGGGACGACGTGGTCTTGATACGTCACGTCCGCAACAATCACCACCTTCTTCTCTTTGTCGGGGAACTCCTTCTGGAACGCCTCGGCGGCCTGCTCGATGTCGAGAGTGTGCCGCGTAAAGACGTAGATGACGGGCAGACGGGAGGTGGGCGAGAGACAGGAACGGCCGTAGTGCACGACGACCTGGGCGTTGACGTGCTCGGCGGCGATTTCGTCGACGCAGCAGGCGCTGTAGGAGGTGTCGGCGAGGATATAGACTTTGTGGGTGTCGGCGCTTCCCAGGGCCTTCGTCAGAGCCTCGGATACCCACGACGAGTCGCGGAGCATGGCGTCGGGGAACTGGAGAGCCACACGAGTCCAGCCAGCCTCCTTCAACTCACGCGCCGTGCGCTCGATCTCATAGATTGAGAAGAGGTCATCTTCGCTTCGGGGTTCGGAGGGAGGCGGCGGAGGCGCGGGTGTCGGGTCCTCGAAAAGGTTTTCGGCGGGTGTCGAGAGGACGGGGGCCGATGCGAGGTCTGCCATGACCACCAGTTTGTTGGAGGGGAGAGAGAGAGAGAGAGTCGACGGAAGGGGGAAAAAAAAAAAAAAGTTTTCTTCGATCTGGAGGGGTGAATCATGCAAGAATCGTTCGGTCGATGGCGGGGTTCTGATGGCGGGGTACAAAATTCGCGGTCAACGGGATGGTGTGCACATCACTGACCGAGGTGAACCATTTTAGGTTAGCGGCTGGGTGGGGCGACCGGGAGGTGGGTTGGTCCCTGACAATCCAATTCCAAACGGCCGTCATTGGATTGGTCCGTAGATCTTGTCTCTCAACCTGCACTACGATATCATCACCACTCTTGATGCGGAAGCTTCTTAACAGCATTTTTATCATCTTAATGATTCCAGTCTTTGATTTTGAATTACAGATCAATATTGTCCTATTACTTTCTATCTGCCTTGAGGCTCAGTTGAGCAATGAACAAAAAAAATAACATCGTCTGGACTACTGTTTCGTTACTTGACTACTCTTAAACGTTGAAAGGAACATTATATTCGTTGTTGAAGACATAGCAAGCCCAGACTCGTCCAAGGCATGTTTTGAAAACTAAGACATTTCATTGCCAGTGTAGTAGATATCCTGGTTTCCCGGTAACTGCAGTCAAATTCCAATTGCGATATCCTATTGGTAGACAAAGATATTGTGTTTTCGTTTTATCAATTCAAGTCTTTGAACAATTCGTTTCATAAAACAGCGATTTATTACTCGTGTACTCTCAGTCTGGAAAAAAACATTACTAGTATCCTCGATATCATCCACAAATCAGAACAAGTTCAAATTTGTGTCCCTCAAGTCCGACAACCTGCCATTATTAGAAGCCAGCAATCTCCTCTCAACGGTCGAAATTGCCAGATGATGACATAGAGTGTCCAAGACTCTGCCGCACAGATTTGCTTAGTTTGTCTTCTGAGCATTATCGCGATCGCCGTCAGGGCCACGAGGACCGCCAGGAGGGATGGCGCCGGGGAAACCTGGAGCAACGGATCCGGGGTATCCAGGGTAGCCAGGGGGGACGGCACCAGGGAAGCCGGGAGCCGGAACTGGGAACGGGGCTGGGAATCCCGGAGCGGGAGCGGGAGGAGGGGGGCGTCTGTCGCCGTCGCCGCCACGGCCGCCACCGCGGCCACCATCACGGTCGCCATCAACGAAGCACTCGCGGTCATCATCACGGCCGCCTCGATCGCCGCCATTACGCTCTCCGTCACGACCGCCGTCACGATCACCATCGCGATTGTCGTTGCGGTCACCGTCTCTGTCCCTGCGGCAGCATCGATTGCCGTTACGGTCTCGGCCTTCCCTACCATCGCGACATTCGCCATCTCTGCCATCGCGGTTGCCGTCCCTGCCACCACGGTCATCACCGCGGCCTCCATCTCTATCGCCGTCCCGATCACCTTTGCGATCTCCCTTATCGTCGCCCTTAGGCGGGTTGGCGGGAGGAGCAGCAGAAGGAGCAGCAGCGGGAGGAGCCTGTCTTGCCTCCAGGGCATTGGACTGGCTCAAGGCACTAAGCTTGTATTAGCATTACAACTATTAAGTGAGTCGTATTTGAAAATCATACCTCTGCTCGCCGAATGGAGCACCGTTGGCGCCCATCGTGGCGGCGACCATGATGATGAGAGACTTGCTGAAACGCATATTGAATATGAGAACCGGCTTTAGGCAGGTGGCTAGCAATATGATTATGGGTGCTGTGAGTTTTGTGAAAGCGGGCCCTGTAGGGTGCTTGGTAATTATTGAATGGAGCTGAAGAAGAAGAGGAAGAGATGATGATTGTTGAGTGTGTCTTGGAAGTGAGATTGTGGACATGATGGCAGAACAATCGAGTTCTTATATACCTTTTATCTTCCCTCATTGGGCCATCAAGCAGCTTCGGAGCTCTCCCTTTGCTTACCCCTAAGGTTCTGCTCCTCCCAGTGATGGGTGCACATCACATCATTTCCCGTACCTCCATCTCCAACAGTTCGTTTCTCCAAAGTCCCAAAATGAAGCATAAGCAGGACAGTCTTCTCGCGAAGTCTATTATGCACTCGGCATCCTAAAAGAGCAGCTTGGGAGTCGAGTGTGGCCAATAGGGCCGACGCGGGTTCGCGCAGGCGACTTACATTGACCAGCAGGCGGCACCGTCGCCCCCCTCGGTTTAGTCCGCCATTGATGTGAAGGAGGTCAACGTAATGACAAGCCAGGCAATGAAAAGTTTATGATCACGAAGGCCGTCTGATACTGGGGCTTTAAACTTCATGAGTTGTTGCCTGAATGGGAGAAGTGAACCCAGCTTTCCCTGCATCGTGTGGCGGCTTCCTTGTCTTTTGTCCGGACCTCGCGATCCACCACTTGTCCTGGGGGTTTCTTCGGGAACCTCTCAATCACCAAATATTGAGTTACCAGAGCTGGCTATTCATGGCTAGACCCCGGCAGGGCAAATAGCTGAAGGCGACTTCAGCACCACTTTGCGCCCATGCATCTGAGCGACCCTCCAGCATCCCGCTCCTGAGTTCTACTTATGTTTGCAAGCGGACTAAGATGGTCTTTCGCTTATACACACCAAACCAAGATCTTGATGGCTGACTCACTGTTTTGTTGATCGAAAATACGATATCACTCATCTATTCATCCACGATGCCGCAAGGATTACTCATATCAACAACCACTACTCAGGTGTACGGCAACCTTCCTGGAGAAGATTGCCGGAGAAACTATGAACACGTAACAGTGTCTCTTTTGGTGATTTGATCCAAGGTTAACAGCATACCTTGATCGTCCTTCTTCTTTTTCTCTTTCTTTTTTTTATCGCCGACGCATGTACTCCTGGCATTTTGCGATTGCCTAGTCAAACGTAAGCCAGACAGCTGATCTTGTGAGTCTCAAGCACTCTCGAAATTCATGCGAGCAACTTGATAACTTAAAGTAATGTTCATATTCAATTGGCGCGTAATCAAGGATTCGTCTCCGGAGAGTGACTAGACGTCCGAACGGGTTACATTCCGGCTTACACCGTCGAAGATGGCCTAGTCCCTGAAGGTATTGAACTATCGTCAGTATCCTTGTCCTTGTTAATATCCCGCCGGGACCTCATGATCGTCTTGGCGAATCTAAAGAGTCTAGCCATCAACAATTATGGAGCTACGTAGCGAGTGCCATTGAAAAGGCTTACCGAGACATAGACACTGATCAACTGTGGCACTGAGCGGTTTTTCATCATGTAGTAGGCCAACTGACATGATTCCCTCCGAAGAAGCCTAGATATGAAACGACGTCACGTATGCACTTCAATAAAGCGTCATCAGCCGATGGCCACTCTTCCTAGCTGCATATATATGGAAATGCACCGTAAATAAAGCAAGTATATTCTCCAACGGTTCTTAAGCTTCGTGTCTGTTCGCCAGAAGTATCGGGCTGCATCGCTCCTCCGGAGGATGCAATGTCTCCCGCAGGACGTAAATTACACCATAAATCAATTTCGATTTAATCCAACCCTTGTCCGCATATTTCATGAAACAAGCCCAATAAACTATCACAATTAGTGCATTTAATGCGCTAAAGGGCAAGAAGCTTTTCATATCTGATACAGCCATTTTCACCGATTCAAAGAAATGTGCGGATTTGGGTGTAGAATGCCCATATCGAAGTACAAAGGCAAAGTTACGAACTCGGGTTTGATGCAATAAGTACTGAACTACTATTCCAGTTGTTTCGTTTCTCGTAGTGTTTCGTCTGGGGAGTTAACTTCAATCTTGACGGTTCTTATTGGGCGGTCGAGCATTCACACGTCGTTAAGCTCGCAGTCCGGATGACATTTGGAGGTGCATATATTCGCTTTGACCATTCGCCTCACTTTCTCCACCCTCGGCTCAATGCAAACAGCGGTTTATTCCAAGTACCGGACTTTCCACTTGAACCACCCTGTGCTTTGACAACCTGCTGAGCCACGGTGGAAAGCCCCCAGTTGCAAGTAAAACTAGGCTGTTTCTCGTGAACGCGGCGTGGGACCTGAAGTCACTATGACGGACGCGAGGGCCTATGAGGGCTTGTTGAGATTGTGACATCTTGGTTCGGTCCACATCCTGCATATCTGCTCTTCCTTTGCATGATCAAACGGCGCAAGAAATGGAGATAACTTGCTATAATTGAATCGAAATGGCGTTTCATTACGATGATATGCTCTTGAATACAAAGGTACATTGGCAAACTCAATTCCGCACAAGGTCTAGAATGCTGATACGCATCCAAGCCCCGCAAGAAGCATGCCATTGACAAGACGTCGTCATCAAATCCAACATCCGCATACTCCGAAATGGGCTGATTAACACCTTACAGATTATAAGAGCATTATGTAAGTAAAGGACTACGACAAACCGATTCTATATGTCCCCTCTGCACCACATCCGACACGGCCATGGTTGCTCATTCATTTTGCACATTTGCCTTCTTGAGCAAATGCATGTTAAGGTCAGTTGCCCTCGATGATGCTCATATTCACACGTTAGACTACATTATTGAAAACCACACCCTTTCTGTGTCCACGGAGCGATATGCTTCTAATCACTGTAACGAACTTTACTTTGATGGCTGATGGGGCTTCTCCTGCCATGCTCCCCTAACCTACAACCACAACGAAGCTGACCACACCCATTCAAGATCATGACATTTCATCTCGTCTGACCTGCTTGGGAACACTTGAAGTAAAAACACTGCCTTAAGCAAAGTATCATCAGATGTTACTCTTAGTCTTTGCAATACGGCAAATTGGCCTTCTTCGGACATATTCTTCCATAAACTGACACCAACTCAAGAATGCACTGCACTACCATTAGATGAACCACTACTATATAGTAGTTCAAAATGACTGAAATCGTTCCCCAAAGTAAGGTGTCAGTCACATGAGCCGATTTAGCGAGATTAAACAAAATTTTCACATATTATTTTCGACCAATGGAGACATTGTTGAAACTGACCGGAAAACATATCAGTTTTGCTGAGAATGCACCGCTAGGGAGCAATGGCCTGATACAATTAGAACCCAGAGAAGACAGCTAATAGTAATTAGATCTTATTGAAATCTCTTTGTTAAGATTCTTTCATTATAGCCATTCTTTAGTACAAAAAGACGGAAAATCTGTGCGGTGTAGCACTCAATAGAATCAAATGCCTAGCGTATTTTATATGCTTGCTTTATAGAAATCCCTGAAAATGTGTCGCTACCTTATTCCTCTGGTTTCTTCCTTTGGTTTTGTTCGTACCTTTGTTGCGTAGAATAGACAGCACGAATGACAGAAGCCACCGACGGCAAAGTTTTGGTAAGAGAACCTAAGCCAAGCAAGGTAGTCAACGTGAAGGTTCGAGGCTGTCGTCTAACTTTCCTACTTGAATGGGGGCTGGCGAATGGAGATGGCAGGCTTCTCATAACCGTCACCTAGCGTAGGCCGCAGCATTCTTAACCTTTCAAGGGAACGAGGCATCAAGAATTGCAGTCTGCGGCTGGATCTTAAACTATTTAACCTAAAGAGTAGAGCACTCAAGCGAATATCTTGGGTCATGATGCACGGTCAGTTTTCTGCGGCCCAAGATGAATCTCAGCAAGGGTAAACTTCTACAGGGTGATCAATCAGATTTGGGCGGGAATCATAATGATTTATCAACAGAAGCATTTCAGCATGGCACTTAGCTATCCTGAGGTGTTGTGATAAGTCGCGCCATGTAGGTTGGCCAACGGTGTAAGAAATCTTAGGAATAAGAAGCTTTTTTATTTGATTTTGGGAGCCTGGCGTTTGACACCGTGTGTGGAGATGCTATCTTGACCTACGTAAGTTTTTCTCACTTGTTCGGTGTCTCGTTTTGTCAAACTGAAAGCTTGAGACTTCAGCAAGTAGCTGAACCTCGCTACGGCTACTTTCTGGAGCACTAATAGCAAGGCCCGACATAGTAACGCCCAAGTAACCCTAAAACCTGTACCTGAACTTGACCAGGGAGTTCTGTCTCCCACCCAACCTGATAAACTCCGTTATCCATTTCCAACCCTCCTATTGATTTCCTAATAACTGACTCATGCCGCCGTTGCTCGCGCCCAGCTTATTCGAATCGAGGAGGATGGCCATTGATCTCAGGACTGTCCAACCGTTTTGAAATGTTACGTGCCAAGTGTATCAGTTGCCTAAGCTGGAAGTCGGAGTCGTTTGTGCCATTGTTCAGTTGAGCACCCACAAGGCCGATTGTCTTGCACATGCTAATTAGAGTTTCTCGTGCCAGTCTGGATGCTGTCTCAGGAGAATGTTGGCGATAATGATGCCCGCGCCCTTCGTCATCTGATGAGAAGGATTCTGGCTCTCGAAGCACAGTAAGAATAGAAGGAATGCCGGTAAAGGTAGGACTACTAGGGTCCCTTTGGCGTCCTGGGGTTGTTGGGCTCTCGGACATGATGATAGAGAGGAAGTAGTATTAAAGCTGGTTGGTGTTCGCAAAAGAACCTCGCAAGCATTAGCTGGCTTGTATCGTAAAGGGAGAAAATAGAGACTCACTCGTGCTGTCTTGGTAACACGTATTCAATTTGGGCTGGTGTTGTTTGTTTAAGATTTAGATTGCAGAAGTGTTAGCGTTGGCTTGTGGAAAGCAGGAATGAGAGACAGGGTGTCCTGCTTATCTATATTTTGGAAAAGTACGACGACGTAAGAGGAGGAGGCGGCGGCGGGGTACTTGGTCACGAGATCATACATCTTTCTAAGTTTCGCGTCTGTCTCCTCATCAAACATCATCTGATGTTGAAGACACAATTCTGCCTGTGGCCGCTGAAGCGACGGCCGCCACCCTCCGTTTAAGGTTTTTAGCGTTTCCCATTGCTTAAATGCCCGTGGGCAGTTACTGAAAGACGCAGAATGGAACTATATACCGTAAGGTATGTGTCAGTTTCGAACTACTGCTGATCTGTCATTGCCGAACGTACTAGAATACTTCTTCACTGACAGCAAGACAGCGGACTGCTCTGAGCATTGCCAATATGATTGACACAGCATCGTATATCAAACACATTATACTTGAAAACCGCTATCTTTGCCATGTGGCAAACCAAGCCTCCATGATTACGAGTGCTTCATCGGGGAGGGGCAATCTGCGCTCGAGCGGACGGACTGCGGGGAAGTCGACGGACATGGAGTCATCCCGGCAAACGGGCGCTTAGGTCCATCGGCTTCAGGCGGAGTAAGAGAACGGCGCTCGGCCCTTGTTTCTTCACTGATGGGATCGAACGCACCCAGTTCTACTACTACGTATGCTTTGATGACGTTTGAAGTATGTAAGCCGGGGAAAATTATCGTGTTGTTGTGCGTATCGAACAAACAGAAGTTGTATTGGTTTCAAAAGCAGAAAGTCCTGGAAATGGTCTGGATAATTCCTTTTGATTTTTCAACTGCAAACCACAGTCTGACGTGGGATTCATCGCGAAGTCTATCTACGCTTGCCAAACTTAATTTCAGTGGCGGCGTCTAGATGTTGCATTTTCTGATTCAAATGACTTTTCATGTTCAAAAAACTGATTTGTGTAATGTTTTCATGCCCGCTTAAAGCTCATGGAAGGGATGCTGTTATCATGTCTGAGATTCATTGCAACCCATCCACCCACCTGGTCATATTTTGCGTCACTCTCAAAGAGGAATCGCTCCTCTGAGTGGTTTACATGGGTTGCGTGAGACATCCCCCTTAGTGGTGCCAAGTTTCAATAAATGCCAAGACTTTAAACGTCGCGCTCATCTCCTTTTCACCCCAGACCCCTCGTTTCCAGCCGGTCAACACGCATCATCTCTCCAACCTTTCGTCCTATGTTCATCCTACGTCAACCTTGCCAATATTTCTAGCCTTTGTCGCGATTTTGAATCTTCAAACCGCTCTCACCGGCTCTGCCGCAAACTTCAAGCATGTCGGACAGCCACGGGACCCATCCATCGGCATCGGCCGGCAACGGCGGTACGGCGCATAGCCACGAATCGACCCCGCTTCTCCCAACCACCGCGTTCCGTACCGCTCACGAGACAATCTCAAGCCGCATTGCGCATGAAGGGGAGAGCGGAAGAAGCGGCTTCCATTTGCGTCACTTTCTGACGGTACTCTGGCGGAGTTCATCCACAGTGTCTATGTTAGTCAATGTGCTTTGGCCTTTGGTTCCCGTAGCAATCATTCTGCAATTCTTCCCTGGGCTACACCTATGGAAGTTTGCAACCGCCTACGTGGCCGTGGTGCCTTCTGCCAACTTGCTTGGGTTTGCAGGGCAAGAATTCGCACGGAAAATGCCAAAGGTAGCTGGCATTCTAATTGAGACAACGTTTGGATCTATCGTGGAAATCATCCTCTTCGTGGTTCTCATTGCCAAGCACGATACTTCAGAAGGCAACGGCGATGAGGGAAACTTGATACCTATTATCCAAGCAGCAATTCTTGGAAGCATATTGACGAATCTTCTCCTCTGTCTCGGACTCTGCTTCTTTTTTGGTGGAATACGTCATGCCAGCCAGAAATTCCATGCTATCGTTTCCGAGGTTGGCACTGGGCTTCTGCTAGTTGCCGCATTTGGGCTGCTGATTCCCAGTGCTTTTTATTCTGCCCTCAAGTCCGAAGCTTTGCCAGACTTTCCACCCTTCCGGACTGTCTTGCACGAAAGATTCACCGAAAGGCTTTTGCAGGCCGACGTTTTGCGCATCAGCCAAGCAACCTCGATCGCTCTAATTGTGGCCTTCTTCCTCTACATTTGGTACCAAGCTAGTAGCCAACATAGCATCTTTGATGAGGTCATTGAGATGGATGAGCATCGTGATGCTGACCGTGAGGAGGATATGGAAAAACCCAAGTTTACTTTAACAGAGACAGCAATCGCTATCACGGCCTCACTGGCTATAGTAACGCTTCTTCTGATCTTCCTAGTCCAAGAGATTGAAGAAGTCGTGGAGAGTGGTGTACCCGATCAATTCTTGGGCCTTATATTGCTTCCATTGGTTGAAAAGGCTGCCGAACATCTAACTGCTGTGGATGAAGCTTGGGGTAAGTCATCCACATTCATGCGCTCGAGGCAGCGTGCGTCATGAGAATTTCAAACTCACAAACTTTTTGCAGACGGCGTCATCAACGTGGCACTTTATCACTGTCTCGCTCCTTCCATCCAAACCGCTTTGTTCAACGGGCCTCTAGTCGTCCTTGTTGGCTGGGCTATAGGAAAGCCCATGGACCTGAATTTCGAGATCTTCATGATTGCTTTACTCGTACTATCCATCCTCGTTGTAGGCAACTTCTTAAGGGATGGAGAATCCAATTGGCTTGAGGGAGCGCTGCTTGTCGTAAGTCATTAATCAAGTTAGCCAAGTCGCGATATATGGGATTAGCTAACAAACGCCAATCTGTTTAGGTTGTATATGTAATTATCGCTATTGCGTGCTGGTATTATCCTAATCCCGATGTAGCAACCTCCAACGGCCTACAAGGATCGGAAACCATCAACGTTACCATGAGCGTAGACACACTTCGGCACATCCAACAACTTTTGGCGTTGAATCTCGAAAACTGAGACCGAAGCTCAGTGGGAAGTCACAAGAGTAATGAACCAACCTATCGAGCCGGCCAGATTCGGAAAGTCGGAGAATCCCGCATGATTAATTCTGGGTTCTGAAAAAAAGCTTCTCTCTTACATTTCAGCAGAAAAACAAAAGAATGGATGAAGCGAGCATGTGAGAAACAAAGGGACAAACAGGTTGTCAATTTCTTTGTAGACTGAGCTTACATATTGATGTGGAAAAGGGAACTATTAATACCTCTTTACACTTTGGGAGAAACAGAGCCTTCTGACAGCTATCAAAAACCACAAGAAAGATTTTCTCTGAAGCCTAGTAGCTACACGGCGTAAAATTGTAGCAGGGAACACTGTCGTGCTGTGTTAACCTCGGAAGACGAGTGATCATCATTAGGACTGCGACGAACAAAACCACTTTGATATGTATTAAAATGAGAAACTTGGACCGGAATCTGCGTACTCAAGAGACACACTGCCCAAGTACATATCATGAAGAAAGCCCCAACTCCAATCGTCGTTGCCTTCCAGAAATAGAGGTTCACCGCCGTTGCTCAGTGGCGGCACTGAAGGTGATGCATGAGTCCGTATGTGATCGCCTGAATCCGTCAACTTATCCTGCATTGAAAGCGGTGTAACTGCAACAGTCGTCATACTGGCATGGTCGTTTGGTACCGAATCCACGGGTTGAAGATCCAAAGGCGGTGCTTCAACACGCATGTTTGAAGCTTCATGTCTGCTGACCTCTCGATCATCTACGGCAATAATATTTTCCATCCCTTGAGTGCTGGTTTGTCTCCTATGCGGGCGTTGCTGACTTTCCTTGATGATAGAACTGTTACTAACCAAGCTCTCCGACCTTTCCACCCACTCTTCCAGGCCTCCCGTGTTGCCTCCCATACGAACACTCAATCTTGCGCTGCCAGAATGCTGGGAAGTGGTGCGTTGCCTTGAGTTACGGTGGTGGTCTTGGACCATGGAGAAGAAGTACTCATCCGCTTCATTAAATCTTGCGACAAAAGCGGATGCAACACCCGAGTACTTAGAAAGTTTTGTGAGAGCATCAAACATGACTTTAGTAGTACCAGTTGACACAACAGCTGGCCGAATTCCAGCCGGCTCCTCTTCGCCATTCTGTTGGCTAGTCAAATAGCCTTCTGTATCCATGTGAGGAAAATATCGAGCGTAAATACTTGTGAATGACGCAGTATATATGACGAAAGCAGCGAGAGGGGAGTGAGGAAGCTTTTCGTCGCACAACTCGATCACGTCAGAGACATCCTTGCTTGCTTTGAAAACTTCTCGAGCACTTTGCTCCCAGAAACCTAAAGGAACCTGGCCCCGAGGGAACGTAGGCTCATCCAAGGGACCACAGGGCTTAGTGCAATTGATTGGTATGAACGGAAGGTATTGTCGATGCAGCATAATTTTGCAGAGGGCCATTAAAAGATGGGTTAAGATATAAGTGCTGGAAGCGCTTTCAAAACGGAAATAGTTTGCAGGACTGAGACTCAAGAATTTCCCAGGAGTTTCGAGGCCATTGCTGAAGTTTTCCAAATCTTGTCGTAAGCGGAAGAACTTGGACTGGGGATCCCAAGGAGGTACGTGCTGGTCCAGAAAGCGACCCCCGGCACTGGTGTAGTGAGATATACGACCCCAAAGGTCGACTAGCAGTACAAAACGACCAAGTAAGCTTATATCGTGGTGCGATATGGCCTCAATGCCGCTTGCAAAAAAGCTGGTGACAGTTTGGCGACTCAAGTCAAACTCATCCTTGCCGCATGGTAGCTGAACATGAACATCTTCCGATCGTATTAGGGAGGGCCGCTCTTTGCCACAAGATATAAGTCGATCAAATATGAAGCAACTGAACATGGTTCTTCGCCTTACTTCACGATCAACAATCACTTCGTCGGGCGTCATAACCGGATAGTGTTCAGAAGAATGGGTTCTTGCTTCGTATCCGAGCCTGAGAGCCTGAGCCATGCGGCCCGCAGCCCCAACAAGCATCCAAGCCCGAAGACCTTCATGATTAGGCGAGATCCACTCGTAAAGACCAAGCATAAGCAATGCCTGAACCCGCTCGACCGACCCGATAGAAGTTGCAGATACAAATGAGCCTAGGGCTTTGTCTAACATTTTTGCAAATACGTCAGACACGCATTGGACGCGAATCTCTTCACTGTCTAGAGATCTTTCCAGATGACAATGAAGACTATCGGCCAGTTCCGGATGATATCTTCCTGTCAGGGCCAAGAGTCCCAGCAGCACAAGTTGTGTGTCAAATGCCACTGGGTTTCTACCTGTGCTCAGATCATATATCGTACTTTTGAGTGTTGGAATGTGCAAGAAAGATAGCTCCGTGGCAAAGTGGTGTTGGTATGTGACAAGTATTTTGTCCACAATGCCCGCTCGATACGGCCAACAATGAGAATATCCTCAGAGTGCTCAGTCTCACGTACTTGCGTATGTGTGGCACGTCTTCTTGGTCTTTTACGCCCAGTTCCAGAGACTGCCGGTGACTCATGTGGCTCACAGCTTATGGTGGGAGGCTGAGATCTTTTTGATGGTAAGGCTGTGGGCACTGGCCATACGCATTCGTTTCCGCTCTTGGTGCAGTTCTCGCAAGGGGCGTTCAAATTGCCAGTGTTGTCGCATTTAATCTTGGACCTCCTGCATCTGGCGCAAGCTATGCTGGACCTAATTCGAAATTCAGTCACCATCGTCTTGATATGGCGGACAGACGATTCCGACAAAACGAAACTTGTAACACGAATCAGGAGAGTAGGTTCCGTGACAACTTCACCAAGCAAACATGCTGGACCCACGGTGAGGGGTAAGAAGCTCGACCTTAGCCCCTCACTGACTAATCATTAGCCCGGTTGTGTTGTAAAATGTGGCTGCAGAGTTACAGCAAATTTTTCAGGCATTGACAAATCCAGCTTAATGTGCCATTCTTGTTGAATGCAGTACGAATTGTATTTGGTTGGACTCAATCATGTCCGACTGCTCTGGATATGCAAAGTAACCACACTGTCTCTAGCCTGAGATTCGTTGAAGAATGGCTCCGGGAAGCTGGATTAAGCTTGTTTTCGTTAACGAGTGCTTCTGGCTAGGAACTAACACTTAATTTGAGGGCTTGGTGACGGTAAAAGAGAGACTCGGTATGCCGAGAGCTCGGCATACCGAAGCTTTGCGAGGACCTCGGCTTACCGAACTTGGTAATTCTGAAGCAACATCACCTGAAAAATGATGAGTGACTGCATAATCATGACACAGGAACGTGAGAGTGTGATGAGGCCGATAATATTGACTTATAGAAAGTGTTCCTCTGTTTATTTGATATGAGCTGGATATCGGGGCTCGTCTCATGCAGAAATATCTCTTAGCAAACAAACCACTTAGGATTGTTGCCGCCACTTAGTTACTGAAATTATAATACTTATCATTGATTGTTATCAAGGCTTCTTAACCTTATGTAGCTCACAGAATGTAAATCGGGTTTACAACTATGAAAATGAATAAAGGATCGTCTGATTTTGTGATCATCACATCTCTGTCTGAATATGCTGAAATATTGCATTAGTAGCTCATCCTAGTCCGTCTAGAAAGCCTAAACCGCTAAAATACTGCGGATTTCTCCTTCGTTGTCTGTAATAATAATCTAAGACGTTCCATCTACATCTTAAACAATGATTGTTTGCAGCCTTGACAGCCTTTTCACCAGCACGGATCAACATGTATAGCAAATCAAATGCTTAGCAGCATCTCCAAGACCCGAGAATAAAGAAGTTAAACGATATTTTCTCAAAACATACAGAATCCCTGATAGCCCAGTCTACCTCAGGCATAAATAATACTCCAGATCGAACGCAGATAATACAATTCTTTCAGTGAGAATTCACGTTTGGGTTGAGCCTCCAGGTTTACGGAATGCCTGCTTCGCGCTTGAAAAACTCCAGCCATTCTGCGTTATCCGCGGCCGTTTGATTCCAAGGGTCATCACTCCTAAGAGTTAGTGAATTGCAAACATGAGATAACAGCAAGGATAATCTGGTGGAGAACGTACTCATCAAAAAGTAGACAGCGAGCTTGATGGCGAATCTCTTCATTCGATGGAATATGCCGGTTGGGGTTATTAGGCGACATTGTTGCATTAACCCAACGTTTAAGTTCACGCGACAGCCATCTATGCGAGTTTGAGTCGTTTAGATCAAAGTTACCAGATTTAAGCCAAGTTTCCGGGCGCGAACTGCCTGGATCCTGTCGCCTAGAACCAATAGGTTTGAAACTCTCGTAATGTGTACCGGAGACCAACGGCGAAGCTGCAGGAGAAAAAGATGTCTTAAATGGCGCTGCGCCTTCCATTCCGGGATTTGGCGTGGCATGTACATCTTCCATATTAAAAAGAAGATGATCAAAAGCTTTGTCGGTTGAGAGTCGCTCGGAAGGCCTGCCGTCGATGCCGTTCCCCAACGAGGGCATGAAGACCTGATTACAAGAAACCGGATAAGCCATCTCGCCGTGTGGCGTGAAAACCCCGACATAAGAAGAGCCTGTATGTTGTCTTTGCCCGTCAATACTCAGTAAACATGGATTCTCCGACGTGGAAAGAACATTGTTACGTCTTTTGAAACCAGTCAACCAATTGTCTGAGGACGTGATTAACTTTGTCAACCAATTAACCACGAAATCAGGCGGCCTGGAAGAGAGAGCCTCCTCCATGCGGGCAGTAGCCCTGCAAGCCTCACCCTGAAGGTCAGTATTTGTGGGAACGGCGGATCGTGTAGCCCAGAAAGTATGAACGAACTCCCGCAACTGGGATTCAAGGGGACAGGACTCGAAAAAGGTTCGTTTCCCATTGATTCGCAAGGTTGACAATCTGTTCTCAGCCTGTGACCGCATGGGTCGGAACTTAGCCTCTTGCGTGATTGTATCATCGGAAGTGATGAGATCTCGAAGCCAAGACGTCGAACTGTCTTCCTCAGCGTTGACAGTAATTGGTGCCAGTGCTTCAGCGGCAAAGATAATCCGGCATGCCTCGAGTTGCATTTCCCTATTCGTAGGCATTTGGCCGACGTCTTCCCAATGTCTTTGAACATAATATTCCAGCTCTAATGTGATTAGTTCATAGGCGCAGCGGGGAGAATTCGACGGCAAAACGCTTGCGTTAAAAGGAAATGGTGTATGACGTTCGTGTTCAATGACATCTGGGGATCGATTAGTTATTGCTCCATATACTGTAGGAGTTGACGGGTAATCGCGCAAAATCAGCACTTACAGGGAGGAATGAAGTTCTCAATCGTCTCCAAGACCCATCCTTCAAAGCCCCAATCATCCTTCCAATCCGCCATCGTCTTGCCTGCCTTAAAATGGTCGGCAAGATGGTCTACCCGGTCTTCCCATGTCTCCAGGGTTTTCTGGCAGAAACCGCACCGCGAGCGAACAGCTGGACTCGAGGTTTTCCAATGCTTCAAAACCCAATCAACTCCTTTGGCGTTATGAACTAGTTTTAAATGCTGCTTGAGATGGTCCTTACGGTTGAAAACCCGCTCTTGACAGGTTGCAGCATTATGCTGAGCGACATGTGTGTCGTCGGGGTCCACCTCGCCGCAGAAAACGCAACAAAGCTGGTTGGTTTCTGGGTTGATACGCCTGGGGCCGTCTGGAGCGCACATCCATCTCTCTAATGGGATGTGCAGCGACTTTTCATGTCGCTGCCACTCGTACTTGGCTCGGAATGTTTCTGTACAAAAAGTGCATTGAAATGGGCCTCGGTGTTGAAATAAAGGCGTGCTATGGCCACTTTTACGCCCTCGGCGTCGACCTCTTCGATTGAATGATGGTGATATTAACCGAGACCGACTTGATCCATGAGAGCTTGCAGATGCCTTTGAATCATCCCTTGAAGAACCAACACTGCTGGCCGAACTGTCATCAAATAGAGATGACGGACCAGAGATGTTGTCCAGAGAGTAGTCATCAGCTTTACGGCCTGCACAAAGTTAGTGGGTTAAATGCCAATGCGATTAAACCTATTGAGGCCTCTTCGAAAGAAGGACTAACCTGATGATATACCACCCCCAGACGATATAGCACGAGCAATTGCATGCACCGTGGCCGGCTCATCATCCGGGGGAGACTCAACCCAGCGCTCTAAAGGATCCATGTCAGGATGATGATCCGTGATTCGCCTGGGCATTGGAGTCCCAGGGCGTCTTATCGCAGCTGCACTCTGCTGTTCTGCTTGTGGGGATGGTATAGAACGACTTCCAGTCACAGCTTTCTGGCGGCGCCGGGCGTTTGCAAGCCAGTTCGTTATCTGTGTTTTCGAAAGCCCAGTCAAAAGCTGAAGACTCTGCTTATCTGCATGATTGGGATATGGGTAATGGCTATGAGCATTCAGCCATTGCTTCAGAACACGAGCTGACTCCTTGGAAAACCGAGTGCCAATCTTTGGTGGCACACTGTTATCTTGCTGCCCTACAAATTCTGGAACGGAGCTTACGCTTCCGCCAGAGCTTCCTGCTGTCCATCGCCGAGGCAAAGATGCAGATCTTTGTAACTGGTACCCATTGATGGTCTCACTTGTATTTAGTTCCAGAGGTATGCTGGACGCAGGCTATAACTGCCATCAGTGGTGGATAACCAAAGATAAGGATACCGTACGTACCTGAGTCAGCCAACTAGACTCTGGCGCCCAGTTTGTACCAACGTTTGATGCCTGAGATGTAGAGCACGGCCAAGTCTCTATCATGGCTGGACCATGCATACCCTCGGAGATCACATGTTGTAAGTCTGTTAAGTTTGAAGAGGGGTTTTGACTTATGTTAGTCTGGTCTGTAGCTTGAGTCCGATTTCGGGTTGAAAAACTCCATAACGGATCACCCGAAATGTCTTCTGTTGGAACAATCCCCGACTGAAGAATTTCCTGTGAAGTACTATCCATGGCGATTCTGGGAGCAATGAAGATAACAGCCGACCAGCTTGAGACATGTTTATCTGGAGGAGAGCATCAGCAACGAAGCTCCGTCGTCCAGTGAAGGCAGTGAAGGGTTTGCATGCGCTTTGGATGAATTGAACCACTCCACACTTAATCTATGGGCTCATGACTCCTGCACGGGCTTGTCAATCACGCCTTGTAATTCTGTGGGCAGCGCGCTTATTGCCATTGGCCAAGAGCATCCTGACCCATAGTTTAAGAGGGAAAACCTAGCCGTTGTATCCTGGCTTCTTTTGCCTGCAAACCAAAGTACTCGTATGGTCTCCACCCATGGTTGAGCTTGTACGGCCCCAAAACCCAACCTTTGTTGGAAAAGACTTACGTTATTCAATCCTCCTAGCATTTCTCCGAAGACTCCATGTCGGCACAGGGTGTAGCTAGCGGCTAAAATGCTTCAACGAGTGAAATAACATTAGTAGAAATGCCAAGCATTCCACGTTTAGTGGAGCCCTGACATGATCCAAGAGCATGAGGCTAGACAACATCCCGAGTTTGCTGATGTTATTAAGTGCTTCGAATAAAAGCTCGCGGCCTCGTGTCTCCGGGCTACTTGCAATCCAAAGAGGCCCAGAATCAGGGTTACTCCAAGATTGCGATAGATACTTAGATGAACTCAAGTATAGTAAACTTTTGATAACTCACTAATTGCGACTAAGGTTTTCGAACGCGAAAGTAGAAGTTATCTTGCCAAGCAATGATGTCCATGCCAACATAGGCACTATCACGGACTTCGTTTATAAGGCTGTTTGAGAACACAAATATGTTTACTGTTGAAGAATACGTACATATCTGAAACTCCGAACGACACCGAAATACTGGGCAATTTGCATCATGGCTCCTGTCATATAAAAATTATTGTTGTGTTGGGTTTCAAGAATACGCAGGAGCGCCTTGATGACACTCATTTGATAAAGACCATTCGGAATGCAAAGCCAAGTATTATCACCGAGCGTATATCATTATTTTTACGTAAGTTGCAAGCAGGCAGTATGGGCATTTACGACGAAGAATGTTGAAGAATGACGGACAAAGTGTTCAGAAAACTGTTGTCATGAGACGATATTTGTGAGATAAGTAGATGTAAATTCAGAAAAACCCTTGACGTCTGCTGATTGATAATTTGTTTCTGCTTAACCCCTTCATTGTGGTCTTAGGCGGCCTGAGAGGATATGGCAATAGGTGCGCATCAAAGGCTCGTTGCTTCAGCTCGTCACTAGCGGCGCTTTTGTCGTTGGTTGAGAAGATGCTGTGATGCGCATCGACGACTTTCAAAAGATGGGATTCCCAGCTATCACGGGAATGTGTTGACCAAGTGCCATGATACATCGAAAGATCCCGAGAAGAGAGAGGTTGAGACGACCGGGAAAGGAGAGATGAGAAGCGCATTCCTCAATGATTTCAAATGGGGTGCTGTTCGTGATGTAGTCTGGACTTTAAACTTGGTATTAAGTATATGAGATATCGCACAATTTGGAACAAGAATGTAAGCTAGGGGTACAATGAATAACTCGCAAAAAAGAATTAACTAGCGTTGTGGACTAATACTTAAATAAAAAAACTGATGTGTACCAAGAAGCATGATGTAAATTTAATATGCTATTAACTATACCAGCGTTGCTGGCTTTGATAGGCGACCGATTCAATACAGCTTCACATAGCCACGCCGGCTTCAGTGGGCCAGCTTCTATATGCGACGAGATTAATATGGCTTCACATAGCTATACCGAATCTAATGAGCTTTTCATCATAAAAGCAAATAAATTATAATGTGTTACTGTTAAAAACTCAAGACCACCAATTACGCTCCTCACGGTTTTTGGAACGTCTTTTCAATTGAAACATTGTCGCGTGAGATGTTGATTTCCGAAGTAAGACTCTTGAGTCCCAAGATTAAAATTCGCTGGTAATGCGGCGCAGTATATAATACCTTAGTTACTTAGAAGCCCACAGTGCCTAGGTATGTACTGCTCAGACCACTCTGGATGGGGCGCGTTAACCCTTTTCAGACAGACCCCTATTCGCGCGTGCCGTGCCGCCTCTGCCCCTTTGCAGGGGTTCACACCAACACATGAGAGTCAGGTCAAGTTTGACACCTACCTCTCAAACTTGAGGCTATACCCGAGATAGTAGGATCTTGTGCTTGAGACGCCACTTCATCATCTTAGCGCGCGCAAAACAGCTGGCCATGATCTCGCGTGCTCGATAGGGTCACAACACACACCGTCAACATGGCGGTAGTCACCACCCGCGTCAGGTTCCTGGCAATAGCCATGGTCTTTCACCTGGTATACATTTATTCCATTTTCGATATTTACTTCGTCAGCCCCATTGTCACGGGAATGCCGCTTGTCCCCATAGAGCGTTCCCCAGAAACGAGAGCCCCCGCAGATCGTCTTGTTCTCTTTGTTGGTATGACTGTCGTGTCTCTCAATCGCAATTTTGGGAAATTTGCTGATCTGAAACATGAATAGGCGACGGACTGCGTGCTGACAAGGCCTTCCAAGCCTTCCCAGAGCCCTACCCCAAGGCTGAAGACGACCTGGCGCCACGCCATCTTGCGCCTTTCTTGCGCTCGCGGGTGCTCGACCATGGCACCTTTGGTGTGTCTTGGACGAGAGTCCCTACGGAGTCGAGACCCGGGCACGTTGCGCTCATCGCCGGCTTGTACGAGGATGTGTCGGCCGTTGCCACGGGTTGGAAGATGAATCCCGTCAATTTCGATAGCGTTTTCAACCGCAGCAGACATACGTGGAGCTGGGGCAGCCCTGACATTCTCCCTATGTTCGACCATGGTGCGACACCTGGGCGCATCGACGCTTACTGTTACGCTGCCGACTTTGAAGACTTTACACAGGATTCTACCCACCTTGATCTATGGGTCTTTGACCATGTGAAGGATCTGTTTGCTGCAGCGGCTACAAATAAGACTCTGAACGAAGCCTTGAGACAGGACAAGGTGGTTTTCTTCCTGCACCTACTTGGGATCGATACTGCCGGACACTTCTATCGCCCTTACTCAAAGGAGTACCTCAACAACATCAAGCTAGTTGACCAGGGCGTCAAGGAGATCACTGAATTAATGAATGAGTTCTATGCGGACGATAGGACAGCTTTCGTCTTTACGGCTGATCATGGCATGAGCGACTGGGGAAGTCATGGAGACGGGCACCCTGACAATACAAGAACCCCCCTCATTGCCTGGGGATCCGGGGTCGCAAAGCCTGTGATCCATCCGGCGGATTCCGTTGCCCCTGGTCACGATGGGTACTCATCCGACTGGAATCTCGACAACGTCAGAAGGCACGACGTTGCACAGGCGGACGTGGCAGCATTGATGGCCTATTTGATAGGAGTGGAATTCCCGGTCAATTCTGTTGGAGAACTGCCTCTTTCCTACCTCGATGCAAGGCCTGAGGAGAAGGCAGAGGCTTTACTCGCCAACGCAAAGGAAATCCTTGAGATGTACGGTGTTAAAGAGCGCATCAAGAAGACAAACCAACTGCGTTACGTCCCGTATAAGCCTCTGAGCTCAGAGCACCGTACACCCGAACAGAGAGTTCAGGCGATTCGGAACCTAATCGATCGAGGAAGCTTTGAAGAAGCTATTGAAGAGACGGCTACCCTGATCAAGACTGCTCTCGAGGGTTTGAGGTACCTCCAGACCTACGACTGGCTTTTCCTGCGGGCGCTCATCACGATTGGATATATTGGTTGGACAGCATTTGCACTGACTACAGTGGTTGATCTTCATGTTCTTCAGGGTACCACCCAGCCACAGCGGTCAACCGGCGGCACGATAGTATTCTCCTCTATCCTAGCTGCTTTGTTTGCCTCGTTTATGGCATCTCGCTCACCCTTGACGTACTACGCATATGCTTTTTTCCCTGTGTTTTTCTGGGAAGAAGTATATGCGCGAAGGGAAAGCTTAAGCAGAGGATGGAAAGCTCTCTTTGGACACATTACGTCCCGAAAAGATCTGCTAACTCTAGTTCTAGGGGCTGTGGTATACCTAGGAATTGTCGAATCTTTGGTAAGGTGGCCTGCTTATCTGCGAGTAGTGGAACCGGAGCTAACCCTAGTGATCTGTAGGCGGTTGGATACATACATCGAGAAGTCCTCACGGTACTCTTCTGGATTGGCGGGTTCTACCCATTAGCCTATGGCTTTTCTTTCCTGCAAAAGCATCCCGTTCTGACAACCACCTGGTTCGTCTCGTGTGCGGTAATGGGCAGCTTCACACTTCTCCCGGCAAATAAGGTTGAGAACATCACATTGATGTAAGTAGCCCCCAAGATGAGGAGCGAGAGCAGTTGCTAATACGCACAGTGTATGTGGTGGACTGTTTATGGTAGCTGTTGGAGCCGGATATCTGCTTTTTGAACGTACAATAGTCGCCAACCTCCTGGGAGTCAATTCCAAGCCGTCTTTAGAGAATTACATGTCCAGATTCCTGATCGGCGTTCAGGTGAGTGCTAAAATCGACGCCAACTGAGAATGCTTTCTGACCTTGAATCAGACGGTTCTCGTCATGCTTTCAATAATCATTACGCGCTCCAGCGCGCTTTCTCTACAGGCGAAGGAAGGGTTGCCTCGTACGCTACAAGTGGCAGGGTGGCTGGTGTTAATCGTTTCCCTGCTGTTGCCACTCGCACATCAACTGCAGCCCAACAGCCACTACGCCCACCGATTGATGGTCATATTTTTGGCCTTTGCGCCAACTTTTGTGATCCTCACAATTTCTTATGAGGCTCTTTTCTACGTTTTTTATGCCGTAACACTACTCTCGTGGATTCAATTAGAGAGTCGCATTCAGGCATTTACAAGCACTCCTACCGACCCCCCAACGAAGGAGGTCCAAAAGACTTACTCTCCTCCAAGTGAAGCCAGCAAGGGGCTGCGGTTCCGCCCTCTGAGGCTATCTGACGCCCGGCTGGCGCTGTTTTTCTTCGTTCTCTTCCAGTCGGCCTTCTTCAGCACGGGAAACATTGCGTCCATCTCAACCTTCAGCTTAGAGAGTGTTTGTCGGCTCCTCCCGGTGTTTGACCCCTTCGCGCAAGGGGCGATGCTCATCTTCAAGATCATGATCCCTTTCGTCTTTGTATCCGCGAGCCTCGGCATCCTTAACAAGCTCTTGGGCGTGGCACCCTCGGCATTGTTCATGTTTGCCGTAGGGATGAGCGATATCCTCACGCTTCACTTCTTCTGGGTTGTGAGGGACGAGGGCTCGTGGCTCGAGATCGGGTCGACGATTTGCCACTTTGTCGTAGCTAGCTTGGTGTGTGTATTCGTTGTCCTGATGGAAGGAGTGAGCGCGATGTTTATCTCTGGCGTGGAGGTTTGACCAGAACCGTCTGAGAAATCGCTTGCTCCGGACTCATTGTGAGTTAGCAACCTAAGCATGTTCAGAACATGAGGTCACTTGATCAATGTGGATGTAACAGTGAAAGCATTCAGATAGCTATAGCCAGCAAGGCTACGCGGAGACAAAGTAAAGCTCTACTACAACAACCAAGTATTGCGTCACATGACTTGCTAGATTCACGAAGAAAAAGGTGTCGTGATTCCCTCTTCACTGTGACAATCTATTTCTCAAGAGAGAGCGAAAATGGCCAGCCATCGTACCTAGGTAGTATGTAGATAGGAAAGCCATCAGTCAGGATGGTCTCGGCGCTATCACACAGTTGGCACGTATGGTTCACTTAGGTTGGTTCAAAGTTTACTAGAAACATAACAAGGCACCGTCAATGCAAATCATTGAGGCACAAGGCCTTTCCGGCCAACTTCTACATTTTCGGTAAATGTGGTCTCTGGTCAACACATTATAAGGACACTGATTGGCAGATTGAAAATAAAGTCATTTGCCGTATTACCTTTCATTCGGACGTGTGCCCATAGGAACTGGTGTCAAGAGACATCAATGTAACCCCAGCAACCCAAATCAAGAATGCGGGTGGGTTGATATGTTGGAAACTCCGTTACCCATTGCACGCTTGTGACGAGAAAAAAACACAAGCTTAGTAACTACTGCATACCTTTATCTTATTTATGGCTTTCGTTTACGAGCAACAGCGCACACGTTGCATCGGCTTAATGCCGGCGCAGGGTTATTCGTCTCGGGCCAAAGCCGGGAGGCGGACAGATGATCTTGCGAACTACGACTACCACTACAAAGTACTAGCTGCAGCCCACTCATTACAGGATCAGTGATAGTCAAGTCAATGAATTTTTTATTCTTTTGTGATAATTACTCACCCTTATGTGAAAAATAGCAATGAACCATCATATATCAAGCTGTTGTTTTTTTTTTTTGTCGGCGCCACATACTTCGCAACTTTCCGTTCCCTAGCACACACACGCAACCCATTGAACTTTTCTCAAAATGCCTGATGGTCTGCAAATTATGGCACTGGGATGTAGTATCCGTAGTCCCCGTGGAGAAGAGCCAATGGGGCACCCGAACTTCTGGGGAAAGCCAAAGGGGCCCTAGTAACCCCGGCCCCATTCCGCAAACAGACATCCTTGATCAAGTACAACACTATTCTCTGGCAAGTAATATTGAATAATCCGCACTATGAAATGATCATCCGACTAGTATGGCCTGAGCGTTCCTCCTCTGAGGCATGTGCCCTTGATTATTCAGATATCCCGTGTACGGAAGTGGGGATGAAGTCCTGCTGGTTCGAACAAAACCAAGGATACCGGATGGCATCCTATTCCCATTGTATATCCTTGAACTTACGGGTGGAGTTGAGATGAAGGCTGAGGTAAGTTGATAAATTGGTCAAGTTGGCAAACCTTTAAATGCCCGTATTCCTCCTGTTGGCCCCCTGATCGTCTCCCAGCTTTTTTGATTCTTTCATGCTTATGAAGTGCCTATCAAAGTTGACTCGCATAGTCTACTGGCATATATTTTCTCAAAATGCCTCTAATTGATCAAAAAGTCTACGAACAGACCCCAAAAGAGGTCATCTCTTGGAAGATTATTGGATATTGTGCCATTCTCTCTTTTACCGGGGCCCTTCATGGTTGGTGTTCCTTGGCCTTTCGAGCTGACTTTGGATTTGATTACTGACATTACTATTCTCCCATGCAACAGGTTTCAACACTGCCAATATTTCCGGCGTGCTCGCCATGAAACCGTTCAAGTCGCACTTTCTCTTTAACGATATGGATACTGCCGAGTTAGCGAATTGGAACGGTTGGATAACCTCTGTCCTTATCCTTGGGTCTTGTCTGGGCTCGTTGACTTGTGCTCCTTTTATTGAAAGACTCGGACGAAGGCTCTCTCTCGTCATTTTCACCATTCTGTTCGTGGCCTCGGCAGTTCTCATGACGGCTAATCCAGGGGGTTCTGGTGGAAGAATCGAGTTCATCGTCGGAAGAGCCCTTTCCGGCTACGGCTCTGGCGCTGCTAGTGTCGTCGGTCCAGGTTACATTGCTGAAATCGCCCCTCAGAGTATTCGTGGAGGTCTAACCGCACTCTACAACGCCAATACCATGCTTTCAGTTGGCCTCGCATACTGGATCAACTTCGGCTCTTTACAGCACATCAGCTCCACAAAGAACGCACAATGGCAGGTTCCAATGGGTGTTCAAGCTCTCCCAGGGGTTATCCTCCTGCTGGGACTTTTGTTCATGCCGGAATCGCCAAGGTGGCCGATGAATCACGGCAAGATCGAAAAGGCGCAAAGTGTCCTTGAGAACCTCCGCTCCCTTCCTCGTGATCATCCATTCGTGCGTCAGGAGTTTGAGCAAATTCAACGAGGGCTTGAAGACCAGCCAGTTGCACCAGGTCTTAAGGGTCTTATTCGGGAAATACTTTCCGAAAACATCAGAAAGCGGCTGTACATGGTGATGTTTATTCAAGTCGGCTTCCAATTTTCCGGCGGTAACATCATCACATATTACAACACATCTATTCTCTCGTCAATTGGTCTCACGGATCCTTCTGTCAACTACCTTTTCTCCGGCATCTATGGGCTGGTAAAATTTATCGCGGTACTTTTGTACTGCCTATTCTTGATCGACCGTTTTGGTCGGCGAATGGGTCTTTTCATCGGTTCGGGTCTGATCATCGGCTCGCTGACCTACATCACCGTTTACCTGGCTGTTGCAAACCCTTCTGGTAACAACGGTACTGGTAACAACGGTACTGGTCCCGCTGGTTGGGTTGCAGTTGTATGCATCTACATCTTTGCTCTTGGCTATGCAATTAGTTGGGGCACAATCCCATGGATCATCAACGCCGAAGTCTTTCCTACTAAGGTCAGGGGAAGTTGCATGGCAATCTGTATTACATGGCAGTATCTCGTCAACTTTGCCCTTTCACGAGCTCAGCCAAATATGGTAATTACCATGCATTCATGGGGTCCATTCCTTCTTTTTACTCTCTTTACCACTATCTCAACAACATACTGCTACTTCGCGTACCCTGAAACGAAGGGTATCTCCATGGAATCCATGGATCAGCTGTTTCAGATGCCATGGTACAAAGTCGGAAAATCAAGTCTTGCCATTGTCAAATCTCAGAACCTTGACAACAGCACTTCTGATGAGGAGAAGGTTATGGTTGTAACAACTGAGAATGCCGATGGTCATAACACCACGGCAACGGGATTTGAGAGAAAGTAATCTGAGACGGCCGGGAGTCGGTCGAGACATCCATGTATAACACAAATCATTATATCTGATGCTGAAGAAAATAGATTTCGTGCAATCTTAAGCTTGAACTCCTTCAGGGAGCACATCAAGCTGTAATTGCCATGTAATTAATTGACATTATTAGGGCTTCTAAAACAGCTCAGATCATTGGTGATTGATCGTTTTATTAGATCATTTATGAAGCCTAAGAGGCCCAGGAAGAGTCGCTGAAAGGGGCAAATGTCAAGGTTGCTAGTGTTCGGGAGCCCGCTGTGCCGTAGCGGACAAATGCCGATAACACAATGCATCGGCATGTGCCGGCAGGCCGGGCATTTCAGTTCGGCTTTATGCCGGTATACCTAATAAAGCCCAAAAGCCGAGTTGCCAAGTTCCTACGGGTGTATCATCCTTTTTGGAAATCTCTTAAAACCACTTCCCCTCTGAATCCTGTGCATACTCTCTCCTACTACATGGCAAAAGCTCGTCAACAACCTACTATACCTTATGATTTAGTTCAACACTTGCTGCTAGGTAGCTAGTGAGATAGATACCCATAACATAACGTGTGCGGGGATGTTATCAGTTGTTGCATATTGATTTTCAAAGTCAATCAGGATGAATGCCCTTCAATCGCGTGTTGCAGACTATCATTCGTGTTGACTTGACAATGTACCAAGTCATGGCGTAATATCAATACTTTAGTAGTACATGTTCTTCAAGAACAGTTCTTTATCTACCGATTCTCGAATTCGTCCACACTTTTAAGACTCGGGATCCCGTCCGCTCTCCTGTAGATACGCCGATGAGAGGAGTGAGCGAAGTCGTGTTGAAAATGAGCAGCGAGAATTATGGGCCTGTTTCTTGACAGCACAGTGGCAGAAGGGAAGGAGAATGCGCAAGGATTAGACCAAAGCGCCTGTTGCGCAGCCAACGTTACGCTCATCCCCCCAGTCTCACAACACATGCACACACAGGTCATACTAGGACCTACAACGAGGCTTTTGAATGTCCTGAATGTGCAAGGCAGGACTTGCAGGGCGGTGAAACTGAGAGCCAAAATGTGTCTGATATGTGGCCAGGATTGCGCGCATGGGTCCTGGATGACGAAACATTTAAGTATTGTGTACAGGGGTTAGCGAAAAGGGATCCCTATCGTCGTCATCGATGATTGCTTCCAGGAGGCTGTTTACAACAGAATTCTCGACATATGAGCATCAACAATAATCCCAGGCACCTGGGACAGGGTGACATCTGAGTGCAAGCAACTAATCTGCAGTAATTTTCAGCACCCGAGCGCAACGCCTAATCTCCCTTCTACAAAGTCTCATTCAACTGAGGCATATCATTAGTTCCAATGTTTGCCACAAGGTACATGTACCTGCTGTAGCACAGAATTGTTACCCTGCATATGTACAAACCTGCATGATGCGCGGGGTACAGGTAAGGCGAGGCTGATACTTGGCAATCCTGCCCTCTCTTCTGATAAGGCCAGCCTTTGGTGACAAACCCTGTCATGCATCCAGACTTGTCGCTGACATGGCAGCCATAACTGAGCGATTTGCACAGCACCTGAGCGCAGCCTACAAGTTCGGCGGTGAGTCGCTGTGGGAGTTCGCATACAAGGAGCTTGACGAAGCAGGATCATTATGCGACGATGCCTCGCTATCCGAAGACGAGCGGCGGTCCTGCCACAGGCGATTCTTACTTCAAAAAGGCGCCATCGAGCGCAGGCAGGGCGACTTCGCGGAAGCAATCAGAACGCTAGAATACGCCATCAGCGAGTATGGCACCCAAGATCTGGAACATGCGCGGATGCTCGGTGAACTTGGCACTGCCTTCCAGCGACAGGATTCATTCGAGCGTGCAGACGAGCTCTATGCCGAACAGCATGCACTCGCGATCAAACTAGCCGCTGAAGCGAAAGACCAGCGTTCCATTTGGCGTGCCGAAGCTCTCGCCGCCAGAGCAATCGGCTATCGTGGCATCATGGCTTACATGTTGAGCGTACCAGATCTTGACGACGATAGTCGGACGAACCACGAAGGCCTGAATGACGCAATCAACAAGAGCATGCAGCGCGTGACGAGTACGCGAGCGCTGTTGCGGACAATCGCCGACGAAGATGCTGCGTTCCAGCACGAAGTCAAAGCGACGACTTGCATCTGTGTTGCGTTGGATCGACTCTCGCTTTGCTATGGAGCTGCTGGAAACACAGCAGAAGCTGTCAAATGGGCAAGGGAAACTGTGGCGGAAGGCAAAGCCTTTGATCCCACCATGCAGGCTTTCGGCAGATTCTTTCTCGGCCTGGCTCTGCAGCGAAACGGGGATCCGGAGGAAGCCATGCAGCAATGGACCAGGCATGGAAAGGGTGATCTCGAGACAGCCGCCATTGCTTTGTGCCGTCAGCCTTCAAGCGAAACGTTGAGTTATATGAGACAACTTGTGAAGTACCAAGTCCCACTGGATCATTACAACGAACAAGGATACAGTCCTCTAGACTACGCCATTATGGGCGGTAGCGATGCCATGGGAGCGCTCGTTATGCAAGGTCTTCGTCAAGAGTATCTGAGGAATGGGTTCACATCAGACGAGACTGAGGTTCTGATTGAGATGCGCAAAACTGAGGCCGATCGCAGGAAGGAGTATCGATCGATATTTCAAAGATCTTTCCGCCCGTTGCTCCGAACCAGTGCTGCCAAGATAGCAAAGACCACTTCGGACGATCAAGAGGTCTCTAATCGAGCTGAGCAGTGCATAATCGGTCTGCGGCAAGCATATTCCAAGCTACTTGTTGAGAAACAGAGCACGAGATCGATATTTGACGACTTCAAATACATCGAACTATCCGACTTTCGGTCATTGACTAAGCTGCCGCAGCCTGGCAGCTTGGAGGACATGAACACAATTGCAAAATACGTCCAGCGGTTTGGAAGCCTTCCCGAAAAGCAGCGAAATGGAAACCCATATGTAGTTTTCCTATCATACCGATGGCTTGGCAATGGTAAGCCAGATGATGATCAAGGAACTCAGCTCGGTCGGATGAAAGCAGCCTTGAGTCAATTTCTGGCAGTCCATCCATGGCTGAGCGATGACCGAGTGGCTGTCTGGGTAGTAAGTCCATCTTAACAGTGTCTCTCACATTATACATCTCGCCTCTAACAAATATGTGCCCAGGACGTCGGCTGCATTCACCAACTCGACCCAGAAATCAGACAACGAGGCATCAACGCACTGCCATTGATCATTGCCCAGTGCAACGCCATGATCAGTATCGATGACTCCGCCTACCACTCCCGTGCCTGGTGCTCTGTCGAAGTGCTGGTCATGCAAACTCTCCGAGATTCGTATGGGCTACACGAATGTTGGTCTCAGACGTCGTTGTCGTCTTTCGAACGAGCAACGACCAGACCGCCGATAGACGACAAACTGACGGGCTTGCAACTCAGCTTCCCAGACAAAGATGAGCCAACTGTCAAGTTCCTGGTGAGGCAGAGTAAGATTTTAGCTAAGGCGTAAGGCGAGGTGGCAGAACCAGGGATACCCTCACTTAGGTAAAACTCACCGCTTACAGTCACTCAATTGACTACATATTCAGACCAGGACTGCCTTGCAGGGAATAAATGCCAATCGTTATATAGATCTGCTGTAGCACTAGTAGTTTATTCAAAGCAATGCAACCACACTCATTATGTCACTCATGATCTTATAGTTAATGTGTCACGAGGTCTGCCGTCGATGTTGTTTGAATAGCATGTATTCTGGCTCTGTTAGCACCCGTCACCCAGGTTTTAAGATACCGAAACAGAAGGTACGAGCTGTAGTAAAGCTTTGCTGAGGAGAGAGAGACTTATGTGGCGAGGCACGAGATGACAGCTCCCTGGGTCCGCGTTCATTCTCTTTCGGATGCGGACGCTAAAATGAGACCGTTTATGGGCACCAAAAGGGGTGCTCGAGGGTTGCTTCTGACCTGACTTTGATGAGTGAGGGCAGGAGTAGTAGTTAAGTCGGTGACGACGAGTGAATATCTGGTGTTGTATGTTTTTGGTTTTGGTTTGTAACCTTTTAACAACGTCTTTTGTCCAAGAGCGTGCTTTGAATACGTCGCTTGCTCAACTGAGAGTGTCATCATAGTTTGGGGGTTCGGTGAGCCTTTGTCATTCGCAACCTCCTCGAGACAACAGCGCCAAGGCTCTATGGGCAGCTGTGGGTAGTAAATGGACATATGTGCAATTAAACATAATGATAAACAGCAATTTCAAATGCTCTGTCATATCAACGACAAATTGTCAGTAGGCGTCCCAAGTCGACCCAAGCTTATGTAGTCAGTTAATGTGTTGAAGAAGATTGCACCAATATCTGTTGTACATTCACTCTGTAAGAGGATAAAGCACTAGTTTAGTGCAAGCTCATTATCAACTTGATTACTTCAAGAGCTTCTTCCTCCATGCTCCCAGAAGCAAGCTGTACTTGTAACTTAACATACCGTTCTGGTTTTCCCAAACCTCTGAGCTCTGAGACTATTATAACGACTAAGTCTCATTATCAAGAGAAGTCTTGGGCGAAGGAAGAAGGCTATGGCCATTGTAAGGCAATTTGTGCTCGAAATCTTCAGCCCTTTTGGTATGAATGTCCTTCAAAGAACCTAGTAGACACAATTGCATAACAGAAATAGCCAAGTGGGGCGAGTGGGTGACGTAATGAGGGGTGAATAGGAGTTGAGAGACGTGGTCAGCAACTTGAACCTGATGCAAGCGAGCCTTCCATGCGCCCACGAACTGGACGCTTTTCGTCGTGTTTCCGACGGCGTCAAAGACACGAGCATAGTTTATTATCTTCCATCATGACCACACGAAACCTCAATCAGACTTGGAGAGAGGTTGTCTTCCAGCAATACGCCTCGGACCATGCCGCCGATGTCCCCTTCCCTGTTCGCTACCTCATCAACGCTGATCAGTGGCATACGGATATCTGGATAAGAATCCCCGAGAAGATTGACGTATCAACCTTTCGCCGGTCGATACTTAATTTTGTCGTTGCCAGACGCAATCAGGACCCCGTTTTCAGCGACAAGTACATTTCAGTACGGCCGCGTGTGAGTCCAATCGCTGGCAGCAGTTCGAATTTAGCGGTGGAAAGGAAGCGTCGAGTTGTAGACATGGAAAAGCCAACGAACAACAACGATTCGAGTATATCTCGCAACGAAGCTGAGGGTTAGAGTTCTTTGTATGGGTTTTGTGAGCAAGAAGCCCATGGCGAAACACTCGCATGTAAGATGAGAGCTTAATAGCAATCTTGTAGCTGGTCGCTGCTTTGTATCGAACAGCATAATGATTGAAGGCCTTGCTTGTCTGGTGATCAGAGTCTGGTTTTCAAAACTCCAGCATCAGACCAAGGTCTCGACTTCACTTCGGATAGAACATATATTGCTATCTTTCATCATTAGGAAACAGCACGCATGGCCACACTTATTGTAGAACACGAGGCTCCTGATCGCTTAATGCTTACATGCTTACATGGGTCGAAGCAAACTTTTCATCGTCGCCTGAGGCTATCCATGCCTTCTCCGCTTTTTGGTGAGACTGCCCGCATGGCTTCATGCAATGCCAGCTTCGTGACTATTGCGCTTCATTCGTGTATCCGAGGAACTATTTATTGACGGTTGGATATTTTACATCCACCGATGTGCCTTGAAAGTCAAACATTAATCATCCACTATACTCTTAGAAGCTCTCAATACTTTCGTGGTTACAGGCACAAGACAGCTGAGATGAGAAAATAATCTTTGGTGATGTGATTTTTGCAAGCCGCGCGAAACGTAGCAGGTTGAAATGGTTCGTTTTCACAGTACCAAGGCTCAAAAATGAAGTGGTCTCGCCTTTCGATGACCTTCAACCCTTGGCCTCATATCCCTTGCACCGCTAGCAGAGTATTTGTATGCTCTCATTCTATAAATGAGAGTTGGATGCCATGCATCTTCCAGTTCATACGTCAACGTTGCTGGTTTTCTTGTCAAGCAGGTAGCCACGGTTCAGTTTTTGACATTGCTATTGTCTTCGAATTTCTTAGACCGTTGAATACTGTCAATCACAGCCACGAAGTAAATTCTTTGTCCGCTTCTTGTCGACATGACTGACAACTAAACAAAAGTAAAAACCACGAAAGAATATGGTAATCCTGGTTCTTCCAAATGAGCAGAAATTGAAAGACTGGCTGTCAGAACAAAGAATCGTTTCCGAAGGCATGTGCCAAACTCCGGTGGTTGATGCTATTGCGAACGACCTAGAATGAAAGCATTTGGATTTTTGACAAAGCTCTGCCATATGTAACAAGCACGTTTAGGCATCCTTCCAAAAATCATCAGAAATATCAATGGTACCTTAATTTTAGGACGTAATTTCACCAAGGCCTGAGTTGGAGCATCGCCATTTAAACATGGCGTAGGTAGGCAAATAGCACATCACTACTCACCATTCGTGCTCAGAAGAAGACTATTTCAGGAGTTCTCGATAGGAACTCTGAAACTAAACAGACCCTCTGGCAACCTAAAGCCATCACCCAAGTTCATATTTGGAGCCCGTGTACATCATCTTCATCTGGATTCTATTCAACTTGCTTTGTCTGCCCACTTTTCATAATCTTTGTTTATATCAACATGAAAGGATACCCAGAATCTTGCTTTCTGCACTGCCTGGAAAGCCTCAAAGCTATTTTGGGCCGCTCATCCACTGAGCCCTTTGCATTATTGGAAAGACTGAACCTTCAAACACTTAAATCATGCACGTAGCCTTGGCTTCTGGGTTCCAAATGGAGGTTTACATACATCATACAGCAATTCTAAGCAATTCCTGGGCCGGCGTCAAACACTATCGACAAGCGAGTTTGCAATTTTAACCGATACGACAGCAAGATAATGCTACCAGTCGATAAATCGGAGTTTCCTCAACTCGTCAAAAAGTGCCTTTGTGGACAGTCGATCGATCTGAAGCCGTCGAAAATCAGACGGCATTTCGCGGTAAGGCATTGCTACTGTTACGACTGCAAGGGGGTATTTACGAGGCACTTACACTCAACCACTAAACCTTCGCATCGCATCGGCACGTACCTCGTCTTCCCTCCCCAGACCAACGAACTTCCTCCAGTAGATACCCCTGTTCATTCCCCTCGGGATTCTTGCGACAGTTCCAGCGATATCAAGCTCAGCCGCCTTCAAACTCCGGGGCCTACCGCGGAGAGTAGAAACACTCCAACTCGGTCTGGTATGTTCACTATTTGGTGTCTGATTGGAGACACGGATGACTCTGGCGAGACTGTACCACTGTACGACCCAGATTTGGCTCCGTTCTGCAACGTTAAGCTCTCGTTGGAGCTTGCCTCGATAAATTTCAATCCTTGGGTATCACAAATCAAGAGGTGGAAGGAGGCAAAACGGTTTGAAGGCTTCATGAAGCGTGATGATGCGCACCAACAACAGATTCACCAGTCTCTTCTGACCAGCTTGATTGCAACGGCATTTGACGCCAGCGAGGCCAGCGGCGCAATTAGGACCTGGGAAGAAGTCAAAACCGGTCTCAAGATGAGGAATTTGCACGCCGAGTTTGACCTCGATCCTGCCAGGGGTTCTCTCGTTTTGGTTCTCATGGATACTGGGTTTCCGACAAAGTCGGCTATAGGCGATCAGTATGACAGCATTGAAGAGTATCTCCAAGTGATTGGTTCAGGATCCGACGCGCGCACGATTGCGTATCCTAGCAGGGACGAAAGGATGGTTTCGGAATACAAACTGCAGGACATCCGCGCTCTTGATGACGTCGCGCGGGAACAAGGGACATGGAGACCGACAACCTGCTTCGGCGTCGGCGAATGCGCACTGGTGGGTGTCAAAGACATAATGAAGCGGGCGTGGAGCTGCTCTTCTGTCCATGTGGTAAGGAGCGGCGAGCATGCCTCGAAACTCACTTGCCACCAACCCAAACGCCGCCGCAACGGAAAGCAAAAGACGACAGCGACCATAGCCGGCGAGGATGATGATGAAGGGGTCTGGTTCCATCAGGAATACGTCGAGATGCTGTCGAGGATGGAGCTGCGCGTGTTCATCGCCACTCGGCCTGACCCGAATGGTTTACGGGGCCTTCGTGGGGAGGTAATCCGCGTGTGCCTTACCGAGCTTGGGCGCAAGGAAGGCATCATTGCCACTGAGGCTCTGGATGATACGTACGAGAGTCTTGGAATAACGAGGGAGGCAGCCTACGCGTTTTCCCTCGGCGTTTTCGAGGCTCTGCGGGACCCCCGCTTCGGATGGTCAGCACGGTTCGAGTCGCTGGAGGTGGGCTGCCGGCTTGACATCTCGATCAGGGAGAACGGGGGCCCCTTGTTTGTCAATGAGATAACGAGGTGGAATGGGTCTCACTATTTCTCGGATTACTGCACTGGCGAGCCGCATGCGCTTATTTGTAATGCGTTTGCCAAATCTTGGGCTCGTTATGTCAAGGCTATGGGAGAGGGAGTATGATAAGAGGTGAGCGGTGGTGGGGACTTCGACTTCGCAGGGGTTGAAACGAGTCAACAAATAACGCTGTTGGTAACCTATGCCGTCCTATTTAGGTGGAAGTTCGCTCAGTTGAGGCGTATCACGAATTCTCCTTCTCCCTAGCCCTCCCAGTATATTTAGCACAGTCAAACAGAAAATGGGGGCACTGAAAAGTTGGGCTTGTCGAGTTCATAATGATATTTATTCAAAATCCGCAAGAGCCATTGTGCAGCCAATCTTTGGTTCTGAGAGAGTCTAATTTCCAATTGTGCATCCAGGGACTAAATTCGAGAGATGGGTTGTGGCACACATTTACCGAGTGTCGTATACGAGGAGGTTGTCCGCGGTGTCATAACAATGGGCCCTGTAACTCTATCCTAGTGGCCGTATTGGAAGTGAAGAGGCGGTTGGTTATGTGTTTTCATACACACAGTGACGAATGCGCGATCTTTTAAGCGCAGCATGCAATGTTTGAGCTGGTGAAGCGCTCAAAGTTGCAGCCCTCGCAGACGCAGCCGGTACCCTCGATGGCGCAGTGGCCGCGGCCGCACTCGGGGCTCCAGCCGAACCCGGTCTCCCAGCAGTTCTGGGCAGCCGCCAAGGCTGTGATGGCACTGAGCATGAAAGCGACGGAGAACTTCATGTTTGCTGGCTTGTTAGAGCGATGATGAATGTGGAAGGTTGTTCGTGTGTAAGGTGAAGTAGGCTGTAAAAAGCTGGTTGCTGTTGAGTGTTGGCGTCAAGAGACAAAGAACATGAAATATGGGGCGAGAAGCCCGACATTAAATAGATTTGATAGCAAACATGATTTACTGCTGAGCGCTTTTGTCCGCCACTGCATGGGGCACTGTCGTATCATTCCGGCTATAGGAACTGTTGCCCCTGATTGCCAAGATGCAGACTAGGTGGAGAGGTAAAGATGTACAGGAACGTTATAGGTGCGATGTGAATCGTACACCTGGTTCATTCGATTTCTACATTGTCTGTCTGGCTCCCGGGGATAACCCGAAGTCCATTGGAGCAGCTACCACATAAATGGTCAGGACTTTATCGTCTTTTCATTGGATGTGACGGCTAGGACCCCTTTAGGGTTATGGCTCCGAGTCAACTTTCATCAAAGATGAACTGCCAAGGGAAGATGATGTCGTAGGGAATGCGACGCCGGCCGGAGATTCGGAGGGGTAGCTTGGGGGAATACTGGGGCCCACACGGAGTAGCCCCGGCCGAAGACGGCCGAGCATCTGGGGCAAGACGGAGTAGTCCTCGATGTACGTCAGCCAAGCAGACTGATCAAGCAGCCTCGTGGGGCACAGCTGAAAGAAGGTTTCGGGAGACGATCCAGAAAGGAAGATGGGAGCGTCTGCAGGAAGCAAGAGTTCTGGATGTTGAAGTTGCTTGCATTGATCTGGGGGTTCCGGGGACTCCGGGTCCGGCAGTCAAGGTGGAGATGGGCATGGAAGAGCAATGTTGGGGTATCATAAATTGATAGGGATGGTTTGCATGGTAAAACCTGTCATTCAAGAGAAAGATGTAGGAATGACCATGTCGGGGGCCATCCATGTATGGTTGGTTCTGATTCTGTTGGTTCTTTTACCGTCCCATAATTAGACTTTATCAGATCCGCAACTCTCAGAGAAGAACAAGTCTACTACGTAGTAGATGTGCGTGCCTATCTATTTAGGCTATTTTGTTTTGCTTATCGGTCTTTCTCATCCTTTCAATATCGTTCTCGGGTTTAACCTTTTGTCTTTCCAATGCAGCTTCCCTGGTTTGTAAAATGAGAGACGAAATGGGTAAGGTACGTTACAGAAACAGAAAGAGAGAGACTGGTGAGGAAAGAAAAGGTAGCTAGCCCCCTTCCATGGGAGAAATGGTAGTCACGTGGAAGGCTTAAATGAGGTGACAAGGATTGAGGTGGTGTTGGTAGGCGGTGAGCAGCGGTGAGGGGGATGGGATCATAAAGGTTGCGCGGGGTTGATTGGCTGAGACAGATGTTGGTTGGCCAGAACCAACACCAACGCGTCGAGGTGCATAGGCGATGCTAAGGTTGACCAATGAAAAGCCGGCGCTTTGGATGTGATGGGGCTGTGACAAACGAACCAATGAAAGCATGAATAGTGGGACCGTTGTCGCTTACTGGTTCCTCACCCGCTGTCAATTACTCGGATCCAACGGCGCCACGTGCATTTGTCTTGAATGAGCGCCTGACAAATGAAACGGCGAGGCAAGAAATAAAAAAAAAAGGAAGGAAACAGGGAAGGTGGTACCAAAACCCGAGGACAGGTAAGGACGGAGCCGCTGGAGCACTGTAAGAAATAGCATGAATACGTACACGTACCTACCTACCCACCTACCTACCCTGGCGATGTGGTTCCCCCTCGTTCCTGCCTGTGGTTTTGTGGTGTCCCGCATCATCATGTCATGGGCGCCAGTGGCCTCAGGTCATGCAATTCCCTCTTTTTTCGGTTCTCTCCTGCCTCGTTCTGTTCCTCCACTTTCTATCCACTGCCTGCTTGTTTACCGGGGGTCTGTCTCCGTCTCCAATCTTTTTTTCCCCATCTGCTCTCTTTTTTTTCCTGCAGCTCTCGTCCCCCTTTTTATTTTTATTTTATTGTTATTTTTATTTTCTTCCCCCCCCTAGTCTCTCTCTCTCTCTCTCGCCTTGCGTTGCTCCCATCCTCTTCTTCCACCCACCCCCCAATCCCTGTTTCTGTTGTTGGTTCTGTTGGTTCTACTTTGCATTTACACTACGCTTGGTTTTCTCTCTTTTGATTGTTTATTCTTTGCATTTTTTCTGCCGCTCGTTGGGAAACCTGGCAATCCTAATTGTCATCGCAAAGTAACCAAATCTAACCAACATCTCTCTCTCCACGTGTCATCCCATCGGATCCTCTTCCATTCCATCCCATCACATCCCTTCCCATCCTTTCCCGTTCCCGTCCGTCCCCCTTCTGATCCCTTCCCCCTTTCTATTATTCCCCCCCCTCTTCTCCGCTCTACCTTCTCCTCGGGTCCCTTACCTTACTCGCGCTACGTGCGTCGACGGTGCGCTGCGCTACCCACGATACACGCACACACACACACACACACACACGCCTCCCAGCGCGCGCGTGTTGGTCGTGGAAGTGTGAAGCGGTCGTGTCTTGCCTTGCCTTGCCTCTGCCGTCGCGCAAGCAAGGGGGAAACCAAAAGTGAGACATGATGCGGATGCCCGCTACTCCCGTCGCCGCCGCCGCCGACAATAACTCCGTCGAAGCCTCCAGCACTCCAGATTCACGGTCAACTGCTGCTTCTCTCACCGCCACCGCTGCTGCCGCTGCCGCTGTTGTTGATAGTGCTGCTGCCGCCGCCGCCGCTGCTGCTGCTACCGCTACCGCTACCACTACCTCTAACTCTGCCTCGCCTGTTGCTTCGAATTCAGCTTCAGCTTCAGCTCCATCTCAAACTCAAGCTCAAGCTCCAACTGCTGTGCTCCATGACGCCGCGTCCGACGGATCCGAACCTTATTCGTCTTACTCAGCAGGCAAGAGGACCAGCATCGAGCCGCGCCATTCCACTACTCACCGCCGTCTGGCCCCGGCGCCGCCACCACCGCCGCCATCGTCGACCAACAGCCGCCACAACGACACCCTCAGATTTCCGCCCTCGCCGTCGCCGACGCCATCACATCCCACACCGTCCCATCCGAACCTCACTACCATCAGTAGCACCAGCAGTACCTATAGCTCCTCTAGTCACACCGCAAACTCCAACACCGATAGATCATGTCGCCTTCCCGCCCCCAAGCCCGGCCAGTGCCCCGTCATGGCTCTGCAGAATGTCCTGTGCGACGACGATGATGATGATGTAGAAGCTGCTGCAGACGCAGCACGCAGAACCCTATCGCATCCGAGTCAGCCGCCTACTCCGCCGATTTTGCATGATGCATCCGTCGCCATGTTGCCGGTACCACCGCCTGTCCCCGCAACCGTGCCGTCCCTGACCCTGAATCCCATCCTGTCGGGTCCGGACCCTTCCGACTCCATGATGGTGACGCGTCCGAACCCTTCCCATGTCGTCATGACCACCCGTCCGCAGATCCCTTCGCGTGTTCAGCAGTCTGACCCTGGCTGCAAGACCTGTCAGGTCCGCAAGATGCCCTGCGATGAGGGGCGTCCGACCTGTGAGTTTCCTCCAATGCTTCATTTTGCTTCTGCTTTTTTTTTTTTTTTAATAAATCCTATTTACACAATAGATAAAACTGACATTTTCGCACAGGCCAGAATTGCATGCGCATGGGCATCCATTGTTTGGGCTACTTCAGCCCCCCGAGTCATGCACAGCTTCAATTGTTACAACCTACGGACCGGTCCGTCCCGGGACCATCCATGACCTCCAGCGCTGGCAGCACCGGCGTCAACGCCAACGCCAGCCGCCAGGAACAAGAGGAGTACTTGTATTTCCTCCTCGACCACTACCGCCATACCAAGCGCCACTGCATGTGGGACCTCATCACCCTCGACTTCAATGAGCACTTCAAATGCAAGATGCGCAAGGAGGCCTTGCAGATGATCAAGAGAAGGCGCTTCAAGGACAGGGAGTAAGCAATGCCACTTCTCTACCCCTCGCGCAAGCTAACTGTCCGCCTAGAACTAGAGACCCCTCACCGAATGATGTTCCAAACCCCATACCACGCCCCAAGGCGAAGCGCGGCCGACGTCCAAAGTTTAATCCGGCGACACTATCTTCGAACGTTAGGGAATCTGGGCCCCAATTAGGCACGGGTTGAAGACTTAATACCCTCCCTTTTTTTTTTTATCATTTACTTTATAACGGTTCAAGTCGATAATCGGCAGAGCTTTCACACTACATGGTTGCCGCCAGTCCCAATAGAGGCATATGCTTTTCGTCAGCAGCCGAGTGCTTAACTCAAGATTCATCACGGTTACTGATCTCTCCTACGAGCTAAGAAACGTTTTTCCCAGCAGCGGCAAGCACCTCTGCACCTTTACCTGGTGGCTGCTGACTGTGCGAACTCGTTTTCGGGCTCACGGGGTTGGTCTTGGAGTGGTTAGTGTTCTTTGGCGTGAAACCTGGAGAAACACCTGCACATGTATGCTTGACGTCAGTTCTGGCAAATGCAATTGGGGCGGTTGATATGCGGGGCATGGGTTGATGCGGCGTTTTCGGTTCTGGCCCCAGTTGTTTAGTGGCGCCCGCAGCACCCCTCTGCCTTCGTGAACGACGCAAGACGCTTCACAACAGCAACCATGTCTTCAAGGGCTGGATTCAGCCCTGGACGTAATAGGATATCTCTGGATACATTCTCTACAACCTCTGGTTTGCAGCCACGAGTTCGCCCGTTGGATCAATCCGCCGCATCCGAGCTTTGATTGCTATGGGACGAACCGACGGCAAATGTAGTTTCCTGGTGCTGCTGCCAGCTAACAGATCACAATGCAGGGTGATCGTGCCTTCGATAATGATCAGCCCAGAAGAACTCAGATACGAGGTTGATGGAGCGACCGGCTCTGGTCGGTTGAGAAACCTGCAATCCACCGCTGGACGATTCAAGTCTCACACATGTGCTTGCTATGTGTGAATTGTATAGGATGCCGGTCCTGAGTACTATCGTGTCGACTCTGCGCGCCCAGTGTGCTGTCACTGCCGCTGATAGGGACGGAAGCTGTCGTACATCATCTATGGGATGAAGAGCATCTCGTTATTCACTCGGCGTGCTTAACGTCTCGACCGCGGGGCTCGGGTTAAGGGCTATCCTTATAGAATCTGTATGGAGACCTTGGAAGGATCCCATCATTCTCAGTCGTGCAATTAGCCCAAACGTGACAGATGATAATAATACCATTCAATTAGAAGTGATTTAAACAAATCCCTGAGTCATGCTGCACTGCCAATGCAATCGGCATGGCCTCTTTAGCCAACAAATGCCGCTTTTCTGTCAAGCGCAAACCAACAATGGCATCATTGTTCTGCCATGAACCATGTTTCGAACGGTTGACCAAATCAAGGCGGACGCCAAGATCCACGTCGATTAATAATAAACATTGCCAAAATCGGAATACATGGCCAGGGGGGTTTTCCTACAATTCGGTAAGGAAACTGTTGACTATCCCCGGATGATGAACTCAGCCGGCGGAAAACGGCACCATCACCCCCCCAAACGCTTTAGGCGGAACGTCACAAGGCGACTGTCCCGATTTGGGAGAGCAAGTAGCTACGTCGGCCGCTGATTTCATGCCAGCTCTGCATGGCGGCCACACTCATTGGTGGAATGAAGAGTCATCCATGAGCGTCGGCGAGGCTCACTCGGGCGCAGCTTTCAAAAGTGGTAAGCGGAGACGCGAGGACACGTTGGAGCCAACCCTCACAGCCCGAACAGGACCAGCCAGCCTAGCATGAACAAGGCAGGTAAATCGGGAAGAACTGGAGAAACCGTTCGAGGCAAAGAAAGGCGCATCATCTCGGTTGTCGTCTAGCGTCTTTAAGAAGGGGGGGGGGGGCCTTCTTTTTGGATACGCTCGTTCCGACGTGATTGGCTCTCGTGACGCACTCTTTGCGGACTTCGGCCCGAGGCAACTCTGTCTGTTGGCCTTTGGTACTCCGTACACAGGAAATTGATTCGAAAAAGATCGATCCACTCATGGTATTACCTTTCGTGCTGCTTGTTGGTTGCTGATTGAGGCGTGATTGGTGTGTGTAACCACCCCCCGCAGTTGGTGCAGGGGTTGAGAGCAAGTACTGGATCTGGTAGGTGTTGGTCTGAGATGGCAAGCCACCGACGTTGAGATCACGGACCGATTTTGAGGCTGAAGATTCTCGATGAACCAACATCACGTCGTTTTAAGCCCCATTGGAACTTGAATTATATAATTGACTGGAGGGGTCGCATTGGGGGTTGCGGGTTTTTTTTTCGATATGATGTGGCGAAGGACCAACTCCTGGACCGTCCACTTTGGAAAAAAGAATAAACCCCTCTCGAAATTGATGGCGCATTGTGAAATGGTTATCGTTGCTCTCTCAGTTACAGCATCTTTACGGCCGTTTCCAAAGACCTGAACCCGGCACCAACTGACGATGCCCCCATAATGACGGAGTTTCCGACCAAAGCATGGTGTCACTGGAGACCGGGGTCCGAATCGTGACCAACCAACACTGCGGCCCTCTCAGCGTGACTGTCGTTGGCTGGCACTGTTGGTACCTGTTGGAACCAACAAGAACGAGATTCGAGACAATGATTCGTCCAAAGCGATGCCGAATTACATCCTAGAACCCTGACTTGTTTCTCAGCCCTTTTTTTTTTTTTCTCTTCCCCATCGGTAGAACCCCAAAGTACCAACACCCGCGCCACCAACACGCACCACACACACAAAAACCACAGTTGGCCCCTAGTCTTTGTTGGTGCCCGGGAGAGAGAGAGAGAGAAAGAGAGAGAGAGAGGACAGGGGGCAAGGAGCCCCCCCAAGTTGCTGCTGGTGTTATCCGCAGCAAAAAAAAGCCCCCCCCCCCCCTCCAAAGTCGCCCTCTACTATCGGCCCCCGATGCCATCCCGTCGTCTACTTCTCGTCGGACCACGGCGCCCAAGACCTTCCAACAGGGCTGCCCTTTTTGCGACGACGATAAAACTGGAAAATTCTGGGTCATTTTGCCGGGGCCGGTCTCGTCGCACTTTGGGCCGTCCAACGTTGTCCTCCTCTCCCCCCCCCTCTCTCTCCAGTATCGCCAACTGTTGGTCGAACTGGTCACGCTTCAACGTTTTCCATCGAAAGAGGTCATGGGGGTGGGGATTTTGTTTTTTGTCGATTTCATTGATCATGGTCTGTCTACTGTCTTTGAAGTTCATATATTAGGATCATTGGCATTCGAGACGAAAAAGAGAGATACTACTAGATCATTAAACTACAGCTCTTACATTGGATCTCACTCTACACTACTGCAACTTCTCTCGACCGTTTTTCTTTTTTCTTTTAACTCTCTCTATAGAGTTTTGAACAGCTTGCAGCAAAAGACTTAGAATCATTGTCTTCTAAAAATCCCGGATCATTCCATTATCACTTTTTTGCGTAAGGGCTTTAAATCAAATATGGGTCGTGGAATTTTGGATAGCTAATGAGACGTCTTTGATAGTTCCTGGCTGTTTTTCCAATATCAACAAGATGCCCGAGAACAGCTCTTCCCCGGCACCCTGCAACTGCCCCCGCTACGAAGCCCCTGACGCGGACGGCAAGACTGTCGTGCTGCAGTTGCACGTCGACGGCTGCCCGAACAGCAGCAGGACTCCCGGCGCGCGCATGTACAAGCCCACCAAGATGAGAGCCAACAGATGAGTTGCAAGCGGGTGTGTTATGAGCACAGGTGATGGGGTGACGGAGTACGTAGGGTTGGGGGGTTGGGGGAAGGATGGTGCAGTGCGTGTCATAGATGATTTATATCAAGCAATTGAAGATTTTACAGAGATCAGTATGGGGTAACCCTTGATCTCGTTTCTTGAAGATGACGCTGTAATGGTTATGTGACGTTTTGATACTTGCGATTAGTGAGTGAATTGTGTTGATGTCTGAGATGGGTTCCGTTTTTGTGTCGTGGATGGCTCTCCTGTACTTTTCGTGATTATGCCATTCCAACTTGCGAGTTTCAGTGTGAAGCACGAGATAGGGTAACGCTTGGTGAGATCCGTACTCAGATTGGTATGTGAATCAATGCGAATAACGTTGTTCGCTGCTTTCAAGCATCCTAGTCAACACGCCTGCCACTATGCATTTTACCAAGGTTGCTTGTTGTGCTTGCCAGATAGCTTCCTCGTCGGCTTCGCGACGGATCAGTACGTGGTATGTAGCCTCTACGCAATGAACCCGCGGCAATCAGAAAACTATCGGTTGCAGTGAGTACCCGCTCTCTTGCTGGGTCATGCCTGTCAAGTACGCGGTAATCGAGCCCTTTCCAGCTTGTCGACCTTCGTCGTGGAGTCGAGATATATCCATGCATGTCCCACCGTGCGGCTTTTTATAAGAGATACCAGTTGAGCGACTGGCGGCTTACTTGAAGTGTCGCAATGGCTGGAAGGGATCATGCTCAATGCCTTGAGTTGTAGTATGACTACCTACAGACCTCCCGAGCATACGTGCTGGAGCGTTTTGGTGCAGTTTCCAACGCCGTGAGAAGAAGACATCCCGACTGCTGCCTACCTAGTACTCTTAATCGAGCCAGGGACATTCCGAGACGGTTCAAGATCAATTCCAATATTGGAGATTCCCGCGACGCGAGTAATGCAACCACTGCAACCTTGCTTCCGCTTTCGCACGCTTGCCCCAGCGAACTAATCCTGTTTTGTTATCCTTTTCATTGGAGCCCCCCGGGGGCGTGGTGGTGACCAACCCGCAACTAATTTGAGATCCCCTGGCATGTGGATCGTTTGCTTTTCCGCTTCATTTTGTCTTGGGAAGAGTCAAAGATGACCTCCTGAATCCTTCTCATTTGTTCGCTGTCGTTGTCCCGGCTGAATTGATGCGAGAAGACGGTGTAATTCAGACTGTGGTGACTATGTTGGGATAACTGTACGGTAATGTCTAGAATGTCGCAAAGCTGCCTTTACATGTCAATGACTTGTTTCGTTACCTTGGGACCATGTTATGCTGACCCGGCACTGGGTGCATACTTCTAAAGCTGGAGTCGACTGACCAATCTACTTCTGTCCGGAAAATCAAGAGGTAATATGGTATGTGAAAGGTCAAATTGAAGATGATTCTTCAGTCGATGTAATTAAGACCACTATTCACCGGAGCTGTGTTCTCTACGTCAGTGGGAACTCTTATGCGTCATCTGTAGGCTCTTCCAGTTGCATAGATTCTTCTTCTCAGGCCGAGAGTCACCTTGTATAGTGATGAGCTCAAATTCTCCATCTTATACTGGAACCTGACAATGATTGGGACCGGCGTAAGTGCCCCCGGATACTCTTGCTCAACCGTTGCATTGCCACTGCAACCCGTCGAAGCACAGTGTTCGGCTTAGTAGCCCAGTGTTGTTGATTGCAAGCTTTTCGGTGCCATTCTCACGATCTACAGAGACTAGGTCTAGAACTATCTGCTACAGGCATGATATGAACTTCGTCATCTTCTTGTCTTAGAGTTTCTGATTCGTCGTGTTTCGCATCTAGTCGACTACACATTGAAACGATTGAAAGAAACGGCGTCCTCAGCGGCAGGAATCCTTTGAGAAATAACACGTCTGCTCAAACCTCTATTCATTCCAGCATGACAATATGCCGATAAGTATCGGATTAATGCCTATCTGACTTATATGTGAGGCTATATAGGCGGCTGTCACTCCCATGAGTACTGCTTAAATCTTGGTAATATACTGGCAGACAGAGATAACTCCTAGGCAAGTGCAACTACTACCCGATATTTATGTCTCCATACAGTCACTATACAGCAGTGCTGTTCTTGCATGCAGTTTGCCACGAAACCCACGAAAACTGCTGCACCACAGTGCCATTGTACCCAATGTCGATCCCCGTCTGAGTCGTGTTCAGCCCTCCAAGCGGTGTCGCGTTCCACCCATTCTTTGGCAACCCATTCACAGGGTCCTCAATGAAGGCTAGCCACAGGTCCTGCATCGCCTCACTGACTGCGAACTCAAACTGACTTGAGCTTCCGCGAGCAATATCATGCGTCCCAAAGATGAGAGGCAGCTCCGCGGAGTGGAATGCTCCCTGGCCTCCAGGCATGATGTTGGTGAAATTGCTCGAGTACATGTATCGCCATGTCTGGAGGCCGGCTATGTTGCGGAGACCGGTCTCGTAGTGCGCCGGACACCCGAACAGGTTATCAGCAGGGACGCTATTGGTACCGTCGGACGGCGGAGCTGGAGCGTTAGAATTAAAGTTCCACTCATCTCGGGTCGAGCCAACAATCGCAGGCTAGTAAATATCTTAGTAACATCGTCCACGGACATTGACTGGGTGACTCACGCCTTTTGCAACCTTGCCACTGAGTGTTCTCTCTGTATAGTCCGAGAATTTGGTTCTTTCGTCCACAACGACGTTGAAAGTTAGGTTTCCGACCTGGTTGAGATACTTCTGGATATCTCGGAAAGGAACCTTTCTGAGACAACCCAGCTCGTCGTCTCCTTGGCACCCCAGCCCAGCCGCCAGCGATGAAAAGCTGGAATGCGTCGTGTCAGCGCTTCCGATGGGGATGAACGGAGAACCGGAGTTTTTGATGAAGGCAGCGGCGATGGGGTCATCAGCGTATGCGTATTGGTAGTAGGACACCGATGCGGCGCCAGCACTCTGACCCCAGAGAGCGACCCGCTCTGGATCGCCACCAAACTGAGCGATATTGTCCCGCACCCATTCAACTGCTAATCGTTGGTCCAAGAGTCCAAGATTCTGTTCCTTGGGATCGAGGCCTGCGGCGTTAGGGAATCCAAAGAGTCCAAGGCGGTAGCTGCATTCGAGTTAGAAAATAGACGGACAGCAGACCATGTCACCTTGGGCCGGACGAACTTGATGCCAACAACTATATGCCTCTGACTTCGCTGTACCCACTGTGTAGGAATCTGGTAGGCAATATCACCTCCTCCCTTTCTCAGAAATTAGCAGCGGATTGACTTCGATGACAAGACAGACAAACCTCGACAAAACCTCCTCCGTGGATCCATACAACTACCGGAAGAAGCTCACTAGTCGGTGATTCAACGTTGAAAGGCGTCCAGACGTTTAGGTAGAGACAGTCTTCACTGGTGCTGTTCGGTCTGATGAGGAACTCGGCAGCCCAAGCACCACCGCCTGCTGGCGGATCGGTCTGGGGGCAAGAGGGGCCCTGAGTTGACGCGTTCAAGTTTCCGAAGGCCTGCTTTGGCTGGGCTGGAAGCCATCGCTGCTGATCAACAGGAGGCTCGCCATAAGGGATCCCGAGGAACTGCGCAACCGAAGGTGCCGAAGGGTCTGTGAAACCATTGACCACTCCGTGCTTTGTCTCGATCCTCGTGCTGGCTAAAGCATTGGTATCTTGGACGACAAGATTCCCCAGCGCCGAGATGGCGGTCAAGGCGTGAGAAGTTCGAAGTTGCATGATTGAGGAGGCGTTGCCCCACAAGAACTGAAGTACTGCCTCCATCCTCACGCTACCATTTTATATTATTTCAGTCTTGGGAGAGCCGGTGGATTTGCCGTATGATGTCCAATTCCCCACGCTTGCGGGGTAAATAAACCCGCTTCGGTTGGCTGGCAGTTGAATTTCCTCATCTACCAGTGATGCCAGTGTAGCATTCGGTGCGCGCTTTTTGAGGGGACAGTCTTACTCCATTGGCTCTGCGTTGACATCTCCAATGACGTACCGAGTTTCGGCAATGAACTAGTGGGGAACTGTGGTCCTACGCCAGCTTCTGGTCGCTGCCTACGGCCATGGACGAATTTCTCCACATGAACCATGTTGTGGAGGCCAAAGTAAAGGGTAAATAGCTGAGCTTCTGGAGACTTTCGTAGAATATCCCTTCAGTTCGATGTTCTTATGGAATTTGACCCTGCAGATGCCGCTAGCAACTCATCTGATCGTATGTGCGAACACAAATGGTCGTTGCCGAGAAACGTCAGGGAATTCTGAGTGATCAACATCTTACCGCAAAAAGAAGAGAACGTAAAGTGGTACTGTGGAGAACACTGCGCTTCGCGAAAGGAAATGAGGATCCGGGTCGTTGAGTCAAACGGTAAAGTTAATAAGCTTTGTGGCTGACTGTTCCATGGTAGTTTGGAGTAGAGCCTTGAAAAGCTTCACACATTGGAAAGAACTACAAGGCTGGAGAAACCCTTTGTTTCATTTGCTCCTATTGGCTTAGGCTAAAGTATTTATACATTGTGCATGTTCGCTGCAGATCTGTGTTTTAGTGTCTATCAGGATCAAGATCTATGGTCCAAGTCTTGGGGAAGTTCTCTCCTTGATCACAGATTTCGACCATTATAATGAGACTTCGCTCAAATACGTCATACTCATTGGACCAAAACAAAGAATATTTTTCAAAATGCAACGAATCACAAAAGTGTTGTTGGGCCGCCCTGCCGCCAGAGATTCGATTGATGATTCTGGACGAACTAAAGAAGCAAGACGGCAGACCCCGACTAGCACGCTGGGCCAGTGTCTCCCAAGAATTGAAAGCAGTGTTCGAACCGCATATATTCAAAACATTGACAGTCCAATTCCCTGGTTCTGATATTGAGACTTTGGATCAATTCGTTGACGGATACCGAAGAGACTTCGTCAAGAGAATCTCACTTCATGTGAAAACAGCAGAAGACGATGTCAAGGAAGAGTACGACAAAGTGGAAACATACAAAACGAAAAGAGAAAACAACAAGACATTCGCACAGGCTTTACAGCATTTATTCTCTGTTCTTTCTACATGGAGCTGCAGTACCTTTGCCAAAGGCATTGCATTAGAATTGAGTGCCAGCTCGCCTAGCGATGTTGACCACCCCTACCAACATCGCCACAACCAAAGCCAACATGATCTATCACGGATATACTCGCTAAACTCCAGGAGAGGAGACGCCTGATAGGCAACTTAATGGACCCTAGTTCCGCTTCTTTAGAGCTTCCACGGGTCCCTATTGTTACACGTTTCTCGGTAAACCAGCATTACTATTGAAGTCTCTCGGGAGCATCCTTAGCCAAAATTCTCTCTAGTATGTGTCATCTGAGGATCATTAACTATGAGCCATGGCGTGCTGTTGGGACAGAGGATCATATTCAACGCGAAGAAGCGAGTATAAAATTATTCGAATGTGTCAAGGAGTCTGTCACAGTTCGGTCGGTGCGTCTATGGGAGGCGCAGTCACCACTCCACGGGAATCCACGTTTCGTTAGGCCCGTTAACAGAAAGCTCGTGTCAGCGGCAGTAAGGGCAAGTTATCAACTTCGGAGTTTAGCGATATGTCACGCGATCGATGCGAAGGAGTTCTTTCAATATCCTGCAGCTGGGCTTACATTAGGCAAGCCTTCTCAATGCTTGGGGTTCTGGCCGACCCTTAAACAGCTAGCTTTAACTACTTACATCGGAGAACTACATTCTAGTTCAGCGCGTGTGGATAGCCTGCTGCTCAAGGCAAGTCAAGTCGCTTCGCGCATGCCCTCACTTGAGATTATGGAAATATGGGCGCCAGGAATCCGAGAGGGCTTTCTATTTCGCTATGATATCTGTAACAACGAAGCGAAGATCGATGTGAGAGCGACGTGGCAGTTTGAATTCAGCGATGAGGTTGTCGAGTCATGGCAACAAGTCGGCTGCCGCTACGCAAAACTGGAGTTCAGCCATGAGGCAAGATTTATTGAACCGGGGACAATGGATCCAAACTCTCCTTACGAGTTTTGTTCTAGGCTCCGGCTTAGAAGAATCCTTAGAGAGTGGATGAGATCTAACAAAAGTAATGAGTGTCATCAAATTTGAATGTAGTCTATGAGTTTTCTACTTGGGTAGTAGTAAATTGTTTTCAATCTCCATTGGTGGCAAATAAGAAAAAACAACTCTTGATTGATCACAGGAGTGTGATATCTACTGCGACATCGGTTAAAAAGCAAGAAATATAACCCAAGATTTACGGCGTCTGTGAAATGACACTACACACAACATGCAAGCGACAAGCGATGTGTGGACAATGGGCTACTAATTCGCCTTGTCGATAATTTCATGAAATCAAGATAGTACTTCATTACAGGACATGAATCCGAAACAACGCTCACACTTTCGCTGTACCTTTTGGAGAAATCTACGAGAGAACCGTCGTAGCATTCAGACAGAATAGAAGTCGAGCAAGTTTCTTACATTACCAGTACCTTGGCTTCGGGCAAAAGTGAGATCCAGCTATCTCCCGACGCTCTTCTAGCCCATGCCATCTTCAAGTGTTCCAAACCCCTAAGGATATTCTCGAAACCACTTCGTTTGTAGAAGTTTACAAAGGTATTTGTGAAGAATGTCTTATGCTCCTCGAGTATACAATCGGAAGCTGCAACGAATGTTGCCCATATAAGCACCTGTTTACCAGGAGACCCACTGGGAAACAGCTCAAGAGTTTCTTTGAATCGTTGAACGCGGCAGATAGATTCTGTGTCTGCAGTTGAAAAAGCCTTCATGGAGGGCTGATGGATATCATGGCTTGCTTGAAAAAGGTAGATGTCGTACGATTGCTGAATAAGATCCATGACAGCCGAGACTGCAACAGAATGCTCTGGATGCTCTTTTGAACAGTGCCTAACGCAGTCTAAAGCTCTGGTTATTTGAGTCTTGGAACTCAGCGTTGTAACTCCGGATTCTTTGCTAAGCAGAGGCGCAGCGTAAACTCGCATTCTATGATAAGAGGTGTTAGCACTACTGGAAGTTAAGTTCCTCCAAGTGGTGTAAAACAATAGTGGCAATAGTCACCGGATACTACCAGGGATCTCCTGGTGAGTCTTTAGTAGGATGATATTACAAGTAGATACTTACTTCCGGACTTGGCGCATTATAAAGGTTGCAAGCTCGTCTTTACCTAGACTTTCTTCCCCGCCAATGATTCGTAGGGCGGACTCGAGTAAACGGAAAAGGGCTGGAAAATCATCAGAACCCGTGACCATTACGGCGACAAGAAGGGTTAAGATAGCCAGCAAAATAAACAGTCGTTTTGAGTTGTCGCTACCCCTGAGATCTCGCCGTTGCAACTCCGTTATGACACAATTGTATAGATGGATTGCTTGGAGGTTAGTAGACCAGGATGACTTGCTGTCGGAAGTGAATGTAGCAGTCATTAATGAACACTTGTCACCACTCAACAAGCGCTGCTTCCGCGAATATTGTCGGGAAGTCAAATGAAATGAAGCAACAGAGAGAACGGCATTCAATACAAGCCGATCAATATGTGCGATGGGGAGAACAAGACGGCGCCACCCATTGTGGTCACCGTCAATTGCCACCATTTCCCCAGCTATGCAGTCAGAAACTAAAGTGACAAGTCAGAAATACATTTTGAGAAGCTACCTTGGTATGCCGGCTTACAGTGCAAGATTAAGAAAGACTCTCTGGAAGAAACATTGCTTGCTGACGGTTGAATTTTAAGTGAGCAGTCGGGATTTGTTTCTTTTCGCACCGGTGTAGCCATTCTCGGAGGCTTGCCAGTGTCTTCGGCCACGCTGACTTGAGATGCGTCATATGAAGCCGAGGCTCCTTCACCCGCCATACTGTCATCTTGCCCTGAGCTTCGAGATTTGTAGTTAGGCCGGATGTGCCGTTTGCCTTCCCAATTTGGAATCGGAGCTTGGGTGGAGTTGATGAATGACCGCTGTTGGCAATCAAAGGTACCATGATGCTTGGATTTGACTTGATCGAATGACATCTCAAGGGGATCTGGCGATAAAATTTTCTTTCGCTGTGGCCTTCCTCACCAGTGAACAGTTTAGTGCTCGTCCATGATGATCGATTATGGCGTTGTTGTGACCTACTCCTCATAGACCTCTTGTATGGTCTTGCCTACCCAGAGGCCGCGAGCAGCAATGCCGTTACTAAAACGATGCCTTATTCCAAAACCACTGCACTTCAAGCTCTTGGAGGAACATTTTTGACATTGCGGCTCTGTGCGGTCGCAACTAATGCGACGCTTTGAGCATTCAAAGCAGCCTGTTGTAACACCACGCAGTTAGACGCTGTCAGCCGCCTCCACATGGAGCAATGAGTTTAGACAAACCTCTGGTTTTGGGCCGGTAAGGACGGGGCTTCCGGGGCATGTTGTTTCCGTTGTTCCACTGTTGCCCCCGTCTAGAGGAGCATGGTGAATTGGCGTGAGTCCTTAGAATATGATCAATTGACAAGGGAGATGATTAAATGAGACACTGGAACGAGATGCTATGGGTGAGAGTCCGAGTGACTGACCCCTCCTTACTGGTTCCCCGCCACTAAGTGGGTATTTGCACTAAACTATGCCCGATTGGAAAGGTAAAAAGAGACCACCGACACCTTACATCTTAAGCATGACGGACGGCACCCGATACGCTACCCCGCACCGATTTTCCAAAGATAACCCAGCGATTGGCGACGGTTGTATATGGCTTGAATTGATGACTTGGTGTTTACCAATAGGGAAATTGTTCATAGGGAAATGGGACTTTCGTTGAGGTGTATTGGAGCTATGGCCACTCCCTCTTTGTCCTTATGGCCATTCAGGATAAGGTAGTTATAGGATTGTAGGCTAAGCTGACCTCATCTGCCAAACTCAACGTGCGAACTCACAGAGTCGGTCATAACCCCTTAGACCACCAAGCTGAAGGATATGCCACGATTAAATCACACTAGTTGTGGTGAGAGAAAAGCAAGAAGGCTATCAATGCTACCAACGGTTAAATAGGCCACCTGCTACCAGAACAAAGACCATTCGTGCCACTTTCGATTGGTGGTAAATGCCGAAGGAAGCTGAAAAGTGTAGAGTCTGAATAAAAAGTAATACTGGCTTCGTTACAGAGGAAAAGGCCATGGTCATCTTATTCAAGCGAGGATGGCGACGTAGTTGCCAGTCGAGCTGACACTATATCAAGAGTAACAGGCAATAATAGTGGAATATACATACTCCCTCGGCTCTCCCCAAGGATTCGGTGGTGTAGTTGTGGCGCCTGCATGATCACATATCATGCATCCTTAATCAGAGACTCTAGCCATCATTTAGGATGCCATGGCATTACCTATAAGAAACTCCGATACTAAAAAGAACTACTACTTCCACTTCAGTTCTCTTCTAAAATCTCAGCATGGCGATCTATTGACTCATACGCAGGACACGGGCTGCCAGGAGAAACCCTCCTCCATTCATTATGCCAAAGCCTGTTGAGGCGAGTTGTCTCTTTGTCGTAGTTCGCCACAAACTGACGAACCGCATCTTCTTCCACGTTTTTGATCTTTTCCAGGGTGTCGTTCAAGGCGTCAGTGAGTCTACTAACTCTCCACCTAGGAAGGCTACATGAGCACCCCCTATCGCCTCTTAAGCGACAGTAGTCGATGGGCTTCAATGTGCCAGCCTTGTGCGCATCCCACAGCCGGTGCTTCTCCTTCTCAAACTTTTCTTTCGCTTCCTCTTCCTTGAGAAGCCTCTCAGCTGCGAGCTTTGACAGATCTTCCTGCTTTTGTTGGTCGAGAGATAACTTCTCCTCTTGAAGTTCTTTGAGGAGTTTCACTGTTTTTGCGCTGAGAACGGAGTTTCTCTTCTGTCCGTAAACTGTTTTAAGAGCCTGGGCGCCATGGGCCCCTTGGTCTGCTGCTTTTCTGCCCATTCTATCTTATCCCTCTACTATTGAAGGAATGGAGAGTTGAGGTGAATGGTCGCCAATGAGCGGAAGATCAAAGATTGAGAGAGATATGGTCAGCTTTTGATCTAGTATGGTTTTATCTTTTTTCTGTCGAGTTTCACGACTAGCTGTGTGTTTATAGAAGGTCACTCAAAGTGGAAGTAATTGGGAAGTGTTTTGTATACAAGAAATGTAGCTGCTGACTCACTCCCGTGACGTGGTTTGAATCCTTCGGGCGAGCTGGCCGCAGCGGAGTTCCGCTCAGCCACTCTGCGCCACGATATTACATTCGTTTTCAGCGTCTTGAGACAAAACACTACCTCTGATAGGTAACCTAGGTAATGCAAGTAAAATATGACTCAAAGTGGGTTTACGAGGTCGTTCGAGTATGGTCGAAGATAAAAACGTTATAACATAAACGATGTTCACATGGTGAGACCACCAGTAGTAAGCTAGACAGTTAGTAGCGTGTTGGATCAATATTGTATCCACCAGCTTCAAAAACTGGGCGCCGTTCTGTTCAATGAGCAATTTAACCTTGATTAACGTTCTTCATTATTCTATCCGGATAGAAATTACCCATGTCCGAATCATTGATCTGCCATTGATCCTGCAAACACAATCGTAACACAGACGAATTCGGTTGAATTTGTTTTGTTGGTTCTTATTTTTAGCACTCCAAAGTCTCTTTTTTTTTTCTTTTTTTTTTTTTGGCGACACGCAGAAGCATAAGACAACGTTAAGTAGTTTGGTTTTCGTTCTCCCTATCTTCAACCTAACTCAATGGACACACTGATCGCAGCTTTCGATATCTACATCTCCGTTCACCGATCTGAATCATCATCCCAACTATGCACAGCGCCGTGTTTGTCGCCGCCAAAGGCTTTCCGGCTGCTTACGTCACGAAAACTATTGTCAACTTGCTGTCGCTTCAGCTCCATCAATCTCCCATCCTTGACGACAATATAAGCTCAAAAGCCCCAGACAACTGAGGTATATAGGACCCTAGGGTAGCACACTACGACTACATCAGGTACAAAGTTTACCATTGGTTGCAAGGCTTTTCTAACATATTAAATACATCAAGGTTCGCTAGTCCGCAAGTTCGAAAATAATAAGAATAAAAGGATACTTCGCTTAACAACTATATCGAAAATAATATGCATAGGCATGCTGAAACATCAAACACCAAGAACACGCCATTCGCTTTCAAATAATTGATCAATTAAATATGTTTCCCGAGAAACTCGGTATATTATTCAGATTTAGGAAGTGATCATATATGTTCGGGGTCGGGTTACGTCTGTCTCCATACAGTAATTCGGCCTCGGACGTTGAGTACAACCCGTGAAGCACCAGCCCCTCTCATTGAATCCTGTACAGATTCGCTCATGTACATATATGTATGTCTACCAGAGCACTCGGAATAACCATAAACAAACAATCTGGAATGTACACGTACCTGACATAAAGAAAATGGCATCTTCACCTATCAAAAACCGCGCCCTATGGCTTTCTTCTTTTACTGAGCCCCTTTCAATCGTGGAGCTACCTGTTCCCAGTGCAGATGCTGGTACTGTCGTTGTCCAAATCTTAGCAGCTGGATTGGCTCCCTACACGCATCTCATTCATTCAGGGAAGATACCTGGACTCAACCTTACACCGCCACTGGTCCCCAACCCTTCTGGCATTGGTCGCGTACACGCCGTTGGGCCAGATGCGGTACGCTTGAAGGCAGGCGACCTTGTTTTCATTGATGGTTTAGTTCGAGGCCGCGATGACCCCGACATATGCTTGATGCCTGGCCATATGACGGGCGGGCATCCGAAAGCGCAGAAGCTCATGCAAGGGGTCTGGAGAGACGGGTCTCTGCAGCAGTACCAAAAGGTACCTTTGGAAACCTGCTTCGTACTGGATGAGGAGCGCCTTATTGGTGAATTAGGGTATGACCCGGCAATCCTACATACCCTCAGTCATTACTCAGTGGCTGCCGGTGCGTTGCTGGAGGCTGCCGACGTCAAAGTCGCCGAAACAGTCATTATTGGACCCTCTGGAGGTTCCTTTGGAGGTTTGGCTGTCGAGGTCGCGCTTGCCGCCGGCGCCAATGTCATCGCCCTAGGCCGGAGCGAGACAAAACTAAAAGTAATGCGCGAGAAGCTGAACAATTCGCGGCTGAGTACTGTCGCAATGACAGGCGACGTCGAGGTGGACGCCGCGGCGATCATGGATGCGACCCCTGGAAAGGCCGGGGCCGAGGTTTTCAATGATTGGACTCCAGGTGAACTCCAGACTCCGCCGTACTTGTCGGCCGCAGCCCTGGCGTTAAAGAAGGATGGCAGGATTGTGCTGAGTGGTGGAGCAGGAGGCAACTTACAACTTCCGTATGGCCTGTGTCTCCTTCGAAATCTCAAGCTTGTGGGAAAATGGATGTGTGAACGTCGTACGGTCGATCAGGTAATTAGGATGGTCACCCAGGGACAATTGAAAATTGGAAAGGAGAGTGGATCTGAGATAAAGTTGTTTGGACTTGAGGAGCATGAGGAGGCTGTTGAGCACGCACGAAAATACGGAGGATGGCGGAATTATACCGCTATCCTGCCAAACCGGAACTAATTCTGTTTAGGATCTTTGGCTGTTCAAGAAAGTTGGACTGAGAGCAAATTCATCTCAGTAATGGAGTTTTTCTTAGAAATAAACTATCGCATCTTAACCTGCAGAGTGATTAACCTGAAGTTTTGGTGATCTTTTGTATTGGTGCGGATGAGAGTGATCTTTTCAGTTATGAGTGGAATTCCATTGTTTGGATCAGCCATGGAGGTTTCTCCTTTTGCTGGACAAGGAAGGAAGGATGCATGATGTCGGTGGACCTAAATCGCGGAGGCTTTCCTGTTTGTGCGATTTTTTTAATTTGGCGGTAATGGAAGAGGCTTCATCCTACAAATTGACAAGCCATTCAACAACAATTGGCATTTCAAGAATACTGGTATTTCGTGTCTATTATTGTAAGGCATATTTATGTTTACTCTCAAGTATCTGGATTAAATCCCAAAAGCAGGTTACAGGCATGGGTTGAAGTAAGTATTCAACCGTCGAAGTATCAGCAACCACTTGCGATATTATAACAACCGATTCACCATCAATACTTTGAAGTCAGAGAGGAAGAAGACTTGATAGTAATGAAGTAATCTGACTGACAGAAAAGAGTTTGGCGGCCAGCCTTTGAGCAACTCGGTTCATCTCAAAAAATAACAATTCTGTCGTCCCAGTTGACCAATCTGGTAACAGCTACATACCAACAGATTGCTTTTGACATGTAACCATCTCAAGTTCAATTCTTGCAGCTACTGGGTGTATGTCAAATTAGAACATACCCCTCAAGTTAGCGATCTCGTAGATAATTATTAGTACTAGTCTTCATTCGGGAGATGACAGCGGTTGGAAGATGGGCTTAGTCAGCTTTTAATTATGGGGCTGACTTTTCACGGCGATTTGCTCTCATATCCCAAGCTTACGTTTGCCACAACACAAGGTAGGCGCACCTCTAAGCCAAACAATTCCTTTGCGAGTGTGGCATTCTCAAAGTAGAAACACATGGGCCACGACAACTACCTAGCTTGAATAACCTCCGCGGACTGCTTTCTAGAATCATGTCTCCCCTTGGGCTTTCCCCTCGTCTGCGCCTCCTTGGCCAACGACATCTCTGCGCCCGGGTGCCGTACTTCAAAGGCACCCACAACATGCATCAAAATGTCTTCAGGATATTACCGTCGAGAATCTCCAGACAATCGTTTTGCTGTAGCAAATCAAAGAAAGAGCAGTCGCCACCTGTGCTATCGCGAGACTTCTGGGCTTCTTCGACAGCATGGCGCCGCGCTGGCGTGAACACGTTTCGATGCCTCGTCGGCTGCACGCTAGGTGATTTCTCCGCAATGTGGTACCTTCAGGCATTTCATCCGGAAATGGGCATGGAGAGCGTGATGGCCATCTCGAGTAAGTTTTGAACACCCGTGTTCCGACTCGCTATATGATGGACCGACTAACGTGCCGATAGTGGCAAGCGGATTGTCAACATCGCTCCTCCTGGAGACGGTTCTGTTGAAATTCGGTAAGGATCGATTGTCCTGGCCGACTGCGGCAAAGACCGCGGCGGGAATGAGCATGATATCGATGATCACGATGGAGCTGGCGGAGAACGCGGTAGATTACCACCTCACCGGCGGCGTGGTGCAGTTGGATGATCCCGCCTTCTGGGGCGCCGCCATCGTCTCTGTGGCTGCCGGTTTCCTTGCGCCTCTCCCATACAACTACCACAGGCTCAGGAAGTTTGGCAAGGCGTGCCACTGAAATATCTCCGAGACCGTCGCAAGACAGGCGGGCCAGGTCTTGTGGATCTGTAGGATATGGTGTATAATTAAACACACAACCGCTTCTGTTAATACTTTTTTGTAATGGGAAGCCTTCTCTGCTCATTTATTTTGCTTTTCGAGCTTGAGGCGCTCCGCCTCTTTCACCATACCCTCGACGAATCCTGATCGTTCATGAATCTGTTTACAAAGAAATTAGCAAATTAGCCTTATGGCAAGTAGTAACGAGTGATCTTGAGCGGGGAGTATCCCTCACATTTCGATTGAAGGCATTCATATACGTCGTGTCCGCGCCGTTGGCCACCAAAGTTTCAATAACAGGCAAGGGGTCACATTTGCTCAAGTCAAGGACGGCGCTGAAGGGATTCATGGTTTTGCGTCCGATAGTTATCGATTCCTGAAGGATACTCGGATCTCTTTCAATCATCAGCTGCACCAGAGCTGCGCTTCCGCTTTGGAGGGCGGCAACCCAACTCTTTTCGATACGAGCGCCGCAGTCCAACAGGAGTCGAGCCGACTTGAGCGAACCGCCGTAAGCGGCCATGAACAGAGGCGTGAGATGCGACAGAAAGACGTCCTCCTCACTCGTGTACTGATAGGGGGTGGCATTGACATCTGCGCCATTGCTCACCAGATGCTCCACGATGCTGTCGAGCCCCGCATATGCTGCGAAGTGGAGGATCGGATATCTCCCGTAGCAGTATCCAGTACTGATGGCTCCGTTCCAGTTGAAATAGAGATAGCTAATGTCGGAAGCGTTTGGAGGTTGGAAATACCACATTTCATCTGGTTTGCAAAAAGGCGTCCCTCTTTTAAGCATTAGAAGAGCTCGCGCCTCGGCCTCGGCACTGGGCTCATCCTTAAGAGGGTCATCATAGTGGAGGGCTGGCCATAGCAATCGAGAAATCCAAGGAAGGCCGCGAGACTTGAAGTATCGTTGATAACATATCTTTAGGGCGTAATCGGTATATAATCGGCAAAGGCGTGCCATTGACATGAGATCAACAAGGTTGTCGATTTCGTCAATGATGGCATCAATTATCTCCGGTGGAAGGCGAGGCGCCGATGGAGAGCTCGCGTCAAGGTGGAGGCTTCGGACAGAGTTCATTGTGCAATTTTTGATAAGTGAAGATTTGGATATTGCAACGAAACACCAAGAGTTACAAAAGTCCTTAAATCATCAAGGGTTGGTGTGACGAAATCGCATTGTCTTTGTGAGGGGAAAATGCCAATGTCTGCCTGATTTTTGAACCCCTATGATGAGGTAATCCTGCTGCGCCACAACAAAAATGTTAGGCAATGAGGTTTGGCAGCTGACCCGGACTCATCTGAGGCAGTCGTAAATCGGAAAATAGCAATTATGAGAAACTGACGATTTCTTAGTTACACGTTCCGGAGCACCATTGGATGTTGAAGATGTTTCTAATTTTGGCACAACTCAAAAGACTCAGTCAGACACTGAAATCCAGACCCGATCAAGACAAGTCACTGTGAGGGCATTAAGCGAGTACGAGCTCCGTCCCATTTGCAGTGGATTTCAGTACCAGCAACAAATGGGAGAAAGATGCGGTAGAAGAGCCTCTTGAATTCCTTCCTACAGGCGACAAAATGTTATTTGCGGGTGACTTCCACCGTCAATGACAGCCTGGACCACGAAGGCTGCGGATACTTCGGCCTTCTTCGTAACTGTTGTGGGTAATAAAGTTCGCAGGTAGGGGACCTTCGGAGAATTTTGGGTGATGCCTGTGAGGATGATTTTGCTGTGAGCACTGCCGACCGGGAATAACCAGGCCAACAACGTCGGCCCCCCACATGTTTGTTTCTTTAGGGGTTGTCGTCACCTGTAAGCTCAGCGTCACTGGGGGATGTTGCTAAAGCCGTCTTTGTCTATAATCTTAGGTGCCTGCGACATTCCCGCTGTTGATGAACTAATATCCTGTGTTGGTGGTATTGGCCTTCTGAAGTCTACAGTTAAGTTTCATACAAAATTTATCTCAAATGCAGCCCATTGCTAACCAAGCTAGGTAGGTGAGTACACTAGAGTAATTCTGCAGACTCTACACTAGAGCAATTTTGTAGACTACCAAAGTTAGTTTATTGCTTTTTAATGATTGCAATTTCATGCTCCTGTACGTTTCAAACTTAGATTGCCTTACCTACTGAGCAAGTAACTGTCTTGTTCCCAACAGACACCAGTCCATCTTAACGTTCAAGTACATCATCAAGCCGATAATGTCACTCGGAGAGCACTATCGCCGAGTTCAAAACAAGGTTAATGACATTGAAGTGGCGTTATATTCATCAACGTAATTATTTACAAGAAATTGGGGGGTGTCACAGCCCTCCACCCATCTACATGCCATCCTTGATCATTGCATTCACAATCTGCACATGTCTGTTGGCATTCGTCTCGCTCCACTCGTTGTCGTAGTTCAAGCCGTACGGCCAAAAGTGGGAGCCGCCGCAGTTGATCTTGGCACTGCTACCGTCCCAAGATCGCAGGAGAGGCAAGGCCGTAGCCCAGTCTCCGGCAGCACACTTGCGGTCAAAGGCAGCGGTCTGGCCGACGCCGAGGGTGTGAGAGATCTCGTGCAGGGCAGTGCGCTCGTTCATGTACGACCGGTTGGAACCGAAGCGGACGTCGCCGTTGTAGCTGGCCTCTGCGGTAGGAACGCCGGGAGCGTAGTAGACGCGGAGGTTCTTCGTCGCCGAGCCGAGGCGGGAGTGGCGGGCAACGGCCAGGCGCATGGCGGCTTCGATCTTGGTGTAGGCATCCCTTTGGTCGGCAGTAGGGTTCGTAGCCTTTTGGAGAGTCCAGGTGATGGCGCCCTGGGTGGCGGCAGCGTAGGCCGCGACAACGGTAATGATGGACAGCTTCATGTTGTTGTGTATATGGTCGAAAGTCTTTTGGGGAATAATGAGAGAGTTTCAACGTCGCAAACGTGCTTTTCCGTACCCGCTGAAGATGAGGAATAACAAGGCAGAGATACAACTTGAGGTGCTGTGTTTGGATGACAGGTGTTTGCTCTGAGCATGAAAGGTCAAATAGTTCGGACGACGAAGAAGACATGCCGGAGCTTTTTGTACGTCTTCGGCAGATCAGGAAACCCTGCTTTAACCCGGCATCACATCCCATCCCAATTTTGACCTCCTGACAGGGCAGCCCATGGATGCTTTCCGCTTCTGGCACTACCGTTTGACGCGTTTTCTCATGGCCGACAAATCGTCCGACGACGCCCAGCCGAAACGTGCGGCTAAGCTAAGACAGAGTGAGCGTTGCCTCTGGGGGGGGGGTTTAGTTGACGAGATAAAAGGGTCGGATTAATTTGTCCGTGGCGCCTCGGTTGCTTCGGACTCGTACTTGATGCAACGCTGGGCCATGTCCAGAGCGCATCTTGACCAGGCCCGTGCCTTGTCGTGGCCCGGCAAAGGGGGTTATATTAACATGCTACGCTCCCCCGCATCAACCCAAGCCGGGCTTCCGTTCTAGGAACAGCTCTCCGACTTGCTGTTTGCACTATATTAGCCTTTGTGTTAACCTTATCGGCTAAGGTTATTGGTACGGGTTGTTTGGCCGACTTGGTAACAACATAATTGTGGGACATATTGGTTGGGATGACTGCCGCATGCACTTTCATTTCGGGACACTCCTTTGGTAGATCATGGGGTTTTAGGGGCATCTTTTTTTCCATCCATCACAGTCTTTTGCCAAGAATGGCCGGCACAGCGACGTCCGAGATCCCTGGGGGCATCAAAGACCTGCTGGATTTGGCATTTGGCAGAAGATCACTTCGTTCTGAGTGGAAGCCGAGATGCGTGTGGTGGGACTGCTGTGATCTACTAGTAAACTCCTTCTTAACCCATTTAAACTACCTGAAGGACTGCGAGTGAAGCGGCAGAAAATGGATCCCAGAAGGCATATTTGTGATTGGATGCGAACTCGAAGCCCCAAGTTCCTTGGCACAACGTCTTGCGCTCCAATAAGGCCAGTGAACATGGGGCCACTATCACCAATTGCCGTGTTCCCCATCTCTCTCTTCTGACTCGCTCGAAGCAGAAGACTTAATATTCTAGAGTAACCAGGCACCCGAGAGCCATTTTCTTTTTGATTGAAACAGGGTGGAACAGAATGCAGAAAAGCGTTTGTTCCCTTAAATCAGGACTGTTCAGCACGTGTTTAGCAATTCCCCGCACGATAAAGTTGAAAGGCAATGATCCGTGTCAAACATTCCTTGTCAAAATGAATCTAGGCCGGCGAAGTGTGTGCTTGCATTAGCACTTGCATCATAAAACACCGCTGTTTGGTATCATGAGACTGGAAGGTGATAGTAGACGTGATTTTCTGATTGGACCGCAATCCTGAAGATGCCAAATGACCAGTAAGCACGCTATTTACGGTATCTATGGTCTATTGCGCGCTCATCCTGTTCTCTGTTTCTCGACCAAGCAGAATGTACTGTCCTCCTCCGAAACCAGCGTTGTTTGCTCACATGGCTCGATACCAACAACAAATTTCCAAACACCCTATGTCCTCCCCAGAGTCTGCAGCATGTACCAAACCAGCCATCTATAGTTGGTCTAACTGAGGGATTTTGTAGAACCAAAAAAAGGTTTTCTTCCTCCGCCCAACCAAGAAAAATACCGTCCTGCGTGGAGAGAGTATGCGCAACTTCCTAATCATCCTGGCCTGAGCCACTGTTGGCGATGATGGCAGCCTCGAAACTTTCCATCTGTCTGCTGATGTAAACATTCGGGTCAACCCCGAGGTCCTGAAGTGCATCCAGGACAACGGTACGGAAGATCATCTCTTTGTGTTCCTCAGGCGCAGCTGCCAGCGTCTTGAAAAACGCGTTGCGTTGCCGAACTTTCTCACGAGCTGTGGGCTTGGGCGTTGTGGCACCGGCCCCCTGAGGCTTGGTAGCCTCGCTTTTGGATCTCATGGCTTCGACCATCCAAGTATCCATCAGGATGATGTCCTTGGTGGTATCGTCGTCGCTTTGCTTGGTGTTTGTTTTGAACACCTCGATATTCATATCCATAGGCGCTGCCTCATCTCCAGCTACCGTCGCGCTGCTGGGGAGAATCTCCCTTTCTGCACCGTCTGTGTAGTCAAAATTGCACTCGAGCTTGGGCTTCTTGCTTGGGAGACATTTGATGATTTCGAAATCATCCGAGTCGGAGTCATCCACGACTTCATCATGCGGCCGTTTGTTCTGTGTGGTGAAATTGCCGCTGGAGGAGGAGGCAGTGACTTCCATCTTGTTGCTGTCAGAAGTTGCATTTGTATTCTCGATTTCGACCATGTCAGACCGAGAGTGTATCTTGTTGCCGTTGCCTGTAGAATCACAGCTCGACATGCTTGAGATGCCTTGGGGAACGCGATCGGAAGCAGGGACAAAATATGTAATGTACTTCAACTTCCGAGTTTTCTCATAAAGTTCTTTTATTGCGCCAGACGACTCCTCATTTCGCACAGCTCGAATAACGTCGGAAAAGGCCCATATGCTGCCGCTGTTAACAGTATCTTCCCAAATGGAAGGTATCAGGTTTTGCGTTCGAAAGAGCGTTGCCCACATTTCGGCTTCTGTTATGGGCTGTTTCTCACCGCGGGCAAACTTGGTGAGGTTCTTGTAGGAGATGTGAGAGGGTACACGGAGGCTGGAAACTGTAACGGCCGTCTCGAGCGATCTCATAATATGCGTCCGTAGCCAAGGGTGCCACACCTCGTTTTTGATGTCTTTCTCTATGACGCGTGACGCATAATCTATAAAGGCCTGTTGAGATCTTGGGCGGCCGATCTTTTCATCTTTATCGTCGAAGCGCTCTTGCTCTTTGGCGGAGGGTGACATGGTGTGTGGTTAAGAGGGACTCTAATGATGACCTGAGGGAGCAGTTCAATTGAAGTATTGATGGAAATTCATCCGAGGTGCTAAACTATCTTGGTCAAGAGTGAGTCAGTAAATTGAGATGAAGGAGCGAAATGCGAGCAAGACTGGAGCATCTTGTAGATGAAAAAGCAAGGCCAGGATTTGATGGTAGGTGGAAATTTGGTACTGCTTACCCAGTGGACGAATGTTGATCGTTGTAATAGCAACTGCGACGCGTGATGCGACGTGTGGTATGATTTGGCAAGGAAGGGAGATTATTGATTGATTGTGCATAATTGATGATGTGCCAGGTCTGGGAGCAGGTAAATTGAGAAAAGGCGCGATTAGTCGGAAGAAAAGTGAAAGGAGGAGAAAGCGTAAGCCGCGTTTTGAAAAGTGAGAGTCTGAACCGCGAAACTGCAGGGAGCCAACCATTTTTTCTGACCTGGCTTGGTTGCTCTTGCCCTCTACGTCGGTATTGAAGAATTGAGTCGGATAGCCCTACGGTCAACTGCCTAAATGTAGATGTTTCCAGAAACAGATTTGTTTTATTCAAGACAAGTGAGGAGGTTGTGTTGAGCTTGCTTTGACTTTTGAACCAAGAAGTCGTTGCTTTGATCGCAACCTGGCGAACATCAGACACAGACTCATCTACGGAATGTTAATAGCACATGTAAAGGAAATAATGTGAGGCCCAAGTCATTAAAGATGGCCTTTTACCTGCAGCATGCTGAGATATCACTATATGTGTCGTCTGACCATGCCAAAGCGCTGACACCTGAACGCAATCCATCATATTTAGGAAGCACATCTTGATCAGATTTGATGAAATTAAAGTGTTTCAAAACTTATTAGAACTAACACACTATCAATTCAGCCTCATCGACACGTCTGCATGCCATCTTTCTTTGAGTGTATTCGCATGAGGAGGTGGGCAATGACAGACTCAGTCAAGAGTTTTGCTGTGTTCATCCCCGAAGCTTTAATAGTCGACTACGCTGGTGGCTTCTGAGTTGTTTCAATTCTATCGAATGGTATTGCTTCTTTAGCCATGCATTTAATTATTATCAAGGCCCTGACGTTGAGTGCTGGATACCCCCCCTGACTTCGTCTGAAAATAAGTAAGAGGAAAATCATCCCTGTCATTTTAAACCCAAAACTCGAGGTGGAGTAATTTGTCCGTGCAGCCACGCGATTTCTCGCATAATGTGGCCGTAAAAGAAATGGAACATGTAACAAGTACATGCCCTGAAAGCATGCTACATCCCGTGGCCGAAACCTGTCCCCCAGTTTTCTGAAAAGGGGTCGATCGGATTTTACTTAGTCTGGCAATGACAAAGACGTCCGATCAAAGACAAGTCTCTCCTCCTCCATATCTGAAAGATAGACTGCCCGAGGAAGCAGATTTCTTGATTACTAAACAAATACGATTTTTGAGCATTTCTGTTGGAACAGCCTTTGAAGCGCGTTAATTATTGATATAATCGCAAAACAGGTTGGCGTGCAACGGTGCGAGTAATGCTGCGGCTGCAGCGAAAGCTCAATAGGTATCAACACCAACTGCAATGGGGGCCGTTCTCCATTTTTAGAAAAGCATAGAACAGAAGGTTGAAAAGTATGTTTGAGAAGTACCACAACGGATGGCTCCGTGCCGATAACTTTGGTAAACAGGCCGGATGCACCCGTGTGAAGTATGTACAACAGCCCTCCCCCAAAAATGAAGGGTGCTTTGGAACATAACCTTGAAATATTTGCAATGTTTCCTCCTACGCGAGACAGAAACTTTTAAATCCGCAACATCCCCTACTGAGCCTTCTGGGCAGGAATGCTAAGGGTGGCGAATTTCCAGGTCTTTCCACCATCCGGGGACGACATTGCGCCGCCGGTAGCACCATGTTCCCATCCTCCGGAGTGTCCGAAGCTTTGGTCAGCCTTGTTGAGGACAATGGAAACGTCCTTCCAGCCTGTTAATTTGTTAATCTCCGTCCCATCACATCATCTGGAAACAAAAAACGTACTGTGGGCTGGGGTGGCGGCGCAGTTGCCGGAGGCGCACTCAATGGAGATGTAGAAGATCTCGCCTCGTTGTCCCTTGCCTACACATAATTTGTTAGGTCTGGAAGTCCACTTGCGTCCCTAGTTGTTTTTGTTGCTGGGAACTCACTGGTAGACACGGAAGAAACGAGCTTTCCGTCAACGTAGACATTTTGATCCCACAGTTGAGTCGAAGAGTTCAACTTGTCTGCCCCATTCATCAGTCATGGTATTACACATGCAAGGAGTATTATGCTCTTACAGTGTGTTCTCACCGTGGATCCAGCAGAGGCGGTCACGGGCTTGCCAACAGTGGGTGTGCTGCCTGCATAGTTACGGAAACATATTAGCATCGTTCAGGAGTATGGTCGAGGGATGTCGGAAAATAGTAATACGCACCAACCAAGGTATACGCAAAGTTGCACCAATTCTTTCCACCGTCACCGCAGTAGGATCTGAAAAGGCCATTAGTTACTCGCCATCGTATGGTCACGGGAGCTGGTTGTTTCATACCCACTAGGCGAGTTCGATGTAACGCCCTGGAGGAAGGACGCCTGGTTCTCCATCATAATGGCGCTCCAGATGGCCACATCTCCAGACACGGAGCTGGGGAGCTTGGGGAGAACAAGTGTTGCGCTTGCCTCCTGGATGTAGGCACCGCCATTGGTGAAAAGCGAGACGATGTCAGAGTTCGCTTGGACTTGACCGATGATCGCGGCGAGGACGCCACCGATGGCTGCATTGATTCCTTTCATGGTGGCGGTTTTGGATTTGGATCGATACGAGAAAGAAAGCGAATGACGGTATCGTGAAAACGAGGGATAGAGAAAAGAAGCTAAAAAGATAACCTTGAATGATAAATAACTAGAGGAAACTTATATAAGGACGGCACCGAGTCCGTGGTTCAGCTACCGAACAGGCAATGAACGTATATCCAAAACCGTACTAGATACGACGAATAAGCTGCAGGCCCCTTTGCATGGAAGCTGTGGCTCCGTTAAGTGCCACTTTAATCGACCTGGTCACATCGTAATTGTGCCGTCGGGTAATAAACACATGTGGTCGAAGTTCAGACGAAACTGAGCTAACTTGATCAGACGACAGCACCCCAACCTCGTCAGGCTTCGCGATGCAAAGCCGGTATTAGCAACAAGTGAAGGGGTTAAGCGGCAATACTTCCTTTTGTCTGTATCTGTCACATAAGGTGAAGTACACTTTGGTAATAGCTTTATGCACAATCGACTTATTACTTCCGAGTCGGACTTTTTTCGCCTGCGGAGTTCTCAGATATATTGAGGAGATACGAACTCTGGGGCAAGACCCACTAATTAATGGTCACCAATCTCATTCCTCTATCAAAAAATTACCTTTCCAAACATATTAAGGCAACTTTCTCCTCAAATTATTCTCATCTTAAAGGGTCAACTGACAAAAACGCCTTATTGTCTGCTCCCATTGTTTTGACTCTTTTCCCCACGGTATCATTGTCTTGAATGCTCCCTTTGAAATGACATCTTCCATGGACTTACACATCCTTATTAATTGAACGAATATCGAAGGTCGCAATTCGGGGGGTTGGGCTGCTGAGAAAAATATCTATTTATCCATGTCCAGGAGGGTATTCTGCTGCACACTGCGATCCCAGCATGCGCATAGATTCTGGGTACACTTTTCTGCTGGTTCTTATTTCAGTCAGCAGCGCAAAGTCAAGTTCTTCTCATGCAGTTACACGGCCACCACTACGCTCTCCAAAGGCCTGCGAAGCCGCGGAGAAAGAGCATCTTTTGGTCAGTAATGCGCAAATGTGAAGCAAAGACCAAAACTGGCGGCTAGGCCCCAAGCAATCAGATCCTCAAGCTGGTAGACGTGAACATGCACGCTAAGCTAACATAGCCAAAACCGACTGCCCCCGCATTGTAACCCTTTCAAGGTTATAGCAAAAAAAAATCAAAAAAAAAACAACCGGCTAGATTGTTTCTCGTCTATTCAAGAATTAAGAAACCAGACTATCTAAGCTCTAAAATGCAGGCCTTGCATTCTGGAACACAAGATCACTGTCTCGCGGTTTTGCGTTCACTGGTGCAGAACTTTATATACTGGGCCAGTGCCTCTAAAACAGCAACCGTCGCTTTTGAAGATGCCAAAGCAAGTTAAGAGTTGTTTGATGCACAGATGGTTCTCAGGCCGAGAGCTCTGGATAAGAACAACTAAAGCAAGCTGTGAGCATCTCATCGACTGCCATAAGGCAACAGGTACATGGCAACATGTGCGGTACCGGCCAATCATACTCTGATGCTGCGATTTTGGTCGAATGACGGGCATTTTGCAGTTAGTTTTTGGAGAATTATGGGCTTCAAGATGGATCAGTATGTACCTGTTGCGTTATGGCAGTCGATGGAATAGCTTTCCGGTGTGGCTTAGCTGTTACGTGGAAGAGGATGGTCAAGACGCTATGTTGCTCAATACTAAGTGCTTGTGTACTGGTCTGTTCTTCTCACGTTTCGTCGCGTCTGTTTCATGTCGTCTATATCATGTCGATAGCCGCGATGTATCTGGTCGCAACTATATCTCCTTGTTATCCGTTTCACATTACCCCAAAGCCTTCACAAGGCAGGTTGGCCTCACATTTGTGAGTAGAAAATCATTCCTCAGGAGCAGAACTGAGGAAGTCGCAGTCGCACCAGCTCAACGATCAAGCATTTGGTGCAGCGTATTTGAGGGTTGCCGCATGATGATGTTGATACACTGAGCTTGAGCCACCGGCATCATGGTATTGCAGATCAAGACTTAGTTAAGCTCTCACGAGTCGGAGGTAACTCTGCTGCTCCATGGATATAGCTAGGTTCCAGTGTCAGAGCCGTGTCAACTCAACTGACATAAAAACCTAGTTCAACTACGATATGTGATTAAGAGAGGATGGAGTACCTTAGCTGAGAAATGTCAGTTTAGATTTAAGAACAACTGTATTTCTGAGCGGAATACAGCCACATTATTGTCAATGTAAGTTCCAGTTTTTAACAGATCAAGCATTAAGCTTAGAAGGCATGTATTGCCTCAACGCATTGCAAAACACAACAAAGGATCAAAAATTGAGATTTACACTGGCAGTATCAGTTAGCTGAGCCCCACTTTCAAGACAGTCATGTCTCTATGAGCGTAGATGCAACCATCTCTTAGTTTTCATAGTACAATACTCCGATTCGATTCTGCTCACCGAGGATTGTAGTCACAATAAAAGAGTATTTCGATACATGGTCTGGATTTCCATCAACCACGACGTCCAAATGGGATACACTAAAGTGCACTGTGGTCCTTCCAAATCTGAAGTGTCGCTGGCATCCACTATAGGTAGTTGTAACACCTATCCCCGACCTGAAAAGTGGTTCCTAACTCGACTAGAGTCGCTGAGGCATTCAGGCCATGATGCAGGATACAAATCGAGCTTCATAGGGCCCAGTCCAGGCACCTTATTCATCCCGCTATTTGTTCAACATACCACCTCCAACACAGCATAGCTAATCGATTGTCGCTAAGGTAGTCTGAGTACAGACACAACACATGTTAAGGGGCGAGGCCAGGGGCACTAGCGGTGGGTCAGGAGGTTGTGTCAGCTCAAGTTACGGATCTGCACCCCTACACCAGCCAACTCGTATTTGGGATCAGTTGGCCGACGCTACGGAGTGAACACCCCGTCAATACGCGGATTTTTTCATCCTTTCTTTGTGAAAAGAACATGGGAAAAAATAAACATCAAGATAGGAGCGCGGGAATGATGGTAAAATTGTGATCGGTGGTGAATCAATTGCATACTATCGACTTGATGTAAGAATTTCGCGTTCCCGCAGTAAAAATTATCAAATTTCGTTGACGCTCTAAGGATTGGTGAGAGTGAAAGCGACATCCCCAGTGCTTGCACCACCCTTGCAGACGGATTTGAAGCTGCCAGCCGGGCAAACAGCTCGCGCAGCACGAATACAGCCTTCCCAACGGCCTTTGGATACATTGATCGTCGCACCAGCGGCGGTTGGGTTCAAGGTAAACTTCGCCGTTCCGGATTGGCCCACAGTGCTTTTTGGCGCGCCACCGCATTTCTGGATGGCCCCCTGTATGCCACCACAGATACCCAAGGTAGCAACGTTCATATCATGATTGTCTATCTTACTTTAGGAAAGGGTTAGCATTAATCTTTTAAAAAGAAATTGGAGAATGACATGACTTACGCCTTTCGATCTGTGCAAGTTGTACCCGTAACAGCATTCGGATTGACGTCCTTCGACGCGCGAGTCTCCAGGACATTTTCGTTCATCTGGGGAACAGAAGGATGAGGGAAGGCCGTAGAAAAGCCGGCAAAGAGAAGAAAGACCGAGGCAACCGTGTTGATTAACATTTTGAATCTTGAAATCGACGAAGCTTGTAATGAATGGAATTATAAACGGAATTAAAGTTGCAACGTGTTAGACCTGCCAAGACGAGACGCAATTAATGAATGTCGCAGAGAACTTCCAAGAACAAAGGGTGTTGAAACCCCTTTAATACATCGGACGGCAAGCTGTGAGATGGACTAGCAGCATCATCTGGCTCTACAATAAGCTTGATATATCCGTCTGAATATGTTAAGCCCCTCGTTCCAGCAGGGAAGTGCTTGAGACAGGTACAGTTTCGGTCTTGGCTCTCTAGATCGGATGGACGTGCCGAGAGACTAATCCCAAGTTTCATTGTATTCAGCATCTGATGTGCAGGATACGACGATCAGATCTGTTTTCTATCCCCTTTCTCCCTGTCGACTTTTACTGGGTCATGTCATTGTCACAAATCCAGCTGATGTTTCGCACCTACATAGGTTGACCCCGCCTCGCCGGGATTTTCAAGACGATAGTCTTCAACCACGTGAACCGAAATGATTTGCTTAATCGGTTAGTTTATCATTGATGCTAGCCTGAAAATCATTTAGAGAAGATCGGACGCCGATAGTTCTGGCGAGGGCCTCTACAATTAAGCTCGCATACATTGCTATGAGGTACGACATGCACTCCCTAATTTCGCTTCCATGTACGCTTAAAGCACTGGTGGTGTGGGTTGAAACCTGCTCACATAGTTAAGCTCACCAAATTCCCTTCAAATGGTGACACTCACTTCAAGCGGCCCCGCATCCCCTTGGTCAAATTCTAATTCTCCGCTGAACACTTCTTGTTTGGTTTCCTCAAATCGTCTAGGGAGCCCCAGAAGATTTTGGTGCCGTCCACTGAAGCGCTGAACTCTGAATTTGCAAATCGAATCACTTCTAGTGTTCAATAGTAATACAAATTCTCATGCACGTTCCATTCAATACTGCTGGCACTTCTCGTGTGAGATTCACCAAAACGCTTTGCATTTAGCCGCGGAAATAAATGAGGAAAGTTAATTGAAGGATGGAAGCGCAAGGTATCCTTCGCCGCTGCTAGCCCTGCTAACGGATTGCCCGTGGAACAATTACCGAATGACTCAAGCACGCCTTTAACACTAGCCTAAGTTTGCAAGAGGTGCACCGTGAAAACTATAAGCAGGGGGTTGCAACACCTGATTCGCCCTTTATTTGGTTTAAGGCTATAGTTAAGGCGGTGCCCGTTGCGGTAGGTGTGATTGCATGTTGACTCAGCAACGCTAGAACTTCAAGATTGATCAAATACCGATGAACTAGAATTATATAGATACTGCCAAAATCATAAGGGTGCCCGTGGAGTGAAACATGCTAAAAAAGGGTAAAATCTTGCGATTCCTGTGTCGTACCTGTTTGTGTTTAGCAGAAGTTCTGTTAGGAGTGCTAAATGAAGTGGTTGTGGAAGATGTCTAAATCACTTCATACTTCCTGGCACGTAGGCAGCCGGCAACCGGCAACTCGGCAGCCACGGGATTACTTCAAACCGGGATTCCAGCTGTTACAACAGATTTCAATCGCTCCTTTCGCTATTTATAGTGCCCTGGTTGTTAAGACGAATAATTGTATGATCTGGGTGGGCGAAGTGTAAACCAGCACCTATCCCATCAAGTCCTGGATGGCTAAAACTGTATAGTCACAAGAGTTGAGTTCTAAGACGTGTCCTGGATGGTTGAGAAGGGCCGTAAACTGTTCGGGGTGCAGTGTGGCGGTGAGTGCTGGTGCGCCGACAGCCTCACCGTGGGTAGCGTCAAGGTCGTAGACGGAGGCTCGGGCCGACTCAACTTCTACCATAACAGCGCCACAATTTCGTTGCTTTACAGTGATCACGGGTATTTCACCGAGGGTGTTAACTTCTAAGCATCTGGATGGCGCGTCTGGAAGCGCATCGCTAACGGTGGCGCAATGCGCTCAATGCTGTCTCTCACATGGGAAAAAAATAACTTCGCCGTGGAGTTCGGCCAGGAGTGCTGGTGCGGCAATAGCCTGGGCACTGGCAACGTATCGGTCACCAAAACGGAATGCAGCATGCTGTGCGCCGGTAATAAATGCGATGGATCCAACAAGTTGGGCCTGTACAGCAGGCGGTTAGACGGCCGCCGATGAAGTTCATGTACGAGGAATGACCCACAAGACTCAGCACGGGTGGGAGAGCCCTTAGTGGCGGTGAATTTTCTGGCTCTCCTCTCAAGTCCTACAGATTGCTCTTTTTAAAAAAATGGGATTTGTCAACATTGTTTCTGCCAAGAAGTGAGTGACTCTGACCGGCCACGGCATGACGGTTGAGAATTGCGCGAAATTCTGCATCGAAAAGGGGTTCCCGAGATTCGGTGTACGATTCGCTCGCAATTGTTTCTGCGGCGCCAAAAGACCTGTAGGATATGTATGTGGCCGTCCCGAAAGGGAGCTGCAAAGTGACATTTCGGGCCATAAATGCAGAGGAACTGGCCGGCTCGATGTCTATCTCTGGTCTTGATCCGTCGTCTTAAGGGGTAAAGACTGTATATAACTGTGTGGATTGAGCTGATGCTAGTTACCGTGGAGTGCCTGAAAAGTTGATAAAATGACTGTATCTTCTTCACATACCTACCTTAATTTAGGGCGGCACAGCCAGAAGAGAAGGACTAGAGTACATCCGGCCGAATTCCCTACCCCTGTCCAGTTTTCAGTCCATCAACGAGACTCACCTCCAACAAACATCTGACGTCCCTCTCTGTGCCTCTTTCCCCCTCATCTCCCTCGGTCCTTATATCACTACCTGACTCAACATCAAATCGGCTTCAGATTGCTCTGCACATACAATGGCCGACTTGCCAATCCGGACAGTAGAGCAAGTTGATAAAGGTGACATGGAGAAACGCCTCAGGGCTCGCAAATACGTCCACGCTGACGCCTTGGCGGCTTTCAATGGCGAGCGGCTGCCGTATCCCCTAGGACGAGAACTCACCCGTCTCTGCGTTGTCCGAGGGATCAGGTTCCATGCGGGCTTCTGCTTCGGCCCAGCTGCCGTTCTCCGCGGGTCGCTGCCGCTCTTTACTCGTGCCCTCAATGCGCGAACCATCATGAGTAACCAGGTCCCTGACATTGATCCGGATCGACCAGAAGACATACCCTACTGCATCTGGTATCCCGACCTACCCGCTGAAGACACCCTCAGGGAGCTTGTTCAACGCTATCCTGCCATGGCATATCAGGCCGCAAGGACCTGTGCTGTTGCCGGTTATTTGGAACTCTATAAGGAACTGGCTACTCAAATATTGCCTGAAGTTTCTATAGCTGAGGAAGCGCGAGAAAGCAGAAACCTTGACATCTTCAATCTGATCATGGAGGCTCCTTGTCGATACAAGATCTTTGACGATTACAATCGCACCATCAACACCACGAACCCGAAGCCCGCCTTCCTAAATGGTGATACCGCGATCCGACCGTACCTGCTGGAGACTCAGAAATTTGAGCCTCCAATCGGCCGTATGGATGACGAAGAAGGAGATTCCGAGCCCGATGATGATGAGATAGATGATTGGACCATGGGCCCTATACGCGGCTTTATGCAGACCATGTTCAACATTACGGAGGATATGAACATAGATCTCGACGGGAATGGTGGCTATCCAGGTTATATAACCCCAGTAGTCCCGAATGCAGACGACGAGGCATTAGAGCTTCTCTGCCAACCACTTCCGGTCGACCTGACTACTTGCTACAAAAACCTGCTTATTCTCATGGCAGCGTACAACGGCGATATCGATAGATACTCTCGACTCCGGCGACCCAAGCTCCTTGAGGAGGAGGTTGCATGCATTGTCCGCGGCATCTGTATGGCTAACCCTTGCTTGAACGACTTTTACATGGCTTCTAACACGTTCTGCAGATCATAACACTCTTTTTGCGCAATGGTGGAAAAGCCAGCCTTTACCCAGGGGTGGAGACCACCGTATTCGCATGGCTATATCGGCGCGAGGAATCATGAACAACGATCTCTCTTACATCCTATCGCCGAACGGAGCCTGCCCCCAACTGATATGGTATCCTGCTGTTGCTGCTTCCTCAACAAACGAGGGTCTAGCTCGATTGATTCCTCGCATGAGGCCCCATATTGCTCGTGCTGCCATCTACGCGAACTACCAATACATATTTGATAGTTTGATCGCCGGTAACGACGGTGGTGATCCTGTCGAGCCGAGCTACAAGCTTCTCAACGAGGCCAAGCGAAGCCACAACGCCCATTATCGAGAAACTCTACAGCGTAAGGCGGAGGAACTAGGACTCGACATAACCCACTACAGATGGTGGTGGGGCGCTTTTGTGCAAGACTTGCCGCAATATGTACACTCCTTCAACACGGAGCTGCCCGCGCGGCTCCCTGGAATTGGAAATGCCAGAAGAGAGCACGACTCTATTTATAACGATATGTCCTGCAACGCTAGCAGTGTTGAGACGTATATCTCGATACCTAAGGAGTGGAGGAGGGCGCCGGAGGGGTGCGAGGTGGCAGATGGATATATGGAGGTCGACTACATACACTGGCCTCCGGAATTTGCAAAGAGAGGTTCATAGAAAAGCTAGCGATTGGGGAATTTCTGTGAGCTTGGTATCTTTATATGCTCCCTGCACTCAACCCAGCACTGATAGCTTTTCCAGAGTACAAAATTTGTTGTTTAATTAACTTTTCCTTTATATTACTCTAGGATTTGTATGTTCTACTATACTATATAGAGATACTTGATCAGTGAACGCGCTCCTTTGAAGAAAGTGACAATGAGTGCCCAGCGGCTAGACACGCAAATAGAATATGTAAGTAAACATGATATGAATTTACAAACAGAAGAAGAAATAGAGAGATTCCAGACAAGTTGATGGAGGTTTTGCTCTGTGCGAGTGCGACCGGTGGTTATTAAGTGGCAACGGCCAATTTCAGACGAGGAAAGGCAGGGGGCTAATTTTTTGCGAATTGGGTATTAGTAGTACAGCGACGGATGACTCAGAACCAGCTGGTTTCGATGGCACGAGGAAAATTCGAGTTTGTCGGCCTAGATTAATGACCGGGTGTCGAGGCTGAGAGACTGCCGTCGGTGATAGCGTGAGGGAAGTGACACGCGAAGGAGCGACAGCAGGAGGGCTTTATTGAAGGGAGACTAATAGGGACACCCGGAAGTAAGACATGGCATTTGCTTTCAGCCGGACCGTGGCGCAGCTGACACAGCCTTCGGTTGTGATGAGCAAACCGTCGAAACCACCTCAAAACAGAGCGTTACCTCGTTGGTTCTACCTACATTACTACAATAATTGATGCATATGGCACATCCTCTACTATTTACTGTATTGGCACCGGTAGCCAAGGGATCATTCATGCTTTAAGATGGGCGACAATGGTCGATTCGAACACACCAGGCTTGACAATCCAGGAAGCCAAATACGTTTGCTCATGCTACAGTCGCCGCGGACGACCGAGGATTGCGTCAGTGTTAACCTTTCTCTGAGAGTCTTCGATTTTACAGACGAGTCAGAAACCCCTCCATACACTGCTTTATCGTACACTTGGGGCCCCCCATCGCCACTACACACCGTCACACTGAACGGAAGAGAATTTTCAATCCGCGATAATCTTTGGCAATTTTTGAAAACATTGAATGAATGGCCATTAGATGACAGCTCTCACTTAAGAGAAAGATGGTTCTGGATTGATCAGTTGACGATTGATCAGAACGACAACGAAGAGAAGCGCCATCAAGTCGGCATAATGGACAAAATCTACAACAGGGCCGAAAAGGTCCTTGTATGGTTGGGCTTACCCGGCAAGGACAGCAAGCATGCAGAGATGTACATCAAAGCACGAAACCCTTCTCTAGGTTCGAGAACGACAGAAACCAAACTCAACGCCGAAAAGCTGTTGAAAAGACCGTATTGGACTCGGCTGTGGATTATGCAGGAAGTTTCGCTCGCCAGGTCTCTTCTTTTTATGTGTGGAAACTGGACTTTCAAATGGAATGACTTGACGCGCCTCACGGGTCTAGATACCACGAACGAGTGGGTGGTTTCGTTTTATAGAGCCATCACAGTTGCGATGACAAAACGTCCTCTTCACGAGGTTATTCTCAATTTTCATAGCCCGAGTGGCGATATAGGGAGTGGTTTCCTACAGTGTGAAAAGCGAGTGGACAAGATCTACGGGCTGATGGGAGTTGTCATTCCATGTGAACGACTTGGCGTGGATTATACGGCTCCCTTAGAAAATGTGGTTATGGAGATCGTGAGAGTGGTGGTCAAAAGCGTTGCGAATGATGTTTCCATGATGAATCGTGATAGCGCAGAGGCAGCTCGGTCACTTAAGACAGTGGAAGATGCAATATTGGCAAGTTGCAAAGCGTTAAAGGTTGATTGGCCACAAGGCTTGGATATCCATGAGGAGTGGGAAAGGCATTTGCGTGCAAAGATGACGCTGACAGATCTAGTTAAGCTACGAGTTAGGAACTTCTATAGCTGGTTTCGGTAGACGTGGCCTCACAATTTCTGCATATGGGCTAAATTTTTATTTGTCGCATCACCCTCTGCTTGACGTTTATACAGCACCGCTTGTACCTCGGCACAGATTAGTATTTGCGTGGTGTTGGAGGCCTTGAGAAAAGGCGTGTGGCGAAGTCACAAAGTAGAACCAGACAGAGGAAGTTTAGACCGTGCAGCTTCATAGTTTGACTAGGTATGTCGTTGGGATAATAACTTGATGTGGCGTGTTAATGTTTGAAGTTTTTCCTTGTTTGTTTATCAACACATCCCTCTAAACTTGCCGCCTTGTTGTGTTGTGAGCCCTGGATTATCTTTGGGTTGGGTACCTAGGTAATTCAAACAATTTGAACCCCATTCATGACAGATTTACAAAGGTAACTGAAGACAAGGAAACAAGCACATGGAAAAAACATCTCCGCAGATGATTTTTTTCTGGACTGAAGTTCACTATGCGTAAAGAAGGATTATACCTTGAGGAGTTTTTGATATTGTATCCTGCGGAGGGGGTGCCTTGGTGATGAACCATCCCTATAAAGCCAATCACCCCATTTTCGGGCTCTCCGGACCTTGCTTATATATACAAAATATAGCGGTAACCCGATCGAGCAAGATGCAAGCTGTTATCATGATCCTTTAGAACCGATGCAACTAAATTCACACGTAAGCACATAACCAGGCTACTGAATGAAGATGTGTAATTTGTCGAAGTCTGGTTATAAATCGAGCATCCTCCAGTACGTTCATTGTCTTCTAGACTTTTACTCCTCTTTTCCTCAAGTCGTTACTTCATACCTCCGAGATCACTTCCCACTGCCGCCAACGAAACTTGCCTTTATTTTCAAAAAGAAAAGATGGACGCTTATCAATTTGGTCGGATCCCAACGAAGCCTACAGCACAGATATGCTATAGGTTTGATCGTGCCCCTCAAACACCGGACCCGCATCTACTAGTCTTTGTCAACGGCCTCGGCTTGCCACAGGTGGGGTGGGGTCCAACTATTTCGGGATTGAAGGAATTGCGCAAGGCAGCTGTTTTGCCTCACATTTTAACCTACGACCGCTTCGGCCAAGGCCTTACAACTGATCGTGATCCAGAAGATGTTTCTGCATCTGATGCTTCCCATGGTCATGACTGTCTCAGTGCGGTGAAAGACTTACGCCAGTTAGTTGCAACCATCGCCAAGACGGAGCTTGAACTTTCGGAGACAGACAACATACCATTAATCCTCGTCGCAAACTCCATCGGTTGTGCAATTGCTCGTCTTTACGCCCAAGAGTATCCCGGCACTATCGCAGGCTTGCTACTTCTAGATAGCGTCCTTGCAAATTCCGACTTTATCTCTATTTATCCAGATCCAGATGCAGACGGTTTCGACACCAACAGTCTGCCTGACGGCATAACGAGCGATGCACTCAGATCCTGTCGCGAATCCGTCCGCAAAGTATTTCACCCCAGTGTCGGTAGCCGAGAGGGTTTGAGTAGAAAGAACCTCTCGGTGCTTCTGCCCGCAAGCGACTCTCCTGTTCTCGAAGGACCGGGGCTTCGTGGACCGTGGGTCACAGTTGTCGGACACGACTTTGAAACTTTTGCGGAGGAATCTGAGAAAATGGGCCATCCTAGGCTTCTGACCCAAACATATGTGAACCCCTACTGGCACGCATATAATCAAGGTCTTGTCAAGATCACGGAGGCTGGAAAGTCAAAGGGTCCGCTGCAGGCTCCCAACGCTGGGCATTTTGTGCAGAGGGATAACCCTGACTTTGTCGCAAAGGAGTTGAATGAACTGCTTTCTAAAATCATGTAATGCTCTAGAAAGAAGACCATTTCGAAATAACAAAAATATTCAAGGTTTCTTTTACAAATTATCATCAAATTGGAATGACCCACTTAGATCTTTTCTGTTTGAATTCTGATCTCGACGTTGCTTCAACTCGTATCACATCTGCAGTAAGGGTTCTTATGCTACGTACTAGTGTAGAAGAGGACGAATGCAGCTCAGAAAATGTGATTATAAATCACGACTTAACGAATCAGAGGACGTAGAAAACCAGTGGCCCGAATCCCTACAAATACCAAGAGAAATGCTTAAACCCGTATGATAAGAAGAGAGGGAATCGAAGGTGGAGCGTCCATGAGTGGCCTATGACGCAAGTCCAAGAAGGCTACATGCATGGTGTTAGACTAACAGAGGTGGGTAAGTACTATCTCTCTGCCACGCAGAGCTTTCTGAGTCTCATAAGTATGGCTATTAAAAATTGCCTAATTAAAATTTGGGCATTGTTCTAGATAGAATCTTTGCACATATATGGAATAGCTTTAATGAAGATGCAACAGAGCAGATTCAATATTGCTATACTCTACTCTATCGAGTACTCATTGACAACTACACTAGTAGAAACCAACCCATTTTAGTCGGACTTTTGACCCCATCTGTGTCTGATTGGCTGATACCCCGCAGGCTACGCTGGTGATCAATGGTATAACACACCGCCCATAGCACCCACCTCAATTCCACGTTGCATAAGTAGCACGAAATTTTAATACCAAGTATTTTGTTTGTATGCGTATGAGGACATCATGAGACGATTCGGGTTGTTCGGTGATTCGAAAAGCGGGGTCTGCACAACGATTACTCAGAACACTGGTGGGTAATGTCCGACAAAGACATTGCAACATAAAAGCGGGAGACTGATTCATGACGTCTGCCCCAAAACACCACCGTCCTCAACTTACTGCCAGCAGAAAGACTGGCTAGTTTGCTTTCCTTCACATCAAACACGGAAAAATAAAGCCCGACCATGAGTTCACCGACCCTCAAGGAGAACACATTCTCCCATAGCGGAGACAAGACCACCTTTTACTGGTCTGCTGGCCCTTCTGGGGGACCTCTCGTTATCTTCATCCACGGATGGCCCGCCAACGGGGAGACATGGAAGCCTCAACTTCTCACACTTGCGTCTCTGGGATTCCGCGTCATCGCACCGGACACTCGTGGCTATGGACGTTCTAGCGTGCCTAAGGAGTACAGTGCCTATGCTCTAGAGCACCATGTCTCGGACATGCTCGCATTGCTTGCTCATCTCGGCCGTAACAAGGCCGTCTGGATCGGCCACGACTGGGGCGCTGGTCTCGTCTGGGGCTTCGCCGCGCAGCACCCGGAGAAGTGCGTTGGAGTGTGTTGCATGACCGTGCCTTACTACGTTCTCGAGCACGGTTTGGAGGGCCTCGTCTCCCTCTCTAACCGCGACTTGTATCCTGAGGATAAATACCCCCTCGCTCAATGGGACTATCAGGCTTTCCATCAAGAGCAGCCCGAAGAGAGTGCCAAGCAGCTGGAGGCAAATGTAACCAACACCGTCAAGCTGCTTTACCAACCGGGCAAGCCGGATGCCTATGGCAAGCCTGCACCCTTTGCGTCGATGCGGGAAAAGGGCGGCTGGTTTGGTGGTGCCCCGGCTGCCCCGGACTTCCCCTTTGAGAAGACGTTGTTCAAGAATGACAAACCTGCCTTTGACCGAATGGTGGCTGAGTTTGAACAAAACGGTTTCGAGGGCCCCAACGACTACTACCGCAACCACGAAGCCAACAGAGTATACACCAAGAAGGCCCCGAACGGGGGTCGGCTCAGCTATCCGGTGCTATTTATAGAAGCACGCTGGGACGGCGTATGCGATACTGCGATTTCCAGGCTAAGCGAGCCTATGCGGGAGATGTGCGACGATCTCACCGAGGTGAGCATCGAAGCGGGACACTGGGTCGCAATGGAGAAGCCCGCGGAGACAAACGCTGCGATTGTGAGATGGATTGCCACGAAGCTGCCGGCTTATTTCCCTGGGTACTGGAAGACACCATTTGTGTCCAACAAATTGTGATTTCTTTTTAAAGCCATAGTATATCTCAGTCAGGTCCATATGCCGCTGAGTAATGAGTAGCATGAATGGTTATCTTTGTGATCAATATTTCGCGTCACTTAAGCTTCTGCTTACTTCGCTTTCATTATTGCATTTGACTAAGAACTGTGCTCTGCACACTTCAGCTGATCAGTTCGAAGTCCCAACTTCTGCCGACCAGTCACAAGAACTTTCAAGCCACCATTTGAACTAAGATCTAGCAGTGTTAGGCCTACGTCACTCGCCTTAGCAATGAATGTAGTCTCCTACTCAAAAGCCCCAAGTCCAAGTCTCAGCTCCATAGAGATCGAAGAGGAATGAATCTACCTGTGCCGTAGCAGAAATATCGATACTTGACGAAAAATTGTAATGGCAGGCCAACCTCACCTAAGGATCTCACACTTGTCCAGCAGGTCAACCAAAAAAGAAAGCATCCTGCTAAAAAAATGTGTCAAACCTCCACCAAATTGCGCCTTATTCAAGACCAATCAGCTATAATTATGACGAACTAATGAAACAAGACTGTCTATGGCGTCGTTGTCCGTTGACAATTTCGATCTTGCAGTAAGATGACAACTGACACTCTTCAGCTTCTCCGAACGTAAGACATCTCAGAAGATGGAATATCATGCATTGGTGTACATCAATCATTGTGTCCAGTGACTACTCGGGGCTCGTGCAAGTCAAAGGATGAGCACATAATTAAGGTAGAGCAAGAAAGTGTGGGAGCATTCCTGCGGTCCTCTGAAGATTGAACAACTGCCAAGTCTAAAGAAGCAAAACAACATGTCAAAGACGATGTGTCGTCTCCTGCTCGAGAGACCAGCATTAACGCTTTTCATGCCATTCCCCAGCCACAGACCTGGCAAGTGTTGTCGCTATACTTGATGGCGCTGATGTCTAGAGCACCCACCCCCTTTCCCCACGCTCCCTGCTACAGAGATTGACCAGGAAGCCAATCAGAAGATGCTCGAGTGTCATTCGATAACCAATTCATGCCTCTAGCGTGAACTTAGTCAACCAACAATCCAGAGAGAGGGCTTGCATCATCCTTCATCGCACACACTTTTGAATTTGAGGTTGTCCTTCCACAACATCGCCCTCCTTCAGTGGACGATCATCGACGCTTTGCAAATCATAATCATTGTCAGTAAAGCAGCTTTCCTATTAAGCTTCTTCGAAAAGGAAAAAAAGAAAAACAGTAAAAAAAAAAAAAAAAAAAAGACTCTAGTGTCATTTGAGGCCTGTTCCACATATGTCACATGTTGATGTTATGTACTGGGAAGCAGGGGAATGCAAGGGATGTGATGAGGGTATGTATAAGGGGTCTCGACATCCCCCAAGAATTGCTGTTCCCTGTCAAGAAATAGAGAAATCGATTAGCCTGATTAGGACTAGTAATATCTTAACTCAGCTGAGCGGTCGACATTAGGTATTCCTTCTCGTGGTTCTACAGGCCCAAAGCAGAGTGGATGTCCCTTTGAGTGCTGAAGTTATGTTAGGATGGCACGGTGATCGTTCCTGATAGGGGTCAAGTGCAATGCAATATTTGCGCCATAAACTTGGCAGCCCACTTCTCAATTTCTCGAGAGCATACGGTAGAAGGCCAGAGGTGAATGCAGTTACTCTGTTAAGCCTACCTGACCTCCTCCTCACTCTGTGGCGCGCAGCCTCTGACAGCATAGTGACAACTTATTGTGAGACAAAGGTCAGTGGGGGTGTGTTCCCCCTACCTTACATGGGCTGGATGAGTACAAGATTTCGCTTATCATGTACAATTTGATCAAAGTACGAAACTGACAGATGTGCGCAAATTTGTGACTTCTTCCCTCACTCATTTAATCCTTCCCTTCCCTCGCACTAACCACAACTGAATGCTTCATTTGGGACGCTAAAGTACTGCGAGGAGACCTCTGATTACTCTGATCACAAGAGCGAAGGCGTAAAATAACATGGTCCTTAGAGTTACTAATCACTGGGGATTTCCAACTCTTCAGATCGAACCGAGTCCCTTGGGAGAGCTCGCCTTGCGACCGTTCGAGCAACGTGAAATACCCTCATCAGAAGACCCCTGGAGCGAACGTGGGTGTGCCCGTTGGCTAGACCTATTGGTTACTAGTGGAATGCGATCCGTGCCGCAGATGCTGCCTGCCGCGGGGAGGCTGCGGCTGCGGGATGGCGTACTTAACTTGCGTCTCCCGCTGCGGTATTTTTTTTTTCTTTTCTTTTCTATTTTTTTAAATTTTTTTTTTTCTGAGGTAGCTGAAAGCTGGAGAGGCGGAGGTTAATGCAGCCCCCCGCATTCACTCCTAAAATTTAGCCCAGCAGCGCCAGGAATGTTGGATGTCTGTTACGGGCTACGCTATGGTTGACATGGGCGTGAGCCTATGGTTACGTATATTCTTTTCGTAAATGTAGTTGGGAAACAAGCGCACGGCTTGTTGCGGCGTTTCCTTTTGCGTTAGCTCAATTGCGTGGCACCTCCGTATTGAGTACACATGCTAGGGGCGAGTTTGCAGCAGCCACTGCAACGTTAGCAGAGTCTGACCCTTCACGAAGTTGCGGTTGTAATAATGTCGTGTTGATAATTGAAGTACCGGTCAAGGTAAGAGTGGTTGTAAGGCTTAAATGGGGTAGAGACTTTGGCCGCTGGAAACGGTACAGCCCAGATCCTTACCCAATACCTTCATAATCACTTCGACCTCCTCCTCTACTGTGACCAACACCAGATGCATACTAATTTGTCTACTACTGTACCCAATCGCCATTGACTACCAATCTTGTATGGTCATTGGTGATCTAGGTAATCTGACCTGAGCATCTGTCTTATTTCTCAAGACTTTATTTTCTCTTAAAATGGCTCCTCCACAGCGGCCATGTGATTTGCAGTGTTCACGAGCCTGATGGGTAACTTTGCAGAATCTTGGTAGCTTATTTTGTATCAGCAGGCTTTAGCTCGAAGGTTCGACTGTGTTGTGCGTCTACAAGATCAGAACTTCACGGGCAGGATGTCCTTTGACTTCTCTGATAAGGCTATGGCAGGTCATGGGAAGCCGCTTGAGAGGTTGGCGACCGGGTAAGCGATGGGCCATCCTACGTAATGAGAAAGAGTACTTGACTTCTCCGCGGAGTTTTGGGAGGTCGAATGAATGTACTCATGTAAGTATCAATTGCAATGGTGTCACTTTTACTACATCTGCCATCTGTGGGCGGACGTTATCCTCCGTTGATGCTGAAGATGAACTGGTGTGCCGGCTGTATCCAGTAGCATGTGAAATGTATGATGACCGTCTTGTTATTTTCGAGGCCGCCCCGTTTGTTGTTCCCCAGGAGAGTGCGTTATCGATAGTTATTCGGATTCCATATCGGTTTGATTTCTAACGAGGGTCCTATGATCCATGCCGTATACCAAGATGCTTTTGCGATGAAGAAAGTACTTCATTTAATGTAGTACTTAGCCAACCTGGAAAGAATGAAGAAACTCGCAGACTCAGATGTTAGCAAAACGGTGCCGGATTGTGGGGGATATCAAACACTACTTGAAAAGCCTGCAAGACTGTGACAAGGCAGAAGAGGTGAGCGTTCTTTTCGAGGGGTTCGGGCCTCAACAACCTCTCCGAGATCTGCAGTAGTCTACACTTCTACGCCCCGCAATAAATTCTTTTGAGATCGGAGCTGACCAAATTTAGTACTTGCTTGCTGGGCTCCCGAAGGTTTCTGTGCACAGACATATGTCAGCCTGTTTTCTGACGGGGTACATCATCAGTACATTCTAAGACGACCTTGGAAGAACAGCTAGATATGGCGCTCACACCGTTTGAGTAACTTGCTCCAATCCAGGGTGGCCTTGGCGGAAACAAACAGACTGTTCCTGATTTGGAAACGTAAAACGACTCAAAATCTTTAGAGACAAACGTAATACGCGCGATTCTTGGTCCTGCACGCCATCACCTCGACTGAGATTCCTCGCTGGTGGTTGGTTCATGTACTCAGCGTGGTGGGATCTCGTGGAGCTTGTTGTACGGTCAACACTTCCTTTGATTATGTATCCCTGCAAACACATGCTGCAGATGAGAGTGGCAGGTTCTGTAGCAGCGTTCAAGATCATCCCACGTTCCATACAGAAGAGCCAGTTGTTCCAGCCTCCCGAAATCCGGACAGATGGTAAAAAATATGAGAGCTGCTGAGGTTGAAGGCGAAACACACACCTGGGCTAACAAACAATGTCTCAGAGCCGCCCTAGTATTCCCGCTCGTACGTACACCCGCGGGGCGCAGAGCTTAATTCTCGGCGCAAAACTAACTCACAACTTCGTGGTTCTCGGCTCAGTTGACTCAGGTTGTTACGAGGCTTGCCTGACCTTGCTTAGGTAGTCCAGGCCCACATTACGGTGACAGATTAGATCCCGCAAGGGAAGTGGGATTCGGAATGTCGAGTTTCAGGCTGGTGTCTTACAGAATCATAGTGACCTTCAAACTAGGGTGCCTCTGGTGCATACATGTGTTGTTTTCTCAGAGGCACCTGTGAAATTCTAGACAGAGTCAGTGGCTGACGTGATCCACCTAAAGTGCCCGACATCCCTGTCCTGCCCTTTCTCTCCCTGTTTATGTCTTGCCCTCAACGGTCAGGATTGCGGTTATGCAACGGGCTCACTGGTCCGGGGTGTGTGTGACGTGGTTGGGAGCCAAACTGACTTTTATGCATATACCGGGGAAACTAATCAGTTGAGGTTCCTCCTCAGTTGATCTGTACTGAAGTAGCCCGGTGTTGGTGCAATTGTGACGTTGGCCAAACTGCTTGTATATCTGGCTTCTATTGAAGTTTGCCTGGCATGGGCTCTTAGCATGATGTGTGTTATTGCTCCTCTGCGTCTGGGTGCCGAAAAGCATCTCTGTTTGAGACGGTTTTGATCCAACCCAGTGTCACTGGACCTTGATTCTACCACGCAGTTTGGATTTTCAGTTTTCCTGACTATTTTTATTGCGCACTGCATTGGTATATCAGCTGTTCAATGACTTCCCATATATCACGACACAGCCTGATATACCTTCTTAAGGGATGGATGACAACAGGTACAAGTTGACCCATTTTTAAGGACATATTTCTCCAAATGCCAACCACACAATTCTTATCATTCGACAGAAATCATACTTTCGAGATGTGGTTGGCTGGTGTCCCGCATGCCTTGTACCTGTTGCCAATCAGCCCTCGATGAGATAGACGGAGATCGCCGATATCTCCAGCACACCACGAACATCCAAAGAATAAATTTACTTTCTATACATAAACTACCAGAAAAGGTAGACTTGACAGCCCTAGCTGCCTTGAACCCGCCCTGAGCAAACATGAGGTCCAGTGGCACTTGATGTGGGATACTGTAACTGCTGTCTTGGAAGCCTCGCGATAAAGACGCTAGCCCCAGGTTAGACGACCCTGCATATGTGGCATACTTTGGTCTTCAGGGGCCAATGAAAATAAGCACGAGGCAACTAGGCCACAAAGACCGACCTGGTTGATCTAATCGCCGATCGTCGTCTGCATGGAGATGAGAAGTGAAGACTCGGTGAGTGGGTCGATTGAGTAATGATGGCTTACCCTCATACCAACTCTGAGAAAACACGCAAATTGGTTAACTGGATTGGGACTAGAAAAGCCTTATTCGACTAAGTGGCTGATATCAGGTAGCTCTTCTAACGGGTGAAAGAGAATCAACTCCGAGGGAGCATGGGGTATGGTATCTCTATCAAGTGCTGAATGGCTATAAGTGTGTGTAATTACATGTGGTCGTTGGAATGGCACGCAGATCGTTGCCACTAAGGGTTAAACAAAGCAGGAAGCTTCTGCCATCAGCCATTAATCTGACGCCCCAATTATGTATTTCCTTAGGGCGTATGACATTAATACCCCTTAAGCGCATACCTACTATGATGGCACGTCACCGCAGCCCTAAATCAGCCACACGGTAGCCACCTTCAGTGTAGGAGTGGCTTTAACTACTCGGCACGGCCCGTCTCCCAGTGACCGTTCTATATCTCTTGCCCCCTACTCACCATACTGGGCCGGCTCACTATTAGTAATTACCTGACAAAGCTATTTACACCCCTGCCATAATCATTGATTTCGACAGTTGTTACGACACGTTTTGAATATAGCGAGGATGGCTGGGCTCTTGTATGGATTTAGTGGCCGTTCCACATTCTGCGCCCCCACGAATGGACTACGAGCTACTGTCCACCTCGATAATGGCATGTAAAGCAAGGGAACAGAACGTCTGATCCGTTTATTACAAGTCAGACGCTACTATTTCATAACGGCTAGCTTAAGAGGGCCAGACCGGCTTGGCTAATCGGCCAAGAAAACGATATCTGATGATATCTGGTAACATCAGCATTGACTCCGGTGCGGCTGGGGTCAGATGGCCGTCGTCATCGCAGATCATTACCTCCACCGCCAGCAATGTGATTCATTTTTTCTCATAGCTCTTGAAGGTTCTGACTCCACGCCTCCTTGAGTCAAGCTGTGTAAGCAGTAACTTGAAGCGAACAGCAACAAACGGCGGGAGTAGGGAGCTTTGCTGAGTCACAGGAGTCCGTTTCCGCGGCATTGTCGCTGAGATACGCATGACTTGGTGTCTTGCTGAGAATAGAAACACCGCTCAAGGGATCCAGAGGGTCAAACCTGAATTGGAACTAATTGGGATCAGTCGGCAGCGTTGTATAGGGTCAAGTGACACATTCGGTAGTCATTCCTGGTAAGTAGTGGGCACCAAGTCTTTTGTTTTGTTTTTCTTTTTTGCGTGGTAACATCCCACGGCACGATGCCAACGTTTAACTGCCGTTCTGTTTCTTTCTATTCCGTCGACCCTTTGACCGATTCAGGCTGAAGAACCATCACACACATTATTCATTGCATGAATACATAGACTTGACAGTGACGGATCTCCAGAGAAGGATCTAAGCCTACTGATGCGAATAGACACAAAACGCGCGCACGTAAAACAATATCAAAACAACAACAAAAAATGACTTTATTCAGCAACGTGTTACCGTCTGGAGGGTTGAAGGCCGCTGTCATGTCTAAAATTGTAGGCAAGCATCGCGACCCCCTTTACGAACAAGCAACCCGACAGTTTGGTTTGGGACAGGACAAGATCGACGACATCCTGCCATGCACGCCATTCCAGCGCGACGTGATCGAGTGGGCTGCGAACGATCAGCGCCGTGCCATCGGCCATGTCCACTATCAGATATCGAAAGATGTTGACATTGAACGCTTGGCCGCGGCCTGGAAAGAGGTTGTGCGTCAAACCCCGGCCCTGCGATCCCTTACATTCACATCGGACTCCAACGATCATTTCCAACTTGTGCTGTCGGACAGCTTCACTTGGATACACTCGACACCAAAAGACATGAGACAGGTAGTCAAAGGCGAGGCAGCCGCCGCTGTCACTGGAACCCAATGCAATCGATATGCCGTCGTCGAGAGCCCGGAGTCGGGGCAACGAGTACTTGTCTGGACCTTCAACCATGCCTTGGTGGATGATGCTCTGGAGAAGTCTATCCTTCGAGATGTCCACGCAGTCTACACTGGTGGGGAGATTCAACGCTCCATGAAGAATGGAGTACATCGGAATCGTTCCAACCAGGATCCAGATGGTGCGGCCGAGTTCTGGCAGCAACACTTCCATGACCTGGACGCCTCTATATTTCCTCCTTTGCCTTCAGCCGTGGCTGTACCCCATCCCGTTGCGGAGGCAGAGCATCGCGTTTCCTACCCGGGCTCAGCCAGGCCGGGTTGGGACCCAACGGTCATTTGTCGAGCAGCGCTCGCGGTGCTCCTTGCCCGATATACTAATGCCTCGGAAGCTCTTTTCGGCGTCCTGACGGAGGACCCCCTTACGTCAAATGGGCAGGTTTGTACGGTTGATGGTCCAACACGAACCATCATGCCCACCCGTGTGCTTTGCCCTCCTCATCAATCCCAGTCGGATCTTATGCGAGCCATCGCTGCGCATGATGCCGCTGCGCGTGAGTTCGGACAGACTGGTCTTTACGATGTCCGCCAGACCGGGGACTTCGGGTCTGCCGCATCCGGATTCCAAACCGTACTGGCAGTGACCACTGGCATTGGACCACAGGCACCGGTATCTGATATGCTTCATCGGAAGATTGTGGACTTTGACAGATTCGTGCCTTGCAATGACCGCGCGCTTCTACTCAACTGTCAGATGGCCGGCGACTCTGCAACACTGCTTGCACGATACGACACGAACGTGATTGACTCACGCCAGATGGCTCGTTTCCTGAGACAACTCGGGTGCTTGATCAAGCAGTTCCAGGACCCTGCGGTCGATCTGTCTCTGCGAGAGCTAGACGGCGTTTCCCCGGAGGATCGAGCAGAGTTAGAAAGCTGGAATCCAGAACGGCTACAGACGATCGAGGCCTGCATCCACGACGTGGTGGCCAAGAGGGCTGCCAATACACCAAAAGAGACCGCCGTGTCTGCTTGGGACGGGGATTGGTCATACGCTGAGCTGGACGCCGTGTCGTCGCGCCTTGCGCGGCACATCCAGTCCCTCGGGCTGGAATTCGGACATGCGGTGCCGCTTTGCTTCGAAAAGTCCAAGTGGATGGTCGCCGCACTCTTCGCCGTGCTCAAAGCCGGCCGAGCTTTCACCCTCATCGATCCGACAAACCCGCCAGCCAGGATTACCCAGATCTGTCGGCAAACTCGCGCCACGGTTGCCCTGGTTTCCAAGTCCCACCGCGATACGATGCGTTCTCTCATCCCGCATTGCATTGTGATTGATGAGGAGTTGTCCCAGTCTCTGCCGAGCGATGATAAACGATACAACCCGATCGCGAAGCCGCAGGATGTGGCCTATATCATCTTCACTTCGGGCAGCACGGGCGAGCCAAAAGGAGCTATGGTTGAGCACCGAGGATTTGTTTCGTGCTCCACCAAGTTTGCGCCCGCGGCCGGCATCAGCAATCATACGCGCTCTCTTCAGTTCGCTTCGTACGGGTTCGGCGCATGCCTGGCGGAAACCTTGTCAACCTTGATGCAGGGTGGTTGCGTCTGTATCCCTTCGGAAGATGATCGACTGAATAACATTCCAGGTTTCATCAAAAAGAGCGGAGTCAACTGGGCATTGCTCACACCTTCATTCATCGGGGCTGTTCCATCGGACAGCATCAGTGGACTGAAGACACTTGTATCGGGCGGAGAACCAATGACGGCTGAGATAAGAGATTCACTGGCTTCAAAGCTAAATCTCCTCAATGGTTACGGCCAGAGTGAGAGCTCAACCATCTGCAGCATTGCAGAAGTCAAACCAGACACTGCAGACTTGAACATCATCGGCCGCGCCGCAGGAGCCCGCCATTGGATCACCAACCCTAACGACCCCGACCAGCTTGTGCCGATTGGTTGCGTTGGCGAGCTGATGATTGAAAGTCCAGGAATAGCGCGAGGATATGTAGTTCCCCCGCCACAACACGAGTCGCCTTTTCTTGCCGACGCCCCTGCCTGGTACCCTACGAAGCAGCGGGCTGCCTCTGTCAAGTTTTACAGGACTGGAGATCTTGTCTTTTACAGATCTGATGGCACTATCGCCTACCTCGGGCGTAAGGACACCCAAGTCAAGATCCGAGGGCAGCGCGTAGAGCTAGGTGATGTGGAGACTCATTTGCGATCAGAGTTGCCCAGCCACATCACGCCCGTGGTCGAAGCGGTCAAACGATCAGAGTCGTCCAACAGGACGACCCTGGTTGCATTCCTGGCAGGGCCAGCTCAGGACGGAGAAGATGCTTTCCGTGATATCTCAGGGTTTGATGCCTGCATCATGGAACATAGCGCGGCCAGTCGTCTCAAAAAGCGAATGCAGCAGCTTGTTCCCAGCCACTCCGTTCCCTCGTTTTATCTTCGCATGAAGCAGCTTCCGGCCACTGCGACTGGGAAAACGGATCGGAGGAGACTCCGGGACATTGGTCTCAGGCTAATAGACAACATTGTTCAGGAATCGGCTTCCCAGCCCAATGGGGAGCTTGGTTCATCGGCCAGTTTAAAGACTACGCTGCGACAGCTGTGGTATCGAAGCTTGAATCTTGATCCCAACTCGGCAAGTCAAAAAGCCAATTTTTACGAGCTAGGCGGAGACTCCATTGCAGCGATCAAACTGGTGAATATGGCGCGGACATGTCGCATAAATTTGAGCGTTATGGAAGTCTTTGATAAACCTAATCTCACGGACCTTGAAGCCGCGGTCCGGCGGGGTTCGGCCCCACAAAATCCGATCACGCCGACAGCCTACCGTGGGCCGGTTGAGCAGTCGTTTGCGCAGGGCCGCCTCTGGTTCCTCGAGCGTCTTTATCCGGGACTCACGTGGTATCTCACGTCGTTTGCTACCCGCCTTCGGGGGCCTTTAAACATCGAAGCGTTGAGTGTAGCGCTGCTGGCTCTAGAGGATCGCCACGAGGGGCTGCGCACCACTTTTCAACAACATGAGGGTGTGAACGTGCAAGTAGTACAGCCTTTTATGCCGAAGAAGCTACGGATTATTAAGATCCTTGGAGGCTCTGAAGAAGGGCTCATGAAAGCCTTGCAGAAGGAGACTTCTACACCTTTCGACTTGGAAACTGAGCCTGGCTGGCGTCCGGCGCTCTTCCACCTAGGCGAGAATGACCATGTGTTGTCTATCGTGATACACCACATTATATCTGATGGCTGGTCTGTCGACATTCTCCAGCGTGAGCTGGCGGCCTTCTATGATGCAGCACTTTGCGGCGAGAAACCTCTGTCAAGGGTCAACCCCCTGCCCGTTCAGTACCGCGACTTCGCGTTATGGCAGAAGGAGGATGCACAGATGGCCGAGCAAGACCGACAGCTAGCTTATTGGAAGGGCCAGCTTGACGGAAGCCAACCTGCCACCCTCCTATGTGATAAGATTCGCCCAGCTGTTCCTTCGGGTACGGCAGACATGCATGAGTTTACTATCGAGGGCACGCTATACCAAAATCTCCAGAAATTCTGTAGGGGGCACCAAACCACGCCATTCTCCATACTTTTTGCCGCTTTAAGAGCAACTCATTATCGTCTCACCGGGGTTGATGATGCAACAATTGGCACGCCGATGGCTAATAGGAACCGAGAGGAACTAGAAGGTCTCATTGGCTTCTTCGTCAACTTACAATGCATCCGCACCACGGTAGCAGACGACGAGACTTTCGAGACGTTGGTGAAGCAGACTGTTGCGGCGGCAAATGCAGCGACTGCCAACCAGGATGTCCCCTTTGATCGGCTGGTCGCCGAGCTACGGCCTGGAGCACGCGATACCTCACGCCATCCGCTGGTTCAGATGACCCTGTCCGTCCACTACCAGAAGGATTTAGGTGACCTGCCGCTAAAGGATCTAAGTGTAGAGCCTCTGAAGGTTACAAAGACCTCGCGGTTCGACCTTGAGCTACATTTCTTCCAGCAAAAGAACAGCTTTCGTGGTGTTATTATGTTCTCAAACGAGCTATATGACCCTGCTTCTATTAGCTCTATGCAATCCACCTTCCATGAGGTGCTCCGTCGCGGCCTTGCGGAGCCGTCCGCCCCAATCGCCTCTATGCCTTTGACTGACGGCGTCTCCGCGCTCACGAGTAAAGGATATGAAAAAGTTGCGCGGACTAAGTACCCTCGGGATGCGAGCGTGCCAGATCTCTTCCGCGAGCAGGTGGCCCTCTGCGGTAACGCCATCGCCGTCAAGGAGAGTAGCTCAGAGCTGACGTTGACGTATGCTGAGCTGGACAGGCAGTCGGACCAGTTGGCCTTGTGGCTGGTGAAGCGAGGCTTTGCCCCCGAGACTATGATCGGCGTGCTAGCCCCGCGCTCGTGTGAAGCTATCGTGGCTCTGCTCGGAATTCTCAAGGCAGGTCTAGCCTATTTGCCACTAGACGTGAACATACCTCTGGGTCGGCTGCAAAGCATTCTTTCCTCTATTGAAGGCAAGAAGCTGCTCTTACTTGGAGCTAGTATTCCAGTGCCAGCTACGGAATTAGATGACGTTGAATTCCTGACTATTTCAGAGGCACAGGATAGCCGAATAGTAACGCAGAAAGACCTAGTAAAACGGCTTCCAACACCCACGGGGACTAGTCTGGCCTACGTTATGTTTACCTCCGGCTCTACCGGTCGTCCTAAGGGTGTTATGATAGAGCATAGGGGCATTGTTAGACTGGTGAAGAACACCAACATCCAGTCACAAGCCGAATCTGCCGTGCCCGTAGGCCATATAGCCAACCTTGCCTTTGACGCCGCTACCTGGGAAATTTATACAGCGCTTCTCAACGGCGGTTCTCTGGTCTGTATCGATCACACAACAGTTTTAGATATGGCCATGCTGGGAAGGGTCTTTGAGCGAGAGAAGGTTCGGGCTGTCATGTTTACACCAGCCCTGCTTAAACAAGTCCTAGCTGAGTCCCCTTCTGCCATCAGAGGACTCGAGCTTCTATTCGCCTCGGGAGATCGCCTGGACGTCCAAGATGCCCTGAAGGCGCAATCACTAGCCAAGGGCGGCATCATCAACGCGCTCGGCCATACAGAAAATACAGTATACAGCACAGCCTTCCGTATGAGGCCGGAAGAGCTCTGCGTCAACGGCGTGCCCGTTGGACGCCCTATCAGTAACTCCGGCGCCCTGGTGCTGGATCCTCAGCAGCGCCTTGTGCCTCCAGGCGTCATGGGCGAGCTTGTCCTGACGGGCGATGGTGTAGCCCGTGGGTACACCGACCCGGCGCTGAACAAGGGTCGATTCGTCGAGGTCATCATTGGCGGCGAGACCATGCGAGCCTATCGCACAGGTGATCGTGCAAGGCATCGGCCTGGAGATGCCCAGTTGGAGTACTTTGGCCGTATTGACCAGCAAGTCAAGATTCGTGGCTTCCGCGTCGAGCCAGCTGAGGTCGAGCAGGTCCTTCTCAGACACCAAGCCGTTCGTGATGCTGCTATCGTCATCCGGAAGCTGGAAGATCGCGGAGTGGAAATGGTCGGGTTCATTGCGATGCGGGATGAGCAGCTCACCCAGGACGCCCGAAATGATATAAGAAACCAAGTCGAAGGGTCAGGGTATGTTTTCAAAATGGAAGCGCAGATCCGCGAGTACCTCCAGGTTTTGCTCCCGCCGTACATGATTCCCACACAATTGATGATACTCGACCGGCTGCCGATTAACGCCAACGGTAAGGTTGACCGTAAAGAGCTCGCACAGCTCGCGCAGACCGTACCAAAGGGTAGAAGAGCGGTAGCCGCGCGAGTTGCACCGCGTAATGAAGTAGAAAATATCCTCTGCTTAGAATTCGCCGACATACTCGGTGTCGACGTCGGCATCACCGACAACTTCTTTAACCTCGGCGGACACTCCCTCATGGCCACAAAGCTAGCTGCGCGTTTAACCCGACGATTAGAGTCCCGGGTATCTGTCAAGGATATTTTCGACCGCCCGGTTCTCGCCGACCTTGCCGCAACTATCAGACTAGGCTCTGATAAATATAGCCGCATCCCGTCCCAGCCCTATAACGGCCCGGTCGAACAGTCTTTCGCCCAGGGTCGCCTGGCGTTCCTGCATCAACTCGGACTGGGTGACTCCTCCGGTTATCATATTGCGATGGCAGTACATATGAGCGGTCCGCTACAGACTGATGCGCTCTCTGTTGCTCTAGACGCGCTTGTGCAGCGCCACGAGACCTTGCGAACCACTTTCGAGGAGCACGAGGGTGTAGGCGTCCAAGTTGTGCACTCGCCAGGCCACAGCACGGGTCTTCGTGTGGTTGACGTCTCTGATGGGTGTTACGAAGAGATTCTGAAGCAGGAGCAGGCAACGCCGTTCGATCTGACATCAGAACCTGGCTGGCGCGTCGCCCTGCTCCGCCTAGGGGAAGATAACCATATTATTTCTATCATCATGCACCACATCATATCCGACGGCTGGTCGTTCGAGGTCTTGCAAAGAGAACTGTCTACTTTCTATGCCGCCGCTCTTCGCGGCCAAGATCCCTTGACGCAGGTATCGCCGCTCCCTATCCAGTACCGCGACTTCGCTACGTGGGAGAAGCAGGATGAGCAGGCGGCTGAACACGAACGTCAACTGGAATACTGGAAGACGGAACTGGCTGGCAGCCAGCCAGCTACTCTCTTGTGTGATAAAACCCGGCCTGCCAGGGTCTCTGGCAGTGGCGGGCTTGTCGAATTCTCCATCGAGGGGCCTGTTTATGAAAACCTCCAGGCCTTCTGCCGTGCCAAGCAGGCTACCTCACATGTCGTACTGCTTACTGCTTTTCGTACAGCACACTACCGTTTGACTAGCGATGACGATGCTACGGTTGGTACGATAATTGCTAACCGTAACCGAACAGATCTTGAAGACTTAATCGGCTTCTTCGTCAATACCCAGTGTATGAGGATTGTAGTTGAAAAAGATCAGACCTTCGAGGGGCTGGTTCGTCAGGTAAAGTCGACATCTACAACGGCGTCTGTGAATCAAGATGTACCGTTTGAGCGTATCGTTTCAGCCCTCTTGCCTGGTTCGAGAGATATATCTCGTAACCCGCTGGTTCAACTCATGTTCGTAGTCCACACCGAGCAGGACATTGGAAAGATACAACTCGAAGGCCTTACAAGCAAGATCTTGCCGTTTACACCCACCACCCGATTTGATCTCGAGTTTCACCTATTCCAAGATGAGGGGAGACTTAGAGGCGCTGTCTACTATTCTACAGACCTCTTCGAGTCCAAGACCGTTCAGGTTGTCGTCGATGTGTTTCAGGAGGTGCTGCGACGGGGGCTCGACCAGCCGCAGGCGCCTGTTGCAGGCCTGCCCCTTACCGATGGCCTGCCAGCTCTACGGAGCATGGGACTCCTCGAGATCGACAAGTCAGATTATCCCCATGACTCTAGCGTGGTAGACGTTTTCCTCGAGCAGGTAGCCTCTCGTCCCGACGCTATTGCTGTTAAGGACGCCTCATCGCAGCTGACTTATGCACAACTTAACAACCAGTCAGATAGGCTTGCCGCCTGGTTACGGCAACGCAAGCTTGCTGCCGAAACGTTAGTCGGGGTGCTCTCCCCACGATCATGCGAGACTATTATCGCCATTTTCGCGATTCTCAAGGCGAACCTGGCCTATTTGCCGTTGGATATCAATGTGCCTACCTCTCGCCTTGAGGATATCTTGTCGGAGGTTCCTGACGAAAGGCTGGTTCTAGTCGGCGCTACTGTCCCTCTGCCGGACCTTGAGCTATCCGGTGTCGAGCTGGTACGGATAGTCGAGGCATTAAATCATAGCTGTCCGAGGGACGACGGATTAGATTTACTCACAGGCCCGCAGGCAATGAGTCTCGCATATGTCATGTTTACGTCTGGCTCTACTGGCCGCCCCAAGGGTGTCATGATCGAGCACCGCGGAATTACTCGACTTGTGAAGAACACACACCAATATTTACAAGTGGAGCATGGATTCAGCGTAGCCCATGTTTCCAACCTGGCTTTTGATGCCGCAACATGGGAGATATACTCGCCGCTTCTCAACGGTGGAACAGTCGTCTGCCTCGACCAAATATCAGTTCTGAGCCCTTCTCTTCTCAGCGAGGCAATTAAAACCAACAATATTACTACAGCTCTCTTCACGACTGCTTTGCTACGCCAGTATCTCGAAGAAACACCTTTTGTTGTTAGCGGCTTAGACGTCCTACTTACCGGAGGCGAGAAGATGCGACCGCAAGACGCGTTGAAGGCCCGTAGCCTCGTGAGGCGAGCGCTCTGTCACATGTACGGTCCTACAGAGAATACGACCTACAGCACTATATACGTAATGGGACCAGAAGAGCGTTGCGTCAACGGACTGCCTATTGGGCGGGCTGTTAGAAATTCAGGAGCCTACATCATGGACTCGCAGCAGCAGCTCCTTCCTTTGGGTGTAATAGGCGAGCTTATCCTCACGGGCGATGGTCTAGCCCGCGGTTATATGAATCCGTCGCTCAATTTGGATCGTTTTGTGCAAGTCAATATCGACGGTCATTCTGTCCGAGCATACAGGACAGGTGATCGTGCGCGATACCGGCCTGCCGATGGAGAGATCGAATTCATCGGTCGTACGGACAACCAGGTTAAAATCAGAGGCTACCGTATCGAGACGACGGAAGTAGAACAGGCCTTGGCTGCTCTCGCGGGGGTCCGCAACTCTGCCGTTGTGATCCGGAAGTTTGAAGACCAGCAGCCTGACATGGTGGGCTTTGTCACAGTGCAGGCGGATGGTGAGTTAAAGCCGGCAGAGAACGGACACGAAGATCCTACTGCTGCCTCCACCACCGCCAACGTTACAGAGAGGAATATTAGACAGCGGCTTCAGACAGTCCTCCCCTCATACATGGTGCCGGCCCAGATCGTTGTGGTAGACCATTTGCCCCTCAGCACGAACGGCAAGGTCGATTATCGCGAACTTGTAAGGAGAGCTCTGACGACTCCAAGAACTAATACGGTTGCACATCGTATTGCGCCACGTAACGAGGTGGAAGCAGCACTTTGCGACGAATACGAAAAGGTCCTCGGTATCGAGGTTGGCATTACAGACAACTTCTTCGATCTTGGTGGACATTCTTTGATGGCGACAAAACTTGCGGCGCATATCAGCCGCCGGCTTGACGCCCGTGTGTCTGTAAAAGACATCTTTGACCAGCCAGTCCTTGTAGACCTTGCTGCTATTATTCGGCCAGGCTCGGCTCTACATAGTACTATCAATCCAGTGCCGTACTATGGGCCGGTCGAGCAATCGTTTGCCCAGGGCCGTCTTTGGTTTTTGGACAAGCTCAACCCCGACGCATTGTGGTACCTCATGCCCCTCGCAGTACGCTTACGGGGACCCCTTCGCGTTGATGCTCTTACTACAGCAATAAACACACTACAAGAGCGCCATGAGACTATGCGGACGACTTTCGTAGAGAAAGACGGCGTCGGTGTGCAGGTCGTTCACCCTTACGAAAGAAAGGACTTGAAAATGGTCGATCTCTCTCATTTGCGAAACAGCAGCAGCTACATCCAGCCGCTCCAAAAGGAACAGGCAACCTCTTTTAATCTAGCTTCTGAGCTAGGCTGGAGAGTGACTTTATATAAGCTGGGAGAGGACGATTACGTTCTTTCTATCGTAATGCACCATATCATTTCTGACGGCTGGTCTGTCGACATTTTGCGCAAAGAGCTTTGTGCGTTCTATGCCGCGGCGGTTAGGGGTGAAGACCCCTTATCGCAGGTGAGGCCGCTCCCTATTCAGTATCGTGACTTTGCCGTATGGCAGAGGAGCTCTGCTCAAGCGACCGAGCAACAGAAGCAGCTTGAGTATTGGACTGAGCAGCTGGCGGATAGTACGCCTGCTGAGTTCCTATGTGATAAGCCGCGGCCGGCTAGACTCTCAGGCGACGCCGGCAACATCCAGTTTACCATCAAGGGTTCTGTTTACGAGACTCTACAAACTTATTGCAGGGCCAACCATTTTACCTCCTTTTCTGTGCTGCTTGCGGCGTTCCGCGCTACGCACTACAGACTGACGGGGGTAGAGGATGCAACCATCGGAACCCCGATGGCTAACCGGAACAGGCCCGAGGTTGAGGATTTGGTCGGCTTCTTTGTCAATGCCCAGTGTATGCGTACTGTTGTTCGAGACGGCGAGACGTTCGACAGCCTTGCCCAGCAGGTTCGTACTACTACGGCCGCTGCCTTTGAGAACCAGGACGTGCCATTTGAGAGCGTGGTGACGGCCCTCCAGCCTAGCTTTAGAGATACGTCCCGCAATCCCTTGGTGCAGCTGATGTTCGCTCTACACTCGCAACACGATCTTGGAAGGCTTCCTTTCGAAGGCCTTGTTAGTGAGCGTATCCAAACGCCTGCAACAACCCGGTTCGATGTCGAGTTCCACTTGTTCCAGGAAGAAGGCCAGCTGAGCGGTAACGTCATGTTTGCCTCCGACCTGTTTGAGGCCGTTACGATTCGTGGCGTTGTTGACATCTTCCAAGAGGTGCTACGCCGCGGCCTAGCACAGCCCGAAACGTCCATCGCATCCCTACCACTAACGGAGAGCCTATCTGGACTGCATAACTTTAGTCTTGTGGAAGTAGAGAAAACCGCCTACCCACGAGAATCAAGTGTTGTAGATGTTTTTGTCGACCAGCTAGCTGCAAACCCCGATGCCGTGGCTGTCAAGGACTCGTCCTCTCAACTGTCCTACTCGCAGCTGGATGAGCAATCCGACGTCCTTGCGACCTGGCTCCGGCAACGGCGCTTGCCGGCTGAGACGCCTATTGCTGTCTTTGCTCCTCGGTCGTGCGAGACTATCGTGGCCTTCCTCGGCATCCTCAAAGCTAACTTGGCGTACCTCCCTCTTGACGTCAATGTCCCAGCAGCACGCCTTACCTCTATACTCTCGTCAATAGAGGGTAAGGTTCTCGTTCTACTTGGCTCTACGGTCACCAAACCTACCCTTGAACTACCAAATGTTTCCATGGTGCCGATCCACGATACCCTGCGTAACATCCCCAATGGTAATTCCTCCCGGGATTTCTCGAAGCCAAGTGCTACCAGTCTTGCCAATATTATCTTTACATCTGGCTCGACTGGCAAGCCAAAGGGCGTTATGATCGAGCACCGTGGTATCGTCAGGCTGGTGAAGCAGAGCAACGTGGTCTCCAAGCTACCGCTAGATGCACGCATGGCGCACCTATCAAACATCGCCTTTGACGCATCAACGTGGGAAATTTGGACAGCTCTACTGAACGGCGGCACCTTAATTTGTATCGACTACTTCACTACATTGGACCCTGTAGCCCTCAACGACAAGTTCCTCCAGGAGCGGGTTCAGGTGACTTTACTACCACCTGCCTTGTTGAAGCAGTGCCTTGAGACTACGCCTACCACTCTTAGCTCTTTAGATCTTCTATTCACTGGAGGTGATCGATTTGATAGTCACGATGCCGCTGCAGCACGGGCTTTGGTCCCAGGCGGCGTCTATAACGCGTACGGTCCGACGGAAAATACAGTTATTAGTACGATGTACGAATTGTCCGAGCAGGACTCGTTTGTGAATGGTGTCCCAATCGGCAAAGCCATCAGCAACTCGGGCGCTTATATTCTAGATCCCAAACAGCAGCTTGTTCCTATGGGTGTTATGGGCGAACTTGTTGTCACAGGCGATGGTCTTGCCCGAGGCTACACCAATGCCGCACTCAACAAGGAACGGTTCGCTCAGGTGGCTATCCACGGCCAGGTTGTCAGGGCATATCGAACTGGCGACCGTGTGCGGTATCGTCCCACGGATGGTCAGATTGAGTTTTTTGGACGCATGGACCAACAGGTCAAGATCCGAGGCCACCGCGTGGAACCAGCTGAAGTAGAACAGGCACTGCTCAATTATGCCGATATTTTCGACGCCGCTGTGGTCCTTCGCAATCGGGAAGAAGGGCAAGAGCCTGAGATGATTGGTTTCGTAGCGACTCGAGGTGATCAATCCTTAGAGCAAAACGAGGCTGACAATCTGGTGGAGGGATGGGGCAATCACTTCGATGTGATTACTTACGCGGATGTTGAGAACAAGATCGACCAAACTGCAGTTGGTAACGATTTTTTGAACTGGACATCCATGTACGACGGCACCGAGATTGATAAGGGGGAAATGCAGGAATGGCTTGATGATACCATAGCGGCCCTCCATGACGGACAACCGGCCGACCGGGTGTTCGAAATTGGTACGGGTACCGGTATGATCCTCTTCAACTTGAAAGGCCTCGAAGGATATGTCGGTCTCGACCCGTCGGCCTCGGCGACCGCTTTCGTCAACAGCAAAATCCAGTCTCTCCCGTCTCTTGCCGGCAAAGCCCAAGTCCATGTCGGAACGGCGATGGATGTGAATACATACGGAGTTGATGCGAAGGCTAGCCTTGTCGTGACCAACTCTGTTGCTCAGTATTTCCCCTCGGGCGAATATCTCTTCGAGGTGATTGAGCAACTGACCTGTCTCCCGGGCGCAAAGCGCCTGTTTTTTGGTGACATGCGAAGCTACGCAATTAACAAGGACTTCCTTGCAGCAAGGGCGTTGTATAACCTGGGACCATCCGCTAACAGATATGAGATCCAGCGTAGGATGGCTGAGCTGGAAGAGAACGAAGAAGAGTTACTTGTCGATCCGGCCTTCTTCACTGGACTCAAGGCCCGGCTACCGAACAGCATCTGGCATGTAGAGATTTTGCCAAAGCGGATGAATGCCATAAACGAGCTCAGCGCATACAGATACGCGGCCGTCATACACCTGCGAGGCTCACAAGAAGACCACGCTCAGCACACTGTGCATTCGATCGAACCAGACGCGTGGATCGATTTCAAGAATACCCATCTAGACGCTACCGGCCTACTCAGCTTGCTACGGAGCTCAGGAGATGCCTTGACCGTTTCCGTCGCTAACATTCCCTATAAAATGACCATTACAGAGCGAATGCTTGTCGAATCGCTAGGAGATGATGAAGAGACGCAACGCTCTGTCGACGGTACAGCTTGGATCTCGGGTATCCGCGCCGCGGTGGAGCGGACGCCGTCTCTTTCTGCGGCGGATCTTGCCAAGCTCGGCGAACAAGCCGGCTTCCGTGTTGAGCTAAGTTGTGCCCGACAGCGGTCCCAAAACGGAGCGCTAGACGCCGTCTTCCACCGCCACCACAACCACACTCAAGTCAGCAACAAACAAAGTCGTATCTTGTTCGACTTCCCTACAGAGAATAATGCCCAATTATCCAACCTGCTCACTAACCGGCCTGTGCAGCGGCACCAGAGCCGCCGCCTCGAGACGCAAATCCGGGAACAGCTCCAGACAGTTCTTCCACCTTACATGATCCCGGCTCAAATTGTAGTGCTGGACCGTCTACCGTTGAATGCGAACGGCAAGACAGACCGGCGTGAACTGGAGCGTAAGGCGAAGGCTGCGCCTAGGACAAAGACATTATTAACCGAGCGTGTGGAGCCACGGAACGAGGTGGAAGCCGTGCTCTGCGAGGAGTTTTCCATAGTTCTTGGGGTTGGAATGGGAATCACAGACAACTTCTTCGATGTCGGCGGGCACTCCCTCATGGCTACGAAGCTTGCTGCGCTTCTTTCTCGGCGATTAGATGCCCAGATCTCTGTCAAGGACATCTTCGACCATGCTCGCATTATCGACCTGGCCGCTACTATTCGGCAGGGCTCTAGCAAGCATAGCGCGATTCAGCCGATGCCTTATAACGGTCCGGTTGAGCAGTCGTTTGCCCAAGGCCGTTTGTGGTTCCTGGACCGGATCGAACTTGGCGCATCATGGTATATCATGCCACTTGCAGTGCGCTTACGTGGGCCCTTGCAAGTTGACGCCCTTGCTGCGGCGCTGCGTGCCTTAGAACTACGCCACGAGACGCTTCGCACAACGTTCGAAGAGCACGACGGTGTCGGAGTACAAGTCATTCATCCTTACCAGCCAAAGGAGCTCCGAGTGATTAGTGTGCCAAAAGATGGAAGTTATCTTGAGATACTCCAAAAGGAGCAGAGTACTCCGTTTGACCTCACGACTGAGCCCGGCTGGCGGCGAACGTTACTTCGCCTGAACGAACATGACCACATTCTCTCTATCGTCATGCATCACATTATCTACGATGGCTGGTCCATTGAAATTCTCCAGCGCGAGCTGTCCGACTTTTACAGCTCTGCTACTCATGGGCAAGATCCCACCCAGGCCGCACCTCTGTCTATCCAATATAGAGATTTCGCCCTTTGGCAGAAGCAAGAGGCTCAGGTAGCTGAACATGAGCGTCAATTATCTTACTGGCAGCAACAGCTGGAAGGCAGTCAGCCGGCCAGTCTATTCTGCGACAAGCCACGGCCAGCTACACTATCTGGAAATGCTGGTGTCGCCTCTATCACTATTGACGGTGCTGTATTTGAGAATCTCCAAGCGTACTGCCGAGCGCGACAGACCACGCCATATACTATTCTTTTAGCCGTCTTCCGGGCCACACACTACCGCCTGACAGGCGTTGAAGACGCAGCTATAGGCACGCCTATTGCTAACCGTAACCGGCCGGAGCTTGAGGATCTCATCGGCTTCTTTGTTAATACCCAGTGTATACGGGTTGCCGTTAGCGATGATGAAACATTTGATGGACTTGTGCAACAGGTCCGTTCAGCATCGTCAGCTGCGCATCAGAATCAGGATGTGCCCTTCGAGCGTATCGTATCGGCATTACAGCCTGGATCTAGAGATACATCCCGCAACCCGTTGGTTCAACTCATGTTTGCTGTCCATGCCCAAAAGCAAGGACTCAGTAGCTTCAAGCTCCAGGGTATAGACAGCGAGCTTCTTACCAACGCGGTGACAACCCGGTTTGATATGGAATTCCACTTATTCCAGGAAAAAGGACGGTTCACAGGCAGCATTCTATATGCAACCGACCTCTTTAGCCCTGAAACGGTCCGTTGTTTAACTGGTGTCTTCCAAGAGGTCCTTCGCCGCAGTCTAGAACAGCCGGGGGGTATCCTATCGTCTTTGCCACTCACTGACGGCTTGGGCGAGCTGCAAAGTATGGGCCTGCTTGAAGCTCCAAAGACGAAATACGACCGAGACTCGAGTGTCGTGGATCTTTTCCTCCAGCAGGCTCGAAGGCATCCTGAGGCGCCGGCTGTCACTGATTCTACCTCGACTTTGACTTATTCGCAGCTAGATCAGCAGTCTAACAGGCTGGCAGCATGGCTTCGACTTCGTGGTATGAGCGATGAGACGCTGGTCGGCGTCCTGGCTCCTCGCTCGTGCGATGCCATAGTTGCCTTCTTAGGTATCCTCAAGGCCAATTTGGCATATCTCCCACTCGACGTCAATGTACCCATCTCGCGTGTGGAGACAATCCTTGCATCCATTCCTGGCCATAAGCTACTTTTAGTCGGTTCAGATGTCTCTATAGATGCTGCAATCCAGGACGTCGAGCCGATACGCATCAGCGCCGCTCTCGCCAATTCCAAGAGTCTCAGTGATACTGCCGAAGCCACGGCACACTCTATCTCCCGGCCCGGCCCCAAGAGCCTCGCCTACGTTATGTACACGTCTGGTTCTACCGGCCGGCCCAAGGGTGTCATGGTCGAACACCGAAGCATCGTCCGCCTCGTCAACAACACAAACTTGATCCCGCACACGCAGGCGATCCAGGTCGTTGCCCATATGTCCAACTTGGCTTTCGACGCCGCCACGTGGGAGATATACACGCCACTTCTCAACGGCGGGCTGATTGTCTGCATCGACTATATGACAGCCCTCAGCCCTCCTGACCTCGGCCCGATCCTCTCTAGCAAGGGAGTTAGGGCGGCTTTCTTCACGCCAGCCCTGCTGAAGCAGTTCCTAGACAACGCACCCTTTATCATCAGCGGCCTTGATCTCTTGATAGCTGGCGGTGACCGCATTCGGCCAGAAGACGCACGGAAGGCGGTGCACCTAGTACGCCACTCCTTCTGCAACGGCTACGGACCGACAGAGAATACGACCTTCAGTACGATGTATCGCATGCATAAAAAGGAGTCGTATGTCAATGGCGTTCCCATCGGGCGAGCTATCAGCAACTCGGGGGCATACGTTATGAATTCGCGCCAGCAGCTTGTATCGATCGGCGTTGTCGGTGAACTTGTTGTTACAGGCGACGGCCTCGCACGCGGATATACCGACGTCAAGCTCAACAAGGATCGCTTTATCGATGTGACTATCGCTGGTCAACTCAGAAGGGCGTATAGGACTGGCGACCGCGTACGTATTCGACCTACGGACGGTCAGATTGAGTTCATTGGTCGACAGGATCATCAGGTCAAGATCAGAGGCCACCGTATCGAGCCCGCTGAGATTGAAAGGGTGATGCTCGGCTATGCCATAGTTGACGACGCCATTGTCGTTCTCTCGCAGCCGAGTGAGGGTCGAGATCCGGAGCTCATTGGCTTCTTTACTACTCGTCACGTCAACAGCTCCACGAAGAATAATACATCAGGAGATGATCAGTCCGACGCGAAAGCAGAGAAGGAACTCCGACGGTATCTGCGAGCCATGCTCCCATCCTACATGGTCCCCTCTCGAGTGTTGAGACTGGACAAGCTGCCTATCAACGCCAATGGCAAGGTCAACCGTAGTGAGTTAGTCGCCAGGGCTCAGGTAGCTGTAGACGACAGCACAGAGACCGTAGACGACGTGCCTGAACGTGTAGCTCCTCGTAATAGGGTAGAGGCTGCGCTCTGCGAAGAGTTTGCTGGTGTACTCGGGGTTGAAGTCGGCATTACCGATAACTTCTTTGAATTAGGCGGCCATTCTCTGATGGCCACGAAGCTTGCAGCGCGTATTAGCCGCCGGCTAGATGCCTCTGTATCTGTCAAGGATGTCTTTAACCAGCCAGCAATTATAGACCTTGCGGCTACGATCACACAGGGCTCAACCCAGCACAACCCGATCCCTCCTACGACCTACTCTGGACCAGTAGAGCAGTCATTTGCCCAAGGACGTCTATGGTTCCTAGAGCAGATGAACCTTGGGGCGTTGTGGTACCTCATGCCGCTCGCGATACGTTTCCGCGGTCCGCTCCAGATAGACGCGCTCACGGCTGCAATTGTTTCCCTCGAGAAACGTCATGAGACATTACGCACAACATTCGAAGAACAAGACGGCATCGGCATGCAGATTGTTCGTGCGAGCCATACTAAGAAACTCAAATTGATCGATGTACAACGCGATCACGGTGGCAGCTATATCGAACCGCTGCAACAGGAGCAGACGACTCCCTTCAATCTTAAGTCTGAACCAGGATGGAGGGTATCGCTGCTACGATTAGGCGAAGAGGATCACATCCTCTCTATCGTCTTACATCACATCATATACGACGGCTGGTCTATCGAGATTCTCCAAAGAGAAATAGCTGCATTCTACGCTGCGGCCCTCCACGGGCAGGATCCCCTATCACAGACGCAACCGCTGCCAATTCAGTATCGAGACTTTGCGATTTGGCAGAGGCAGGACGAACAAGTTGCCGAGCAACAGCGACAGCTTGATTACTGGGTCGAACAACTGGAGGACAGCTCTCCCGCCGAGCTGCCTGTCGACCGGCCTCGCCCAGCCGCGTTATCTGGGGAGGCAGGCCAGGTCGAGTTCGCTATCGAAGGTCCAGTGTATAAGAGCCTTCTTGCATATTGCCAAGTACACCAAACTACCCCCTTCGTCGTGCTGCTGGCGTCGTTCCGTGCAGCCCACTATCGCCTCACAGGAGCAGAAGACGCAACTATTGGCACGCCTATCGCTAACCGCAACCGACCAGAGCTGGAAGACCTTGTCGGTTTCTTTACTAACACCCAGTGTATGCGAATAGCTATCGAAGATGACGAGACTTTTGACGGGTTAGTGCAACAGGTCCGGTTAACGACCTTAGCTGCACACCAAAATCAAGATGTGCCTTTCGAGCGCGTCGTGTCAGCCGTGTTACCAGGATCGAGGGACGTATCTCGTAATCCGCTAGCACAGCTAATGTTCGCCCTTCATTCTCAGCAAGGCATCGGCAACGTTGACTTGGAAGGACTAGAGAGCGAGACCCTACCTATAGCAAGCTCAACTCGTTTCGACTTGGAATTTCACTTAGCCCAGAAGTCTGACAGCTTAGCGGGTCATGTCTTATTTGCCACGGAGCTCTTTGAGCTTGAGAGCATCCGCAACATAGTCGCCGTCTTCCGGGAGGTGTTGCACCAGAGCCTCGAGCAGCCACAGACGCCAATTTCAGTCCTCCCATTGACAAATAATCTAAAGGAGCTTCGCAGTATGGGACTGCTTCAGATCGAGAAGACTAAGTATCCGAGAGAGTCAAGCGTCGTCGATGTCTTCCGCGAACAAGTAACCGCTTCTCCGCACGCAATAGCCATCATAGACGCATCCTCACAGTTAACCTACGCTCAGTTGGACCAGCAGTCCGACAAGGTCGCGGTATGGTTACATCAAAGGCGACTTGAGGCCGAAACGCTGATTGGGGTATTGGCACCGCGGTCATCCCAGACAATCATCTCCATCCTCGGCATTCTCAAGGCAGGTCTGGCCTATCTTCCACTGGATGTCAACGCCCCTGCTTCCAATATCGCAGCGGTCCTATCGGCGGTCCCAGGTCATAGGCTTGTACTGCTCGGGGACGACTCGGCTGAACCGGATGCCAGACTGGGAGATGTTGAGCTAGTGAGGATCGGTCAGGCCATGGTCCAGGACGGCCCGGTTGATGCCACAGCTGCTGATATGGAACCCTACGCAACGAGCCTCGCATGTGTCATGTTCACTTCCGACACTGCCGGCCGGGATAAAGGCGTCATGATTGAGCACCGCGGCATTGTACGGCTTGTGAAACAGAGCAACCTCGTACATAACCTCCCACCAGCAGTCCACGTGGCACACCTATCAAACATGGATTGCAATGCGTCGATGTGGGAGATGTATACAGCGTTGCTTAATGGAGGAACGCTGGTATGCATTGAACCCTCTACCAGCGGGAACATCCAAGCTCTCAACTCCGTGTTTACAAGTGAAAAGGTAAGCGAGGCTATGCTCTCACCAGAGCTACTCGAGCAGTGCCTCGCCCAGATGCCTTCTACGCTCAGCAGTTTGGAAGTTCTCTACATAAACGGAGGCCGACCACGCGGCAGCGATATTATCAAAGCCCGAGAGCTTGTGCGGAGCGGCGTTTACAACGTCTATGGTCCCACGGAGAACACAGTCGCCAGCACTGTATACAGCGTCGTTGGGGACGAGTCTTTCGCAAACGGCGTTCCTATCGGACGGGCTATCTCCAACTCCGGGGCTTACATCATGGATTCCAGGCAGCGGCCTGTGCCCCTTGGCGTGATTGGTGAGCTCGTCCTTACGGGTGACGGGCTGGCTCAGGGGTATACGGATCCATCGCTTGAAGCAGGCCGTTTTGTTCATATCATCAGCGATGGCGGCCGCCGCATGAGAGCTTACAGGACCGGTGACCTCGCACGTTATCGGCCAAAAGACGGCCAGATCGAGCTTTTCGGACGGATAGATGAGCAGATTAAGATCAGGAGCCACCGTATTAATGCGGCCGAGGTGGTACATGAAACAATCAAAATCAACGGTAACAGCTTCGAGCCGGCCCAGGTGGAGCAGGCTATGCTGGGGCATCCCGCCGTCCGTGATGCCGCTGTTGTCACTTATGGTAAAGCTGGCGAGGCACAGGAGCTGTTTGGATTCGTCACGGCGAAGGAAGACCAGTCTATACAGGGCGAACTGAGACACCAGGTGGAGGGCTCGGAAGCCAACTTGGAGGCAAAAGTTCGCGAGCACCTACAGTCACTACTCGCGCCGTACATGGTCCCTTCGCATATCGTATTGCTGGAACAGCTGCCTGTTAACGCCAAAGGCGAGGTAGACCGGCGTAAGCTCTCTCGACAGGCTCAGATGATGCCGAGGGCCAAGGCAGCTTCAACTCGCGTGGCCCCCCGTAACGAGGTGGAAGCGGCGCTCTGCGAAGAGTATTCTAGTGTACTCGGGGCTAAAATCAGCATTACTGACAACTTCTTCGATATGGGCGGGCACTCCTTGATGGCGACAAAGCTTGCAGCACGCATCAGCAGACGGCTAGATGTCTTCGTTTCTGTCAAAGACATCTTCAATCAGCCAGTTATCGCGGATCTTGCGGCGACGATCCAACAAGGCTCAGCCCAGCACAGTCTGATCCCTTCTACAGCCTATAACGGGCCAATAGAGCAGTCATATGCCCAAGGCCGCTTGTGGTTCATTGAACGTTTGTATCCAGGGTCGACCTGGTATCTCATGCCGTTCGCCACCCGGCTCAGGGGGCCGTTGAATCTTGATGCGCTCTCTGCAGCTCTGCTAGCACTAGAGCAGCGTCATGAACCGCTGCGTACCACGTTTGAGCAGCGTGATGGCATCAACCTGCAAGTTGTTCATCCGTTTATACGGAGTGAGCTGCGGATCATTGACATCCCCGGAGGCAACGAAGAGCAACTTAAGCAGGCTTTGAAAACAGAAAACTCGACCCCCTTTAGTTTAGAGACAGAGCCCGGTTGGCGCCCAGTCCTCTTCCGCATGGGCGAGCAACATCATGTGCTATCTATTGTAATGCATCATATCATTTCCGACGGCTGGTCTGTCGATGTCCTCCAGCGCGAATTGGCTGCATTTTATACTACCGCCAGTCAAGGCCGAGACCCTTTGTCAGAGGTACGCCCTCTGCCGATCCAATACCGAGACTTTGCAGTCTGGCAGAGACAGGAGGAACAGGTAATCGAGCATGAACGTCAACTAGAGTATTGGAAACTGCAGCTCGATGGTAGCCAGCCGGCTACCCTGCTCTGTGATAAGTCAAGGCCGGTCATACCGTCCGGGGTGGCGAGCGTACACCAGGTGATGATCGAGGGCGCACTCTACAGTGACCTCCAGCAATATTGTAAAAAGTATCAAAGCACACCCTTCACGGTCCTTCTCGCTGCGTTCAGGGCCACGCACTATCGTCTTACCGGAGTACGAGACGCAACAATCGGCACGCCTATTGCGAACCGAAACCGCCAGGAACTTGAAGAGATGATTGGTTTCTTCGTTAACCTACAGTGTCTGCGAACTACGATAGACGAAGACGAAACATTCAACAGCTTAGTACAGCAGGCCGAATCCGTGAGCACTGCGGCGTCTGTACATCAGGATGTTCCTTTCGACCGGCTGGTGACAGAGCTTCGACCGGACGGCGCCCCTGACCTTTCGCGCAATCCTCTTGTGCAAATGACGTTCACCGTTCATTATCAGCATAACTTAGGTCATATAAAGTTAGGTGACCTCCGTGGAGAGCTGTTGACTGGTGCGAGTACTACCAGATTCGATCTCGAGTTCCACGTCTTCCAGGAAGACGGCCGTATGCGTGGCATCTTCATCTTCTCCGACGATCTCTTTAATGCCGTCTCCATCCGCAGCATGGCGTCTACGTTCTGTGAGGTCCTTCGCTGCGGCCTCAAAGAGCCGACAATCTCCATACCTACCATGCCTCTGACCGAGGGTCTCTCGGCCCTTAACCAGATAGGACTCACACAAGGAGAGCGAACTAACTATCCGCGGGATTTCAGCGTACCAGCCGTCTTCCGTCAACTGGTCGCTATCCACGGCGAAGTGGTAGCCGTCAAGGACGGTTCTACTCAGCTGACGTATGCTGAACTAGACAAGCAATCGGACCGGATAGCATGCTGGCTGACCCAGCGAGGCTTGGCCCCAGAGACCGTAATAGGAATACTAGCCCCACGGTCCTGCGAGACTATCGTGGCCATCCTCGGCATTCTCAAAGCCGACATGGCATATCTGCCGCTGGATGTTAAGGTGCCGGTCGGTAGAATGGAGAGTATCCTCTCCGCGATTCAGGGCGACAAGCTTCTTCTGCTAGGAGAAGGAATCGCTGCTCCGGCTATCCAGCTGAAGGACGTCGAATTTCTTGCCATCGCCGACATACGAGACTGCCAGACTATGACGCAGCTTCCTACTCCCAAGGCCACGAGCCTTGCATACGTAATGTTCACTTCGGGATCAACTGGACGGCCAAAAGGCGTCTTGATTGAGCATCGCGGTATCATTCGGCTTGTAAAGCAGAGCAATGTTGTCTCGAAACTACCGCCGGCGGCGCGCGTAGCGCACTTGTCAAACCTGGCTTTTGACGCATCCACATGGGAGATGTACACGTCACTGCTCAACGGCGGCACCTTGGTTTGTATCGATTATTACACCACGTTGGATAGCCAAGCACTCCAGGCTGTTTTTGCTACGGAACAAGTTTGCGTAGCATTACTTGCACCGGCGTTACTCAAGCAATACCTAGCCAATATCCCTGCTACCATAGCCGCCCTGAAGCTGCTACTCGTTGGTGGTGACCGGTTTGATAGTCGAGATGCCATCGAGGCGCGAGAGGTTGTTCAAGGGAGCGTTTACAACGCCTACGGCCCCACAGAGAACACGGTCGTCAGCACTATTTGCAACGTTTCCGAATGCGAGAAGGACGCTTTTGTGAACGGCGTTCCAATCGGGCGGCCTATCAGTAACTCTGGGACCTACATAATGGACCCGAACCAGCAACTCGTCCCCATCGGCGTCATGGGCGAGCTTATCCTGACTGGTGACGGACTTGCTCGGGGATATACAGACCCAGCGCTGGCTCAAGACCGCTTTGTTCAAATTACCGTCGACGGCCGGAACATCAGGGCATACAGAACGGGTGACCGGGCGCGTTATCGGCCAAGCGACGGTCAGATTGAGTTCTTTGGACGGATGGACCAGCAAATCAAAATCAGGGGTCACCGCATCGAACCGGCTGAGGTAGAGCACGCGATGCTGAGCCATGACGCGGTCTGCGATGCCGTAATTGTGGTGCAACAGCGAGAGGGCCAGGAGCTGGAGATGGTCGGCTTCGTTGCTGCCCACAGCAGCAAGTTCGTCGAGCAAGGCGAGGCCAGCCACCAGGTGGAGGGATGGGGTAATCACTTCGACACCATCACCTATGCAGACATTAATACGATCGATCAGTCGGCGGTCGGTAATGATTTCTTAAACTGGACGTCCATGTACGACGGCACCGAGATCGACAAGGGTGAAATGCAGGAATGGCTCGACGAAACGATGCATACACTTCTTGATGGCCGACCGGCTGGTCATGTCTTGGAGATAGGCACCGGCACTGGTATGATACTTTTCAACCTCGGCGAGGGCCTACAAAGCTATGTCGGTCTCGAGCCTTCGACGTCAGCAACCTCGTTCGTCAACGAAATGATCAAGTCTTCCCCGACCATGTCAGGTAAGGCCAAGGTTCACGTGGGCACAGCGGCAGACGTCAGCCGGCTCCATGGAATCCGGCCAGACCTGGTGGTCATCAATTCGGTCGCCCAGTATTTCCCTTCCCAGGAGTACTTGTTGGATGTGGTTGACGTTCTCACTCGGCTCCCTGGTGTTCAACGTCTGTTCTTTGGCGACATGCGAACCAACGCTATTAACAGAGATTTCCTCACAGCAAGGTCTCTACGCATGCTAGGAGAGGCGGTAACTAAAGACTTGATTCGGCAGAAGGTAGCAGAACTTGAAGAGCGCGAAGAGGAGCTTCTCGTAGACCCGGGTTTTTTCACGGCGTTGACGAGCCGGTTTCCTGGTCGGATCAGTCACATCGAGGTTCTGCCGAAGAGGATGAAAGCCACCAACGAGCTCAGCTCGTACCGGTTCGCGGCTGTCGTGCATGTGCGTGCCCAAAAGGAGCAGGAGCTTCATATAAACAAGATCAATGATAGCGCGTGGGTCGACTTCAAGAAGTCTCGGCTGGATCGCTCCGGGCTCCTCGGTCTTCTGCAAAGCTCGCCGGAGGCATTGACGGTTGCAATCAGTAACATTCCCTACAGCAAGACTATTGTGGAACGGCACTTGAACCAATCTCTCGACGACGATGAAGAAGACGCCTCGGTAGACGGGACTGAATGGGTCTCTGCCGTACGTTGCAAGGCTAAACTATGCGCGTCCCTATGTGCTGCCGACCTCGAGCAGATAGGTACTGAGGCGGGCTTCCGAGTCGAGCTCAGCTGGGCGCGGCAGTATTCCCAGAACGGCGCCATTGACGCAGTCTTCCACCATCTTCCGCCCGCCAAAGACGGCCACCGACTCATGTTCAATTTTCCGACTGACCACCAGGGGCGGTCATCTGGTACCCTCACGAACCGACCCCTACAGCGCCTCCAGAGCCGTCGCATCGAGGCTGAGATCCACGGCCACCTACAGACGCTTCTCCCACCCTACATGGTCCCATCACAGATCATCGTACTGGATGAGATGCCTGTCAACGCCAACGGCAAGGTAGATCGGCGCAAGCTTGCCCAGAAAGCCCGAACTGCTCCGAAGGCCAAGTCTTCATCCTCGCGCGTGGCTCCTCGGAACGAAGTAGAGTCTGTGCTATGCGATGAATTCGCTGATGTGCTTGGCGTCGAGGTTGGCATTACTGATAACTTCTTTGATCTCGGCGGACACTCCCTCATGGCAACAAAGCTTGCCGCACGCCTCAGCAAGCGGTTGAACACCCAGATCTCTGTTAAGAACATATTTGATCACGCACTCATCACCGACCTGGCTGCCAACGTTCAGCAGGGCTCTAGCGAGCACAACGCAATCAAATCTCGACCTTATGATGGGCCCGTGGAGCAATCCTTCGCCCAAGGTCGTATGTGGTTCCTGGACCAGCTCATTGGAGCATCGTGGTACATCATGCCGCTCGCAGTACGTTTGCGTGGGCCGCTGCAGGTTCAGGCACTTGCTGCGGCGTTCAATGCTTTGGAGCTACGCCACGAGACATTGCGCACAACCTTTGGAGAAAAAGGTGGCGTTGGCATCCAGATCATTCATCCACACCAACCCAAAGAGCTCCGAGTGATTGGCGTGCCGGCAAATCATAATGGAGACTATTCTGAGGTGCTCCAGAAGGAGCAAAGTACTCCTTTTGACCTTACAGCCGAGCCAGGCTGGCGGCCAGCACTCATCCGCCTAGGCGAACAGGATCATGTTCTCTCTATCGTCATGCATCATATTATCTACGACGGTTGGTCTCTCGAAATCCTCCAGCGTGAGCTAGCTGCCTTCTACGCCTCTGCTGTCCGGGGCCAAGACCCCCTCGATCAAGTTACGCCACTGTCCATCCAATACAGGGACTTTGCCTTGTGGCAGAAGCAAGATGCACAGGCTGCTGAACAGGAGCGCCAGCTATCCTACTGGCGGGAGCAGCTAGAAGGCAGCCGACCGGCTAGCTTATTCTGCGACGTAGTACGGCCGGCTACGCTTTCTGGTGATGCCGATGCCGTTTCAATTACTATCAAAGGCTCTACCTATAGCCGCCTCCAGGCCTACTGCCGCGATCATCAAGCCACCCAGTTTACTATTCTCCTAGCTGCGTTCCGGGCTGCGCATTATCGACTTACAGGCATCGAAGACGCAACTATAGGCACACCGATTGCTAATCGCAACCGCCCAGAGCTAGAGGGTCTTGTCGGCTTCTTTGTCAACACCCAGTGCATGCGTATCACTATCGAAGAAGAGGATGAAACCTTTGAATCGCTAGTCCGTCAAGTGCGGGCTACAGCCAACGCCGCGTATGAGAACCAAGATGTACCATTCGAGCGTATTGTATCAGCCCTACTTCCTGGATCAAGAGACACATCCCGCAACCCATTAGTGCAAATCATGTTCGCCGTCCACACCCAGCAGGGCATCGGAGGCATACAGCTGGAGAACATGACCAGCGAGCCTTTACCAGCCGAGGCGACAACACGATTTGATATGGAATTCCACCTGTTCCAAAATGACGGTCAGCTCACGGGTAATATTCTATATGCTGTTGACCTCTTCACGCCAGAGACAATCCGCGGCGTGGCTGATATCTTCCAAGAGGTCCTATCTCGTTGTCTCGAGCAGCCGGAGGCAGCACTGTCGTCTTTGCCACTAACCGATGGCCTACCCAAGCTGCGTGACATGGGTCTACTTACAATTCCCACGGATCCCTATCCGAGAAAGGCCAGTATAACAGACCTCTTCCGCAAACAGGCATTGTTGCATCCGCAATCACCGGCTGTCATTGATGATTCCTCATCGAGTTCGATGACTTATTCCCAGCTTGACCAACAATCTGACAGGTTGGCTGCCTGGCTCCGTCTTCGAAACATGGAAGATGAGACGCTGGTCGGTGTGCTGGCACCGCGCTCGTGCGAGGCCATCGTGGCTTTCCTCGGTATTCTCAAGGCGAATCTAGCCTATCTCCCTCTCGACGTCAAGGCCCCTGCCGCACGTCTCGAAGCCATCCTATCGGCAGCCTCGGGGAAGAAGCTGGTGCTTCTAGGCGCCGACGTTTCAGTCCCCGACGAGGGCCTCGCAGACGCCGAGCTGGTGCGAATCGGAACGACTCTTGAGGGCTCACATGATTCCAAGGACACCGCGGTCCCGCGACCCTCCGCCACCAGTCTTGCATACACCATTTTCACCTCCGGTTCGACCGGCAAACCCAAAGGCGTCATGGTCGAACATCGTGGCGTCGTACGACTTGTCCAGAACAGTAATGTGGTGTCCCGGCTTCCAAAAGCAGCCCGCGTGGCGCACTTGTCCAATATCGCATTTGATGCCGCCACGTGGGAGATCTATGCCGCGCTTCTAAACGGCGGTACTGTTGTCTGTGTCGACTACTTCACAACTTTAGACAGCAAAGCCCTGCAGGCCCTGTTTGAGCGCGAACGGGTGCAAGCAGCCATGTTGCCGCCGGCCTTGCTTAAGCAATGCCTTGCCAGCAACCCTTCTATGTTCAATTCAATGGAGCTCTTATTCGCTGCTGGCGACCGTTTTGATGCCCATGATGCGATTAAAGCAAATTCCATACTTCCAGGGGGGGTATACAACGCTTACGGGCCGACAGAAAACACCGTCCTCAGCACCATCCACCAGGTCCGCGACCGGGAGCTGTACATCAACGGCGTCCCGATCGGACAGGCCGTAAGCAACTCCGGGGCCTATATAATGGACGTACGTCAAAACCTTGTGCCCATCGGCGTCATGGGAGAGCTTGTCGTCACAGGCGATGGTCTCGCCCGAGGGTATACTGATTCGGCACTTGATGCGAATCGGTTCGTCCATATCACCATTGAAGGCCTGCCACCAATACGGGCGTACCGAACCGGCGACCGCGGGCGGTATCGTCCCGATGGGCAAATCGAATTCTTTGGGCGCATGGATCAGCAGGTCAAGATCCGTGGCCACCGTGTAGAGCCGGCTGAAATCGAGCAGGTAATCCTCAGGCATACTGTGGCCTCGGACGCCGTTGTCGTCCTACGCACGCAGGAAGGTCAGGAGACGGAGATTGTAGGCTTCGTCGCGGTTCAGTACACCAACGGTGTCGATGCGGAGCACGCAGAAGCGGCACAAGAACGGTTCGCCGCGGAGATGGAAAAGGAAATACACCACAAGCTGCAGACCGTATTGCCGCCCTACATGGTGCCGACGCAGCTCGTTGTGTTGAAGCAGCTACCTGTTAATGCCAACGGTAAGGTAGACCGTCGCAAACTCGCCCATCAGGCCCAGATGGCCCCAAGAAGACAGGCGGCGTCGACAAGGGTGGCACCGCGTGATGAGGTCGAGGTGGCGCTTTGTGAAGAGTTCCAAAAGGTGCTCGGCGCCGAGGTCGGCATCACTGACAATTTCTTCGACCTCGGTGGACATTCCCTGATGGCAACGATGCTCGCAGCACACATCAGTAGCCGTCTGGGCTCCCGCGTGTCCGTGAAGGACATCTTCGACCAGCCGGTTCCAATCGACCTAGCGAACAAGATCCGGGCCAATCCATTGCGAAGCGGTGCAGTGAGTAAAAGCCCCGTTCTGAAAGCAAACAGCGCTCCTTTCGAGCTACTTCCTTTCAAAGACGCGCAGAAATTTGTCGAGCTTGAAATCTACCCACAGCTCGGCCTTGACCGTGACGAGATCCTGGATGTGTACCCTACCACGTGGGTTCAGAAGATCTGCCTCCATGATCCAAGCACGGGACAGCCGCGCCCCCTGGCCGTCTTCCATATCGACTTCCCGGCCGACTCGAACTGTGCTAGGCTGATGGAGACGTGCAAAGCCCTGGTCAACCATTTCGACATCTTCAGGACGGTCTTCTTGTCGGCCGCCGGCAGCTTCTATCAGGTTGTTCTTAAACAACTTGAAGTACCCATCGAATTTGTTGAAACTGAGGCAGATCTCGACACGGCGACCCATGCGTTCGAGGCGTTGGATCAGCAGCAGCCGCTCTCCATGGGCAAATCAGTACTTCGCATCGCTATCATAAAGAATAGGGCAACCGCGGTGCGAGTAGCACTTCGGATGTCCCACGCCGTGTATGACGGCATGAGTTTGGCGCACGTCGTGCAGACTTTCCACGCCCTCTACAACGGTGATCGTCTCCCGACCCCACCCAGCTTTTCACGATATATTCAACACATGGTCGACAGCCGAGACGAAGGGCTCAAATATTGGCGCTCTCTTCTTCGTGGCTCGTCGATGACGGCCATGAAAAGCCCCAGAGGCGCTCCTCAACAGGAACCTGGGCCCAACGGTGCCTGTATGCTGGAGAAATCCATCAAGGTCCACTTCCAACCAAACGCAGAGGGCATCACAGGTGCAACCGTGTTCACAGCCGCTTGCGCTCTGCTTTTTGCAAAAGAGACAGGATCCAGCGATCTCTTATTTGGCCGGGTTGTATCCGGGCGGCAGTGTTTGCCGCTCAGCTGCCAACAAATCGTTGGACCTTGCACGAACGCTGTTCCTGTTCGCGTCTCCGTGGACGGAAATGGCAGCCCGAGACAACTGCTCCGTAAGGTGAGAGATCAGTACCTCGAAAGTATGCCTTACGAAACCCTGGGTTTGGAGGATATCGGGGAAAACTGCACGGACTGGCCAGAAACGCCGACAGACTACAACCTCTACATCGCGTTCCAGAACATCGAGCTGGCTCCCGAAAGCCGAAGCGGAGATCAGCGGGTACAACTGCAGCATCTAGAACCAGACGTCGCAGACCGGAAGCCCGGCGACCACGATCCTACTCTGAAGAGATTTTACGTGGAAACTGCATCGCCCCATCAGATGGATATCACGGGAATCCCCGAGCCCGGCGGACTACTACGCGTCGCTGTGGGCGCGAACCGAAGCGTTTGCGACGAGACGACGGTAGAACGCATGCTCAACGAGCTTTGTGAAACCATCCAAGCCCTGTCCACGGCTCTGCAGAACCAACTAGCAAGCCCCGTCGGCGATCAGAGTCCGGTCTACGTCCTCGGGGTTGGCAACCTGGGCAAATTTGTCGCTCACGCTTTGAGAAAACACTACCCTGGATTGCCCATCACGCTGCTGTTCCATCGAGATGAGCTAGCGTCTCAATGGGACGCGGCTGGCGAGTCCATTGAATGCGTTACGGACGGCAGACCCGACCAGACAAGGGGCTTCAATGTTGAACTAATCTCCAGCACGACCGGCGAAGCCGGCGCGCGAGCATCGGAAGCCCCGATCCAAAACCTTATTGTGGCAACCAAGACGTACACGGCAGCTTCGGCTGTTGACATGGTAAAGCACCGCCTTGGGAGCACTTCTACCGTGGTGTTTTTGCAGAACGGAATGGGTATGGCGCTACACACCGAGCTTTTGACGTTACGTTTGGCTAACCAGGTTTACTTAGGTGTGGTGGACGAAGTGTCCGCTTCGGTTTTCGGCAATGCCCAGTCACAACCATCATATTGGGCCGGCATCTGTACTTTCGGCGTGTATAGCACGTCCCCGTTCTCCATCGTCCATGCTGGTCGAGGCCCGATGGTTCTGGGGCAACTTTCTGGGCTTTCGAGTGATACACCCGAAGATACTTCTTCTCCAGCCACACTGCCTGCCCCTACCTTTCTCATCGACAAGCTGCTGGCAATGTCCGACGTCAAAGCAACCCTCGCAACACCGATCGGGGTCAAGGAGGCACAACTGCAGAAGCTGGTTGTGAACGCCATAATCAATCCCTTGACCGCTATATTCCGGACCAAGAACGGTCAGCTTTTCGACCACCCGGCGAGGTTTGCGTTGATGAAGGTGCTTCTGGAAGAGACGGGACAGATTGTCAGGGCACTGTTGCCTCAGACGCCGCAAAGCCCTACGAATTCCACTTTCGCGGACGAGACCCTACTAAAGATGGTTCTGAGAGTTGCCGAGAAGTCGGGGCCGTGTAGGAGCTCAATGTTACAGGACGTCGAAGCAGGGCAGACGACCGAGATTGACTATATCAACGGGTATCTGGTCATGCAAGCGAAGCGTTTAGGCCTACCCTGCGTCAACAACAGCATCGTTGTCGACCTCGTGTCGCAGCGGCGGGTCATCAATGTTGACGACATCCAGTCCACATTTGACTGGGTTATCCTAAAGAGGGACCTGGCCTTGTTGGACCCTCTTTCGGGAGGACATAAACGACAAGTGGATGTCGAAGTTACCAGGCTGGTTGACTAAATAGCATTTTCAGGCCAAGAAGAGAACATGTTAGGCCAGGAGGAGCAGGAGGAGACAAATGGCCAAGCAAGCGGGAGCTGCATAACTTGATACAACATTTTTCACCCCTTTTATCCTATATGCATGTAACAGAAAGAGTATACATAAAGTATCTCCATTAGTATTGTAATTCACAAAACCCAGTTTAGAGCTCTAATCTATTCATACTGTACTGCAACCGTCGCACCTCGCTTTTGATGTCAGTGGACTTAACAGTGAAGTTGTTTTGTCAAGATCCGAAAATGAGCGGTATGAGTCAGTAACCCTTACTACCTGTATAACGCCAAACACATTCATCAAGGCGGCAAAAGAAAGAAAGTTTCTACACCTGCCGTATATGAGTGTTCCGGGGCCAGTCAACTACGTAAATACTCATCGAGACTAATAGTATGGTGTGATGCCATACCTTAGATGCGGGAATTAGTATTCCAGAGAAAACCACATATTTGAATGGAATGTCATTATGTAAAGGCAAACATATCGAGTTGTTGTAAAGAAGCCTATACCTAACATTCCACCAATTTTCTTGGAAGTCAAGTTTCTTGCAACCGAGAAACATGAGGTGCAAAAGAAAGAATCTATGTTTTGAGGCGGAAAGGTAAGAGAACTTCACTCGGGGAATCATAGCGCGAACTACCCACTGTGATCAGGGGCACACTTATCTGTTTCACGGAGTTTAGATAACCTAGTTCCGGGTCACGCCGAGGATATGGCGGTTATTGCGTGCTTATTTTAGTCACATCTGACCCAGTCTATATGATGATGACCAATCAAAAGAGCTACATTCGCGGCAAAAGCCGGACCCTGAAGCCGTAGGATCCGCTTCTAAGGCCGGAATCAATGTTGCACTCACTGGGGCGTCTTCGGGAAGCTGACAACCAATTCATCAGGAGTCATCTTGCTTTTGTATTCCATTGGTACTCTCGTCATACCATTCTTCCTTAACACCATCTCATCTAATACCGTCGCAATGGGGGCTATTACTGGTGACTCGGCCAAGGGGCCTCAAGGCATCGATCTCTACTCTCGATTCGCTCTTGCTGGTGCTCTGGGCTGCTCAGTCACACATGGTGCCTTTACTCCCGTTGATGTGTACGTTATAAGAATTCCCGTCAGCTTGGAGGGCTGCTCTAGGGGCTGAAGTCTCCTCATTTGAAGCTGTATCAATCGTCAAAGCCACTCGCTGACATTCTACCCAGCGTGAAAACCAGGATTCAGCTCGACCCTGCCACCTACAATCGTGGCATGTTTGGCGGTTTCCGCCAGGTTATTCAGAATGAGGGCGCGGGTGCTCTCTTGACCGGCTTCGGCCCGACCTTCACCGGCTACTTCATCCAGGGTGCATTCAAGTTCGGAGGTTACGAGTTCTTCAAGCAGCAATCGATCAACCTCATCGGTATCGAGAAAGCCCGCCAAAACCGTACTGCCGTCTACTCTGTCTCGGCCGCCTCTGCCGAGTTCTTTGCTTCAATCGCTCTTAGTCCCCTTGAGGCAACCCGCATTCGTCTTGTCTCGACCCCTGGCTTCGCCAACGGACTGGTCGGTGGCTTCAGCAAAATTCTGAGCCAGGAGGGCGTTGGCGCTTTCTACTCTGGATTTGTTCCCATCTTGTTCAAGCAGTATGCCACACTTTGCAAGATCTGTCATCAAAATGGATTCAACTGACGCAGGATACAGGGTCCCCTACACCATCACTAAATTTGTCGCATTTGAAAAGGTTTCTGAAGCTGTTTTCTCTAAGCTTGACAAGTCTAGTTTGTCCAACGGTGCCCAGACGGCTGTGAACCTTGGTTCCGGTCTGGTTGCTGGTTTTGCCGCTGCTATTGTTTCTCAACCGGCTGATACCATGTTGTCTAAAATCAACAAGACTAAGGGCCTGCCCGGCGAGAGCACTGTCTCCCGCCTTGTTAAGATTGCCGCTGAACTTGGTTTCCGCGGCTCTTTCGCTGGTCTGCCTACTCGTCTTTTCATGGTTGGTGGTCTTACTGCTGGCCAGTTCGCCATTTATGGAAGTATCAAGAAGGCTCTTGGTAAGTCTCCCTGTGTTTGAGTCCCCCGTCACGATAACTAATCAAGCCTCCAGGTGCCACCAACGGTGTCGAGATTGCCAAGTAAAGGCTGCATTAATGTTTGGTGTACGATAGCGCTCATAGAGAATAGAACATTCTAAGATATTGCATCTGGCTCATCATTCTGAGTTCTTTGTGCATGAACGAGTCCTCAGCACCTTCTGAAACTGTTATTGGGCTGTGGAATTGGCATTTGAGGGTATTGTGTTGAGATTAGGAAGCATTTCATACACTAGTACCCACCCAGCAGTGTAGGCAGTATATATGGGAGCCTCGCTGTCCCATAAGGGGTGGCAAAGCCGAAGATCAAAGCAGTTACTTTAGTTCATCTGACACGTTCATTCTGTGCTACACAACCTCTGTCAAGCTGCAACCATATCAAAACTGGAAACAACGAACACTAACAACGCCAGTTAGATCGACTTAATGACATTATATTGAGAGCTGAGAAACACTTTTAGGCGATTGCAGTACTCCGCACTAAGCTATCCCTCAAGTGTCAGACTCATTTGTCTGCCATAGCTAACGTGATCAAATAGACACATCATAGAAGCGGACATAAACACCAAGCCTGTCAAAAACCTATGCACTTGAGATGTCCAATTATCGCATTGATTAGTTCAGCATTCAGCATGGCTACCAGTTGATTACAGCAGCATTAGGCTCTACTTGCTACTGTGATTCGTTTGTCAAAAGGCTAAAAGAAAGTGGTTTTTTATGCTGCCGATCTCAAATAGTCAGGTAGACGAATACACCTTACTACCAAAATGATGATCTAGGAATTGCTCACCAGCTTCCATGGTATACAATTTGTTAATATGAAGCTCCTGCATTGGAAAGGCGGTTGAGACATCACCTCTGCTTTGGGATGAAACCACGCGAATCTCAAATATCAACATGCAACGACGATGTTTAGAAATTAGCTTAAAGCCTCGTATATCTGCAGCAAAGGATGATAAAAAAATGTAACATTATCCTATAATAAAAATACATACTTCGAGGTGGTTTACGAGTATGGTAGCTGTTGGTACGATAGAATACCCCTATAGGCATGGGGAGAGGGATTCTTCGCAAATGTAGTGAAAAAATCATCTACCTTGTAGAACTGGAAGTTCAAAAAAGGGAGAGTCGAAGTGGGTGAGAGAGATATGTCTCTTCTGACTACCTGTCACGTGGGTACTTAAGGTCGCCTGCCTATGTGAGCCTTGTTAGCCGGCAGCCGGCAGCTTGGACGGCTACAAAGCCACTTTAAGCTGGATTTCCGATTATTACTACATAGACATAGGCATAAGATTTTAGAACATAGTCGCTCTCAAGAGAGCGAGGTAATGGCTATTGTTTTTCTCGAACTTATATGTGAAGTAGGTAACTTGTGTAATTAGTGGGCTGTATGTAGCTAAACTGTAGAAGAGGAGTTAAAAGACTGGGTCTTCGTATGAATTGCTAAATTCAAAGAACTGACTCTACTTTTTATTCCATTTGCCTTGAGTCTTCTTAGTTTCTCAAAATACAGAATATGTAATCCTTATACTCTGCAAGCAAAAAGGAGTCTCCCGATGCGAGGGTCGAACTCGCAGCCTTCGGATGGCTCTGTAGACAAGTAATGTCCTAAAAGTCCGACGCTCTGACCAATTGAGCTAACCGGGATCCATCAAAATCTGTGAAGGATTTCGAGAGTTTGGGCGTCATGTCGTACGAGTTCCCGACATGTACAACGGCGGCAAAGGTTGAAGCATTTGCACGGCCAAGGAGCTTCTCAGCCTTTCTTGTAAAGATAGCATGTACGCGGCTATATTTGTGCCTATGAATCTATAATTTCTTCTACTACTATACTAAATTAGTCAGTCGCCCAGCCCCGCCTTCAAGATCCGGTTCCCGGCGTGGAGTATGTTCCACACCTTTCGTCCAGACATAGCCAGCTATACGGTCAAAATGAGAAGTTGGTATCTCCAAGCGCTCGATACAGCATCTCATCATTTGACATTGCGAGTGGCAGTATACGGGGATCAATGACTCTACCTTGTTCAAGTCAACACTCAGATAGTGCCTCATTTTGATGTGGGTTCAATGGACTAAATGCAAATTCATAAGCAAGATTGCCGTCCAACTCAGCCTTTATGTTTTATCACCTGCTTCAGACTTCTTTAGATCAATAATGGAGCCTGCATCAACATATGACTTTAATGCACAACTGGCTCACAGTATTTCACCGACCTGCAGCGACCATGAAGTTCTTGAGCAGGAATTAATTCGCCTTTCGTATGGGCCAGATATGTATTAGTTGGGTCACATTCTCATTTCAGACCCAAAATCTTGATCATAACGTGCCGTTTTAATTAACAGGTTCATTGAACGTCAGAAAGCTTGCAAAAGCTGTGTAACCCGTCCCGGAGCGCTTGTACACACGAAAACACTTAGCAAGTCCACATCAAAGACTACATTTTGGGCTAACCAAGTCAAAAGCACATGACCTGTAACTACATTTGACTTCAGTTTAGGACAACGACATTGATGTGTCATTCGGATGCTGCAACTTTGCGTCATTTGTAGGGCTGTGGTATGAGGGCCAGGAAGGACAGAAGTGTAAGATACAAATAATTCCTGAGACAAAGCAAAAACAGACGAAAAAGAAAGCATATCAAGTAAGTTCTGTTCGCCAAAGGGCAATGAATGTCCTCCAATGCAGAGCAGCGCGTGGCATTCACGTACTGAATATTTGGAAATATCAAGAAGTCTGAGATTGAAAGTCAGATTCTGAATGGCAGAGATGAAATTAGTGCCTCAACTTTTGAATAATGGATGGTCAGACAACCAGTGGAAACCAATTTGGACTACCTTACCTGGAAAGCCAAGAAGGCATACACAGTGAGCCTGTAAGCCCACCCTGGGAGCCTTGCCTTGGTATTGCGACGTATGGCGGTCGTCTTGCCCCGTAATGCGGAGTTGTGGCACCCAAAAAGTGAAATGCCAAAGTTGATTGGCAGAATGTCGGCCGAAGGATCTTGACTTTCAACATTCTGAGAACGCCACAAAACCACTTTCGTCTAGTTGCATTTCCTCAGAATCGAGTTTATGAAAAGAATTCCCTGCCTGCATCCCGCAACGTCGCAAGCCTCATTCCGCCAATTTTAACCCAGCTGCCTTCTACAAGTCTAGGTTAGGTCCCATTAAGTGCCAGAATGGATGGCGAAAAAAGGATCAAGAGATGTTGTTTGAAGTCTGCACTGCGAGAAGTCTAGGTTGTATCAAAGATTGTCCTGTACACCGCCCTGACGGGCCTGTTGATTGATAAAAGCGGCCTCCAAGTTCATTGGCTGCAGCTCTCTTTTTAACCAACAGCCCGATTATCTGCTGCAGCCGTAATGTGAGGCCTGGATCAGGGATGGTGCATTGGGGACGCAGGGATGGGGTGATGCGCGGGATTAGGGTGCTCATCCTCCGCGTAATCAAAACCAGATTCCTCTCGCCCTTTTCAACATTTAACCAGCACCTCGACAGAACTTCAACGGTGGTAGCTTTCGCTAACACGACAAACATGTGCCACTCAAAAAAACCTTGTCCCGTGTATCGTCTTCATAAAAGGAAATGACATCCACTATTCCCTTAGCTACGTCGTCGCCCACGGTGATGATGCCCACATCAACAGCAAGAGGGGGACACGTCTATGGCACGAATCTCGGGCCTTTAACCTCGGTGTTTTCGGCGCCATTGAGTTGCATAAACCCTAGCAACATTTGGGTTTCGGAATTTGTAACAACAACCGACTCAACAACTACAGAAACCTTTGAGCTTTATGTGACAAGCACTTGCGCGCCCTCCGCGAATGCAGTGCCTTGCTACCCGCCCAACTTCAAGGTCCCGACCGAGTTCGATAACGAGGGGCACTATTACTCCCCGGCTTCACAGTGCCCGGAGTACTACACAACTCAGACCGTGACCTGGGACGACCATGCATTGTATGATAGAAAAGCGGGAGAAGTAGCCGCAATATGCTGTCCAAGGTAGCTACCCGACCCTTTTTGCCTTCTTCGTTACTATCTGCCGGCTTGCTCCACGCATACTAATGAACCCTTGTCGCAGAGATTTTGTCCTTGTGCGAAACTACTGGGATGTGTACTGCACATACACCCACTTGAAGAGCACGGGAAAGACCGATGTAGTAACGGCAAGCTACTGTGATGGGAGGCGCGACACTTTCACACGTCCATTAGAAATCTACGCGCCTGCCATCAACATCCGCTATCAACTAACCGATATAAAACCAGGCTTCACCGGTGTCACACCCAGGTTGTCGGCAGCGCAGACGACGACGGCGAAGACGACAGGCCAGTCCTTAACTGATAATTCTTCACCGGAAGCGACTTGCGGCTCTAATCCAAGTCAGTGCGGAAACGGCTCGAGTGCCAGCAGACCGGCTCTTAGAAAAGCTATGCTTGGACTATGCATCGCTCTTCCTGTAATGGCTCTGTTGGCTTAGAATGGAAAACAAGATTTACAAGCTTCCAAGTAACACAGATTGCTCAGTCAAAGGGGAGAATAAATAAGATAAGCGTCCACGGAACAGCCATGTCATTGTAACAAACCATTTCAATTTTGTATTGAACGGCTATTACTTCAACCACATACTCCCCTGCTTTAAATATCGTGGCTCTGGACTTAATGAATGATAACAGCCCTGTCTTTGGAAGCCGCTGGTCGCTCTAAGTATTACATTTTTGTAAAGATTGTACAGGAACGTCAGGCAATTTTCAAGGGCCCTCTCACGTACCTTCTGCCGTAGTATTCACTCCTAGAAAACACCAGAGAAGACTTGGGAGACTAGGAAAATCGACCGGTTCCAAGGTCTGGCAAGTATCGAGTACAGACTAGAGATTCTTCGCGTGGAAGTTCTATATAGCCGCATGGAACAACCTTATGTGAATACAATGAGGTGCTGAAAACAGATATGTAGACTTCACTCGCTAAGTAACAGGAAAATCAAGCTGTCTCTCGGCCAGAGCGGTTTTGTAGCACAAAGCATTATTTACAAGACACGTTGACTCCCCATGTATCATAGCCAGCATAATCCCATCCAACCATACTGCTCTGATCCTTCGCGTCAACATCGAGTCGATATGTCTTCAGGCGACAAGTACAAGTCCTAAAGTTTCCGCTGTTACACATGTCGTTTTGGCACTGCAAATCGGTTGCAGTAACAATCTCCCTAAACTTGTTGCCTGCTCTTGAATGATCGGACTTTTGAGCGGCTGCTGCTAGACCGTTACAAGAATCTCGGATTTCTCTTGGGTCGTTACGACATCCCCATGATCTTTTGTAGTTTCCCCAAGCTTGGTAACAAGACGCATCAACCAATGCACCGCTGGTTGACAGAACTGCAATGGCGTAAAAGGCGTTGCTCCACAACATGATAACAAAAGACTTAAAACATGCATCAGAATGTATACTATAAACGTGAAGAATGTTGACTTACATGAGCTGAAGAAGAGGAACTGCGTGAGACTGGATGTCAATCGATAAGGTGATGGTTAATTGATTCCCTCAACAGTCGCCGTCGTGCTTCCCTACTACATATATAGGAAAGTAGAATCTTATGACTACGCATCTTTGGTTGAGATTCTTACTCAGCGCTCATTGCATTTGGTCTCTATCCAAGGGGCAGGTCGCCGAGGCTAGCCTCCGTCACTTCCGTTTAACCTTTCCCGTACCATGTATGTAGCATATTACTAATTTCCGGTCGATCCGTACAGCCTTGCCCGTACTGCGTCTGGTAAAGTGTGAAAAGAAATGTTAAAGTTATGCGGATACCCGGAGGAATAGGGTTTTACCGAAGCTTGAAAGCTTTTACGGTGTTTTCTCGCAGGTAAGATCCCTGTTAACGAACACTGCCCCGCTAAGCACTTTACATTTAACTTCACGTTAAAAGACTTAAGGTTTTTCCCGACTCTTTCAACGACGCTACGTCTGCAGCGTTCGCATTTTTGAATTCTTTCGAGGACTTACCAAGACTACCAAGCTGGTTCTTTTAACTCTGACCATTCTCTAAACTGCCTAATCAGCTGAAATTCAATGACCGATGAGAACCACACAATATATCGACCATATTAATACGAAAAGTAACGCATATTGGTTTATGCCCGCTAGACGATGTGTTGTTCAAGAGACATGTCTCTCTTGCCATGCAGTTGTCGATTCGGAAGGCGCATCTTTGTTCTTTCCCGAAAACGAGGATTATTTCCCCTGAACGAGGCTATAAAAGAACAACATTGTACCTTGATTCTTAGTCCATATCCTCATCAGATCATCTTCAGCAAGAACGTCTGAATTTTGTGGACATTTCCACTACCTTAACATCAAAATGAAAGCAAGCATCCTTACTCTTACCGCTCTATCCTACCTTGCGGGCTCAGCTCTCGCCTCAGGCACATGTGCCCAAGCCACAGTCAGATACAAACGAAACTGGTCTTGTGCCACAACCCAAGACACGATGGAAAAGTCCTGCAGGGGACTTATCGGCACCATCAAGAGTCAAAGCTGCAAGCAGAAATATGGGGGTTGCGAGGCTGACTTCCGATCCACGACTGTTCAAGATGATCAGAAGTGGAACTGTCGACAACAAAAGACGGCTACCTGCGAGATTTTCGCCTGGCGTTATCGCTCCTGGGAGGAGGCTCAACAATCGCTTGCGGGCTGGAATTTCGACTCTTATACTGTATCTCCCGATAGCCCTAAACAAGGCGTTAAGTGCGATGGATAGTGGAGTTCAGGTTGGAGTTTTTTAAGTTGGAGTGGTTTTTTTGAAGAAAATGGTAGATGCACGGTTCTACCAGCCCTGTATTGGACAGACATGCGAAGCAAAGGCTTGAATTAGGGACTCCATAGCATGGCACGTAACAAAAAAACCGCGTCATTTCTATTTACATGTGCACCACTCCCCCAAATATCGGCGATGATGATTGTGAACTTCATAAAACTACAGTCTTGTTGATGTCCTTGGCGCTGGCCCCTGACGCAGAAAAGTCGAGTAGGCTTGTTATTTTACGCTGCGGTCACTTAAATTGGTGTTAATTCCGCGCTTATTTGCAAGCTCCTGTATGATAATCTCCATCTTTATATTGACTGTACTCCTGCGCCTGTGAAGGTAATAACCCAGATCCAACTCACCTCGGCTTCGTCGTATCTTGAGTAAGTACTCACGCCTGTCAGTTCAGCCGGAAAATCCCATATCACATGTTTACTTCGGTTGATTAAGTGATTATGCTTTGTTGTAGTTTGGAAAAAATTGAGGTTGACAGTCTGTGACTTGAGCTGTCCATTATTGCCCTACAATATGGGGTTGTAACGAATCCATCTGGAAGCTAATGAGAGAATCTATTTACTCTTATTCAAATCAATTGGATACAACCATGTTTCGGGTGACCTATGCCTTCAAGACAGAACCCATCATTCAATACCTCGTTGAAACCGATGGCGGTCAACGAAGGGTTTTCTTACAAGCTTCATGGCTTAGGATGTCGGCGCGGAAACCTCTGTAACTACTGGTGCCAGACCCATCTTGCTGAACTGTTTTGACAATATATCCTCCTGACCCTGGGAATTGAGTGCATCCTCTTTCTTTTGTAGTAAATCCAGCAAAAGCGTCTCGACGTCAACCGCCAGCTGAAGAAAAGCGGCGACCGCGTCACCTACGTTTAGGTCAAACTGTTTGCGTGGCCTCGTTGATACCGTTGTGACGAGGTCTGAAATATTCTTGAGGTTCTGCCGTAATATCTTTACGAGAGGTTTGTTCTTGGATGCTGCGCCAACTGCTTGAGTCGTCTTGGCAACAAAAAGATCAGTTTCGGCGCCTGCTTCCCTTAAGGCAGCCTCATTCTTCCAAGCTACAGAGTCAGGCCAACCCCTCTTTTTTAAGCGATGCATCTGTCCCAGTATAAGGCTGGCATCGTTACACTTTTCGCTCAGACCACTGTTGAGCAGGACTTCATACTGCTGGTCTGTAGAGACGAGACGACTGACGCAGGTTCTTATGTCGAGAAGTGCTTCCGAATAGAGCACTTGGTACTCTGGAATATATCTTGAGCTGCTGCGCCAGGGTTTGCTCTTACTTGGGGTCGCTGGTGTGGGAGATCTTGCAGACGTGTTTGCTGGGATATTAAGTAAGCATTAATACGCTATAAATGCAGAGTTAATGCGTTCTTACCAGTATTTGAGATAGATAGGCAACGAAGTCTCAGTATATCCATCCATGCCATTTCCTCCCAATCACTCCTATACATGCCGCAAACTTCAGCCCCTATCAAAATTTGAAGCTGTCGCAGTATACTTATGTGAGAGTGGCGATTGATGGCGAAGCTGGGGTGGAAGCCGTTGACCCTAGGAATGGTGACAAATCCACGTTGCCCTTCTGGTCGAAGCTTCGCCTGAATAGGCCGCTTCGGCGTGCGCCCGAACTGCTCCCCAACCCCAAGGTTCTCAATCAAGTAAACTCTTGAGTTATCTTTGACTTCACGGGCCCTTTTAATAGGCATAGGTATCTTGCCTGCACATAGCAGAACGTCGGGCTCCTTGTCACAAATGACTGAGGCTGACGTGCGAAAGGCGTTCTGGAGCGCAGCATCGTCAACTTCGCTTATTTCTCCTGAAACGTACGGCAAAAGGTCAATGACAGAAATGTCTTTACGAAAGTCGAGACTCCCACAAGATACCACGTTGAATATGTCTTCAAGGGCGCGGAAAGTCTCACAGTCGTCAATGACGGCGTCAAGGCCCTTTTCGAATGGGTGGTTGTGCCGAGGCTGTTGCAGCATCACAGCAATGCCACCCTTGACTGATGGACCAGCCATCTCTGCTGTGACTTGAATCTCGGGGCGAGGTAGCTTCAGCAGTTGGCCTGCTTTCTCGATACGGGAAACATGTGTGGAAGGGTCGGTCTCATATTTTCGGACGGGCTTGGACAGCCGTCTGATCCGATGGTCGATAGCCACATTGAGGCAGATGCTACTGGTCTGTGTATCTGAAGCCATAGTGTTTTCGTTGATCATCCCAAAGCAGCAAGGTTGCGTGTATTCAGGTGCTACAGATGTGTTTATTGAAAAATTACAGTACCTGGAATGCCGAACTTATTGTATTCCGTTCAATCAGTGATCAACTTGGGAGCTCAATTCTCGTCTTTTGCGGCGGAAACGGCACAGCCCCTCACGAGGCATACTCAGCTCACTGCTTGGCATTTACTGGAATGAACCTCAGACTCGTGGCCTGAGAATCTCGTCCCTCAATTGGCCGCGAGACTTCAACGTCGCCCAACTCTTCAGACACACGCAACACCCCTGCAGAACACGATGGGGTCAATATTGGTTTATAACAGGAGGTGATTGGATGACAGAATCTAGCGTCAATAGCGCGGCCGTTTCCGTGCAAGCCACCAGCTTGGCTTCCATATCTGGAACAAACCGCAGTTGTACATCTTTTGAAGCATCTTACGGCGTATCAGCTGTTGCTGGGAAAACCCGATTCCAACCTTCTCGCACCTCTACTGCAGCCCGAACTTATCCGGGCTACCTGCTAATTGAAGGCAACAGCATGCACGAAAGGCTTTACACCCCGGCATTTCGCGCGACAGGCTGCATCTTCCACTTACCTATACCACGCACGGCTACAGAGCAACAACATTAATGATTATGTACGTTGGCGTTTCACCCATCATCCAATATGCAAACCAAACGACCTCGTATTTCGCATCAACACTAACCATATGCTACACCTCTATTACCTATTTAGATCAAAATATAATACTTCCTGAATTGCGAATGAGAAAATGGCCATCTCGCCAGGCTTACAATATCATCATGTCACATCAAGTTTCCAGTCCTTTCGATTCACAGATGTAACACCTCAACGCGCAACCTGCAGTTTGTTATTGTGGAAGTTCCTACTTTAACATGTTTGAGCAAGATTAATTCTTTTCTCTTGTTTTCTGAGACTGCCTATATCAAACGGACGGAAAAAAGTCTTACACAATGATCTCTTCACTCCCGGTCTTTCATTTTAGCGCATGCAAGAACATTTGTTTCTCCTCTCAAACCTCTCCATCATAGCAGAATCGCATTGACTCAGTCCATATGGGGTCCCCCACAAAACCCCCTCTGTCCGGTTTCTTCGGTCAGCTAAACTCACCATCAGCCACGAAGGCTAACCAACGTAGGCATCGCGCTAACTATAATGTTTACGCGTGACTCGAGTCTGTGTTTGCTCCAGATGAGTTGTTTTATACAAAGAAACTAGTGGTTTACATGAAATAATGGGCCGAAGGACAAAGGTATGGAGGATAGATTACGAAAACTTCAGTCAAGAACGGGTAGTTGTGAAGTAATGAACTTCCCATATGACGGGGGGACAATTTGGCCAAAGACCAGTTTTGATGCATAGGTTTATATTGCAACGTGATGACCATCACTTAATGTGGTTCAGGACGGCTTTGAACCTCTTTCCTTACGTGTTCCAGCATTGTTAGTTTCTCAAATAAAACATGTCACCCATGGTAACAGTGACGGCTGCATTTGCTGAGGTTGCATTCATCGCATCAAAGTCAAGTTCCAATGTGACAGCGAGAACTATTTATATGAAATCAGTATTGTTACAACAGTTTGATTCCGGGTTGAAAGGGGTCAGTGACTCTCCAAGCTGCTCGCGGTCAGCCACTTAGGCCTCATCTGGTTAGTTTAATTGTCTGCCGACTTGACAGGGAATCGAAACAGACATATTTCTTCCAAACACTTCAATCCACCATTCTACGGCTTCTAGATCCCTTCGGAAAATCCTGTCTCCCTACGACTGTATAGGAAGGTCTATGACAATAAGAATGAGCTGCGCGGTTCATCGTGAGAATAAGGTACTGTGATCTAGTCAAGCTGACAAAGTTGATGGCGAATGAGACAACGTGAACAATGGAAAAGAAAAGGATAAAGATAATTGATGGATTCGAAGCCTTCATGTATAGTCGCTCTTGAGGCAGAATTTCAAATCCATTCAATTCCCAAAACTCGGAACAAGGCCTCGTTCACAATCTCCAAAATGCGCTTGAGGTAACTTTTATATGACCATTTCAATTGCCATGGAGAGAAGCATTTTTTGTATTATGTACACATTTGGAAATTAAGAACCTATCAAATGCCATCTGCGATTCAGAGCCAGGAGCACATTCGCGTCAATGGTTGAGGAACAAAGGAAGTTTTATTGAGAGATATCCTGCGTGAGGATACACCAATGATTTGGGCAACGAATGATGCGTAGTTAGTAGCAGGAGAAAGTATTGGGGGGTCCCAATAGCTGAAAAAGGAGAAGTCTTATGAGCCACCATTCTATGTACCTAATTGTTAGTGAATTTTGCAATGTCCTCGGTCGGTTTCATCTATGGTGAAAGGGCAGCAGTGAATTAACAGTTCCCGCCTGTACTGTTGGTTGCACTATATGAATGCCTTCTTAGATCTCCTTTTGTCTAAAGAAGAACTTGGGCCTGAATCCTTAATGTCACCCTGCTAGGCTGTTTCTCCAAAATGGGAATGACACCTTGACGGTATGCGCTAGGCTGATTTCTACAAGCTCGACCAGAAAGGGCAACATGAAGATTTCCTCATGCCTATTTAAAAGTAGAATTCGTTCTGCTTCAGAACATGGCCATGCTGTGGCTTATGATCAAAAGCAAAGGGCTGTTGTCAGAATAGTAAGTTTTCAACCGACTTTCACAGTAGAGTTCACCTCCTTCTGTTAAGATTCCACATTCAAAAGGCAGGTTTCAAGCCAAATGTCTGTATGTTGAAGAATCTGAATCCATACCTTTACAGCTCTATTTATACTGTTGATGTTCCCACCAAGTCAGTCTTGGCGCCATATACATGGCTCCGAGACGGATCATCTGCCGCTGCATCTCTTTTATGTCCTCAAGCATGTATCCACATTAAACCTGGATGTCATGTCGTAATTGACGAGAATGTGGCTTGGCACCACCAACAGGAGTCCTCCTCGAAGTGGACTCGTGCCCATAAAGGTCCTCACGATGTAAGATAAACATGGCTTGTGAGCCGATTACCATCGACAATCGTAATTCTTAAGCCAAATGCATTCATAAACCAACAATAATCTCTTTAATCTGAGCGGAGTCTAATCAATTTAACTTTATCTCTTAACTAGTACGTTTACCTTGAGGTGCAACATTAGTTAAAGTGTCAAGAATCCTCCAGAATTTGGGCTGGATATATTGATTCGATTTTGTCCCTCTACACCGTGAAAACGTTTTTTTGTCTTTTCAGCCATAATTGACGTTGCGATGCGATTTCCGTAGCACCAGTCCAACATAAGTACGAGTCCAACATAGGTACGGATACAACTATTGGGAATCCAATAACAGTCAAAATTAAGAACTGAACAAGAGGAACACACAACACGGATTAGTGGAACGAATAGGTCTAACGATAGCGGTAGGAAACATAGGTGTAAGCTTCTTTTTCTTCCATGGAGAATTCATCAGCTTAGTATAACAGCTCCGGAAATGCAGATAAGCCTAAACCCAGCAAGCGCCTGTAGGCAGTCCACCACAGAACCAGGCGACTCAGGCCGCCCCACCGGCGGAATGCAATTCCATTCTGCTACTAGCGTCGCAATGGCGAGTGCATGTGCTCCTTGTGCTGGCTGCTGGAATAAAAGAGACATGTCAATGCGACTAAATCCTCATCAAGCGCAGCTGAAGAGGGTTGAGCAATTACAAGGCATCGAAGAGGCTAAAAAGTACATTCTCGCTGCGAAAGAATCGCTCTCGGCTACCCATCACCCTGCGATCTCTACGACTCATGACGTCCTCTCCCCAGTCACAAAGCACTTACCTGACTTAGGGACTGCATATAGTGGCCCTGGAAGAGGTGCTGCTTCTTTAATCCTCACCGAGAGCCCGAAGGCGTCGAGTCTTGGAAACGAGGACACGCAGCTCATGCGCCGTCAAGCCTTTGAGAAAACTAAGAGAGATCTGAGGGCATTTCACAGAAAGCTAAGAACTGTCTTGGTCCCATCGAGAAAAAGTCTTTTCAAGAAATATTATCTGCCTAGGAAGGCACTTGAGAGGTGGCGTCATCAAGTCGACCGCGCAAAAAGCGACACAGAACGTCGGTGTTAGATACATGTACTTAGGTAAAACGTCGCGAGCTGAAAGTTTGATGATCCCTGTTTTGAAATCAAAATTGATAAGCGATGATTGTATTTAAGCTGTACTGATATGGTGGTCTCTATGTCAAATCATTTTTGTGTATTTTGATGCAATTCGCAAGTACTCCCGCAATGACGGTTTACTGGGAGGTGAGGTACCCCCAGTTAGACCAGACAGATTTTAGAACCACTCAATAACCAGTTTCTATTAGCAGGGTTGACCAAAAACGGTCTTGTATTATCATCGTGACTACTATTTCTAGAGAATGTAGTTGTTGTTCCAGTAGTTGAGGTACCTTACCACCGTAGTAAGAGTATTTGTGACAGTCAGAAACCTCAAAATGTGCAAAACTGCGGCCAAAGCCAGGGCTTTGCTCAAAGGAGTATCTCATAATCCTCACAGTAAGCTTTGCGCCAAAGAATGTCTTTTCAATGCATCCCAATAGCGCTTGCCCATATCGTCCTCAATTGTATCCTCCGCAATACATACCTTAAGTTAATATCACTCACAACACATAGGTAGTCAAATGAATTGTTTGACTGTCTGGAGCGTGAAGACAAATGCCACAGGATGCCGTCGATTTATTTATTTTTGGTGCCAGACATTTGTCGAGTCTCTGAAGGTCTTTATATCCATGGCCACTAAATGAGACAGTGTTCCCAGGACTTGTAACACAATTTTTACTTTGCTAAGGCAATAAAAAATACAACATGTTCAGCAATTAATCTCCAAGACTATTGATCCTAAGAGGATCTCCAATTCCTACCATCACACGGTACTAGTAAATCTCAATGCTATAAGTCTAACGGTCATGTTGATGAAGAACGGACTAGTCAGTGTAATACCTCATGGGTTTATTTCCACTCATTTTTACTACGTCTTTGCTTGGGTAATAGGTAGGTCATATGCATGATGTGCCCCATCAGCTAGCTGCCTTGCTGGTCCTTTTTGCTAAGATGAAAAAGAAAAAAAGAACAAGATGAAGAACCCCATGTAGTATCAAGTTGTATTCATTAGAATTACGTCTTGAAATCAATTGTTGGATTACTGCAGCTGCCACAAGATGCACCTCAAATTTTGAATTTGAGCATTTTGGTCGGCAAAAAACTCACCGAAACTTGCCCCCAGGTGGTTGTTGCCTCTCGCGGGTATGGAGCCGTTGCCTCATCACGCTGTGATAGATATCTTCAAAGGCACAACGGAGAGCTGCCACGTAACAAGCAGGGGTATTGTTAGGTCTGCATGCAGATGGGTGGAGTTTTTGTTCGGCGTGGATGGGTACGAGAGGCTTTTTGAATCTGGCGGTGAGTTAGCTCCCTAGTGATGCGCCAGAATGGGTGGCGACTACTACTTGCTGTTGGCTAAAGGCGTTCCACAATGACCCGGCCCCTACTATTGTGGATATAGGCGACATCTTGTTTGCTCCAGAAGACTTTTCCTACGAATGCTTTCAACAATGGGGCCAAACGTATGTTCTGCATTCGCTTATTTTTGCTGGACACGTTGGACCTTGGGCACACCGGCATCTAGGGGCTGGTACCCAAGCAAAATAAACACCCCAGACCATGACCAAAAGAAAACTTGACGATGCAAACGGTAGTATTCTCAACATAAACAGACACGCTGTTACATCCGCCGAAGACACAACATCGACCATGACGAACGTTGCAAATGAATCAAGTCTCCACTTGAAGACCCTGAAAACCAATGTCCCCAGCGAGTATGCCTCTTCTGCCCGAGTACGGCAGTGGCTCCTCCAGCATCTCGAAAATCGCAAGGTTGCCCTCGTAAATGGACCTGAAGCTTTTGTTTGCTTGTGGAATGGCGCCGAGCTGCATTCGTTGCATCCAAACCATATATTTGGTTCTCTTATCTCCCAAGGGGTTGCCCCGCAAACTGCTCACCATGTGGTTGGAGACGTGATGGAGTGTCTGCAGGTAAGGAATAGCTTTCTTAAACCTGGAGACTGTTTCTTTTCAGCACTCTACTGACATCGATTCCAAGGACTACCGAGCGAGACGTGCTGCTAGCGCAGCTGCTGGACAGGTGTGGAACTCTGAGCCAGAGTCGGAACCGGAGGCACAGCAGGAAGAGGCACAAAAACGTCCCGAGTCTGGGGGCGAGCAGCGTGTCATTGACGAGGAAGCAGACCGTGAGGCTCTTGTCAAACAATTCGAGACCCCGCGCAGCTGGTATTCCTCATGGTTCACTGCCAGAGGAGGCGTGGTTGCTGCTGGCTTTTCACTTGCTGCTGGACTCGGCGTTATGGCGTGGTGGATGCTCAGCCCGCCTTCGAAAAAGGAAGAAAAAGAGTAAAATTATTTCTTGCATGTTGATGAAAACAAACACTTATACCGAGTGTATAAGCCTCAACTTTTGAGGACATTGAACGTTTGAAATGATACACACGCTGGCTTTTACCGGGAGAATAATCGGGTAGGCGTTAATAGGAAGGTTCATTAATATTTCGAGCCACTCCCAGAAAGAGACCTCTGCTATTCTGTCTGTTAACCATGAGCCCATTGTTTCGAGACTCTACCATAGAGTTCTTGTAAAAGGCCATTGTGGAGTGGCTGTGTAGAGGACTGCGTTGATTGTTGAGCTTAACACTACTACATGTTTTAACCAATTACATTTTGAGGCTACAGATGTAAGCTTTCAAATCATAGCCTGTCATATCAACTCTAGTGTTTATGGTGTCGGAGCGTTTTTGGTACAATGCAGCATCCAAATGGCTGTGCTTAAGTCCAGTGCTCATCCTGTCTTCGGCTTCAATGCTTCGAGTTTAAATAAATAATTCTGTCCCGCAATAGTTGCAGGGAAATTTGTAGCTTGTGATTGATGCTGTAAAATAAAAAGCCTCCTGAGAAAGTCATGGTTTTATTAATACTACCCTCCTTACAATCAGTCCAAAGCAGATGAAGGCGAATGCTTAGCTTAGCTCAAGAACGACGTTTTTTTCCAAAAGGTCTACGGATGGGTTTAACACAAGCTACAATCCTTGCCATTCAAGTTTCCAAACCAAGTAATTTGAGGGTGTAATTACAAAAATGAAGTAATCGAAACAGAAAAAATCAATGCTACTACAACCGAGCAGACTGGCCATCTAGCACGGTGCCCTGAACTTCGTCTAAACCTCCCAAATGTATCGGGTGTACGACTGCCTGCCACAATGTTGTTGGCACGAACACATCTAAAAACACTATGATTTGTGCTAGTCTCCCCATTGCCATATTTATATGTGAGGAGCACAGGGTAGACATTGGTGAGGGCCTGATCATATGTATCGCGTACCCAATCTTCTGAGCTATTGGAATATGGCCCCCAACCGCCGAACAAATCGATTGAAGGGCCATTTTGGGTCATGTTTTTATCACTAAGCTTAAAAGTGAGGTCCCCTATCCAAAATTTTAGCCTTATGAAATGAACCGAGCTGGTTGAGTCAGAATATCCATACTTGAAAGTGGAAGTGGGGACCTGAGAACATCATGACAACTCTTTGGCGTTTCAAAACTGGCAACTGTGGTACACACCCTGTCGACGGAGGTCTCTCGGATGTCCTTGATGCAGTCCGCCGAAATGACTCCATTGCAAGATCCGTCGACATCCTGATGGAGCTTTTCCAAATCTTGCACTGACCACCCGTTGGTCCACCAGACGAACGAACAAATCTTGTAACTCTTTAGGTCGTCCTCTGTTGCGTTCACATTTGCAAACGGGTTGGCCGGGCCTTGAAGGGTAATCATAGAGGGAAACGAGACGGAATTGCTGTCATCAGGATCCGTGATATTTGTCGCGACGGCCATATTGATGCTCCACCCGTTCCCTTTGCCATACTCGTCATCGGGGGGGTCCAACATTGGCTTTGTTACGTCAATGCCATAGATAGGCCAGCTTCCGGTTGCATTAGGATGCGACACGGCCTCCTCAATCGTAAAGTTGTCTGATATAGCCGCACTGCAGAAATGGACGGCAAGGAGAAGTCCAAACAGTGGTTGCGATAGAATCATAGCGAAAACGGATCTTGCGGTGTGTGCTATTGTAATCAATTGAATCGAAAAAATAGATTGTCGTCTTCGGGTCTACTGGTAATGATGCATTTGTAGTATTCCAGGCGCAGCGCTTTAGTTGAATGACTTTATCGTGTGGTGTGAACATGGCAACTATTGTATTTGAGTACGTCATCGGACGGCTTGGTTCAGCATCTTGTTTCAGTCCCTTTTGGGAATCAGAATGGCGCAGATCAACAGCTAAGGAGTATTAGTTGCCCGACGGTGGTGTTGAAGGATTCCTGCTAGGGGCTGTGTGGTTTCTTGGCTGCCATTTTGAGACAATAGACATAGCTGTGCCGTTGGAAGAACGAAAAAACCAGGAATGGTCAGAAAACGAAAGGGCATGGCAAATCCGCATTCGTACGATGGCGATCTTTGATGCTACATTTGCATTTCATTTACGCGCTCCGAAGCTACAGCATCTGGGATATGCACCAGTTTACTTTTAAACATTCCAAAGTTCAAATCGATAACTTTACGTTACTTCGCCGTTAATAATTGTTTAGGGCCCTGACTCTGCTCAATGATAATCTTCGCTGAATAATGCCAAGCTCATCCGTCCTTCTTTACGAATAGTTTTCATGACTCTCAGCAGATTTGTAATTAAATTCATATAGTATCTTTTAGAGCTTCTTTCGTGTTGAGTTGTTACTGCTACTGCAAGTAGAATGCCACAACTTAACATAGTGCGTCATACTTCAAGTTATGACGCACTTAAGCTTGGCCTCCTTATCAGAAAAAGTCTGTCTTCAATGTAGTAAGACTACCGAAGCGCCACGCCGTCTACCCCTAAGTATAAGACGCTAGTCCAAAGTAAGCGCAGCTGTAGGCTAAAAAACAAGGACGATCTAGAAGATCATTTTCTTCGCTTGTTTTGCTGCTGGCATTGCAGGCTTTTTTTCTCATTTCACCAAGCAAACAGGGATTTCATAAATGGGATCCGCTGGATGGCATTTTAGTATTGCTCATGTCAGCAGTTTGGGCCTTTGACATGCTGGTTCTGAGATTTTCGTAGTTTGGCTCAATTCTGCTACAAAACCTCTGGAAAATTTGCGCCCTTGCCGCGACTTAACCCTTTTTGACTGATATAGGTTTGACCTAACAATCCCGAATGCCAAATTCTTTGCAGAAACATTTAGCTGTTCAAATCTGTGAACAGTTGCCAGCTTCTGTCAGCGGCTTTTTACTTACTGCTAGGCTCAACCCATTTATTGATCTTACTGTGGTTACATGAATACGAACAATTAGCAAAGTACACTCCAGACTTAAACGGAAACAGCTATTTTAGATCGAAAACATGTTTTGTTTAATCAAAATGCCAGACATGGAGTTGTATGTAGGAAAGGCGGTGTTTTACTAGAATTTATTCTCAACGTGCTGTGATTAACTAAGACTTCGCAGGATCTTCGTTTCAAAGGCCAAACTAGCATGGCGTTTGCCGCCAACGGAACTACATTGTAGGGGGAATTGTCATTTTTTGCAAATTGATCCGGCGACAGTATCAAGACATATCTGGGTCTTTGCAGCAAACTGTCATATGCAAGTGATTGTCAGTTGCTTTCCGCAGATGAAGAATAGCGAAACTAGAAGCCATTGAAATAAGTATTGAATCTGTCCGAACTACCTTAGGTCTATTCGTTCTTTTTCAAAACCCTTACCTATGTGTTTGTAGTATTAAACACACTGAGTTCTTTGTGTGGCTTTGGCTGGTGCTTGAGAGTTGGTATTATCATCATGATCGATGGTAAAGGCGGCGGCAACAGTGAGTACCTTATAAGTTAAAATGTTGTAGTGGAATGATAACAAAATTTATTGGTTCTGGACACTAAAAAATGCAGCTGTATCTTATGCCACATTGCAACCACCATTGCTAGTGGCTATACAAGGTCCAATGTGCTTCAATGAAAAGTAATCCAGATGCATCCATAGACGTTAAACCAGTTGATCGCCACAGGATTTGTTTCAATCTTCTTTGCAGATTTTACAGTATGCTGTCATGGCCATTCCGATGCTAATTCCACTAGTTAATCGTACATCCACACGCCAGGGCTAGATCTAGACCATCCTGGTTCTTGAAAAATCTTTCAAATCTATCAGATTGGTTTATCATGCAAGTTAATGGATTTGAAGAGGAAATGGCGTAAAATAGAAAAGAAAAAAGAGGTGAACAACCGGAGACTAGAGCGATAACGCTGTTATTTGCATAAGAAATCTAATAAAATAGCACGGTCACTGCATACGAACCGATCGAATAGCCTCGACTACTTAGCGTTAATGCGCTTCAACACCACGAATGTGCGCACACACACACGGGTTCAGCCGCAACAACCCTGGATTGTAGGCTTGGACGACCGCATTGACGCAACATTGGCCGATGGCTTGCTGTTGCCGCTTAACCACCCCGCGCATGACTCCATGAGGGCTACGGTGACAACCGCATTGAGAGCACCTTTACGAGCTAATTTAGCTTCTGAACAAACGCTCGCACTACGCGCTTGAAATGATAACAAGATACGTGAATTAAGGTGTGAAGTCGGCAAAAGCGTTCCGAACGGCATGAAAATTCGCTGAAAGGAGCGGGGAGCTACAGCAACCTACCCATAGAAGAATACAAGCTCTTGTTATGATTGTTGTTGTTGTTGTTTGACTGAAAACAGTGGGTGACCTATGCTGACAGACAATTGTATAAATTAATGGTTTCCTCATTTCCTCTTTTATCCCCCGTTCGCTATACTCTGATTATATCTCCTTCTCCCAGTTGCAAGAAAGCCGAAAACTACTCATTATTTTGATCTCTCAATCGCCATGAAATTCACCATTGTCGCTATCATCGCCGCAGCCCTGGCTGCGGCCTCCCCTACCGCGAACTACCAGCGTCGCAAGACCTGTCCTGCCAATGGGACGCTGCCCCCCAACTATGTAAAGCCATCAATGATCGTAAACGTGTCAAAAAAACTGCCCAACGTTCCCTTCGGCAAAACCCAGAAGCCACTTATTACGCCTGGCGACTTCTGCGCTATTTTCAACTTGGAGCTGCCACCATCCGCCACGGACAAAATCTGTCAGCTTGTTTTCAAGTTTCCTGACAACAAACAAACGTCAAATCCTTTCTACTACCAAACCGGCAAAAACGGAGGACACTTTAGCTTCACAGGCTACGCTATCGGCGCGGGTGCCACCGCCAAGACAACGTATAAACAACAGCCCGCGGCGGGTCCGAATCCTCCCAGCCCGCCGGCCGTCTTGGCACCCGGAAATGCATATATCATCAACTCTGCGCCTTGCGGCTTGCCTGCCGGCTTGACCAAGCCTGTCACAGTCAGCGGCATGCTGTGCAGTTCGGACACTACGTTCAACTTTCTGAACAGCGATGCAACTTGCCCTATTGGATTTTTCGTTGAGCTACTGGATATGAATTAAGGAGCGGGTTATGGAACCATGACTTTATGAATCCGTTGGTCAGTTTTTTTGGAGTATGAGGACATGCCGTTTGAGTAAAGGTTGTATAAAGTCCATTATTTCAGTATTTACATAATTCTTCAATTCGTATTAATATTTGTACACAAGTAAGCCTGTATGCGCTACATTGTATGCCTGGTGCGTCTCTTAAATCACCCCTTATCTAGCTTTAGGCAGAGAAAGGCGGATTATTATGCGATAAAGCCTTTACGAGCCACTCAACCAGCCGACTTACGTATGAAGCGTTCCATCTTGGACCATCACCAAAACAGGTAGCCTTCAGCCAAAACTTATGGATGAAGGTCTCCAGTAGTCTTCTTGCAGGTACATCTGTGCCGTCATCGCGGATGGCAGCTTCAAGCCGCATGAGCTCCTGACTCTGTAGCGATTCTGTAACAACCTGTGCTACTTTTGTAGAGTTTAACCAATCGCCTAAATCTTGGCCGGCCAAATGACATTCTTTTTCGACGCTTTGCCGTAAAAGAAGGGCCGAGTCCTTCAATGCCGTGAGATTATCTGCCTTGCAATAACCGACGCGATAAAACTCAATACGCGCCTCAGCGAGTGCGAGGAGAAAATAAGGACTACATAACGGGAAAACATTCCTGAACATATCTGCAAGTATAGGATGATGTTGAGCGACAGATGCAATTCTGCTGGGTTGCTGGCCAGCGAGCTGGTAGATGAGGCTAAGACTTGTTTCGGTACAGTACCAATAGAGCTGAGCCGCGAGAGTTTTCTTGTTGGGTCCCAGATAAGGCTCAATGTCTAATGGCGGGTCCATCATACGTTCGGGGCTGGTAGGCAAGCTGAAGAGGCCGCAGTTGAGGCGAAAAGTCATTGAGCTGGGTTGTAATCCAAGATAGTGCAGTGCGGCTGAGTCGGCTTGCTTCTTGAGCAGTACTTCTTGCCGCTCCAGCCCGGGCGACATAAAAGCTGGTGGTGGTGCAGTGGAAAGATCAGCAGTCGTACTGCTGGTATTCGAGGGTGCGCTATCATAGTGGTAGAGTTCGGAGGAGACACCCGCCGCAGCGGCGGCTCTGTGAATCGCGGAGCGAAGAGCCGGGGTGTCATTCCTTTGAGAAACTTTCACGACTTCTTTGATGCTTTCCTTGAGTCGCGCATTCTCCTCCTGAAGTTCACGGAATGTCGTAGCTTGACGAATGCGAAATGCACGCTGGGAGAGCCTCGCCCGTTCCCTCCTACGCTATATCCGTTTGTCAGCATCCAAGTATTGCATTTGTGACCCGAAAAGCGCCATGTACCTGTAACTCAGCTGCCGCATTATCCATTCTGTGTTCGTCACTGGTCTCTAGGATTTGCATGTGTGTGCGGAGCATCACCATAAACCGGTTCGGAGTCATTTGTTGACAGGCATCACGTAACCGGGAAGACTACTCCGGACATTTAATTCAAGGGGGCATGTAGCTTTGACCAGGTTCTGCCAAAATAAGCTGGCTTTCAAATGGTTATTGGCCCGGAATAACACATATTCCAGTCCAGTATGGAGTGCTCGGAATAATACCTGATCTGAAACACGAACCCTTCGCTAACCGAATCCTCCAAATCATAGCTTGAGATCCGCCTTTAGTCCCAACCAGGATTAGACCAAAGTCACCCCCTATGGCTGGTCGTTGGTTGGTATTCAAGCTGGTTGGTAGCGGACAAAATCCATCCCGATCACGTAACGTGAGTAAGATAGGCTGGGCAGAGACCCGAAGTCCTGTTTGCGTGACCATGCTTTAGAGAGAGCGCAAGCAAAAGGACAGACGTTAATATAAAGGGAAACCCTTTTCGAACTATCAATTACAATGTATTCACCTTCAATGACAAGTTTTACTGTTACAATCACGATTTATCCCATTCACTTTCAAAGACTCCTGCTAAAATGGCGGACGATATTCTCACAACACCTTATCAAACATACCATCGTAAATCGTACGCCGCTATCGATCCCACTCAACCAGCGCTGTCCACCAAATCAAAATCAGCAGTGGTAACCGGTGCGGGTTCGGGAATTGGAGCAAGCATCGCCGTTTCCCTTGCCAAATCCGCCATCTCGTACATAGCTCTTATCGGGCGTCGAGAGCATGCTCTTCAAAAGACCAAATTAGCCATTGAAGCTGTCTCCACCAGCACCAAAGTATACGTCTACACTTTGGACATCACCGATCCGACCGCAACAAATGAAGCGCTCAATGCTTTCGCTGAAAAATGTGCAAGCGGCAAAATTGATATTCTAGTTGCCAACGCGGGTTCTTTAGGACCTTTGAGCTCGATACGGGACGCGAACCCGACGGAGTGGTGGAACGGATTTGAGATCAACATCAAGGGTAACTTTAATCTCATCCAGGCGTTTCTGCCCCGGGCAAACACCGCCTCCGCAATAATCCATATTTCGTCGGCTGCCATCCACGGTCCGTATTTCCCGAAAGAATCGAGCTACTGCGCATCCAAGATCGGTGCAGCAAAGCTTTTCCAGTACGTGCATTACGAACACCCAGAGATATTTGTGCTCTGTCTGCAACCTGGTCTTGTAGGGGAGACTGAAATGTCCGCCGGGTTTGAAAACATTGCGAAAGGCATGCAGATAGAGATGGCTGACTTGCCATGGGATGACGGTAAGTCCCAACAGCTGGATGATTTTGAACTTTCATACTTACTGACTGCATCTTCTTTTATAAGCCGATCTCCCTGCTGACTTTGTCGTCTGGGCTGTGAGCTCAGAAGCGCGCTTCCTAAATGGTCGGTTTGTGTGGGTTAATTGGGATGTCAATGAGCTCAAGGACGACAAGGATACGATTTTGGCCAATCCGACGAAATTTACACTGGGTCTAATTGGAAGCTCCAGTTGAGATTGAATGCCAGCGGCAACAATGTGTATGTATTTTGGGATCATTTATTTGGTGGTATTCTTGGATCAGAATCATCGGATAGTCACAAATGCGACTCATTAATAAATAGGATCATTACAAACTCCCCAAAAGCACGCAAGGAAGGTCCTACTAGCACTTGAGTTCAATTCCAGAGATTCACATGTTCAGGTTGCAAATAGCATCTCATCTAGCAAATAATTATGCTTTCACAATGCAAAGACCACGATTTCGGATAGAACTGTTGCTAGTTGTACCACGGCTCTTAGCTTTGGATCAACTAGGAACTATGAGTGGTGTGGAACGAGATGTGGTCATTAAATATCTATTAACACAACCCACTTGAGTGCTATGAACCCTGGTTCAAGTCAGAGACGTTCATCAGCAAAAGTAAATGATCAGTGGGAGGCTTGAACTCCCGACCTTGGCATCACTCAACATATCTGATGATATATTAGTACCACGCTCTAACCAACTGAGCTAACCGACCCGCTTTCGAGTTGTGATGGTGTTTCCTCGTGTGTAACCAATTTAGAGACCTCTGGCAAAATTGCGATGTAATGTGGGAGACCATCGGCAGAAGAGAGGACCCTATCTGACAAGCCCTAGTGAATGGGTCCTTTGGAAATATCCACTGGTGGTGTGGCCCACTTGGATGTCGATGGGTTGGTTGTAACATCAAGTTAAAAGAGTGTGCGGATATAGCAGGTAATTAAACACTATTTCGTCTTGAAATTCTTGAGTTGTAGATGCAGAAAGGAATAGACATTCTTGGCTATGCGTCAGCGTGTTGATTAGTCGACATGCGGCAAGAGGTAGACGGATATTACAGAAGACTAGCTGCGTAAAGACAACAAGGACACTGGAGTAGTAATTGCTGGCACAAAGAACTCTTAGGCATAATGAAGTTAGTAAATTTCTAACGCGCATAAGGCACCTAAAAACTGGTTTGTTTCTGATCAAGACCACCATACTTCAAACTCTAAAGTCGGCCTCCTTTCAAAATCACATTTCTACTATCGTCACCAGCTTCTATAATTTGGTTGTTCTTTACGCCAGCTGCCAACTCACGCCAATTCTCTGTCGTGTATCTCATCACGTCTGTGGCCCACATGTAATCCTGCCATTCTTTATCGCACCACCGGTCTGCGCGAACATCATGCTCGTTAGCATGACGGATGGCTTTGTCTCGCTTCTCTTGCTCCGGGCCGTCGGGTAAATGGAGGCTGTGGCCCGTGGCTAAGGCGCTGGAAGCAATCCTTTCTGCACGTTCTTTTCGAACGATCTCATACACGCCCAGTGCGAGCGAGACATTCGATGTGCATGTCAGGGCGGTTGCTATTACAGCGGCGTCTTCGATAGCGTTTGCGGCTCCTTGGGCGACGTAGGGAAGCATGGGATGACAGGCATCACCGGCGAGTGTGACACTACCCCGAGACCAATATGGTAATGCGGGAAAAGTATCCAGTTTCCACTCCAGCACCTCTTCCTCGGCGCAGCATAGCCAGGCGCGAATCGCGGGGGACCACTCTTTATAGAAATCAAGCATTGCTGCTCGATTTCCTTTTGCGAACCAGACATCCTCTCCATCTATCGTTCGCCCTAATGGTCTGTTGGCCGTATGTAGAAGGACGAGGTTGTACATGGTGTTCTTTTTAACAGGATATCCCATGACGTGGCCGCCGGGTCCCATATAGCGAACAGCTATATTCTGGTCCAACATGTCGAGAAGCTTCTCATTATGTTGTACCTTCTCACGGGAGATGAGCAGCCTGTATGCCGCATCAGCTGCGGGAAGTGGTCCGTCTGCAAATCCAGCTGATTTTGCCATTTGCTTCCTCATCATGGAATGAATGCCATCAGCCGCAATGACGATATCCCCGGTAAGCCAGACACAATGGCCTGTTGCGAGACTCTCAACTTTCACCTGAGGAAGGAATGATCGATGCACGCCCACGACAACTTGTGATGTGCGCACTTGGCAGCCAGCTTCTATAGCGGCTTCAAGAAGAATACGTTGTAGATCTGCTCGATGAATGGCACCCATGGGAGCTCCGTATTGAAGGTCGACTGATGGCATGATTGGAAGCGAGCCAAGCTCCTCGTCACTATCATATCGTCTGGACAAACATATATAAGCTAGTTGCATATACACAGTACCCATATATGGGCCATTGAAGGGGAGAAGCTGAGTCAGATGTAACAGGAGGTACCTATACTCGCTGCCTCGAGCAGCACAGAAATGGTGCATGTTGCAAAGCTTACCTGATGCTGACTTTAGACAAAAGAGATGTGTGCTCCATCACTTTATCTAAAACACCCAATCGGTGCAGGATCCTGGACGCGTTTGGGGGTAGCTGTATGCCAGCTCCCACTTCAGAGATCTCAGATGCCCTCTCAAGGATCGTGGCAGTGTGTCCTGTTAGCGCCAGTGCAAGACCTGCTGATAGACCAGCGATGCCTGCGCCAACAATGATAATGTTGAATGGCCTCACAGCCTTCCTATTGGTGTAATCATGTGCGCTTTGGGGGGTATTCATAATGTCAACTGGGTAATTTTCCCTTGAGAAATATGCCGGGATCATATACTAAGGCCTGAGTTACTAGTTACTCTGGCTTTATATATCATCAGTCGGTATATCATCGGAAATCAGTGGTAAAACAATGTTTCCATCGCTCCAAGTCTAATTCTAGTGATCACCACAGGCTTTTACTGAAATCAAAAGCTGTTTGGTCTAGAGTAATGCCACTAGCCTCCCCAATCCACCCATGCCCTTACCAACTCCTCTGTGCCGATATCTGGAACTTGGCGTCCATAGAGCAGTATGCGCGTTGGTGCATACGAAGATTTATTTCTCAAAACGGACATAAAAGTAGGCGAAGAAGACATGGGCTGGTTACCAAGACCTGTGTAAGACCCTAGTCTCCGTAGACAATCACAACTGTCGGTTCCAGACATCACATGATGTTTGCCATCGCTTGCTATTATTAGTTGGCGCTTTTCTCGGTGGGACTTCCCAGCCCAGTCGGGCCGCAAGGTGGCGGCATGTGGCCTCGGAAGGCGAGCGTAAGGCTTTCATTTATCCCCATGTTTTTCTGGATTCGTTGCTCTTTATTGAGTTGAAGATTGGATGCAAGAGCATAGAGTACAGATAGGCTTTTCCATCCCTGGCTTCCAGTAATAAGCACGTGAATATGTTCATTAAAAATGAGATTAGAAGTCGGAAAAAGTCATCTTTATAACACAAGATTGGCCTAGAGTGCTGTTATGTTGGACGAAAATTTTATCATACACTGGGGTAGTCACATAGAAAACATGCCTTTAACAAAGTATCAGAGGCTTTGATACCTTACTCAAATCTTCCCGTATGAATAAGTTTGTAACCTTGTTATGATGCTCCCAAGTACTTTTTCGGGTAGACACTCGAGACACAGCACATCGTAAGGCTTCTAGTTTCGCATGCATAGAAATAAACCGAAACAAAAGTATTTCGGAGGTCAACATCAAGATCCAAAGCCAAATTGCGGATCAATTTCCAACATGATGAAAGCAAGACCAGGGCCACGTAAACTGGTAGGGCCCACTCTCTTCTCATTCGCTAGCCTACAAATGGCAGTTCACTATTCTACATGCTCATTGATGAATGCAGCTCACAGTAGGTAGCAAACATGCAACATCCAGTGTTTGTCGCATGTTTTGTTGGCGGAGGTGGCGCTTCGTTTTTTAACAGCTCTGCCAGGCCCGCCAGGGTTCTTCCACTCTACCCGCCTCAGACGTTCGCACTAATATGACAAGTTTGCTGTACCCTGTTTCTGCGAACCCCTGCACCCTCGACTTGAGTTGGGCTGGCCCTGTTGACACTATTGCCTGGCCACCTGATTGCCCCGCCTTGAAGATTCTGTGGACAATGTGTAATGGAACCTTAATCGAATCGATGAAGTCGAAGACTGTAATGTTTTTCATGTATGAAATCTCCCCTCTACTCCTTAAATCTTTGTTGTCGAAGTTCGAGATCCCTCCCTTCGCTATCCAAAGCCTCCACCTTCATCGTGGATCTCGGGTAAGCATCCCGAAGATCTCTAACAGGCTGGTCGAGACCCACGAATTCCAACCTGCAGTGGCAGTACTTCTTACAGGCTGTGCAAACAATAGGCCAGAAACAAACAAACCAAACACATAAACACTCAAATTTTTCAATCAAATCTTGCTTCTTTTCGCAGCAGTAAAAACAAGGAACACAAATAATCCCGATGACCATCCCGTTCCGTGGATGCGGGGTTGCGTGTCTGCGGGAATATGAATCCCAAAAAAACATAAACCCGACAAGATAACCCCGGTATTAAAGTCCGCCACTTAAAACCGGCAGTGGCTTGTAAAGAAATGGACTGCGCCACGGCATTAACAGCCCGGACTTCGTTGGCGCACGGGAATCAATGTCCGCCATCATTACCAAGCGACTCGAGCCCTGGCGTGCAGCGCTGTAAATTCCTTGCTTTCTGGCTGGGCCATGAGAATTGCTGGCCACCTGGCGAAAGCCTGCCTCGTAACAGGCAGACGGCGATGCACGCAGTGCCTGATTAAGGTGACATTGAGTATTTAAAGATTAGAACCACGCAGACACAGACGATAATAAACAGCACGATTACACGCATATCTAGTCTTATTTAAATCGACACATCCCAAACAATTGTTCTTCTCGTTCTTATTAATGCCCACTCAACTGAATCCATATAACAACTAATTACTTAACTTCATACGAAATGGTCTTCAAGAACTCGTTCATAATCACAGGTGGTACTCAAGGCATGGGATACCATGCAGCCCTGATCATCGCCAAAGAACATCCTGAGTTTCTCGTCGTGATCTTGGCACGATCTGACAGGAACCATGCTGCCGAGACGATCAACAAAACCCTAGGCCAGTCCAACACCATCTTTATGCCAATTGATCTGGGCAACCCCGACAGTGTGCGCCGTTTCGTTAAGAATTGGATTGCCGACACGTCGAAGCCCCAGATCAAAGGTCTGGTGATGAACGCGGCGCTGCAATTCCCAACAACTCTTCAGCTGACAGACGAGGGTATGGAAAAGACATTTGCCATCTCGCATGTGGGACACGCGATTCTCTTCCACCTTCTTTGCCCTTACCTCGCCACTGGTTCTCGCATCGTTCTCACATCAAGCGGCACTCACGATCCAGCGCAAAAGTCAGGTCTGCCGGATGCCGAATACAACTCGGCTGAAGAACTGGCATTCCCGCCACCATCCAAGGTGGATATTCCCGGTCGGAAGCGCTACTCAACCACCAAGCTCTGCAACGTGCTCTGGGCTTATGCGCTTGCACGGCACCTGGCTGAAAGAGCCCCGGAACGCGGTATCACTGTCAACGCCATGGACCCAGGTCTTATGCCCGGTACAGGACTGGCGCGCGAGGCCAGCGCCATTGAAGGATGGCTCTGGAATTCAGTTTTACCGCACATGCTAGGTCTCCTCCGTATAATATTCAACCCCAATGTACACACACCGGCGGAGTCAGCAGCCGCGCTGGCTCGTTTGGCCGTGTCACCCAGCGTCGAAGGAGTTACCGGCAAATATTTCGAAGGGTTGAAAGAGATCATGTCCAGCAATGACAGTTACGTTAAGAGCAAACAAGAGGATCTGTGGAACTGGACCATCAACTACGTAGCACAGGGAGATGAGTCTGAAGCGGAGCGGTTACGGTCACTTAAGTGAGGCAATTGAGGAGCGAATGCATTCAATGCTGCTTGATTAATGGGTTTCGTTTTTTTTTTTCTTAAATGCAACTTCTGAAAGGGCTGTTGAACAGAGCACAGGAACTTAGGTTCTCTTTATAGGATTAGCGTTTGTATCGTTTGAATGTTCGTTTGCTAAGGTAATAAGGCATATCCTAGCGTATTTAGATCATATGATATCTCTTGTAATTTAATTTTGATAAACGCGGTCCTTGTAGTCTTTGCCTGTAGGAACGAAGTTCCGAAAGGAGTCAGTGACGCGAGGTTCGCAAAAGCTATCTACCCCTTCGAAAGATTGTCCGCAGTGGTCGAGTGAGTGTTTGTGCTGAGCTTACACGCCATCGGAAAAGAGCTTCAGGACGGAAAATTCGAATTTTACATGGAATTAAAAAAGTCAAAATCGCCGTCTTTGAGGGTTTGATTCCTACTCCTGCTGCTGTTCTCCAGCCAGCAGCCTCCCGCCGCCAGGGTGTTACAGCCAGCTTAGACAACCTAAAGTAATTGTAGGTTTCACAGGGGGTGAAACAGGGGGTGAAACGGAATTCCGTTCGTCAATAACAAATAACAGTAAATTGGTTCTAATCGATGGTTCATGATGATAGTTGAAAGTGGTGTTGTTGACTAGAAGGTGGGGATATTCCCCCTTGGCCTGTCACGTGGGTCTGGGAGGCTTGGGCCTCTCAGCCTGGCGGGCGTGTGGCTGGAAGTGCCACACGACTCCGTATTCCAACTATCGCAACACTGGAAACTCTCTTTTTATGGTGTTGAAGCGGTTGGAATACGTTGTCCCTATACAGTTCCGTCTCCTCGTCAATTCGGCCTCCTATCCCTACTTTCTCCCGTAGTTACGGTCTTGTTACCCATCCCTCCATACGTATCGTTATCGTGTTGCTATCAACGAATCTCTCGAGGGCTCGATTTGGTTTGCTCTTCGTGAGGGCATCAGCAGGGTTGTCTTCGCCGTTAATCCAACGAATTTCTTGTAGTTCTCGTCTTTCGTACGATTGTCTCAACGCCATGATATCGATCATGAGTCGCTTTTCTTTGGTAGTGCCCAGCTTCACGAGACACTCGTACAGCGAATAGGAATCGGTACAGACAACTGTCTGAATCGTTGGTAGGTTGAGGTGGTCAGTGATTGTCGCCAGGGTTGTGGCGAGGGCGTAGGCCATATCGACGCCAGCGACCATCCCGTAGATCTCTGACGCTAATACGCTGCGGGTGACTCGTTTACTCTTCGTAGAGCTGTAATGAACGAGGTTACCGTGAATCGTGAATTCTCCGTTGTTGCTGTCAGAGGAAGTGTCGTTGGCTAGGATGATCAGAAACCCTAATTGGGAGGAGAGGTCGTGGTTATTAGCGAACGACCCGTCAACGAAAACGAATAGCTTGGCTGTTGTAAGGTCGAGTGGGATAAACGTTATTCCTCGGTTAGGCGATTCCATTTGCCATCGAATCCGTTGATCCAGTGCTTTTATCGCTTCTGGCGAGGGGTCTTGGTGTTGGGCAGCAGTAGATAAATCGAAACAGGCCTCGGGTTGGCAAATTGACGCGATGTACGCCCCTCTGGCGCGTTGTTCGACATATTGCTGTTTTGGGTTGGGTTCAGTAGTCTCAATACATCGTAACTTCTTGGCTTGTCCCTTTTGCCTCAAATTGATCGAATTGTCGGTTGACAGCGCGATTATCCCTCCGTTGAATTGGAGGGGTTCGTCAATTGTGAGGATATTCTTCGCTTTTGCCGTAAAAGCCGCTTTTTCTAACTGTTCGTCTTCTAATTGTGAGAACGCCTTGTCTGACAAACCGAGGGTATCGTCGGTTTGCATGCCGATACAGCCAAAGTGTGGATTTTCGGTAGATGAGATCAATAGGCATGGATCGTACGAAGAAGTAACCATCTGGAGATTCTCTCTGTGATGCTTGTGATACGTTGCCCACCAGTGGGTTCCAGCTTCTGCGATTCCGTACAGAGGCTTCACAACCTCCATAATGGTCCCTTTTGGGTACTGGTCTTGAATTTGCTTCGGTGGGTAGGCGAGAATAGTGCGATTGAGCCTTGTGGAGGATTGAACGTAGGCTTGTGTGATATCTCGAAGCCATAGTTGTTTCCCTTCTCGTAGGAGTGACGGGGTAATTGACAGAATTAGCCGTTGACTCGCCCGTTGAATCGTTGGCGATTGGGTCAATATAGCCTTCTTGCTATCGTCGGCGTAACCCTGTATTACAAGTCTCGATTTCTCGTAGGGTTCGGTTGTTTTACCCTTGACTTCGTTGACGATACGAGATCGGAAGATTCGTACGTTCTGGTGCCTTCTCTTATTGAACTGGGTGAATTTGAACACTCCTCTAGCGATGAGGCTGTTGATCTCTTGTTTAGTTGACTGTTCGAACGGTTCGCCTGGTGTAGTAATAACACCTTCTCGTCGTAGTTTGATTGCTAATTCTTCGTCTGCTTGCTCCTTAATCGATAGGAATATTTGTTGATAATCCGGGTCATCGTTGAATTCCTCTGTGAAGTGGGCGATTGGCAGTGGTCTCTTCCGGGGTCTGCCCGGGCGTCTTCTCGGTGGCTCCGGTGCCTCTTGCGGTTCGTCCGGTTCACTGCCTCCGCCGGCGACGATAATTTCGTCGCGTACTACTTCCTGCTGCGGTATCTCAGCTTCGGGTTCTTCTTCTTCTGGCGCGGCGATGGAATTAGGTGGTTGATCGGGATCTTCGTAGTATGGTTTGACTACGGTAGACCGGAAGGTCTTCGGACCACGTGGCGTATCGACAGTACAGGTTTCGCCGTTTATGGCTGCTAAAGTAAACGGTCCGGTCCAGCCCTTCTTTTCGCGCCATACTCGTACTTGCGACCGTAGCGGTAAATTAACAATTGGCCCTGTATCAGGGCCATTGCGGGTGGCGATAGCTTCTGCCACCTGTCGCCTTGCGTGAAGTTCGCGTACTTCGCTCGTCGCCTTCTTAATCGCTTTCGCCCGCCTTGTGACTTCGGGAGATGGCGGCGAATCGTCGGTAATTCGTGGGTACGAGCCGAATACCAAGAGTGTTGGCACTATTCCGTTCGGGCCAGCAGTATCGTTAACTGCTTTGACTGCTGTTTGAAGTGCTGATTCTGGCGTAATTGTTGGGTCTTCTGCTCTGATGATTTCGTACGCCCTCCTTAGAGGTGTATGGTATCGTTCAACTTTCCCAATACTGTTGTGGGCTTCTATGGGAATTTCCTTGATTTCAATTGCCATTCCTCTCGCCGCGTTTCGGAATTCTGTTGAGCGGAAGTTTGTTCCAGCGTCGGTAACTAGCCAGTCTGGGGGTCCCTGATACACATCTATCCAGCAGAGGCGTAGGGCTTCCCAAGTGGCTTTCGCAGAAATGTCCTCAAGGAACCGGGCGGCGTTGAACGCCGTGGCGGTATCGACGACGTGGAGGACCGGTCTGTTACCCTCAAGGTACATCACGTCGGCGATAACCTCGTAGTTGAATTCGTAATCGTCTCGTAACGTGAATTTGAACCGTGATGGCGCTGGTGCGTGCATTTGGCATCGATGGCAGACTTTCGATAGTTGCTCAATTGCCGTAATTTCAACTGGGTGGCCGGCCCTCTGGAGCACCTTGTGTAATCGTTGAACAGATGGGTGTCCGAAGCGACGGTGAACCCGTCGCAATTCAGCGTCTGTGAGGTGGTTCCAGGCGAGTGGTTTCTCCTTATCGAGTAATAACCATGGGTGGCCCCATTTGCGAATAATAGGTACGACCTTGTTTCCTTGGATGAGGGTATTCGTAACGTTGTTAAAGTAGACCTTCAATCGGTCCATATCTCCTAGGCACATAAGGAAGGGAGTGTTAGTCTCAATAACGTGAAATTTGACGCTTCCAAACGGCGTTGGCACTTTGGTAGTCCCTATAGACTCCAGTGGTATCCCATCGCCGAATTTCACTGTAACGCCGCCAGCCGCCTCAGTGTTTAACGTAATTCCTTCGTAAATTTGTTGTAGGGCCACGAATTGTGGGTGGCCAGCGGTTGAGAATCCTGCTGCGCCCGAGTCGGGCATGATCCCTTGGAAGTTCTGGGCAGAGTAGCGTCCCTCGAGTGTGAATTGCGAAGGTAGCTCTTTCGGTTCTGGTTGGTTGCGGAAGAGGTCTTCTTTCGTAATAGCATGGCGGGTTGACTGGTCTGCTAGGATCGTGGCGATCCTGTTGCCGTCAATTGCTGTTGTAGTGAAATAGGCGGTGACCTGGAATTGACTGTCGCTGCCGGTCTCTTCCTCTTCGTCACTTTCACTGGTTTGTTCGGTTACGTGGTAGTATTGCTGGGGGTCTTCGGCGGTAGGTTGTAGGTCTAACCCGTCGAAACCCTCGTATTGGACGAGAAATTGGCCATATGCTGGAAGTGACGTATCCTGGGCATATTGGGTGGTTTTGAACTTCTCGTACGCTTTTCGTCTCTCTTCTGTGGTGTGTTTGGTTGACCAGCAGTTAGGTTTTCCACACACGTAGCACTTCTTAGGCGTTGGCGGTAATAGGGGTCTGTCACGGCTTCTTCCTCGTGATGATCGACTTCGTGATGAACGACTGTATCGTGAATAACGCCCTCGACCGTTGAAAGTTCTGTCGGTCCAGTACTGCTCTGGTGGGTTGGCTACTGTGTTGAATTGTTGTTGGTTGAGACGGGTAGCTGTCTCGATCGACGAGATTAATTGGCTGCGAAGTCCCTCGTACGTCTCAGCCGGTACAAATAACGCCATTGCACACTCTGGAATATCTCTACAAGCGTGTAGAAGTTGGGTATGGAGGGATCGGTCGTTGTGATCCTGTTGTGGCAAACCGGGCTGAATCTTGCTTAATTTGTCACATAGTATGTCAAAACACTCCGATTTGGTCTTTCCAGGGTTATCGCGAATGATTTGGGGAAGAGTAGTTGTATTCCACTGCGTAACGTACGCTTGTTGCCTTTCCCTAGTCTCGAAGTGTGATTTCAATTGGTTGATCATGGTCTCGAAGTTGGGCTGTGGGTTGATCACTTTAATCGAGGCGTAGAAGTAGGTTTTGGCTATTCCTTTCAGTATTAGGGGAAGTGCCCTGTTGTATTGGGAGGTGTGAATTCCCAGCATTCTACAGTGATCCACGAATACTGGCATCTTCTTTTCGAGTACATCGTACATATCGCCGCTGTATTTCATATCGTCGGGGTATAGTTTCGCGAATTCTGTTAATTGCTTTCCGATACGGTCTGTTGACTCGTATGGTTGGAAGTCTGTTAACGGAGAGACCGTGGGATGTGGCGGTCGGTACGGTAGTTGCCACTGTTGTTGTTCTTGTGGAGGAGGTGGCTGTAGGGTTGGTTCGACTCTTCCTCCTGTGCTGTTGGCTACTGTTGCCGGTCTCGTGATCTCTTCGTGGAATTCGGGGTCTTTTATCAGAGCCTTCAGGTTGCGATATCTCTTGACGCCTTGTTCGAGTTCTTGGGGTGACCAGTAGTGGAATTCTTCCTTTTTGAGGGCTAATGCCACGTTTTTCGAGATTTTCTTGCCATCCATTTCGACGTAGACGCCGTTACCGATTAAATGGTCTCTGAAGAATCGTAGGATTGGGGGAGGTACGTTCTGGAAGTCTTCTTCTGACCAGTCGGCGAAATCGGGAGAAACTTCGTTCCATAGCTCGAGGCCCGTGAGATTCCTCTTCTCATAGGTCTCAAGTAGGAAACCCATATAGGAACCCAGTTGCTGTGGGCTAGCGTTTGTAAGGTCGATTGCCCAGTTGCCCCATACTGCTGGATCGATCATACTTTCGATTCTCTGTGGGATGGGGACTGTTGATTGGCTTTTGGCAGTGACGCCGCTCGCGGGCGATCCTTCTCGTGAATTTCGCTCCATTCTGACAGTATAAAAGGATTACTTCTGTTCAGAATCTTGAATTCTAATCCTCAACAGCGTCAGCTGCGATTGGTGCAAGATGCAGGCCTGGAAGTGGGAGTCAAAAGACGATTCGGGATATTACGATTCTAAGGGGAAAGAATCGTGAAATCGGGGATTTTCGTCGGTTCGTCGTTTGTTTCCGTCGGCGCCGTTCTCGCTGATGTTCTCGAGGGGTGTGAGGGTATACACAGGTCTCGAATTGGTAGGGAGAGAGTTCTACCGTAGATTCTCTCGTGAATCTCTCTTTCTCGCTTCGGGCTTCGCTCCTCACTGTTGGGAAGTTTAGAATCTAGCGGACAGTTGGCCTTATGACGCCCACAACCACGTGCGTTTCTCCTAAGCCGCAGCCTCGGAGGCGTATACGTATAGCTGTATAGGCGGATTACCGCCGGTAGTCTCCGCTCGCCTTTCGGCGTGTTCTTCTTCTGGTAGGGAGGTCTCTTGTGGCAGGCGCCTCGCGGTTGGCACCTCGTCTGGGGATTTATTGAGAAACTAGCGGGCGCCTCGTGATTGGCACCGCGCGTGGGGGATAGTTGTAGTTGGGGAAGTTGTTGTCCCTTGTGGGATTCGTGAATCTTCGCCCTTGTGGCGTGAAGAGGTTGGAAGACCGTCGATTCGGTAGGTCTCTTCTTCTGGTGATTGAAAACGCGTGATGGAACGCTCTTGCCAGCGATAATTGGCTGCGATTAACCTTATCCCGCCCAGGGTGAGCGTAGCAGTCCCTAGGTTACTCGAATAATCGGATTGCTGGTAGATTCGAGGAAAAGAAGCTTTCTTCTGCTGGTTTCCGTAGATCCCAGTTACTCTCGCTTCTTCTCTCGTTAGCACGAAATCCCTACTTTTACCTGGGCTTGGGTATCCAGTTCAAGAAGTCGTCTCTTCTGGTGTTGACCTTGCTGATCTGCGGTTTGTCCGTAGCAGAGTGGTAATTGTGAAGTTAACCAAATTAATGGCAACTGTGAGGTTTACCACTGATCAGTGTAGGTTTCACAGGGGGTGAAACAGGGGGTGAAACGGAATTCCGTTCGTCAATAACAAATAACAGTAAATTGGTTCTAATCGATGGTTCATGATGATAGTTGAAAGTGGTGTTGTTGACTAGAAGGTGGGGATATTCCCCCTTGGCCTGTCACGTGGGTCTGGGAGGCTTGGGCCTCTCAGCCTGGCGGGCGTGTGGCTGGAAGTGCCACACGACTCCGTATTCCAACTATCGCAACAGTAATTTCTGCTAATAGAATCTGAGGCTGAGAGACTAATTATAGGTCGTAGATCGTTGACTAGTAAACGTACTGATAGATCGACGGGTAGGGTAAGGGGATAGTCATACACTAAATACTTAAGTAATAACAATATCATACTACTGTGACATTTAGGCTGGGAGCCATCCAAGATAAATCACAAAGGTAAGCTGATTACTGAATAAATATAAGAGTCCTTATCCTCCAGGTTTGAGTCCTCACCTATATATTACTATCGGTTCCTGGGGACCGTCATCTTAGGGTCTGTCTTTGTCCCGGGACTGACTGGGGACCGTCGGTTCTTGTCCTGATAAGTCCTTGGATAATGAAAAATTCTTTTTCCTACGCCTTTGAAGAACATTTAGAGTAATTTCAGAGTCACCTAGTTCTTAAGAACTATATGGACACCCCCCTCCCCCCTTCTTTGTTCTTTCACAAATCTGGCATTATAAAAATATTTTCAAGATTTAGTTTCTTTCCCTTTCTTAGCAATGCCTTCATAATAATAAAAATATTAAGGCGAATAGGGTTGACGTTTTCCAACTCGCTAGAGCGTAGATCTGTAGATCGCAATAGGAAGTGTCAGCATAATGCAGCTGCGTAAAGTATAATATACTCGGCTTTAGGTAGAAGAGCAAACATGTTACCAGAGACCGGTATGCTTAGCTGCTGCTGTAGCCCTTTGATGGGGCAAGACCCTAGTAAGTCCTATCAAGTTATATTAATATAGTAAAATACAAAAGTACTAGGATTTATAGGAGAGGCCGAATAATGGAGCGCAAATGCGCCGTACTATTGTATTTACTTATATTAAACCCAGCTGTGTTATATAATACGAGTCATAGGGCCCTAATTACAGTAAAGGGCCTTATGTTTAATATTAACAGTCAACAGCTACTACAACTCCTATATAAGGCAAGGGGCTTGCCTACGATCTCTAGATAAATCTGCCTCCTTCTTACTTTATTTTTTACCTTTATTTTCAAGATGGTTCAAATCGCTTTAGCTACTGCTGCTGTTCTTGCTTGCTTTGCTGCTTCCGCGCAAGCCTGTAGTGGTTGGTATCAGTGTAAAAACATTGACGGAAGTCACTGTTGTGTATGCTCATCACGTCATACGGCTGAAGCCTTTACTAAGTTTGATAGGTTATTCCCGCACAGTCAGGTGGCCCTAGTGACTGCCCAACTAATTGCAATGGCGGTTCCGCATGGCCTCCAGAGTGTATCGAACCCATCACTGGCAAAGGCCGCAAAGCGTAAGCTGCTTTCTCAGCATCCTCTAGACAACCAAAAGCTAACGGATGTGTCTTAGGTGCCCCGGGTACAAGGGCGGCTTTTGAGAATGTAGACTGGGAGCTAGCGAGATGAAGATTGTGCTAGCCTAGGAACAATTTTGACTGCTAGGCTTAAGCTAATTAGGCCAAATGTTCCCCACATGCATAACAAAAGTATCGCTTATGCCATGAGGCTCTTAGTTAGATGTTCAATAAGACCTAACATCTTATCCTTCCTTGCCATCCTTCCTTGCCTGCCGGGTATAGTAAGAGAACTGTACAGAACGAGGACAGCTTAGACACGTGTATTTGTGCGGAGCAAAAGGAGCTTGAGAACGGTACCCAGGCCGAAGCCGATTTCCACACAATATTAAAATTGTTTCTCATAAAAGCTACACTGCCTCTAATTGGACAAAATGTTGATGTTACAGAGTTATCCACTTCTTTGCTGCTAGAGAAGAAGAAATAATAATATTGTGGTAAACTAATTCTGCTAGATATCGGTATGTGAGGTTAACTGCGTAGTTAACTGCCCTGCCTGTTTACAAAACTAAGACAGACCGGCAGAGAAACAACCTGTAGCTTCACAAGGCAAAGCGATAAATGTCATAATGGCTGGTTAAGACTACTGATGCTTTTCTTATGTTGAAGTTTTTCAGCCTCCAATCTAATTTAAATCAGTAGGTAGATAGATCTTTGAGCAGAATTTAGGATTAACGGTGGAACCCGAAGTTGGCAAGACTTGACTCACCGGCTCAACACCCCTTTTCTGATATGTTGGACCCCTGGATGGTGTGCTACTCTCTTCCGAGACTTGCCGATCCCCTCAAGCAACAGTGGGCTTTCTACCCTTTGTGGTTGCCGTTTCGTCTTGTCTAAAAATGGTAGTGGTTGCGAACTTGCGGTGTTAACTGCTCGTTATATCGCAGCAGCTTGCAAAAAGAGCCCTTGGTCAAGCCCGCAAGCCATGTTATTAACCTTAAGGCAGGTCAGGGAATCCAATCAGCTTGTGATGTGTTGGAGATGGTTCAGTCTGGTATAATGAACATACAGCGAATGCAGAGTCATCTCTTCGGGAGGGTGGCCGAGTTGGTTATGGCGCCAGGTTAAGGTCAGCTTAACATCTGTTTCCTGGTGGGGCAACCCGCGCGAGTTCGAGTCTCGTCCCTCTCATTTTTATTTTTTTAAAAACAAAAGTAATACAGCCAGACCTATATTGTTCAAAGAGGAGCCTACAAATAGTCAAAGCAGCGCCAGAATGTTAGTTGCCTTCGGATTCTGACATTAACAACTGATGGAAACTAGTCAAAGAGAGATAAAGTATGAAATTTAACACTGGGCCTCAGGATAAAAGAATCCGTCTTTCGAAGTAAGTATTAGTAAACACGTAAGCTATTTAATAAATCACTACTTCCTATATTGTTTGTGGCGTTAAGCTTTGTCTGTACCTCAGGGCCCTTAGCGAGGGGTTGTATTCGTCCACCTTGACAAGGTCTTCACAAAGGGTGCCCGCAGCAAGACAAACAGTATTTTAACTACCTTTCGCAGGTTGATTACAAGTTTATTAACGGTGTCAGAAGCATTGGGTAAGACGTTGCGTGTGTCCTAATCCACATCCATGCAGATAGTATGTTTACTTCAGTCGAGAAGAGAGGTAACTTAGTAGTCATTCATCACAAAACAGCCAACTCATAGATTGCTTTCTTACAAGGCCGTGTGCAAAGCGAGGCAAGTTGCATTCAAGCCCATACCACCGCTTTTATATCGGCTTCAGGGAAGGCATATCCTATCAAACTCATAGAAAACTAAGGTCGGAAAACTGCATGTGCAATGCAGTCATCATAAACGAAGGGTTTCTCTTCTCTTTCGATCCGCCATCGATTGGTCGCCTCCAACATTCCTGGCAAGTCCATAAACAACCACCCCCATTTCCTTAAAAACCCTTCCGACATTTCCCAGCCCGTGATATCCCATGGCGGCGACCACGCAATGATGCCACGTTGTTTGATCTCGTCGTCAGGGAAGCCCTCGTATAACCCGCCAATACAGTCAGCCCATAGCTCATCCTCATCAAAGGTGCCAGAAGCTCGAATCAAGCGGTCTCTTCCCTCAGGACATGGAAACAAGTCAACCCAGTCACCATGCGGCACCGTTTGTTGAAGTTTGGTAGGTAGTAGCGCTGAAGGGAGTAAGTTTGGCTTGGTAGGCCAGGGTATGACATGTATAACCTCCTCATCACAGTCAAAGGGCGTAACGAGGATGCCGGAAATCAGAGAGCGGTTAACGGCCAGAGCGCGGAGAGCGTTAAATTGAAGGAGTGTGATAAGGTGATCCGGACAGAGCGGGAATACCACAGTAGACTGGTCTATTTTAGATTCACGAAGCAGTAAGGGGCTTTTCGTATTGTACAGCTGCGTGACACTGGATATTGGGACGATGGATATGGATTGCTTTTTGACGTTCCAGCATTCCACTAATGCTTCTGGTTCGGTAAGAGACCTGGATGTGGCGTTGGAGGCTTCCGATGTCTTCCTTAGGGCTTTGCGTCTTCCTATTTGGTTGTCAGTTGTAATCATTCTGTAACCAACTCACCAGGCTTGTCCTAAATCCTGCTTTGGACAAAAGGTTGATGCTTTGCTTACTATATGCCCTTGTATTGAGTCTAGTCTGTGCTCGTCTGCGTGCTGCGGCATCCTTCGTCCCCGTCCAGTCGTCTTCGCTGTTAACGGCCTGAATGCAGTCAGCAAGCCGTAGCGCCTTATCAGTTAGAACTGATGGGGTACTAACTTCGTTCAATTGTGGCATAGTTAGAAGTTGGATGCGCGGTGACGTTAAACTTGCGGACTGATTTGTACCAATCATGATGGCGATGGACGTACGATTTGTGATAACGGTCAAATTAGCGATGAAGGAGACAAGTTTCATGCGGCTACCAATGGCAATTTATGCAGCCTGCTCATAACGAATTTGAAAATCGGAAATCGAGAAACGGTATTATCCCGTGGCTAAGACGTAGCCAGAGAGTGGCTATGGCAATAGCACGCTATCATTCGTCACCATCAGAGAGCCTAACCTGAGTAAGCCAAGCGCTATGCAACCTGCTCACATCGCGGACTTAAGTCACAAGCTCCAGAGTCACGCATGCACTATCTGAGTGACAAACGCCACGTTATGATACATCCATCCCCTGCGAGATTGAACGGTTAGCCCCACACTGCATGCACCTGGCTCACGCTCCACTTAGAACATCTCTTCAATTGTACGAGTTGGACTTTAAGGAGTTAAGGATCATGCATTTGCTCACCTTATATGGCGTGAAAAAAAATAGCAGTCCAGTCCAAAGGATCTCGATTAAACACCATTTGAAGCCGTATAAAGAGGGCGACAACACTTTAAGTTCGACATATTTCGTATCACCCAAGACCAATTTAATACATCAAGGTTATCCCTCTGCCTTTGCATTAAACCTTCATACTTGGACTCGATATTTTGGTCAATGACTTTCCATCCCGAATCTCTCCCTGATCTCAGGGGCAAAGTTTTCGTAGTTACAGGTGGAAATGCCGGCATGTAAGCGTCTCCGTTTTCTTTTTTTTTTTTTCCCCATGAGGCTGAACCGAAGAACTTATCAACTTGTAGAGGTTATTACACCGTAGCCCATCTCGCAAAACATGGTGCACACGTTTACATGTGCGCCCGATCCCCTGAAAAAGGCGCAGCAGCCATCGACAACATGAAAAAGGAATACCCGTCAGCCAATATCGACCTTCTGATAATGGACCTTATGGACCTCTCCAGTGTTGTCACGGCAGCCAATCAATTCCTCGCTTCCGAAACAGTTCTACACGGCCTGGTTAACAATGCTGGCATAATGGCTACGCCCTTCGAAATGACAAAAAATGACCATGAGGCTCAATGGCAGACTAATTACCTTTCACATTGGGTTTTGACAGCGTACCTGCTTCCTGTAATGTTGCGGACTGCCAAAACGCTTCCTCCTGGTGGGGTCCGCATCGTCAACGTCAGTTCCTCAGGTCATTTGGGCGCACCTAAAGGCGGGATCAATTTCGACGATCTATCACTTAGTGATAGGGATCCTTGGCAGCGATATGGACAGAGCAAGCTCGCAAACATCCTGCACACCAAGACCCTACATAAGATGTACGGGCCCAACTCCCCCAGTGCACGGAACGGGGAGGGCGAGATCTGGGTTTCAGCTGTACACCCAGGTCTTGTCGAAACAAATCTCGCCACATCGGTTGAAAATTCAGGGTCATTAATGACGATAGTGATTTCTCTCTCGCGCATGCTTGGGTTATTATGGTCGGCCGACAAGGGCTCCTGGTCCAGTTTGTTTTGTACAGCAAGCCCCAATATGACGATAGAGCAGTGTGGGACGTATCTAGAAATTTTCTCGCGGTTTGGGGAACCGTGGTGGGAGAGCGGCGCGGCGAAGGATCATGTTCTTGCAGAGAGATTAGAAGCATGGACTGAGGAGGCGATGAAGAGAGAGGGGTGGATTCAATGATTGTGTCAATCGACTTCAATTGTTGGTTATATTTTTAGTAGCTTTGACGTATTACTTTGGTTTCTGTTCCATCTAATTTACTTCCTCAACGAGTCTATAGTCTTGTATTGAATATCCATTGACCCCTTGTTATCAATCCACCGCTTGTATTTGATAGCTTGAGGATCTCGTGGCAAGCAGCAAGCAAAGAACAGGAGGGTTCGCTTCCAAAAGTAACTTTTCAGTCTCGCTGTGCGCCTAAGCCTGGAATGGTAACTTACATAGTAAATGTATGGAAGAGAGCAATAGCAAAGAGGGAAAGGACAGACTGAGCTACCAAATTTGCCCCCTAGTTGCAAAGCGTTTAATGATTATGTCCCTTTTCATGCTTGCGTAGACTAGAGGTTTAGTGGAATTAGTATACAAAATAAGATGCTAGTAGTTAAATGACCAGAAAGTATCTGGTGATAGAAGAAAGCTGGATCTGGTTGGCCATCAAACGTCTATGCTCTGTTTGCCTCTTTTGGCAAACCCATTTGAGATTGTTCTTGCTACGCACTCTAGGCAACAAAAATGCTATTCCATTGGGCTTAGTCTTCGCAAGACATGGAACAAATCAGACGTAAAGGTGGAATTAGCGTTTTTACCTTCATTAGGCCCCAGCATTAAATATCATAGAAGAAGCCAGATAATTCTCTCTTTAGCTTTCACAATCCAAGCCTTATCAGAGCTCATTCCAAGTTCACGATCATTTGGCTTTAGTGCTATGTCCTTCGCAGTGTGCTTTCTGTCTGCTAGAGGACCTAGTCCTTATGTTCCTAAATCAGTAAACAGTCGCGTATTAGATGTTAGGTTGAAAGCAAGAGATCTAGGAAGACCTAAATTCGAAGTCTGCTGAGATGCGCCCGTTACAGTGATCCAGACTTGCAAAGCCTTGTCACCCGGTGTAGTTGCTAACGTCCAGCCGTTTGGAGAGAATGCCACCGCGCTGATCCAGTCACTGCGGCCGTCCAGTTTCTTTAGATGAACACCAGCCTTGTACTTTTGACCTTCCAGACTACCTGTCACTCTGTTTTCTTTGTACATACAATTAAGCCCGTAAAAGCAGTGACATTCTATGATTGAGCCTCTATAAAGCTGAAACTGGAATCCCACCAAGGATCGATATGTCGGATTAATGATGTTCAGTCAAAGGGCTGGCTCTTCTCATTCAACACACACAGCGCAAGGAACTGGGCTGAATGTTTAAAGATTTAGAGGGCAGCTTCTCTAACTAGGATCAAACAAGCTCATTATCCTTAAGGCCCATCGTTTCCGCAACCACGCTCCCCAGCTTGGTAAAGCTCAGTGTTGGTGCCAACAGCTGCTGGAACGGATAGTTCAGGCCGAACTCCTTGAATAACCAGGTCCTCATCTCTACACCAATCATACTATCCAAGCCGTAGCTAGCAATCGAAGGTCCATCCAGCTCGATGTCCTCGACGGCAATCATCAAGATGATGGAGACTCGTTTCGCGATGTGTTTCGCAATGGCTCGGACGGCGCCGTCGTAGCCCTCTTGCTTCAACGCGACCTTCACTGTCTCTCTGAAGCTCTCCCCGCCACCGGAGCTGCCGCCCGCCTTCTGCTTCCCAGTAGCCTCGACAGCGTTTCGTACGTGGCTGAAGCGAGCATCACGATACCAGTAGAGGTCCAAGCTGTCCTCGCTTGCGGCAGACGTGATAGTGGCACCGAGACAAGGCGCCTCCATTCCCATGAAGACGGTGCCGCTGGTGCGCCCTCTTGCCATGGCGACTTCAAAGCCGCGAATCATCTCATTCTCGTCAATGCCGTAGAGACCCTTGCGCATCAGTGACGCTTCGAGCCCGTCCGTTTCAGCGACCACACCGACTCCCAGCACCATGGGCAACGCCAACGCCGTCGCAGGAAGACCCTGCCCTGATCGAAATCGAGCCAGAGACTCGAGAACCCCGTTCGCCGCGCCGTAGTTGCTCTGACCAGTGTTACCCAGCAGGGCAGAAATGGAGCTTGTCAGCACGAAGAAATCAAGGTCAATGCCAGGCACGTCTTGAAGTGCGTTGTGAAGTGACACAGCGCCCCGCGCTTTGGGGCTGATAGAGGCTTCAAAGGTGTCGTAGTCCATTTGTTCGAACATGCCATCCTATTGATATTAGCTAGATGCTCTTGGATGCGCCACTGTGGTATCTTACCTTGAGAACCATGGCTGCGTGCACAACGCCACGAATCTGACGTTTGGCGACAACTTGGTCAATGACTTTCCTGATGGCGACTTCGTCGGACACATCCGCGCGGAAGACATCGGCTGAAGCACCGGCCTTCTTGATCTCCTCCACGACCTGTGCAGCCTCTGTTTTGTCGGCTCCGGACCTCGAGACGAAGACGAAATTGCGCGCTCCCAGTTCCATCATACGCTTCGTGAGACTGCGTCCGAGTCCGCCAAGGCAACCCACAAGGAGGTAGGCCGCATCATCCGAGAGACAACAGGACATTGTCGGAGGAATCATCTATCAGACGCAAGATCCGCGTCAGCCAAAGTTATCATTCACATACTTTGAAAAAACTTTGATTGCATTAGTACTTACCTTGAACAATGATTCCCCTGAGGAAAAGTCAATAATTCCCATTTTACAATCTTGTTCGTAACCTAAAGTCAAATCATCTTGGAGAAGAAATCTTTGATGCTGTTGAATTTCGGCGATGCAACGCTCCAAGAGCTGTCTCGAAGGTACAGAGCTAGCAGGTGTTGTGATGAAGGAAGCGCCTCTCGCGAACGGAGCTGCATCCGGCGCCAAATTTCCAGTCTCGCTGTTCAGCAGCATGAACCGACCCGAAGCCGGAATGCGTCTCCAGACTTCGCGGCTGGTGTTTATGAAGTCGTAGGCCAAGACTGCCGCCGCATGCTTCTTTGACTCCAGATGCTTGATGATGGCCTCGATGTCATCCGCGGCAACAAGTCGCACACCATCGAACACCGACAAGGACTCAAAATTCTGTTTCTCTTCTTGCGAACGAGTAGCGAGGGCCAAGTTCCAGCCACGTGCGCTTGCGAGCTTTACGAGAAGCTTCGTAGCAATCTCTGGCCCGGGTAACGCCAGGACAGGATCACCCGAGAGCACTTGAGCCTTGTTGAGTGTGAGGTCTACGATTTTCGCGATGACGCCCAAAGTTCCGAGAAGAGATTTTCTGTCGAACGGCTCACGTCCGGAGTTGACAGTGGCAAAGACAGAAGTCTGGGCGGCGGTCGTTAGGTCTCCAGTGACAATGCCGACGGCTTCCTTGCCAATGAGAGACGAGGTAACATCATCACCGGTTCTGGAAATAACTCCCATCACAAGCGTACCCCAGGGGCTGGAGTCCGGTCTCTGCGACATGAAAAGTTGGATTTCCACCTCGTCCGCCGCTAGGGCAGTTTCTTGAATAAGCGGTTCGAGACCAAGGTCGCCCCCATCTAGCACACGTACTCTCATCGGCTGGCCTTCTTGATAAGTGGCAAGTGGAAGATCATCATAAGTCTGAGTGCCACCTTCGAACTGGCGGTTCAAGACGTCATTAGGGACCAGTCGCGAGATATGCAACACGCCCTTGTGTAGCCAGAACTCGGTATCGTTGCCTGAATCCCGTGTTCCTGCATTCTTCACGAGCTCCATGGCTTCGCGACTCACGACGTCCAGGGACTCTTCCTCGTCATAATCCAGAAGGACAATTCGTGAAGCAGCCATCTCTGAGCACAAAACACGCAAGAAGCCACCGGCCATGCCGCCGGTGGCGGAGCGGCCTTGTTGGACGCCTTTAGTGAGCCACAGGACAGGAACAGCAGCGCCAAACAATTTCTTGAGGGCGTCAAAGGACGCTCGATCCAAAGCAGAGAAGAAGTAACCATCGGTATCGTCAACGATGACATGTACGTTCGAACTCAAGGTGCAATCGACTAACGCCTGATGGGTAACACTGCTTCCTGACGATTCTAGCGCCTTGGCTAGTGCATGGGAGTTGCTATCGACGTCTTTGAAAGACAAGAGTAGGACTTGTGGCTCAAAAACATCGGAAGTGTCAGGCTTGACGACTGCCTTCTGCAGTGCGAAATAATTCCCTGTTGTAATGGCCATAGAAGGGGTTGGCGAAGCTTCGGAGACAGTGCCAAGAACCCATCCCTCCTCATTAACGAGCGGCATGAGCAGTTTTGGGTCCGAGTCGGAGAAAATCAGATCGAACGTTTCCTCTTTGAGCTCGGGAATCCAAGTTTCAGGATTCGGTGGCAGGGAGAACTTGATAACGCGAGCCTCAGCTGTTTGAGAAACAGTGGGTGCTTCATCTCCGACAAAGCCGATCTTGACAGTCGTAGAGGTAGGGAGTTGATCCAAGATAATGTCGACAAGTTCGGCAGCTGGCGATCCAGTGATCAGAGCACTGGAGACAGGTTTGCGATGAGCCACGAGCTCAACCAGCTGGCCCAGTGGCTCATTTGTTTCTTTGCTGGTCCACGCTTCTCGCCTGCCATCGGCTGAAGAGTATCTGGACACATCAGGCTTCCAGATGGAAGTCGAAAAGGGAGCAACCGGTGCAACCTCAGTTGCTGACACAGGAACGGCTGCCTCGTACGCGACACAGGTGAGATTCCGGATTTCCAGAAGCGGCTTATTGCTCTGGCTTACCAGCTGGACGTTAGTGTTGAAGTGCCGTCTGTCCGAAGCCTCAGACCAGGCAACGGCGCGGCCGGTAGCAGGACCGACGTCACTGGGTTCTGGATTCACGATGGTTACCTCCTCGATACGCGTGGGAACGACGCCCCAGGGCATCTCTTTGTACTTCCCAGCATGAATGGAAATAATGACGAGGTGGAGACAGGCGTCGACGGTCGAGGGATGGATGAGGGCACGCGATTCGCCTTGGATCAGTCCAGAAGTATTCCGCACTATGACATCGCCAGCTGCTTGATGTAAATCGCGTCCGGTGTGTACGCGTTGTAATTGCTGGAACGAAGGGCCATAGTGGAAGCCAACGCGTTCAAAGGCCTCGTACCAGCGCTTTCCAGACACCTGCTGCCCAAGGACCTTCTCATCAACTGGAGTAGGCCTTGGCTGAGAGGCAGACGGGACAGTGTTCACACGAACACGGCCATCGCAGTGAAGAGTCCACCGATCAGCGCTGGAACACGATTCAATGGTAAAGGAATACCACCCAGTGCTGTCTGCGGATTGAAGCGTCAACAATGTCTCCACGCCTTCATCCTCGCTGTCGGGAATATTGAGAGTTGTCTTGATGTCAACATCTTGGAGCGTGACACCGCTGGCAGTACGGCTCAAGCCATCGCCATCATGTTCATGAACCTGCCGTGCCGCCTCGATAGCCATCGTGATATATCCCGCCGCCGGGAAAATGGCGCTCTCGCCAAGGCTATGGTCACGAAGCCACGGGACGTCTCTGACCCGTAGCACATTGCGCCACGCACGCATTCCGGACGAGAGACCCGAAATGCGGCTACCAAGAAGATCGTGCCTCGGATACTCTCTGTGACGCTGCTCGGCGCTCGCTCGCGGCTCAGCCCAGTGCGACTTCTCGTAATTCCATGGGTAGGGAGGTAGATCGACCAACAAATACTGGGTTCTAGGCTTGCGGAATCCCGACTTATTTTGTTCGTCGTACGCGGCTGCGTTGACCTCTTCCAATCGGAGTGGGTAGTTGACCAGAAACATGGAGCCGGCCACGGAGAGGAGTTGGTCGGCATCATCCTTATTTCGAACCATAGACGGGACGTAGGTGAAGCGTTCGAACTTGCCGGCTTTGCAAATCTGTTTGAAGGGGCCAGCGAGCGCCGAGTGTGGGCCAATTTCCACTGCTACCCTGACCTTTGAAAAAGCATCGTCGTTGCCAATCTTCTGGACGGCTTCGCTGAACCGCACTCTCTGGCGCAGATTCATGCTGAAGTAGCCCTCCGCCAAGTGGTTGCCAATCACTCGCTCCCCGGTGACAGATGAAATCATCTCAGATCGCTCACGATGCCACTGTCGGTCCTCTTCACTCAGGACTTTCAACGAGGCCTCGAGGAGAGCCTCATAGGCGACGGCAACGTCAGCCATATGAGGCGAGTGGTAGGCGCGACCGGTCTTGAGCTCACGAGCGAAAACACCCTTGGCAGTAAATGAGTCTCGCAACTGCGCGATGGCTTCGCTCCGACCGCTGATAGTCACGCTCTGAGGCGAGTTCTCGCAGGCGATGCAGGCTTCGGATGCGTCACTTGGGAGGGAGAGACTCGCTTCGTCGGCGCCCAGACCAACAGCCAACATGGAGCCTGCTCCAGAATGCCACTGGACGGAATATCCACGGCAGTAGGCGGCGATGATGGCCTCAGGAGCGCTGATAAGGCCTGCGGCGTAGGCGGATGCGATTTCTCCGGAAGAGTGTCCCACGCTCACAACGGGCTCGATATCCCATTGGGAGAGCAGGTCCACCATGGCGATCTGGATCGCTGTGCACAACGGCTGTGCCACATCAGGCTGATTGATGAATTTCTCTGTATTGACTGGGTCATCAAGGAGCACGTCGGCCAATTTGAAGGATGGCACAGGCGTGACCTTGCCAAGAACCCGGTCCAAGTTGTGGATGACTTCTGCAAAAATGGGGAACTCAGACATGGCCACTCGACCCATTCCGGCCCATTGTGCCTGCGGGTTCGTTGTCAGTAAAGAAAATGTAGGTAAATATTCAGCTCAAAAGTTTCAATAACTTACTCCTTGACCAGTGAACATAAAAGCCAGTTCGGGCGTTTTCCCAGCAGCCGGAGCAGCTCCGGTCCGGAGTACGGCAACATCAGCATTTGCGTCGAAGGCGATAGCCTCCTGACCCTCACGAAGTACGGTGAATGCCCTCTGATTGAAAGCAGTGCGGTGTAGGTTAAGGGTATGGGCTAGGTCAATTCCGTAGTAATCCGCGGCAACTCCGGCAATGCTCTTGATAACCCGTCCAAGTGTTGGCTTGTCGTGCGCAGACAAGCAAACCAAAACCGGCCTTTTGGTGGAATGGTCGTATTGCGCGTCACGCTTCGACTTGGCGTGTCGATACTAAAATTTAGAAATGTTGTCAATTAAGTTACCTTACTTTACTGCCATCGGCATTGTGAAAAGAAACCAGATGCCGGAGGAAACTTACCCATGGGTACAGAGACTCAACAGCTTCAACAACAACATGGCCGTTGGTGCCGCCATAACCAAAGGACGAGACACTGGCCCGACGGACAGGAAACTCGCTCGGCCATGGTGACGTTTCCCTGTTGACTTTGACATTCCATTCTTCCTCATGGACTAACAGCAAATTAGCACAAAGCATGGCGAACTCTCATCCCCAGGAGTACTTGCTGGCCGGGTTTAGCTTATTGAGAAGGGCGACGCCAGGGATGACACCGGACTCTGTCATCAGAGCAGCCTTCATCACAGCGGAAATGCCACTCGCTGCCTCACTGTGACCTATGTTTGGTTTGAGCTGAGATTTGCTTCCACGTTAGCACTCAGAATCCGTAGCCCACCAACGGGGTGAAAACAGGGTACATACGGCTCCTATGATCAAGGGCTTTTTTTTCGAACGCGTATCGTTCAAGGCGTTCGATATGGCTCGCACCTCAATCGGATCTCCGACAGGTGTACCAGTTCCATGGAGCTCGGCGTAAGCTGTATGGTTGGGGTCCAACCCGGCCTTTTCATAAGCTAGTCGAACAACCCGCTCCTGGCCCTTGACGCTAGGGTGCGTGATGCCCATGCCTGGAACCTTTCCATTGCTATCGAACCACAAGTCAGCCGGGTCTTACAGAGGAAATTCTGGTTACAGAAGTGAAGCATGCTAAAAGGGAACTTACGTGTTTACGGCCGTCGCGCGAATTACACCTCTGATCGGGTCACCGCAGCGGATCGCGTCGGAGAGGCGCTTCAGATAGATGGCGCCGGCAGCCTCGGCGCGACCATAGCCGTCTGCAGACGCGTCGAAGGTGTGGCAAGTGGATGTTGGGGAGAGAATGCCCAGCTTTGCCGTGTTCATGTGCTGGTCGACGGTGATAATGAGGTTGACACCTCCCACAATTGCGGCATCGCAGTCGCGTGCTCGAAGTGCATGGGAAGCGTTGTGAATAGCGTATACCGAAGAGGAGCAGGCCGTGTTTATCGTGAAGCTGTTGATGGAATTAGTTCGTAATGAAAACATAAATGATGCAAGTGAGCAATAAACGGCTCTATGCCACTTGTCTCTCCCTACCTTGGCCCATTCAAGTTGAACGTGTTTCCGATGCGATTGCTGATGATTCCTGTATCGACACCGGTTGCTGCATAGTTATGGCGGAAGTCAGGCTCTCGAGTTGACATCTGCTCTGTAAAGTTCATCCAATTACACAGTCAGCAAACGTCTTTCTTCATATATATCCTTGGTTTCGTTGACCTTCATCAACATTCGTCAAGTTGAATTCTCGAATATGAAGAACTTACGGTAGTCAGAAGTAAAAGAGCCGACATACACGGCTGTGTTTGTTCCAGAGATCTCATCCAAAGTGAGGCCAGCAGAAGTTAAGCATTCGTAGCTTACTTCCAGCATCCTCCTCTGCTGTGGGTCCAGCCACTGCGCCTCCACCGGAGTGATGTTGAAGAAAGTTGGATCGAAGTCTTCTGGTTTGTTGTCAAGAAAGTAACCGCCAGGGACGTTAAATGAGCCAGGGCGGCTCAGATTCTCGTGGAGGTGTGCATCAATGTTGAAGCGGGATTCAGGAACTTTGGCTGTCTGTCCTGTGCGCTTTTCTACTAGCATTTTCCAGAAAGACGATTCAGAGTCAACACCACCAGGAAGGCGGCAAGCTGTGATAGAGATAGTTACTTGTCAGCTGCTTTGACTATATTGCGCTCAAAGGTTACATCACATGACTTACCCATGCCGCAGATGGCGATAGGCTCCAGCGGGCCTCCATCTGGAGTCTCAGCTTGAACTGCTCTTGGAGACATATTGCTAGCACAGTTGACCGATAGATGTGCAATCTCAAAGCTTCCTGTCTCACTATACTGTCTTTTATTTCTTAGGAGAACTATTCTTTCTTAATATGTAACTGCTTGTCTGGCTCCATGTCTATCAATGTCACCTCGCGAGTGAGATACGAAGAGTCGGCAATCACATTACTCACCAAGTGCAGCAAATGCATCATATCCTACGCTCCATTGGCCCGCGTGTACATCAACAAAGGAAACGGTAGTAGTGAGAATAAGAGCTCCGCATCACGGGCATATGACTCCGGCTGAGAGAAGAAACCAATATGCCGATGGCTCACTTACACCGAGAGGGCGGAAATACACTCGGCTTCTGTGAACAGATCCGTGACTACTGGCGGCCAGCTTGTCCGAATCTCCATCCGACGTGAGTGCGAAACTTTCTTTGTTTCAGTTTGTCAAATTACGAATTAGCGTTAAGTTTTCACCATCTCAATCTGTTTGCACGCATCTTCCAAGCTGTCTCGATGCCCCCTTGCCAGAACTGTAGTTGCTCACATTCTCGATTACTCCTGATTCCAACACACACATCATCTCAGCCACTCAAGCTCATCGGAAACACAAGCTACTCATTGATTTGACACGAAACTTCTCCTTTGATATTTACAATGGCGATTCGAGTAGCTTTTTCACGTGGAGTTGTTGCTTATTTTCGCCTCCTCGCTGTCATCGCTATATTGCTGTTGTGGGGCGTGTCGCTCGCGAACGGCACAGTCAAGGCGCTTCTCCTCGCAGTTTTTCACGGAGAGATCAACAAAGGCGTCCCATTGAGGAGATCTTATCTTGGGTTTCTGCCATTGGATCTTGTCATCGCCCTTCTTGTCGCTTTCTTCTTCTATGGCACCAACAGCCACGACGAAGGCTACCAATTGTTTCTAGTCGATGCTTATTCCACCCTGCAGTCTGCATTCGTATGGCTCTACATGGAAGCCAAACGCCCGGGTGACAAGCCATACTTGGTGTCGAGGTGAGTGTTTTGCTGTTGTCTTCAAGACCCTGAAGCTTGCACACATGTAACTTAACTGCTAACGATACATACCCGTGCAGGCCCATCATCTTTGGTATATTGTGGCAATGCTTCGGAGCTGCTATAGCGCTCCCTCTCTACTTTGCAGCTCATCTTCCATGGGCCATGAACGGTCGCGCGGCCCGAGTTCGCGATGTGGCACAAGCCGCGGCCGTCCCTTGGAGTTTCTCCATTGGCGCCATCCTTCCCGCCGTGGTCGGCATGGGGACAACTTGGCTCGGCGCAGACAGTCGAACAGACGCAACGCACCAGCTGATTTTGGGTCTCTGGCAGCCCGACCCGGTGTGGGTGTCCGGTGTTCAGGCTGTTGTCTCGATGATCATCTCGGCGGTTCGGCCCGGGCGGGGCCGCGGGCAGAAATCTAAGTCCAGTTCCGGCCCCAGTCGCCGAGACCAGGCTGTCGACGCTTACCTCTGGGTACGTTTTTCGTATCTCCTGGCGGCTGTTATGTCCGGCGCCGGACACCTGTACGTGATGGGACGTATCTTTACAAGCAACGAGAAAAACACCGTCGCTTTCATCCGTATGTATGTTCCGTTCTTGTTCAGCGGGCCATCGGGTGTCGGCGAAAACGTTCTCGTGTACGGGCCGTGGTTGTTTCTCCAGTATGATTTGATCATCATATCGTTGTCAAGCTTGTCCTGGGTGTATTACCTCCTTACGAGCCGAGGCGATAGGGTCCCACCTGTGTCAGCATGCAGATGTTTTCTCCTGCTTTCCTTTGGGGCCTTGACCATCGGGCCGGGAGCAACGGTGTCAATCGCATTGTGGTATCGTGAGAGCACTTTGGCTGAGTACGTCAGTGCTTAGTCGACCGCCCGTTCCGCGTGCGTCTAACAGATAGCAGCCACCAAGAAACAGTTGCAGGCTGCAGAGGATTATCTCGGAGTGTGCGCAGCCTTTCCATCATGCGATGTGGCAATGAACCCATCAGGCCGAGACGACCTTTTAGCGTATCAAGTTTGGCTAGAGGCTGTAGGCCATTGTGCGGAAGTAACACGGGTTCATCGACCAGATTACTCTGATGCTTCCTCAAAACACATTCACTACATGTACATAACTGGCCAATAACACGTCCGTACAGCTTTCTATCAAAGAAGAGCTGCATAATTGGGATCTTCGCTGTAATGAAGATGAACATGTTCTAGTAACTTATTTCCACAATACATCTCGGGCATCTTCCTACCACCTGTCGTACACCTTTTTTTCTTTTTTTAGAGGGAGAATCATAAGACATCTGCCCATAATCAGGTCAACTAGGTGCACGGAGATCAATCCCGGCAGGCCGGTCCGACGAAAGAAGGGGTCAATCTCAAGGATGTTAGTTATCAAGGCCATCGTAGTTAAAGAGCTAGAGATTGATATATACATGAAATATATCAAAGGTCAATCGTTGAAATTGTCGCCGATATGATCCAAATTAATTCTACTACGTGAGAGTCTTACTCCGGCTTGGGTTATTGCTTTGCTCTTGAGAATTAACCCAGCTACAGCTGACCAACGCTACCTGTTAGTCCAGTACGACTCTTTTCTGAAGTTGGAACGTTGCCATGAGCGAAGCAGCGGTCCAACACGTCGATGTGGCCATCATTGGCGCAGGTAAGTAAGATAATTTAGTCTTTCAAACCTCTCTCAGATAGCGTCGTTATATTCATTTTTGGACTTTAGGTTGGTATGGCCTCGTGGCAGCCAGAACCTATCTTCGCCTGCGGCCTGATATCAATCTTCTCATTGTCGATTCGGACTCCACAGTCGGCGGTGTTTGGAGCAAGGAGAGGCTGTATCCCAATCTAGTGGCACAAGTCAAGCTCGGGGTAGTTTCCCTTAACACGCGCCCTCTTCGTGCCTCCAGGGAGATGAATATCTGACGCGTCACATAGCTTTTCAACTACTCCGATACCCCCATGCAGCCCTATGGCGGAGACAAGAATGACCCCAGAGTAACCGGAGACATGATTCACGATTATCTGCATACCTACGCGGAAGAACACGATCTCTTGCGTCGCATCAGGTTCAAAACTTTCGTGACGAATGCTTCGCAAACAACCAGCGGCGGATGGCGTCTCAAACTTGACAAATCCGATCATGTCATCGAGGCCGCAAAACTTCTGGTAGCCACCGGAGTCACGTCTATTCCGTTCACCCCCGAGCTTCGCCAGTCGGGCGACGCTATTCCCCGCGTCCATTCTCGAAGCCTGGGCACATCATTCAGTGCCATTCAAGACCCGGCAGTCCAGTCTGTGGTTGTAGTCGGCGCTGCGAAGTCGGCTTACGATGCTGTTTATCTCCTGCTAAAGATGGGCAAGGATGTGACCTGGGTGATCCGGTCCGAAGGAGCAGGGCCTTTAGCAATTCTCCCTTTCGAGATCCTGGACACGGTAAACGCCATCGCCTTTGCGTCGACGCGACTCATGACGTATCTGAGTCCTTCTATTCTTAATGCTGACGGAGCTATGGCTCGGTTGTTCCAAGGGACATGGCTGGGACGGTGGTGTGTTGGACGATTCTGGGACTTTCTGGATCTCGTAAGCCAGAGGCATGCTGGCTACGGCGCGGGCGACCACGTTGAAATGCTCAAGCCTGAAATCGAGAGACAAGGTGTATTCTGGGCCCATTCCGGCCTGGGCGTTGTTACTCTGCCAGACTTCTGGCCGACACTTCACAGCAAACGGCTCACTGTGGTCCGGGACGAGCTCGCCGAGACAAAGGACAAGACCGTTCTTCTCAAGTCAGGAAACACTATAGAGGCTGACTACATCATTTCGTGCACAGGTTGGGGAGATCATTTCGGTATGTTCGACCTGCACCATAAATCCAAGATCGGACTCCCGCACCCTCCATCTGAGGCCCTGGATGGGAGTGGCATCGTGGACTGGAATCTTTATGACGCGGCGGCGGACGAAGAGGTCAACATCAAGCTGCCATTTCTGGCCAATCCGCCGGCTCTGGCTTTCGAAAAACCACTGTCCTCTGCGCACCAAAAGAAATGGCGACTTTACCGACGCGTGGTGCCAGTGGGAATGGGCGATAGCGGCGACAGATCTGTTGCTATCTTGGGACAAATTCACACTGTACAGACGCCTCTCGTGTCCGAGGTGCAATCTCTTTGGGCCATCTTGTACTTGGAGGGCGATATAGACCTCCCAGACACGAAGGTCATGGCGAAAGAGGTGTCTTTGTGGAACGCCTGGACGCGCAAGCGATACCTCGGCCAGGGCCAAAAGTTCCCTTACTCGCTCTACGACTTTCTCCCTGTAAGTCTACGCCTCTTTGAGCTGTTCTATGTGTGTATTTTCCATTTCATCGAGTTCTGATAATGAGACGCAACAGTACGTCGATGTGCTCTTCAAAGATTTAGGGCTCTGCAGCCGCCGCAAGTCCAACTGGGTGTCGGAATTTCTTAGTCCCTATCGGCCGGAGGACTTTGGTGGATTTGTTGACGAATATCTCGCCAACAGGAAGATGGAAAATAACCGCGATTCCTAATCCAAGTCAGCCCATGTGATGGTCCTTGCCATCTGAAGCTGATGCGCTTGATGCTCGGACTTGGTGGGCATGGAATGGAAAGCTGCTTGTAATCCAGTCCCGTGATCCTCTCGCATATCTTTTCTGTTTGATCAAAATATTCAAGTTACGGTATCGAAGTCTTAACTAGGCTCAAGAGGCTTTGGTCTACGCCACTAGGATTCTTGATGGGCAAAACACTTCTTCGCCAACTCGAGGCGTTCACGTAAACTTTCAGCATCAACCGTTGCTCGAAAGTATACTAATTGCGTGAGCAATCATTACTCAGAATCATCTAAGCAGTTTCCATTTTGAGACACAGTTTCACCCATGTGTTGCAATTGCTTTCTTAAAGCCACTATATATCTATTGACAGCGGAAATATCATTAAGTCTTGTCTGCTTGCTGCTCCGATAGAGGCAAGTACACCTTGTAGTCTTTATCGAAAAACGCCTTCGTTTTCAGCTTTCTCTCCTGTATAATTGGTTCTAACTTGTGTAATGGTCCGTACCACTCAGCGACGTGTTCAAGAGACGAGCAAAGACGCTGGTAGGACTGTGTCATATTGGTGTCAGAAGTCTGCCTTATCTCGTGCAGTCGCGCCTCGAGGATCTTGAGCAGCTCTATAGATCGTCGGCCCGTGTCTGGGAGCATGATTAACCAAGTCAGATACTCAGTCACGGCTCCAACGTGAGCTGCCATCTCTATTTGGGCGGTAGCAACGCTGAGAAGGAGCTCCGAAACGGGCCGCAGCGCCGTGGGTGGGTCGGATTTTTCATTGCTAGTGGTACTGTTGCTGCCACTCCTGTTGCTGCTGGATGACGAGGACCTCCCGCCGGCGCTAGCGTTACCACCGAGTCCAAGAGCTATGGAACGTAGCTCATTGATACTGGGTAGATGGCTGTGTTCGTGGGTATGAGCCGTTGTATGCCGTGATCCCTGTTGTTCCATCATATCGGGCTCCATACCGTTTTCAGAAGTGTTTTGCACCTCGTACAAAAGCTTCTGGAAGCCCGAAGGGTCAAAACAGGGGCCGTCATAGTCTACGGCTGGCAGCGACGATGGCGCTGCTGCTCCTGTTGTCTGAGGAGGTTGTGGCTGTTGATTCGGTTGCGCGAGTGATCCGTTCGCTGCGACAACCGGGAACAATACAGAGGGCGACAGAGATGCCATGCTTTCCCAAGAGTGCACCTCGTCATAATTTGGATGCAACTGTTGCTGATGCGACTGAACGGGAGAAAGCCGTGCCTCAGCTCGTTCTAGGTCCCACAACCGGTCAGCTGAACAAGGTAGTTCCGGACCTCGATAAAGGGCGAAAGAGAAACGGACTCACTTACCGAGTCGGTCTTGAAGCTCTTTGACCATGTTGGCGAGGGTGGCTCGCGTCGGTGTTGGAATTGGCACGTAGAGGCACTGCTCACCGCTCCGGCGGCATTTGCCGCACGATGGCTGGTCTCCGTCACATCGAACTTTCTTATCCCGACACACTTTGCATGCCGTGTGCCTTTGTGCTTGTATCTGGCTCATGATGGCGAGCTTGAGAAGCCTTTGTGAAAATCGATCTATCTTCGTGCTGTAAGGGAAGAGACAGTAGAAACGTATTGGTGTCTAATGTATTCGTGGTCCGGCGGTCGTCGCGTACTTATGAGTTATGCTGGTTATTCACACAAACAAGGGGTTTGGCAGTGGAACTTGAGAGCTAATTATTGAAATCTCGTCCATGAACGCACTGTTCAAAGTAATATTGAATTTAAATGTATAAGTGCAACTACTTTTAACCATAGACATGTGTATATACATCTATGTTTCTATGTATGCAAGTATTATCCAGAAGCCCCACGCGAAAGGCACTTCCTTTGATCACCCCTCCAAGCTGCAGAACCGCTCTGTGATGGGGCAAAAGGTGCATTTAGGATTTGGCCTAGAAGTATCCTAGCTGACCATACATTTCCAGGTGGAGTTGATCACCTATAATTATAGCCCTGCAATGACTCTGTATAAGCTCTTAGTCAGACATTGCCCACTCCTAAATGGCCACTTCCACTGCCTCTTACGAAGAGGCGTCTCTTATGGGTATTTGGCCCTGTGGTTTGGCGTAACAGCCCTGAAGTCTGCATCATCGCTAACAATCACATACTCAGGTTAATCTTTCCTATTTTACAAGGGGTTTGATAGAGCACATGGTGAATAGACTTGAGGTACTTCAGTATGTCGAAATGAATGCCGTGCTGTGTTTAATTCTATCTCGTCTAGGTTTGTTATGCAGCGCCGCGGGAGGCGGCGGGTTGCCGTCTCACGGCTGCGAAGTGTTCCGCTAGATTGTGCAGTAGTTCGATGGGCCTGGCCGTCCAGGCTGTCAAATCCTGGGAGATAATGCGTGCGATGAGCGGCCGTTGTGCGCTAATTAACATCTCGGCTTCTGCCTCCCCTGCCTTTTCTGCTTTGTTAAGCCTAGGCCGCCCTATCCTGGTTGCAGAAATCCACAGCTCTTCGTTCCTTAGCACATCCACCCTCCATCCACAGGAATTACTGTTCCGTTGATGAAACTGCTCTCTGGACTCAAGAGAAACGCGATGAGGCGCGCGACCTCTTCGGCGTCGCCTTTTCGAGCCAAGGCGCCCGGGTCTCCCTTTCCAAATAGTTCCGTGGTACCAGCAATCGACTCGATGTGTGCCATCATCTGGGTAGAAATAATGCCGCTGACACAAATTAGATCAGGTTAAACTGGAGCTGTGAAAAGATACGAAAATGCCAAACGACCCATCAGTACCACCCCGGTAAATGAAGTCGGCAAGGTGGAGAATGCGGAAGCGGAAGCAGGGTTCTTATTCAGCTTCTTTCTATGCAAGATGTGACAATGCACATCCGCGCTGCTAATGCATGCAGGTCGAGGGCAGAGGATAGATGAAGAAGGAGAGTCTGACTTACGGCGAAATAGCATTTGCTCGGATGGCATTATGGCCCTCTTCCTTGGCCAGCGTGCGTGTGAGTCCGACAATGGCGTGCTTCGCAGCAACGTACGGGCTGTTTCGTTCCACTCCGACGATGCCCGCGATGCTTGACGCGTTAACTATGGCGCCGCCGCCCCGGCCATTCTTTCCTGTTGCCATATGAGGCAGCTCGGCCCGTAGACAGTTGAGCGTGCCCTTGACATTTACATCCATTACCCAGTCAAACTCGCCATCGGTTATGTTGCGGATGGTTCCTCGATCGAGGGTGATGCTAGGGCTGATAACACCGGCAAGGTTCGCCGCGCCCGAGACCGGCCGGCCGTCGAAGTGAGCGACCGTCTTCTCGATCCAGCTCGTGCAGGCTGCCTGAGACCGGACGTCAAGTACCGTCGTCAGCGGACTTTTGAGTGTCTCTTCTCTGAACGTCTCCTTCTGCAGACGCTCCAGCTCTAGGCCTAGCTCCTCGAGAGCAGGGCCCTGGATGTCTGCTAACGATAGCAAAGCACCACGGCTGGCTAGCAGCACAGCAGTGGCCCGGCCTATTCCGGAAGCTGCTCCTGTGAGGACTATGACCTTGTCTTTAATGGAGCGTGAATCCATTGATGAATTTGCGGTTCTTGCTGGTAATCTTGTGGTTACATGCCCATATCAAAGCTGACGAGCTTATGTTCTCAGCTGTTCTTATACTATGTAACAGTAGGCTCGGACGAACACTCACTGCGGCCCATTAAACCGAACGAGGCACTAAGATAGTGTACTACCAAGGACTGGTTGACAAGGCTTGCTGTGGATTGGACATGCAATCTCAGAAACACGTGTATGCAGCACCTAGAAGGGTCCGAACCAGACCAAAGTAGACGAGGGTATCCAGGTACTTGGCCATGTGAAAACAAGCTGTCGGGCCGAGAGATCAACAAGTCCGTGATCTTATGAGAAGCGTTCACGGAGTAGTTGAGCGAAAAGCAGAAAGGCCCTTGTATTTCAGAATATACGGCGCTATTTCGCCTCATGGACTCGATTCTTGCCTGGCAGGAACAGTAACTTGACTTATTCGGGAGACTTCAGACTATAAACAGGGCTCAACGGCTAAAAAGAAATCACTAGTGTCGAGTTTGCCCATCGATTCCGATCAAGCTGAGTCACCATACAATGTCTTCCAAACCCAACACCGACACTGCCGAAATTCCCTTGGCCGCCGGCGAGTTCCGCGTCATCGTCGTTGGAGCGGGCATAGCTGGTCTCACGGCATCGCACTGTCTTCAGAAGGCCGGTATCAAACATGTAGTGTTAGAGCGGCGCACCGAGGTTGACCCTCCGGAGGGGGCGAGTTTCGCTATTTATCCACACGGAGCCCGCATCTTGCATCAACTGGGATGTCTGGAAGCCGTCGAGGCGGCCTGCAAGCCATGTCTACGCTACTACTCTCGAGGTCCAAACGGCCGAACACAGTCCGACAATGGCTTCTTCAACCATGTCAAGCACAATCACGGCTACGACATCTTGCTACTCGAGCGACGTCGGTTGCTGCGCATCCTGTACGATTGCTTGCCCGATAAATCACCCATTCGGACTGGAAGCGATGTTAAAAAAGTGACACAGACAGCCGACGGCGTCGAAGTAGTGCTTGGTGACGGATCCTCGGAGAAGGGCCACATCATATTGGGCTGTGACGGTGTGTACAGCCGTGTCAGGAACTTCATGTGGGAGAATGCCAAAATCTTAAATCCGAGTAGCGTCATTGACGCGGAAAAGAAGCGCATCCAGACGCACTGGAAGTGTCTCGTGGGCACCGGCCCCCCCGAAGCCGGGCTGGGAGAGCGAGACATGACGTCTACATCGGACCGGCGCTTCTCGTTTCTCGCGCTGACCCAACCCGACCGCGCGTTCTGGTTCGTCTTCTTCAAGCTGGACAAGCCCGTGGTTTGGCCTCAACGCGTCAGCTACGATGAGAATAACGCCGAGGAGCTAGCACAGTCTCTTGCCGACCATCCTGTCTCGGAGACCGTCAACTTCGGTCGGCTGTGGCGACGTCGCCACCGGGGCGTGCTCATTCCCCTTCAAGAAGGCATCCTAGAGCACTGGTATTCGGGCCGCGTGGTGCTGGCAGGTGATGCAGTCCACAAAATGACGCCTAACATCGGCCTCGGCGGCAACACGGCTATTGAGTCCGTTGCCGTGTTGTGCAACCACCTGATACAGACACTGCAGGTGGCGGCAGACCAACAGAAGATTATGCAGCCTCCGACGCAGGAGGCTCTCGAGCGCTGCTTCCTGGCCTATCAGACCGAGCATCGCTCCAGGGTCGAAGAAGTTGTGCGATTCTCGCGGCTCATTACCCGCATTCAGGCTTGGGATTCGTTTCCGATGCGGTGCCTTGCCGAATGGATCATGCCCGTGTTGCCGGACCGCGCTTTGGCCAAAATTGTGAGTCGCGTTGTCCGCGCCGCGCCGAAGTTGAATTATGTCGCTATTGACCAAGTCCCGAGCGGAGCAGTGGAATGGATGGACGCGAGGCCGACACAAACGACACAGTGGATTTTGTGGTTGTCATTGGCTGTGAGTGTAATTTTCGTTGTTAGCTGGATGAATTTTGGGGGGAGCTCGCGGGTTTCCGAGCTGCGATAGTGTCTTTATTGAACCATGTCTGTGTAGCTTTGCCCGGCATATCTGGTGGGCGGCGACACAGGCTTCGGTGATTGTGCCCCGGCCACAGGACAAGTTATAGAAATTTGAGTAATTAAGATATAAAAACGTGAAGGTAATCTTATAGACTGAAAAAGCATGTCTCAAGAACTTAGTTCTCTTAACAAGCTTTCCCTAGTTTACGCTGCACTGCTTCGTTGCCTATCATGATTCAGATTCCATCTGGTTTTCCCACCCTCCAGCCAGCGTTGATCACTAAAGTCAACATTGGTGACTTGAATGACATAGGTAGGGCGCCAGCTAGGGCGGAGTCTTTCGGAAGTCCGCCTTGACGTTTTCTGACAACTGGATCATATCTTAGGTGTTATCCATAACGGGTCTAGATTGATGCACTTTGTGAGTACCCAATCACACAACAAGGCCTCTGGGAGCCCATAATAACGTCTGGAAATTGTCCAGGCAACTCCGACAGGCACCATTGAGACAGTGCCCGGATTTGAACCCGCTTTCAAGGCGGAAGTCAACTTTGGAGCCGACTGGCTGTCATTTGACCCAGATGGTGCCCACGGTCGGATCGATTTGAGGGGCATCGCTAAGTAAGTAGACATTCTTAGCGGTTGCTTGCGCTCGGCTTTGCGGGATCCCTGACGAATTGTTCCATGATGGACAGAACTGAGGAGGGCCACTCGATCGACTTCCGTTACCAAGGTATTATTGAGATGGCCCCGGAAGTCAAGAAGATCTTTGACATGCAGCCCGACGCCGTGACGGTGCCTTTTGGATTTGCCAGTGAGTGGCCCCACCTTCGAACCCAAGTCGAGTGTGAGTCGTAGCCAGGCTAACAAGAGCACTTCTCGTTAGCCGGACAGCATCAGTTCCTTGTTGCCGACCCGGCGCTCAAGAAGCTGGAACACAGCGTGTTTGTCAGCAATGGACGCATTCTCGTTCATGAGAAGGGTTTGACGGTGGAGACAAGACAGTCGCTGGTTATTGCCGCGACTGACATGGACTGAAAGATGTCCCCCACAGCGCTGCTTGGAAGAGGCAGTGTTTATTCTGGAGTTGGTGTGTGGGTGGGTACACGGTGCCGTATAGCCCGGAGTTATGCACAGAGCCTGACGCTGGTCTTACGAATAAACTCTCGGGTGAACGACAGTCTACAAGCAAGAAAATGATGACTACATTGCCATCACGCCATAGACACAGTGGAGAGACTCCATTTTCAACATTGACCCTGTCGTTTGTTGCCAGGGATAGACTGTGCTAGGGTGATCTGTTTCAACGGGCCCAGGGGAACAAATGACCATTGGGCCAATTTAGTATAGCAGCCAATGAGTAGAGGACACACAAATACAAAAACTGCAGGTGAACATTGGAGAACATGGAAGCACAGAGCCTCGCCACGTGCTTGCATTAGACTATGCTCTAACAGGGAGCTCTAGTCAAATACGACTAGACCTCGGAGCGGCCCGGAGAGCCGGGCCCGCTCATTGTGGATCCCGCACCGGCCCATCACGGGGCTTCTCGCCGATTGGATGGAGCACTCCACAATCCGCACCCTCGTCATTATTGAGCTAAGGCCCTACAGATTGCCTTATCCCTTACAATGCATCGAGCCTTGGTCCAGCATGTTACAAACTTGCCACTTACCTCGCGGATACTTAATGAATCAAGCTAGAGGCTATCTGACACATGGCCAGCCTTACGAAACAATAGTTCTGCCCATCCTTCCCGGAGCTTACAATCAACTGCCCTACCCCCACCATCATTTTGCAACACTAAAAGCAGCCTTACATCCAAACAGCATGCCCTCAGCTTACGACGCAACGGCAACCGGCAGCGGTCTTGTCAGTGACTTAGCCTCCAATATCAAGGGCAAGGTAGTCTTGACCACCGGTGTTTCTCCAGGTGGCCTGGGCGCTGGCTTCGTTGAGGCCATTGCCAAAGCTTCGCCCTCCCTCCTCATCTTAGCGGCGCGCAGTACCGCCAAGGCTGAGCAGACGGCGCAAACAATCAAAGCCTCCAACCCCGCCGTCGACACCAAGGTCCTCGAGCTGGACCTCGGCTCCCTCTCCGCCGTTCGAAAGGCTGCCGAGACCGTGCTCTCATGGGACGATGTGCCCTTCATCGACGTGCTCGTCAATAACGCCGGTATTATGGCTGTAGATTACAAGCTGACTCCTGACGGCTACGAAAGCCAGTTCGCGACAAACCACCTCGCTCATTTCCTCTTCACCAATCTCATCATTGATAAGCTTCTGGCGGCCAGTGCACCTCGCGTCGTCAATGTGAGCAGCGATGGCCATCGCCTTGGCCATGTTCGCTGGGATGACTATAACTTCAGTGTAAGTCCAAAATTCCAATCTCTGTCAGCTTCTTGAATGTAAGCAGAGTACTTACTGCGACAGAACTCCGAGACGTACAACAAATGGGTGGCATACGGCCAGTCCAAGACGGCCAACATGCTGTTCTCTCTTTCCTTGGCCGAGAAGCTCGGCAAGCGCGGTCTCCTCTCCTTTAGTCTGCACCCTGGCGTCATTGGCACCAATCTCTCCAACCATGTTGAATGGGGCAATGACTTTGCCGGTCTGAGTGAGTCGAACCTCCGTGACATTACGTCTTACAAAAACGAGCGGAGAAAATGCAGCTGACCCTGCGTCTTAGCGACCATCGACCGTCTTCTTGGAAACAAGGAGGGTTGGGCAGACTTCAAGTGGAAGACCCTCGACCAGGGCATCGCAACTCACGTTTACGCGGCTTTCGAGCCGTCTTTGAAGGGTACGAACCCTGTTCTCCGACCTCTCATTACACAACCCCCAGATACACCCTCGCAACTCCGACGTTTTGAGTCCCAATTAGGATGGCATCTGGCTAACTTCAAGAGTTGTAGACAAGAACGGCGTTTATTTGGAGAACTCGCACATCGCCGACCCCTGGGTCGAGACGGTAAAGCCATGGGGAACCAGCCCCGTTGAGGCTGAAAGGTTGTGGAAGTTGAGCGAGAAGCTGGTTGGGCAAGAGTTCAAGCACTAGACTATGGATTACCCGCCTTACTATGCCTCACAGAGGCAGGAGAATAATTTGCCGGACACTAGCTATAGTCAAATGATGCTCGTGATCAATGTTAATCGTGATCAATGTTAACCAATGACATCTACTAAGTACGTGTCATCCCTCTTTCGGTTAAAAGAAAGCGAATGCGTTTGTCCGCTGATTGGGACCCATTTGCTAGATCAATAGCGGATATGATTACGAATGGGCCAAAACCGAATGCAACCATCTGAAGCATGTATGCCATGAATATCAAAAGAAACGAGGTTAACGTGGAAGATGGATTCATAACTATCGCCATCGATCACAGATATGATAGGGTCATGTATTACTTCGCTAGGTACATATTGACCAAGAGATCCGATCTATTACCAAGGACCAACTCGCCAACGAAAATACGACGTTGCAAGGGTTGTTACTGGACGAATAACAAGATATCCCTGAGCCAGCTGATCAGTAAGCAAGTGCTGCCTGGTCCCACAACAAGTGACGCCAGCAGCGTCGCTGCAACCAGCTTGACCCAGCCTAGAGGGCGTCCAGCCGCACTGGCTGCGGCTTGGAGTCGCAACAGCATGACCATCATGACCGTGCCATATCCGAAAATTTGATCCCATAGCATGAAGCTTCGCGTGCCATCTCCGGTAGTCTGACCAATAGTAATAGCCAGTGGTGGAACGAACACCTCTGAAGGCCTCAAATAGGCTAGGTATTCCGAGCGGAAGAGGGCTGGGAATAGGCACGTTGAAATGGAAACCGTCAAGACCGCAATGTGTGAGTGCAGGCTGACGATGAGTGCAGGGGCATAAACCAGGCTGACGTTGGCAATGTGACGACGGTGCGTCTCTTGTGGGGCGGCGTCGCTCTCTTTGCGAGAGCCAACGTTTGACTTTGCGCCATGTGCTAGCGGAAACACAGCCTGGAGTCCTATCATTACGACAAGAACCCAGACAGGAAACACGTTCCATAGGACCAGCGCGATTTGTTTCGAGCTGTGAGAGAGGACGTGGGGGGAGGGCAGTAGCATCAGTGATGCTGTGGAGGCATAACCCACAACGAGGGCAGCCAGGATGAAACAGGGAACATGTGGGGATATCATAGAGGCTAGCTGCGCGTCTTTCAGAGATGACCAGCCAACTGAGGTGTTATCAGCGGAAGCTCTTAGATGCAAGATTGCCCAAAGCGGTCCCGCGCACCCAATTCCGGTGGCTTGGAACAGAATTAACCACAAAGTCGGTCTGATGTATGTTATGTTAGTATGGCCTAATTTTTGAGATATCAAAGTCTTGGTCTCTAAGAACTCAAATCTCATCGAGGCACTTACCGGACGAAATCGGGCTTATTTCCGTTGCTGTGTCGAGCGTGATCCAGGTAGAAGACCAACAGGACGGAGAAATATTGACCGAGGAAGTACAGTCCAATGGCCGACGATGTGGGGTGCGAGCCGTCAGCTACCTCCCAAAAGAAGACAACTAATATGCGGAGCAGGTAGTCGACAGGGAATACACCGGTGAAGCTGGACCTCAGTTGTGCATGCGTGCCAGGAAGCAGATACGGGTGTGGACCGTGTAAAGCTGACAAGAGGTTGTTCAAGGTGCCATCGACAAGTGTGCGGCCCCATAACTGCGCAACGCCCAAGACGCTGAAAACGCATAGAGTCAACTTAACGACAGGGGATGCCATCACTCTGTTGCTGCGAGAAAAGTCGTATCTTTGGCAATGTTGCCTATTCTGACCAGCTAGCCTCCCTTGCAGTCAGGGGGAATCTAGTCTCATTACATAGTCAGGCCTAAACCCAAAAGTTCTCAGCCGCCTAGTTCAAGACAAAAAGTTTGCGGGCCGGTCTTCGGGCTCGTTGCCCGATCTTCGGGCAACTTGACCGACGAAGATACATAATGAGACCAAACGCAGGACTGCGGAGACTGACTGGAGCATGTTTGCCGCATGAGATGCACACCTACGGAAGAGGCAATCCTTATCACGTTCGTTCTCTCATTACTGCATTAGTTTACGCTCGTTCCAACCTCGTTTCTGCATCTGTATTGCCACTGAGTCAACTCTGCAGCCACCATGTCACCCCAACACCAACACCAGCGCCTCTCACTCACGGCCCTGGCCTTGTTTGTGGCCGCAGCTGCAGCCGAAACCATCGGTGCAAAGATAAACGATGCGGGAATCACAGAGATCTTTGGTAACTCGTTTGGCATGCCCGGCACAAACGCGACGTATGACTACGTTGTTGTTGGCGGTGGCACTGCCGGCAACACTCTAGCCGCACGACTTGCCTTGGATCCCGCCAATTATACTGTCGCCCTGATTGAGGCTGGTACTTTCTACGAGATCGTTACCAGTAACAGGACACAGATCCCTGGGTACAACTTCGAGGCCGCGAACCCCACGAACGTCGGGACCCTAAACTCCTTGGCCGCCGTCCAGATCAACACGGAGCCTATCGCTGTAAGCCCCAACCAGTGCGACTAGCAGTTCAATCCTGAAATCGGATGGGTGCGCTAACTTTTGCCGTTTGCAGGGTTACAACGGACGCAAGATTGGCTATGTTCAGGGTGTGACTTTTGGTGGCGCGTGAGTTCTTAATCCTTCGCGGTCTTGCGTAGCGCATCTAATCATCTTCTTTTGTAGCTCTGCTGCCAACTACGGCGGGTACTCGAGGTCCACCATCGGTGCTCACAATCGCTGGGCTGAGGAGGTCGATGATAACTATTGGGCATGGGACAATGTGTTCCCCTTCTATAAAAAGAGTTGCGCCTTCACGCCCCCGGACTATACCAAAATCGATCCCAAGCTCAACATTAGCTACGACCCCGCAGCATTTGAGACCGCGGGTGGCCCGCTGCAGGTCTCCTATGGCAACTACGTTGCACCATCTATGATTGGCCTGGGCGAATCGATGGAAGCCCAGGGACTTGAGCATATTCCCGGCTTCAACAGCGGCAAGCTCCTGGGATACGGCGCTATTACCTCGGCCGTGGACCCGAAGACGGCCACTCGAAGCTCCTCCGAGACGTCGTTCTTGCAGGCCGGCGCGGAGAAATCCGGTTTCAAGATCTATCCCAATGCCATGGCCAAGCGCATCCTGTTCGATGACGACAAGAAGGCGACGGGTGTTGTGGTGGAGGGCAACTCCAAAATTCACACCGTGCAGTGGACTCTCTCAGCCAGGAAAGAAGTCATTCTCACGGCTGGTGTGGTGAGTAGTTATCTCCGGGTGTAGTGACCTTTACAAACTGCAATTCGCCTCTAATACTTACATCATCCAGTGGCGCTCACCCCAACTTCTCATGGTTTCCGGCGTTGGTCCTTCCGAGACCCTTTCCCAGCATGGGATTGATGTCGTTGCCGATGTGCCTGGTGTTGGACAAAATCAATGGGTGAGTGAATGGAAAAGATATTCAAGATTGATTCTGAATTTGACTTGTTCGTTAGGATCAACCCTTCCAGGCTCACATCTTCAAGGTTAATGTGGAGACTAACTCGCAGATCGTTGCCCATAACCCCGAGGTTCTCGCAGCAGTCGCAGAAGAGTACCTTTCTAACCAGTCCGGTCCCCTCTCCTCCATTGGTGCTACTCAGGCTGTCGGTAAGTCCAGAAGACGACTTTTGTCGGCGAACTCTCGCTAGTGGCTAGGCTAGACGCTATCAAAGGGTATCTGACTCATTATGATCATTCCAGGTTACGAGAAGATTCCCTCGGACGTCCGCAACCGATTTCTCAGCAATGCCACCCAAGAGCTATTGGACAGCTACCCATCTGACTGGCCTGATATCAACTTCCTCGGCCTGGAGAGCTCCGCAGTTCCCGAGGAAATCGGCCCAAATGAATACTACCTCCTGATCGGCTCTACCCTGTATTCGACCGCGGCCCGCGGCAACGTAACCATCAAGAGCGCCGACACCCTCGACGCCCCCATCATCAACCCCAACTGGCTCGGAGATGAGCGTGATCTCGAAATGGCTGTGGCAGCCTTCACGCGCCTCCGTGAGATTGCATTGAACAGCACCATTGTCGAGTCGGCCTGGAGCCCCGGCCCAGAAGTCAAGACAAAGGAGGATATCATCAACTGGATTAAGAACAACATGAGCCTCACCTACCACGGCGCCTGCACCAACAGAATGGGTGCCGCTGACGATGCAACCGCTGTGATAGATACTAGAGGACGGGTAAGGGGTGTAAAGGGACTGCGCGTTGCTGATGCGAGTGGATTTGCTATCCTGCCGCCCGGCTACCCCATGGCCACCACCTGTACGTTGTGATGATTTCTGCCTGGCCTCACAGTTGAATTTGAGCTGACACAGTACGTACAGACATGTTTGCGGAGAAGATTGCTGATGCGATCCTGAACGACAACTAAGCTTAATCTGTCGAATTGACCATGTAGCCGCTAATAAGGTAGAACTACTATTATTTGTTAGGTATACTGAATAGGTTATAATATAAGGTCTCTCTTTGAAGGTCTTACCCTTAAGACCTATACGTAGGTATAAGAGTCCTAAGCAAAAACATCCTTAATTATACTTTCTAAGATAGCAATAAGACTAACGTACATGATAAGCGAGTGAGACAGACAAGCGAGTGAGACAGTAAACCGCGACCGTCGCACCTTGACGCGACCGGCACCTTTTCCTCTACAATAAATCATGGAATCAGCTAGTATTGAAAGAAGGTTACAAATTGCCCTTCAAGCAATGAGAAATGACCCAAAACTTAGTGCTCGGGCCGCAGGTGCACTCTATACAGTCAGTCACGCAACATTAAGCCGGCGACTAAAGGGAATAGTCTCACGACGCGACAGCATGCCTAATTCACGGAATTTATCAGATTTAGAAGAGAAGACAATAGTTGAGTATATTCTCGACCTAGATGCGCGATCATTTCCTCCCCGGCTGAGTGGTGTGGAAGAAATGGCCAATCGACTTCTCGCAGAGCGCGACGCGCCTCCAGTTGGGAAGCGCTGGGCTTCTAATTTCGTCAAGCGACAACCACAGCTTAGGACGCGTTTCTTTCGCAAGTATGACTATAAGAGAGCTCAATGCGAAGATCCAGAGGTGATTCGTGGCTGGTTTTCGCTTGTGAAGAATACAATTGCGAAGTATGGTATTGCTGATGCTGATATCTACAACTTTGATGAGACCGGCTTTATGATGGGCGTTATTGCTTCTGGAATGGTTGTTACAAGTGCTGAAAGGCGTTCAAATACGAAGATGACACAGCCTGGCAATAGGGAATGGGTTACAGTTATCCAGGCTATTAATTCCCAAGGGGAGAGCATCCCGCCATACATCATCGTTGCAGGCCAGTATCACCTCTCAAGCTGGTATACAGAAACCTCTCTTCCGGGCGATTGGGCTATTGCAACGTCTGAAAATGGATGGACAACAAACGAGAGAGGTATTGACTGGATCAGACACTTCGACATTTATACAAAACCACGTACGTCTGGGAAATATCGCCTCCTCGTTGTTGATGGTCATGAAAGTCACCACTCCGCAGCCTTCGAGCTCTTTTGTCAAGAAAACAACATTATTACACTGTGCATGCCGGCTCACTCGTCTCATCTACTTCAACCCTTAGATGTTGGTTGTTTTCAGCCGTTAAAGAATGCCTACGGTCGGCAAATTGAGAATAAGATGCGGCGAGGCACAACCCATATCTCGAAGGAAGATTTCTTTGCAGCATTTCACGAAGCTTTTAAGCAGTCTTTTACGAGGAAAAATATCCAGGGAGGTTTCCGAGGAGCTGGACTTGTCCCTTTGAATGCAGAAAGTGTTCTCTCAAAGCTGGATGTAAAGTTCCGAACGCCAACGCCTGAGGAGGGGGTCCCTCAGACACCAGACCCTTGGATCTCTAGGACGCCGAGCAACCCAAGCGAAGCAAGATCACAGTCTACTTTTATTAAGAGTCGAATCTCACGCCACCGAAGCAGCTCTCCAGCATCAATTTATAGTGCTGTGAGTAAGCTAGCCAGAGGGACAGAAGGACTAGGGCATCGGGTAGCATTACTAGAGTCAGAGGTTCAAATCCTTCGAGAGGAGAATGCAATATTAAGTCGGCGTCGAAGGGCTAAGAAAACACGTCTACAGAAAGGAGGAAGTCTTACTATATCTACTGGAGAGGATATACAGTCGCAAAGAGAGGCAGACACGCAACTACAAGAGGAAACGCGACGGAGTAGTGGTCGCAAAGTGAGGTCTGAGACGACTCATCGTCGGTGTGGCGTATGCGGGAATACAGGCCACAACGCGAGAACATGTCAATTTATTGAGGAAACATCCGAAGAACAGGAATCCGAGTAGTATTAATCAATCTAAGATTTCTTGTTATAGATTTCGATATTATTGTCGCGAAGGTCTGGTTTACTGTCTCACTCGCTTGTCTGTCTCACTCGCTTATCATGTACGTTATATTCAGTAACATTTCTCTGTTCACGCCTAGTCGATACTGTAGCATCCCATCGTAGAAGACTCGGCCAATGCAAGTATAATCATTGAAATCCTGCAATACAACCATGCATATATTTTTCGAATCATCTGAAAATTAGTTTTAGCCATCAATGATTAATGAGCTCAGCTGATCGGCATGGTTGTTGGAATTGTATATTTAATTAAGTGTTTCAACCCATGATGAGTGACCCACCAAGACCCGCCATATTATGCAGCCGAGACATGATGTTCAATGCAGATGGCAGGACACCAGAAGTGGTGCCGGGAACACGGAAGAGGAGAACTATCGTGTAAGCTACGTGATGTTGAGGAAATTAATTGAGTGCATGACAAAGCCAATGAGCGCTCAGGCAAGGCAACGAGGGCTCATCAAGGAATGCAAAGTATTCATGGGAATTTGAGAATAGGACTTGGGCATCTGCTTAAGGCGTCTCGGGTAGTTCTTCAACAATTGATTAAAAATCCTCCCTAAATGACTTGTAGTTCCTTAAAAGTATTTTAAATTTTTTAAAACTATGACAATGACTGTGATCTTTATATCTAGTCTCGAAAGTAGTCTTTAGACGATTGGTCTCAATACTTCTGAGCTGGTTATCTAAGCCTTGACAAGACGCTCTCCGTTACCGAAGTAACCTAAGTTTGGGCATAAGCTTAAAAACATCAAAAATAAAAATAAAATTAATGTTGTTCACTTACTGCATTGACCAAGGATCACATTCCAGTTGGGCCCGTCGGAGAAAAGCTGACCAAAGGTAGTCTCGTTCTCGCCATTGCAACCTTTGCCAGCTTTGCATTCTGTATCCAATGCCCAACAGTTCTGGTAGATGTTTTAGGCCATGTCGGCAACACTAGTGCACGGAACATTGAGTTCATAATAGTTGTCATTGCAAAGGCCAATAGCTGCACCGCCGACGCATTGTGTACGGATACAAGTACGAGCCCTCGCCTTGCATGAATTACCGTTAATCCTCCTCAAGTTGTTAGCAGCCTGCTCAGCATAGTAGGGTATAACCCCTCCGAATCGCTGGTCGCAAATACGTGCTCCCTATCTACGTTAGACTTATTATTTATCAATCTAGAGAGTCTACTAACCTAACGACGCTCAAGTAAACCGCGAGAAATAACTGTAGGATCTGTAGAGGTCTCTGGGCTAGCCTGTTCCTCCTTGGTATAGATGGAGAAGTCAGGCTGCTCTTTTCGAATCTTGGATTCGATGTCCTGGTAAGGTTAGTATCAGACTTGATGAAAGTATCTATCATGATTACCTCAAAGCTACTACCCTAAACCTCGACAATCGGCCCCCCAGGAGTAACGATACCTTCCCAACCAATCTCACCAAGAGGCTGAGGCGGTCCGGCAGGGACAGACAGAGCAGCAGCCGTTGTAGAAGTGACAAAGCCGATCAAAGCAGTGAAGCGCATGCTGGCAAACTTGGAATTCAAGTGGAAAAAGTAGGTAGAAATACAATTGACCGCAAGCTGAGAGATGAGGTATTAGGTCTTATAAGTCCCTCTGTGAGGGCGCGATTCATGTGTCTTTATACTTCTGTTCAAACTCTAAGAAGCTCCTTTACAAATGGAGGATGCAATACCTTTGCAAAGACTCTTCCAAACGATAGTTGAAGGAGGAACTTTGGTAGGAGCTTAAAATCTAAGAAACGGACTTTGAAAACTTTTGGCTTAGGCTGAAGTGATATCTTGACTGTTTTTAGGCTAGTTTAGAATCCTTAGTTACAGAGACCCGTTGCACCTGCTAATCCTAGATCAAGGGATGATGGAGGAGGATTGAAGTAAAAAGAGCTAATGCATCTTTCATTTATGCGTTACTTATTGTAGTATTTCCCTGCGCTATTTTATTCTCCCTCAATCCTTAAAAGCTAGATTTATGATGTAAAGAGAACTTTAAGCAACGGAGGAAGGCTTCCAAGTTAGGCTTGGATAAGTTAACGGTTCAGCATTGATATTGCTTAAAGAAGGCTAGCTAGTCCTCCCAAGAAGTACTTATTACATTTCTCGTTTCACTTTCTCTACTTAACAAAGGAGTAGAAATTTAAGTCAATTATATTAGTTAGAACGAAGGTCACTCGATAACATATTTTGTTAACTCTAAAATCTCTATCTGAACTGCATTTGAAGCATTACGGGGGCGTTTACGAAACAGAGGCTGCGTTCCGTAGCGACGTAGTCTGGTGCAAGGTGGTAAATAGTACTTATATACTAATGCCATAAAAATCACTAACGCCCATGGCTAGGTGTATTTCATCGAGATGATTACGAAGCTTTGTAAGATCACTTGCTGAATGGGGAAGTGTGCGCCGACGGTTGTTGCGAACAGGAATGTAGAAGCGAGTGTGTTACGCTTTAGGAACTGGGCTCCGAAATAGCCGTCGTTTGAATTACTAATGACTAGAAAAGGCTGATTCCGACGATGAAAAGATTGCAAGCGAGCCGCAGGACAAAATTGAAGAGACTCTCGTAAGGCCAAGGGAGCAAAAGGTCCGGACCGCGCCTTTGGTCATCATCGGTCCAGAGATCGATCCACAGAGAGTAGACATTCTCACATGTGAACTCAATTGAATGATAGCACTCAAGGCATTATAATATCGAAAAGCAAACAAAAGTTTGAAGAAGTAATAGAAAGCTTGTTCAAATAGATAGATACAAGCCAGCAACTAGTACTAAAGTCAATTCTTAGCCTCAGCTTTTGTTAACAGCATTCTACTGTCACGTGGCTAGCTGTCACATCTGGCGCACAGTTTCATCAAGTCATCTAGCTTAAACATCGGTTGAAGTGCCGAATGGGCTATCCGTAGATAGTTTGTGCATGGCGTCATTGATCTTGGGATCTCTTGTCTTTCATTGGCTAGTCATAGGAAGAGCTACAAAGGCTTTGCACCCTGTGCGCTCAAAATATCATTATCTCCAATAGGAAGAATATTCAAACAATTATTTCCACTCTTCGCCTTCCCTTCCCTTCCACCCCCAACTCCACGTCTATGAGAAAGTGTAGTAGAGATTATCTCCTCGCCACGTGTTATCTACTCTGAGCTGAACGAGTTCCTTGGAGATACTAAAATCGGAGATGGCACCTTTGATTACAGAAGAGAAAATAGTTTTCCCCAGCCTGTCCCAACAGTTTTTCTTAGCCGTTTCTGTGTCAGCAGCTGAGACTGTAAAGTCAGCTCTGCCACCTAAGTTCATGCCCTTGCGGCAGTCTGTGAGAGCGTCTTGCATGTTTTTGTTATCGATTTGGTCGCCCTTAACTTCCTTAATCTCCTCAGGCTTGAGGCCAGTCATCGTCCAACACTCCTTAAGAACCTGACGCATCTTAAGGCGGGGATCAGCCTCATCGAGTCCGTTCATGGCTTTGTAGACAGTAAGGCGCTTGTCCACGATATCGACCTCGAGACTATCAACAGTTTCCTGGTCGCCGTCTTCATCGAATTTTTTGTAGCCCTTTGAATAGACTTGAAAGTACCATTCGCGATCGCCTCTCGTTTTTGTGATATCGACGGAGTAAGCTGGGTTTCCCTTCACTTGTGTTACCTAGTTGGCTCCCAGTAGAAAGTTGGTGAATATCCTTACAGCAAATGGCCCGACAGGCGCGGCGGATATCTAGGCGATGTATTAGTTTTCTATGATTTACATATATGACTAATTCTACAGGCGAAAGGGAGGCGGTTTTTTTCTTACAGAGTAAAGCAGTGGACTAACTGCTAGCGGAATGGCTAAAATATACTGAAAAAGCATTTTGAGCGAAAGACAAGATACGGCTACACGCAAATTGCGGCTGCGCGGAAGCTAGCAAATGAATAGTAAAAAAACGAGAGCTATGCTTGAGAATATCAAATCATCCACATAAATGCGAACAAACGCGGCGTAATATATCTATCCTGTTAAATGCGATGGAATCGTACTGCGTACCATTCGGTGCTACGTGACGCTACGTGTTGACATCTTAGAAAGGGCTGGCTAGTAGATTACTTACCAGATCGACAGAAAGAAAATGAATTCATCAATGCTTAACGACTCATGAAAACACATTATGTCGTGTCGATTGTAGCCGCTTAGTGGTCATTTCCTTTCCTTCTTTACAAAGGGCGGAGTAAGGCTGCCGTAGGATCCAGAGCTCTTATATCCACTAGACCCATTGGATCATATGCCAAGATTTACAGTACATCTATCCATTCAAGATTTCAGTTATAATTGAAGTACCTATAATCACTGTTCATAAAGAATGATAAACCACAAAAGTAGGAGATATAGAGGGGATTTGCCCAACATCTACGTACTGATTGAAGTGCGGAGACAAAAGTTGCTATTAAAGTGGAATTGCTATCCTTCAGCTAGCAAATACGACACCAAGTCGCATTCGGTCTCGGACGTCTCGGACGCACCGGATTTTTTTTAGTAGTAGATGTGTAGACCCGGTTATTTTTTCCGAATCTCCGTGGACGGAAAATGGAGCCAGTGTTAACCCAGTTCTAAGTTTGTAACAACTCAGCTAGGATGTAAGTCAACCTGTACCCCTGTATTCTATGCATTGTGAGAAAAATAAGATGAACACTATGTAACAGCATGATTAACAGTGTAGGACTGACTCGGGTAGATCGACACAAAGTGGACTGATCTGCAACACGCGGGCGAAAAGTTGCAAGCAGGTTTTTAATAATAACCTCTTAGGTTTGACTAGACTACAGATAGCCCCATAGGGATCCGAGGGCTGTAAAAGATGCTTATATATCCTCCGTTTGGAAAGATGCTTACGCTTGCTCTGTTCGCAGGATCTTTGCACGACACACAGGAGGGAAACGGCTAACATCCAGACGGCTCATGATAAGATCTATCTAGCACGGTCAAGAAACGGCTTATGAATCTACATGATCATATTTGTTAATCCAAATGCCCTTTGATTTTTCCGAAAACGTTGTGCTGTTATCCGGGACAGGCGCTAAAAGCTTAAAACTCTCACCCATGGCACCCAAACCCATTCGGCCCCAACGTTAGTTTCGACTCAGCGTTATCTAGGCGTAAGGTAGCATACAAGGCTTGCGCGTGAGACCCTGCAGGCGAAACATCCAGGACATTGATGGATTATCTCAGTACGAAATATTAGATATCTAAAGCATCTCGCGGATCTTCTCAACGCAAAGTTAAGGTATTAAGCGCATAAGTTGAATTTGATCGAAATGTTGATATTAGCGAAAATAATGAGTAGAATTCATACCGAGTCTAAAACTTGCCAAGGTTAAAGCTAGGCCTATCCCCTAGCCGCTATTTATTCTTACTCCTATTTATCATTGTTCATTCTCAATTGACGGGGCATAAAAGGCGACACAAGGGATGCTAGATAACAGTTAATGTGTTTCTTCCTACGGTAAGAACATATGTATTTCTGGATGACGTTCTTGGCTTAGTGTGAGTCTCTAAGTTTCCGGGTGGAAGAAGTCGGAGCGTTTGGTTTCTTTTCCTACAGTGCATCTTAGACATCCCGTTGGTCCTTCGTTCTGCCTAGGCACCAAAGGATGGGATATTACTCATAGTCAGTTGATGTATCCCTATTTTTAGCTTCGAAGGATTCTTATGTTTCACTACCAGTTGACCAAGAGAAGATGTATAGAAATTTTAAGCGAGGGGAGTAGTTCAGCCTACTCAAGACCAAAATTTTCAGAGTCAGCAGAATTTAGATACAGTTAGAAGCGAGTAATCAGGTTATAGCTAGGTATATTATGATTGATATACTCCGTAACAGCAGATTAATAGGATGTGTATTCAAGCTAATCCAATCCAGATACCTAGCAACACGCGATATATAGACGTATTACGCACACAACTCCTCCGCCAAGAACGTAATCGGAACCTCGGCAACAGCTTCGCCATAGTTTTTATAGTTATATACTAGGTACTTAAGATCCTCTCAAGGATTTAGGGTGGAGATTTTTAGGGCGCCTTAAGGCAGACTAGAGGCGCAGGTAGCGCCGATATGTATTATACCTCGACTTCACCAGCGTCTTCGCAATTGGTAAATGAATAGGCGAGGAACTCTGACTGTTGATGTAACCTTGAATTGAATGTTGTTACTACATTTGGCGGTAATACGAATATGTAAGCGAACTTTTCAGGTCTAAGACATCACTGTAGGTCACACCATACTTGTCGGGCACGCCAAGGTCATTTCCATTACTGTCTGCGAACATTAGATGCAGTACGGCAAGAAAGAACGTTCCATTGTGTCGCTTACAACCTTCAATGTCAGACTTTACTCGGCAAAGGATATCAATATAAATAGGAGAGTAATTCTTAACTTTTTTAGATCATAAAAGAATAAGCACGCCTCATCATTCGATAACTCCTCTTATCATTCCATTACAGGCTCTCACTGTCAGCTTTTGCCTCCAATTACATAACCAACCATCTAGTCACTTGCCTATAAAACCTACCCTTTACCCCGCCTTCCTCACAATGAAGTTCTCTCTTCCTGCCGCTCTTGCCATCTTTTACGCAACCACTGCCCTCGCATTTCCACAGAACATTGCTGACGATACCATCCTCGCCCGAGACGACGAGGGCATTGACATTTCCCATCTTGACATAGAAGAGATCGAACTCGCTTACGATCCCAACGACTTTGAGAACTTGGCCGCTCGGGCAACCATCAAGTGCTCAAACCAGGGCAAGATCAAGCGCGTTAAGAAGGAGTACGCTGGAAAGTGTCATCCTAACAACAGCATCGGCACCTTAAGCGCCCATAACTGTAAGAACCGCCAGGGGAAGTCGTATCTCTGTGTACAAAGCCAGAAAGCTACTTGCTACGTACGTTCATCCCTACTACTTCCTTTGATGAATGCATCGTGTTTTGTAGAGACTCTGTTGGCTCGTGACCCGGTTTTGATTAAGCCTACTAACTATGATTAGACTATCCCCGCCGCCCAGAAGAAGAATTTCGAAAAGGGCGAGTGCTTCATCCGCAAGTAGAGAGTTTCGACATTCTCCTCGCTTCCTCCACCTTCGGCGTCAATTCTCACAGTCTTCTTCTAAATCGGCATCTTTCCTCTCTTTCTATAGCCTCGTTACATGATGAAATCTCAAGTCCTTTCCTCCGAGGCTCCTCTTGCCCCCGACATGGTCCGGGAGGCCGCCAGCTCGGGTGCCTTTTCCGAGGTGCCCAACGGTATGGACTCGGTGCGCCACCACATCTTCTGGTTCGGTATGCGTGACAAAGAAACGGGCAAAACACAAAAGTCAATCATGTTTGCCATCTACCAATCTGGAAAGCATGGACCGCAGAATGGATACCGTCTCTGTCTGGTGCACCAGGGCTTCTACATCGCCTCAGCGGAACGCGTGGAGGGTGAGCCTGAAGATGATATTGACCGTCTTGAGAAGGATATTCCTTTGGGGCATCAGGAGATGGTGATTTTGGGAGAGCCGATTGCCTGGGAGGATACGGAAGGATGCGAAACTGATTGATGCAAGAGCATACGACTTTCGTTTCACGCTTTTCTTTTGAGACTTTTGCCACTGTAACAGTAAAGCCGTTTTACAGATCCATTCACTAAGCAGTTATCATTCTTTATGAGTCCTTTAGTTTTAGTATGCCTTCAATACAGTACATGCGCTATACTGTTGCATTATGCTGTTTATATATCGTGAGGGGTATAGGCCATGAGACAGAAATGGCATGCCCTCTACAAGATACTTGGATCTCCTAACTGAAAGGTCCTGGCTAGGACCATTGTGTTTGAGTTGACTAGGTTCACAACAGTTACATCTTCTCATACCCAACGAAATTTTGATTACGCAATCAAGAACGATCTATCGCTGAGGCCAACAGCCAAGCCACTACTATTACTAATTCCTACATATTCACTGTCCGCAATAAAAAAAGGTTGACCCTGGCAACGTGGCTTTCCTGCTATGGGAGTAACTCATCTTAGCCGCAGAGCTTGGCAGCTAACTGCCGCAATTGATCATTCGCTCAAATTCGACCTCAATGTTTTCATCTTTTGCACATGCTTGTCTATGGCTGCCGGATAATTATTCTCCGACTACTTTTTAGAGACTGTCAACTTTAATGTCAAGGTCGGGCCGTAAGTCAGTCTGAAAACCACATTGCTCAATGTCACAAGCATGATTTTGTCTCTTCCTCTGTTAAATGAGAGTCAGGAAACAACCGAAAATGTCACGATTTTCGCCGTTGTTAAAGCCTCCAGCCACAGCTGCAAAGCGCTCTACACAAATACCAGTAACTTTAAAAAACCGCACCTGAATTTGCGAAGGCGGTCCAGTTACGCGACCCACTGATTGCTCGCATCCCTTTGCCAATCGCAGCGCTTGTGAGGCGATAATGTGCTTTCGTGCTTGCGCTTCGTTGTGAAGTCCAGCACCTATAACTTTAAATCTTTGCTACTTATCTACGACAAGGTTATGCCAAGGATGAACAATGAAGCACATCTCACGTGCGGCTTGTCGGAAAACGGAAAGGGTCTTCGTTTTCGGGCGGTAGTAAGGCTCCAAATCGGGCGAGTCAGAGCTCCGACTCAGCCCTAGCAGGCCAACAACCTTATCACGGCCGTCATTCGCCTGGCAATGTGCAACATCCACTGAACACCCCTGCAGAGACTTCTTGTAAGCTTCAATTACTCGATGAATCAGCCGGTCGTTATACCCTAGTTTCAACTTTTGATGCTCATGGATTCGCTCGACTATAGGCTGCATTGCTCTTTGCCACATTGAATCGTCATTAGGACGACTCTGAGAAAATGCACAATCGGCATCGTAGTGGGAGGTGATATGACGGCCAAATTGGACAAGGATTTCGCTTGCAAGACACTATTCTTGCACCTTAAAAGAATGACATTAATAGACGTCACGCAATGCTACAGCCCATTTACTACATGCCATCCACCTAGTTCTAATTAACTGCCGATTCCGGATTGAGTATCCCTGGTACATCCAACAGTATGCGAGAGATAGAAAATTAGAATTTATACAAACCATTGAATCTGATCAGACTTGATGTGCAGCAAGGGCGATGCAAAACAAACGATGTCAATTTGCCTGCTGCAAGCCCCGACACCGTGGTCGTTACATTACTCAAATCTTTCTTTATGCGCCACCAGTTGTGAATTGTTACGACTTTTGGCCTTTTTGTTGATTTTTTAATTTTTTTCGATGTGATGTCAGTAGTCTGTTAAATACATATTGCATTGATTACAGTCTCCGTGGCTTTTTGTGTGCCGAATTCATCTGAGTGTCGCAAAGGCTTTCCTTTTGACTTAAAATCTTGCTTCATATTAATTTTAATGGCACAAACTCCAAGCATAAAAGAGAGGCTTGTATGCAGGTTGAGTCTTTAGATCTTCTAGTGCTAGAGTACACATAAGTGATGTTAGAGCTCTCCGGGTCAGATTTCATGAGAACGCGTTCTATGGTGCTTGTCTAGATTCATCGGTTCGTTCTCATAAGTGAAGGACGAGTCCGTTTCCGCGGGGGCTAATGGCTCATCATTTGTAGAGCAGCTGATTGCGCTCAAACATCCGATCATGACCCTTTGGGCTTTTTACAAGGGGCAATGCCTGGGCGTGACTAGAAAAAAATCTAAATGCAAATAAAGACAGAAGGAGGGGCCACGAAGCATGTAGAAGATTAGTAGAGCTAGACATTAGAGTCCGCCCATGCGAGCTGCCAGTGAGCGACGTGTACGCATATCACTAGAAAGCTGATATGTACGTACGTATGCGTCACACCAATTTTTATTCCCCAGATAGGCGACTCCTAGAGCACGTTCGAGTAGGGCGCCTTCTTTACATCGAATAGCATTCCACCTTAGTTTCAAACTGGGTTCCTTGGCTGGTCTTATCAGTGTCTTGCGAAACCTATGTTTTACAGACTTTGAATTTGTCTAGCTTATCCAGGGTAGCTATCAACGTTTGAGATCTTCCCTAGTGGAGAACGGTATTAGGCCGACCCTCTTTTACAAGTACATCGGAAACCGGGTTGTTCACAAATCCGGAATGGTGTAATGGTCAACATTTGACGCTCTCATCTGAGGGCTCCGTCAGGCTCGGGGTTCAATTCCCCGTTCCGGAATTTTTTGCCTTCTCTCTTTTGTTGTTTTACAATTTTTTTTTTCTTTTTCTCAATTGTCAGCTATCTCTTTCTTGTCGCAACGTTAAACTGTTGTATTAAAAGCTTCTTGCAAAAGGAAAAGATCAGAAGGGTATATAATAAACAATAAAAGGATTCATAATTAAACTGTTTTTCAGTTTTCGTCGTAAAGCCCTGCGTCAAACTCTTCGGCATGGCATCTAGATCGTTACATACCTATGTACCTCCACCGATAAATACATCACCTTACTAATTAAGATTCTGAGTCAAAACTCTCAAGACCGTGAGTTAAAATGCCTGTAACAAAGTCCACCGCGTGGGCCTGCGTACTCACTTTACCTGTCCCATTCTTCAGGTAGCAGTACTCGCCGGGAGTCTTGATCATGGCCACTGACCGGCACCAACCCCCTTCCGAAACCCTCTTAGATGCGAGATTATCGGCGTACTGGATGTTGTGCGCGGCACAAAGCGTCATGCAGTCCTCAAACGACGAGACGTAGGTCTTGAGAATATCGTATAGTTGCGGGTTGCCGTAGGCGGCACCCGAGGGGTAGTTAACCTCACATATCTGCTGGAAGGCCTGGTAGTGGCCTCCTTTAACACGCATGAGGTTACCGCCGCCGTCAGTAGGCGCATATGCCGTCGCGTTGATGCCCGGGCACCCAGCGTCCGTAGGTGCAGGGCGAATACTCGACGACGTTGCCGTTCCCGACGCTGTTGTGCTAACAGGGCTTGTGGCGGTCGCTGTTGCGCTGTTTTGCGAGTCTTGTTTGTTTGACGTGGAATTTTTGTTTTGCGTTATAAGTCCGCCCGCAACGCCTCCCGCGATGCCAGCAGCTAGGATAATTACTAGCGCGATGACGAGACCCCAAAAGACAGGCACGGTGAGACCAAGGATGCGGCGCTTCTCGGGCGTCGAGGATGGCGGCCCGTCGCGCTGCACGGGGTACTGTTGTTGGGTCACTATCCACTTGGGTTCCGTTGACATTGCCGGGCCTTGATTCTCGGGTTCGGCTGCATAAGGTATGGGTGCGCTAGCCCAATGGTTCGGAGCCGCTTCCAGGCCGGGCTGGTCATTGTAATGTCTGTCCCGCTGATCCTGATGATCCATCTCGGAAGCATGTAGCAACGGTTGTGTCAAAGGCGGCGATCCGTCTGACGGCTTTTGCGGGTGCTGTTGCTGAATTTGCTGCTGTTGATCCATCTGGTGCTACTCGCGTTGCTGTGGATAATGCTGTACGGCGTGATCGCCAACCCCGGCATGCCACGATGCGTTGTCGTGCCTTGATGTTGATGTTACGGATGAGAGTTAAGTTGGGCGAGTGTTAATCGCGCATCTATCGCACGGGGAAGAAGGCAAGGAAAGTCGAAAACTCGACATCGTTCTAAGCGCTTGACAAGAAAACCAATAAGGATGGGAGAAAACCGTGGTCCTGGGCCAGATGCAATCTTAAAACAGGGGTCTTTAGAGAGCGGGATTCTCTCGTGGGGGTTACTATTAAGCGTCATCTTTTTTTTGCTTGTGGAATGGCTGAAAACCGATCGCCTTCGCCTTACTGAGTACGACGGAGCCTTGTCTGTTAACGAAGCACGCAACATGCTCGAAAAGATGGACTCAAGGCATACTTAAACGCTTGGCGCAGTTGTCCAGGTGGGGACAACAGGCCATCCAGTCAAGACCGCATCAAACTAGACCCAATTGAGGGTACTAAACATTGTTGCCTGGCACGGACGGGATCTTGGTTGGTAACACGATGCCTGTTATCAGCCACAATCAGGCTGCAGTGTTTCCGTATGCTGGTATTATTAAGAACGGCGACAGCCATTGCGATCCTTCTCCGGATTTCGACCCCAAAGAGTATTAGCATACCGAGGCTAGGGTTGTGAGGCCTGGGATTAGGGTAGTATGCAAACGATAGAGAGTAGCTCTAGGAACATCCGTCGCGAGGAGATGTGAATAAATATTTCAGAGTCAATTTAGAGGCGCGGTTTAGAGAGGCGTTGACTGACTGGATGAGGTGGGCAGAGATGTTTGCATTCATAGCCGCTGCGGCGGTAGTATGCACGTTACCTTTCTGAAGAGCTCCATTCTCATCATTCTTTGTGTTCGCATGGAAACTGATTGCATCAAGACAAAGTTGCACAGGCTACACAGTCTGCACAGATGAGGTTGGAAATTTAGGTTGATGATATGTGATGTTTTGACACAAAGTTTAGGTAACAAGTGGACTTCGAGAAGACGTTCGGAGGAAGCAACTTAGTAATTGAATATGTCGACGAAAAAGGCAGATGAAAGATGTATTTTTGGTCCTAAATATCGATCATCACTAACCACATAAAACAATGCAGCATCCATCTATTTAAGATCTGGAGAAGTGGACTCAATTTCATATTCAAACAAGTAGTACTTAAGAAAATGTTAAGATCTATATTTGCCTTTAATCGAGTTTATTTATTAGGGTTGCGTTGGTAGTGGTTTTATTAAACTTAAAAGACTAGTTTATTTATCTTAAACATGGTAGATTAAATATAGTATTGGATTGTTGTTTATTTGAGAGCGGTATACTAAGAAGGTTTATTAATAAGTCTTTCTTACTAAAAGGGAGTTCTTTCAAAAGGTTTATATAAATCAACTGACTCGATCGAAGAGACCAAGTCAAGTCTGTCCTCAAGTATAAAAATATTACTAGTTATCACCGTCTTACTTCTGATGATGCTTTATCCTATTACTATCACTCTTACTTGAATCGCTATAATCAACTTTCAAAATGCGCTGCACCTCTCTCGTTATCGCTTCTCTCGTCTCGGCGACAGTCGCCGATTTTACATTTTACTGCTGCGCAAGCTCTTATCCGACTACGATTACAAAGGGTGACCTTGACTGGGCCCTCACCGCCAAAAACGGCCGAACAGCCGAGATGGGCATCGCAGGAGGCGCAAAATACAGTTGGATTCATGGGACGTGCCATTTTGACAAAAGACCGATGGTCTGCGCCAGAGTCACTACCACGGCTAGAACAACGGAACGTGGCGGAACAAAACTCAAGGGCAGCAGCGTCATCTCCTGCGAGGACCCCAAGTACTTGCAAGGCAATATCTGGACATGTCCCTTCTGATTTTGTCTCAGAAAGTTGCTTGTCACAGCTACTTAAGCATGACAGGGCCAATGTCGTACACACAAGGCACCCATCGACAATAGGAACCTGGTCGCAGGAATCGGAAGGTCATCTTGGGACGGAAGAAACGCAAAGTCTAAGATAAGTATGTAGATAAGCATTTGGGGTAGAACTTCAGGCATTCTTATAGTTCTTCAGTAATCAAAGTTGTGATTTAACGTCCCGCACCTACATTTAGGCATCTCTTAAGGAAGTGCACATGATGAAAAATATGAATGCTATCGCCATCTCTCAACAGTTGGTCGCGCAAGTTGTCTCTCTCTTTGAGTTGCTATCCAAGTCCCTTTCTTAAACTCGGGGCTTTTATAGTTCTCTGCTTTCTAATGTCAGTTTTGAAGGAGCTCGATTCGTTCAAAAGCCGGAGAAAAATCTTCTGATGAATTCCATGAACGTCTCGCTCACTCACTACGCAATAGGGTTGGAACCTCCTAGTATATAGGCGATAGCAAGCCATTTTCAAGCCTGTGATTCTACTATGAGCAAATACTAAATGGCCATGTTGACTGCATGATTAATCGTGACATCGAGAGCATTCTTAAAGTCGGAAAGGAACCTTAGTAAATACAGGCAGTCTCAGAGTTTGAGATTACTGTTGCACGAGAGCAACTATGCAATATTCAGGACATCAATATGTTTTAAAGAATTGCGATGTTTGTCAACAGGGACTGGGTCGCCTTCGTCACCGATTTGTGACCGCTGGGCAGCGATGATGTGTCTCGACGAGCCCATCTTTGAGCAAGAAAACTCATGACGGAGGCCATGCATGCTACGCCTGCGACTGACTTGCATAGCCACCCAAAAGTGCAAGGCTTCAACCCACAGATATAGGCTGAAGTGGAAAAATGACAGCCAGCCACATGCGCCTACGTAAATATCCCTCTACCGAAGCCGGCAGTCCCTTACTATGTCGGCTCCGGTTGCTAACATAGTGGCATGGAGCATCAAGGAAAGCCTTCATCACTGTTGTTTTCACCTATCACATTGTGAACGTCCATTGTTCTTTCATCCTTAAGTATTCGTTGGCAACGAATGTCTAGTCGGAAAGACACTTTCGAGAGAATGGTATGCCTTTGTGTCGGTACTACCTAACAAAACCCTGCATCACGGTTTTCCATAGAGCGAACTTTGCTGTTACGGATATAGCGGATGTGTCCAAAGCAGGGGATCGCTCTCTCCATCTTATGGTCTCTAAAGAATTCCGTAATCAGAAAACGAAACAGATCCCCTCATAGTCCGCCACACAGATTCCATTGCTGAAGACTCTGTTGGACAAAGATATCAATCTCAAGTGCAAGGAAACCTCTGTCGAATCCCATAAATAAGCCAAACAGCAAAGTATCAAGCAATCAGATGAGTCAAATTCGGGCGCCCAACAACGTAAACAGGGAGACTCCGTCTTGTCGACAAATGAACTATCCTCCACACAAATGCTACAAGAGTTTCTCGAGTCCTAGCCGAGCAGAACATAACACTATACAAAATTCGGCCGCGCCAGAGCTGGGAGGCCTAACGGCATTTCTTAATGACTAAGCACAAGAAGCACATAATAATGTGATCCATCTCGGTACCGACACTAGCCCGTGACACCGAGTATCGGCACGACGCCTATGCAGTACAAGGAAAAGACCCATCAGTAATATAAACACGTTGAAACCCATGATGGTTTTATCGGTGAAAGGATTTTGTTTTTTTCCCGTTTGCGATAGGTATCTTAACGAGGCAAGATACAAGTGGCGGTTTACCGTTGATGTTGGTAGGGCTTCCGAGCCTCATCGTGGCACAGTTGCCTTTTGGAATGACAGCCTCAAGCCAAGCTCTTGATGGTCATACTGACGTACAGAGACCATTAACAGCTTAAGAATCATAGAGAATTCGAAAAAGACGACAACCTGTTTCCAAAAAAAAAAAAAAAAAAAAAAAAAACTTCTCTAGCTAGTAGTACTACCATTAAATTCGTTTAGCGACAAACTGTAGCTCTAGAAACCGGAAAATCACGCTGGATTTGGAAGTTCCGGAGCTACAACCATTCATCAGCAAGATGCCCCATAATAAATGATACACAAACTGAATACAAGATAAAATAAAGTAAGGTTGAAATAAATTTGACGATTCAACTCTCTTGCCAGGGTTGGAGTCACTTTTCTGTGCACTACGTCGGCGTGACCTGCCTTCTTTGCCTTGATTACGTATGCGTCGTGCTGGGGAGAGGTTCATTAAAAGTTATCTTCTGTGGGCTCAGCTAACCTAAAATGAACTGTAGGGTGGCTACTGTGATTACCTTAGTTTCGGATATTCCGATCTTGGTTTAGTTTTGACCCTCTCTGTGTCCGAGTGAGTACCGCCCCGCAATTCAATCCATCCGACCTAGTCTATATTCACATTCTGGTCCTCAGTTTCGAGACAAGTGCGCTCGCCACCTAGCGCCTTGAAGCTGACGTTACACCTGGGGCGCAATCACAGGGTTCGTTTCTGACAGGTTAAGACTCCACGCGCGGAGCTCCTATGGTTCCTCAATTCTCTATCCTTCTCCCCGCCACCCGCGGCTCTAGGGAGCAGGAATAGTGTTTGATGTGCATGTGACACCGAGTCAATGGTATTTTGTCGAGTAACCCTTGATTAGTGGGTGGGTAATTCTATTTGTCTTTCCGGTGGTTGAGACCTGAGTGTTGAATATATCCGAACGGGTGAATGAATTTGAGGATGCTCAAAAAGTGCCGAAAGCCTGAAGAAGTATATGAATGGCGCTATACGTGCCATTCTGGTTATCGTAGTCATCATATCACCGGTTTTTTTTCTTCATTTAGTTACTATTTGCCGCAGTATTGGTCCAATCTTCGTGATCCAACTTCCAGTTGAACTGTTCTCAACAACCCAAGCCATGCTGCTGTTACTGTCTCTGCTGGCTGTTGGGTTCAATCTCTGCATAGCGGCGGCTCTCGCCCCGCTGGGTGTATTGACCCAAGTTTCAGGTTTCGGTAGCAACCCAGCAGGGTTGAAAATGTTCATATACGTCCCTCAAAAAACCGTCTCCTCGCCAGGCATTGTCGTCACACTCCATGGTGCCTCCGGCAACGCCCAGCAGGCGTATACTTCAACACCTTACGCGAGCCTGGCTGAGCAGTATGGGTTTATCGTCATTTATCCCGAGTCACCGCAAGGCGCCTGGGATGCCACGTCCAGCAGCTCTACCATGCGTGACGGCGGCGGTGCCAGCCAATCTATCGCTACAATGACTAGATATGTCATCAACGTCTACAATGCTGACACCACCAAAATCTTTGCATCTGGAATCTCCTCAGGGGGTAGCATGGCAGTTAGTTATCTTTAACAATCCAAGCTGAGGAAAACGTTAACCAGTGAATATCTATAGAACACTCTAGCAGGAACTTACCCCGACTTATTCAAGGGCGTCAATATTTACTCCTCTGGCTCTTCAATTGACATTCGAAGCATGTATCCCGGCTTTGGAGGAAGCTATCCCAAGGTGCAGCTATATCTGGGCTCCGAGGACAAGGTAATCGGATCAGCTGCCTTTAACAGAACTCTTGCCATGTGGGCCCCGGTTCTTGGCTACGACGCGAATCCTGACAAGGTTCTCGGAAACAACCCGATTACTGGCTGGACCAAATATGTGCTAGGATCCAAGCTTGAGGGCATTTGGGCCGAGGGAGTTGGGCACCCCGTCTATATCCAAGGCGCCGAAGATATGAAGTGGTGGGGATTTGCTTAGTAGCATGTTAGGGTAGGGTATGTTGGATAGGAGAAAGGGAAGTTAGCTCTTTGGGAATTGATATTCACGTATGAAATTTGATGTGTGTTTTCGATTGTACCACGGCGAGTTCCCTTTGCCATTAGCAACCAACCTAGCCGGACAGACGCATCCAATCAGCCATACGATTTCACGTTTGTTTACACACCGTGTACTGGTTAAACCTTAACTATGCCGCCTAGTCTATTTCTTATTTCATGAATATGAAACTATTAGGGAGGCTTCCCCATGCATTCTTTTTCTGATGATGGTGTGGTATTCGCCCAGTCAGGCAATGTTTCGGGACAAGTTCACTCGGAGAAAGGCAATGCTAAGACACACAGGTTTTATTACTAGCTAGATTGATATTAAAAGCTCTGTCGATGGATTGAAGTTGGCTTTGAGAAAGTAATATGGGGAAAGATGCAAGAATAGCACTGCATTCCACTGCTAAAATACTGCCAACGACTATAATACGGAGACTCGGAACAGTACAACTGCTTGGTCGCGCACTACATGGTTTGGCTTGACCCCGGCACTCGAATAAGTGTTGTAGCTGCAACACGCAGAATACTAGAAAGTCTCCATTCAGTGGTGACGGCGCCACTTATGCCCAACGCGGCGCTTGGATGCACGACTGGAAAGAATTGTGGTACAAGGCTCACTTCGGATGCGGGTACCAGTTGCCCTGGGAATTGGTGCGGAGAGACGGGTAGACGTGGCAGTAATATCGACGAGAGAGGAGGGAGTGATGTTAGTGGCCTGCGACGGAGTGCTGGCACTAGCGGAAGTGGAAATATTTTCGGAGCTGACCGCCTCAGTCTCGGATTGTGGAGATGAATCGACAGCACCACTACCGTTCGCCAAAGTTTCTTGACTCTTGAGGAAATCGTCTGTGCCGTTCTCTGGGTCCTGGTCAGATGGAGTACACGTGGCGGCAACAGGGGCAATGCCGAGCGCGCCACCGATGAACTGGCCATCATTGTAGCCGCTACCACCAGACACAAGCATGGTCTCGGCAGCATCCTCAAACCAGCCGTTGATGAAGTCGCCGTGGAAGCAATGGCCGTTGCCGATTTCCTTGCCGCAGGAAAGCTGGAAAGGGGCAATTCCACTCCAACCCTCTGGAACGACTTTGCTGGTCTGGTATTTGACGGCATAGCGGAGCTGGGGGAAACGCTTCATGCCCTCGGGGCATTTCTCGGAGTTGTCGCTAAAGTCATACTGGAGGAGATTGTCCGGGTTGACGCAGTTCGGGAAGCGCAGGGAAACTTGGAGGTTCTTGGAGCAGGTGCTTGTAGGAAACTTGGAAATTTCAGACTCGCGCTCGTCAGTCCCCTCACAGAACCACTCAAGGTTGTTGTAAGGGTGGTCCGCTTCGGCTTGGGTCTGGGCCGACGCATTTCCCGCGATCATCGCGAAGTTTTGAGGAATAGCAATCTCGGAGAAGGCATTGGTGTAATACGTGCTGAGACGGAAGATGGGAATTTCGATAAATTCACCACCTTTGACATAGTACAGAGTAGGTGTCCAGTATGCAGACAAGTCGTTTGGGTTCTCGCCGGAGTAGCAGCCCTTCTGCAAATCAGCAGATGTGGGCATAGCATTAGTGACGGCGTCGGAGCCAAAAAAGGTATGCATATGCGAGGAGTAAGTGCCGGGAACAACAATAGGATCGATGTTCTTATTCATGAACGGATCATGATGCAGCTCGGTCCAGGCGTGTACCGCACTGACACTGGCCACAGCTACAAGGCAATTGAGACGCATGTTGGGTGGGAACGGTAAGGGTGAAAAGAAGAAAGTTTCAAGGAGTGACACTGAGAGAAAAGAACGGACAGTCTGAGCTGGCAGACAAATACATGTGCGTGAATGAAGTGAGAAGCGCAGAAACACAGGAGTATTGTGGCCGAAAACCTTCGATTTATAACGATAGCATCGTCTTAGCCAAGATACAAGTGAGCCATGGCAGCGGCAAAAGCCGCAACTTTGACCAGGTAGATACAATAGCGGCTTCATGGCATGATAACATTCGTCCCAGTACACGTCATCTGGTTTTGAGCTAGAGGCCCACCTACACCCTAAAATCTTAAACACCGGAGACTAACCTACGTATGGAAACATCCCTTCTTTCGCAAAGACATATCGGACCAGCCTTAACATAATCAGAGGGATGCATGTTTACCTACGAAGATGGACTCCATGCTTTACGACACAAGTCTACTAAGGCCGTGCTTACTTCGTCTCTTCTCTACTATGTAGGCTAGTGATCTTGATCAAATTACAGCCTTACTAAAAACCTACCGGTATACATTGATTACTTAACCTGGTCATACTTATCATCAATCACGCGTGTATAATAATAGCGTTCTACTCTGTACAGCTTATATCATATCGTAGGGGGCGGGTGCCATTCGGCCTACGTAGGCTCATACACATTAGGAGATTTAGAATAACGTTACCAAGTAAAGCACTGGGCCTTATGATATTATCCACCGGGGCGGTTTAAAACTCACCAACCAGTATCCTGGCATGGTAATCCAGGTAAATCACATATTCAGGTATGCTGAACCCTTGTCACTGCATAGAGCGCCGCATGTGTCAGGTTCAGGCGAACTCTACATGTCAAAAGACGAGCTGAGATGCCGTTGAATCAAAGTTCTATTGTACGGGAACACCCCAAATCGGGATATCCGAACACACTAGCCCCCGAAAAAAACGCATGTACCATGCCGGGTGGGCACCCGTATGGCTGCTGCCGCGCGTCCAAACTAAAGGATTGCAAATGCTCAGACGAGAACGGAAGAAAATCTTACAACTAGTGACTACTGAAAAATTTCTAAGCAGTTCTAATAATTGAAATAGTGAAAAGGTTGTAGATCATCTAGTTTAAATGGTTCACAGATGGCATGGATGGAAGCAGCTTGACGTGGCTAGGCAGAGCGTAAGATTGCATAGGTTATACTTATGTGGCCTAGCTATTAAATGCAATCGGTTCTCCTAAGGTACTGTGAGGGGGAACAGCGCTTAGACATTTGGCAAAAATCCCATTTCCTCAAGCCTTCCAAAAGGATCTTCTGCCCAGTTAACTAAATCACCCACATTTCCCAATTCGTTGAGGACATCTGTAAGGTCGGAATCATTTGGCATCATCATATAACGTGTCGTATCAGAATGGCTTTCCATGTCACTTATCCCGAGGCCGTCTCGGACAGATGTAGATTGCTCTCCCTGCACTCCAGCTGGTGTATCCGCCCGTGAAGAATAGTGGGAAGAGTCAAGAAGGACTTCGAGAAATCTTGCGTAGCGAACTGCCATATGAGTGTCGTCTGGAGATCCATTGCGAATCGCTAGGATGGAGGTTCTCAGGAGCCTCACATCGTCATTAGCTTCGGTTGGAACGGTCTCCATGACAAGTGTAGCCTGAGGAAACGGTGTCAGTCGAGTCACATATTTATCAGCTTTCAATCACCGACTTTTAGCAGGTGGAGGTTGGCAGCAACAATGAATTGCCAACAACGTACAGGCACGTACTTGAGCATGGTGGAAGGCTCAAGGACGTCTACAAGTGTGTTCAACATCTCGCGACTTGCAGAGGTGGCTCGATTGGCCAGTGCTGCCAAAGTTTCCGATCTTCTGTTGTATATAGGACCTTCATGCGTAGGCCCGGAGCCAACGTTGTTGAGCATGATGTGGCTTGCCGGAGCAAGACTATACATGACGAGGTATTGGTACTCGAGTTCGACGCAGGCACGAAGAAGGCTTAAACCGTCTGCGGCATCTTATTAGTTCATTGCATTTTCCGAAGAAAAAGAAATACTCAGCAGACTTTCGGTGGAGTGCACGTGTTGACGTCTCCAGCGACTTAATCCTCTCTCGAGGTGCTCCAGCTCAGGGATTACGGCGTCGGCGGCAACAGAGGGCCCTGCCTTTTTTAACGATTGCAATAGCTCCCGTGCTTTTTTGGCCTCGATAGTAAGGTCATAGTAGCTCTCCCAGAGAAGGCTTTCGGGAAGAAGACTGGCGAAAGATGAAGAAAATCTGGCTCGCACCGCCTCGACAGACTTCCCAGGCGACAAGGTGTTCAGGCCTAGTCGCATAGATAAGCTCTTATCGGCCAGGTAGATAAATACACATATCAGCTGGTTCCAAGACTGTTTGAATGTTTCGTAAATGGATGAATCGATCTGTAACTCCCGTGAATTGTGTTCGAAGCACCCGCCTTCTTGTGCTAGAGCGATTGCATTGGATAAGAGCATCCTAAAAGGGTGTCGTGAGGATCAGAGTAGTCTTGTATCTTGTGCAGTTGAAACAGACTGCTACTCACCATGACATTTTGTTACTGCGGTAGGCCGGCGCAACAATGTTGAGCTTTTCGAGGAGCGTTGTCATGCCATATCTTTGCCGGTTCGTAGACGAGGAGAGGGTATCGGCGTCACTGTCGGTGGAGTTCTGTCCAGCCCCAGACACGTTGAAGAGTTCGTAATCGTCGCTGTCACTCAGACCAAGTGGGTTGTTGATGGATTTCGAGTGCCACTCGATCATCAACAGCATGGCGACGATAGCGCCGGGAGATCGGGTGAGCGGCGAACCCCAGAGGGCAGACTGAAGGTACTTTTGAAGGAATTTCCAGGCCTGCCAGTGTATACGCTCAGATCGAATCTGACCATATGGGCCCTGAAGAGTATGATATCGAGACGCCAGAGTCACGAGACATGTTAGCAGCAGTGGTTCCTCCACAGCAAGTAGTGCATATCTGGTCCTATCGCTGTAGAACCCATGTACAATGGGACGCAACGGCCAGAGTACGTTGAAATAGAAGTCGAGATATTCAATCACCTCAAGCTTTGTCAAAACGCCCTTCTTGATCAATATCACCTTTTTCCAGTCGGTCTCGTTTGTGGCACGGGGCCAAGACTCGCTAGAGATGGCTGCTGAACATGCCGATGTTGAATACGGCTGATCATCACTACCATCTCCTCGCGTGGCTGTATGCGGTGTCTCGCTTTGAACTCCCGCAGCAGTGAGAGTTAAAAGATCGAGGGCATCGGCCGTATCGTGTAAGCGTGTTGTGATGATCCGGCGTCGAGCCGTGGGCTGCGCAGCCGCTGTAGTATTCCCCTTGGGGGACGCCGTGGACGTTGACTGGCTGCCAAGTCCGACATCTTCCATTGATTGTAGGGTCCCCGAAAGCACTGGGTCCCTGGGTGAGTCCAGCGATGTTGCATGGGGATGGAATGGTGGGCCAGTGCCCTCCGAAGTCGCTGCGATGTCGGTTACACCGTAGGGCTCCACTGTCGGCTCTGTCGAATTGGTATCCGTACCTTCGGATGGGATTGGGCTCGCCGGTTGAAACAATTTCTTTCGACTTCCAGTTCTCCGTCGCACGCCAACTGCTCTAGAGTTCCTGAAATGACAGGGTTTGTTGTCAGCGACACATCGTTGACATGGGTGACGTTTGTCCTTGTCCTTTCCTGACGGCACACAGCGGGTTTTGCGTTGGCGACAAGCGTCACATGAGAGATAGGCCCGCTGTCGTGTACTTTCGGCAGGCGAAACGAATTGGTTGACTGGCAAGAATTTCAGGCCTGCACTGCCCCCTTGTAATCCCTCTTTTAGGCTTTCATCGTGGACCGGAGAGGTAGCCTCTGTGGGCTCTGAGTCTGTCATGACGGGATCGGCATGCTCACAAGCAGGCTGGTTGCAAATGACATAAACCTGAGATTTAGGATATTCCCAATGTGGATTTAAGACAAAATTATGGCACGGGTTCGCCGCTTACTTATACTCTTTTGTCATATCCGTTCTACCGGCTTGCAGGCTACCCCATTCCCCACTAGTGTGAACCCCGTTTCCACCAACGAGCAACGCACCATAACGTCGCACACCCACTTCTCGCACACCCCCACATTTCGCACACCCATAAATCGCTCATGTAGAATTTTACCCTCTTCAACATTCTTTAATATCTTCACCACTTTTACAGCGATTATTATAATTCTTTGAATAGTTACTCTTATACGCTTAATGGGCCAGTATACGGAAACAGAAGTCAATCAAGCTCTCAATGCAGTTGCAAGTGGGCAGAGTGTCCGAAAGGCAGCTCATGATGCTGGAATTCCACCATCAACCCTCCAGTCTCGATTAAAGGGTTCACAGGCAAGAAATGTAGCTTTCTCTAGCTTCCAGAAGCTATCTCCAGCACAGGAAAGTCACTTAGCTGAATGGGTGCGTATCCAGGCGGCGTTAGGGCTGCCGCCAACACATCAACAACTCAAGGAATTTGCCCAGCGAATCCTAGACATCAGAGGCACTACCCAGCCACTTGGGAGAAACTGGATTCAGTTCTTTATTAAGAGAAATCCATCAATCAAGGTTCATAGAGCTAGAGCCATCGATTCTAAGCGTGTCAATGGGGCCTCAACTAATGTAATCAGGCAATGGTTTCAACAACTCGCCCTTCCAGAGATCAAGGCGATCAAACCACATCATCGCTATAACATGGATGAAACTGGTATCCTAGAAGGCAGAGGATCAAATGGCTTAGTACTGGGATCATCAGAAAGCTCATCAATGCGAAAAAAACAGCCTGGGTCTCGGGCTTGGACAACTATGCTTGAGTGTGTCTCTGCAACTGGTCAGGCGCTTCCTCCACTTGTTATTTATCGAGGGAAATCGGTTCAACAACAATGGTTTCCTCTTGATATCCATAAACGTGATATTTACAGTGGTTGGAAGTTCACAGCAACTGAGAATGGCTGGACTTCAGACTCTACAGCTGTGGAATGGCTTGAGAACATCTTTATCCCTCTGACTAAGCCTGATCATCCCTCTGAGCAGAGACTATTGATCCTAGACGGTCATGGCAGTCATGAAACAACAGAATTTATGTATCTCTGTTATAAACACAAGATATATCTCCTTTTCCTACCGCCACATACATCCCACGTTCTCCAACCTCTAGACCAAGCAGTCTTTGGGCCTCTCAAGGCGACCTATCGAAAAGAGCTTGGATACCTCATTCAACACAACGATTCTACAGTTGTAGGCAAACGGAACTTTCTTACCTGCTATGGAAAAGCACGCCAGATGGCATTTTCAAGCAAGAATATCAGAAGCGGCTGGAAAGCAACAGGACTATGGCCCATTTCGATAGCTCGACCGCTCATGAGCCCTCTACTGCTTGAGAATGCTTCCAAGCCCTCAAAGCCAGGCTATTCTACGCCTATGAGGGCCTCTGATGGTGGAAAAGACGAAAACTGGGCATCTGCTACATCCATAGTAGCCTGGTCAACGCCCAAGAAGACAGTTGATCTATATGATCAACTTAGCTTATTCAGCAAGTTGGATAAAGATCAGCAAACGCAGCGACTGTTGTTTCGGAAGGTTCAAAAGGGATTTGATGAAAAGGACTATCAATTGGCTACAGCAGAGAAGAAGATTGCAATGTTGGAAGCAGAAGTTGAGGCTGGAATGGTACGGAAGCGGCGTAAGGTCCAAATGAGCCCAAATTCGAAGTTTGCCAACATTGAGGCAATTCACAAAGCCCAAATTGAGGCTGGCGAAATTGAGGATAGCTCAGATGAATCTAGCGAGCCTGAATTACCTATTAAAACTGGCGATAGTATCACAGTTGCAGGAGACGAATCAGACTTATAGTTATGAAGTTGATGAATACCTCATGATGACCCAATTTATGGGTGTGCGAAATGTGGGGGTGTGCGAGAAGTGGGTGTGCGACGTTAGTAAGCAGGTTTACCCGAAGTAAAGTATTGATGTAATGACCAGTCTTGTATCCCTGTTTAAATTGCTCCAAGGGAATTTTCTTGAAGCCTTAGCCATGATCATGCGTTCGTAGGACTTTAGCTTGTTACGTGTGTTACGAGCTACCTACATTTATCCAGCACGTGGAAACTTGATCCAGCCATTACGATGGTGCAGGGGTTCCTCCTAGCTTTCTTTTAGAAGCCATCGATGAGCGAGAAATACTATTCTTATGTGCATAACCAACGAACGTGCCTTATCTATTCGTCAAACACCTTGCCGGGATTCATCAGCCACCTGTGGATCATATATTAGATTTTTTTTTTCTTCCTGCAGGTCTTTGGTAACATACTGCGGGTCAAGGCTTTCCTTGATGGTTTTCATGATGTTGACTGTGGCTGGACCGACCTCCTCGACAAGACAGTGCTACAGAAATGTCAATACTAAATATGGTCTTCATGAGTTAAACTGAGGACTGACCTTTTTGCCTAGACCAATGCCGTGTTCACCCTAACAGAATAAATGTCAATAGATGTATTCTTAATTATGCCTTCCGGTATCGAGTGAACGCACCGACACGGTTCCTTCAAACTTCACCGCTTTGCGCATCATTTCATCTACAAATGCCTTGACGGATTCCCTTTCCCCTGGTTTTGTAGGGTTGTACATAATCATTTGGTGAAAGTTGCCATCGCCGACGTGCCCAAGAACACTCGAAAACAGCCCCAACTTGGAAGCGCTGGTCTTGCTGTCATCTGTTTCTCGTTAGCCAGGGGTGCCGAGTGCGAAAACAGGGTTTCACATATCAGATACCTATAATCTCAGCCATTCTTGAAATCGGCACAGCGACATCTGTCGACCAGATTTCTGTGCCCTCAGGTCGGATGGCAAGAGAAGCCCATAGAGCTTGCTTTCTCGCAGACCATAAAGAGTCCATCGACATCGTGTCGGTAGCTGATTCAAAAGACTGACAGTCCGCATGGCTCGCGATTCGTTTTACTTCAGAAACGCTATCCTCGATTGCCCTGTCTGACCCTGAAAATCTAAGAACCTGTTAGACAGAATTTGTAACCTTGCGCAGAAAACGGCCACAGGAATGCATCACCTACTTCAAAAACAAGGTTGCCTCTTCTTTCCATTTCCTTCCACCAGCACCGCCACTTAAATTAACAACCTTCATCTGCACCTCGTCCATCAGTTCTAGAGCGGCCAAGTTGACGCCCTTGCGAATCATGTTTGAGGCTGCAGCCGCGGCTGCTTTGACGGTTGGGAATGTGGCAATGGCCACGCTGTACTTTTCCGGAAGTGTGGCGAGCTTTAGAGTGGCTTCTGTTATTATACCCAGAGTGCCCTCTGAGCCGGCGAATAGGGCATTCAGATTATACCCGGCCGACGTCTTTCGTGGGCGGTGTCTTGTTTTGATAATAGATCCGTCCGCGAGAACAACAGTCAAGTTGATAACGTAGTCCTTCATCGTGCCATATCGCATAGCGTTGGTCCCGCTGCAATTGGTAGCGATCATACCGCCGATTAGCGCTGTTGGGCTGGGGTCAAGGGGAAGGAAAAGGCCGCTTTGTTTAATAGATTCATTTAAATTCATCCAGTTGACACCCGCTTGCACAACAACATCAAGATCAGCAGGGTGAAAGTCCAAGATCTTGTCCATGCAAGATAAGTCGATGCAAGCTCCACAGTATGGCGAGGCAAAGTTCCCCTCCACACTAGACCCAGCCCCGAAAGGGACCATAGGAACATTGTACTTTGAACAGATCTGGGCAATCACAGAAACTTCACTGGTGCTAGTCGGCCGGATTACCGCGGCCGGTCGAGATGTCGTATTCGAAGTTGACCACTCGGAATAACCATGTTCTTCCACGTCGTCGGTGTCAATACTCACGGCATCCTCGCCAAGGTGTAAGCGAATCTCATTGAGTGCCTAAAAGCTTTCTGTAAACCGTCAAAGTAACTAAAAGAGTAAGATGGAACTGGTTCCATACCTTAAGCGTGACTTCTCGGTTGGCGTATTGCCGCCTTGAACGGTGTTGTGGTGTCGATCTTGCCGAGATGGGTGTGCATTCGTGCATTTGAGTACTTAGGAATAAACATGCGGCGATGCCACCAAAAGCAGAACTTGCCACAGCATACCATAGCCTGGCATATCCTGTTGATGAAGGTACTGACACATGGCTCATATGCCGGCTTTGTGATGCCCAAGCCACTCGCCTCGCCACATTCGTAAACGGCCGCCAGGCTTGCTGCATTGCTAAGGTTTTCACAGTAGGTGAAGCGAAGTAAAAACAGGTCGAATACATGATGAATAGCGCTAATCGGGGAAAATATAATAAAATAGACAAACAATCCAGTTTCTCTCGAGACATCCACTCTTACAGTACGGTGCGCCCATGGCCAAGATCGGTTGTTCACATCCTGCATAGCCTCGCATATTCCCAAAGCAGAGTAGCCGACGGATTTACCGCATTAGAAGTCATCCCTGGAACTTGAGAGCTAGTCGCCTCAAGCAGCCTCAAATGGCCAGGACGAGCCGACAGGGATATTCTGGGGAATCTCCGCACATGCGGGGTTAGTGTGGAGGAGCGCATGTCTTGTATTCTGGGGTTTGAGTTTGGCAGGCAACTCCACCATCCTTTTCAAATCCGAGAGATTTAATAACCAGCGTTGTTGCCCATTCCCATCATCTATTTCTGACGGTTTTCAAGAGACTGTGAGACTAAACAACATTATACCGACAACCATTACTCATCTGAAGCTATGACAACCAAAGAACAGAAAGCCAAAGCGGATCACGTAAATGTGAAAACTCCTTCACTCGGGGTAGAAGACGAGAATGGCTTCGTCATCGACACGGAGACTAACAAGAAGCTTCTCAAGCGGATTGATATGCGTGTTATGCCTGTGGTGAGTTTTCTCTTTTTTTACTAAATTACATGGATGAATAGCTCTCTTCATGGTATGCATTTGTGCTTACCATTTTGTGCGGTCTCCAGCTCTGCTTCACATATGCCCTCCAGTACTACGACAAAGCTCTCCTCAGTCAAGCTGCAATATTCGGCATGAGAGCAGATCTCGATATGCTCAACGGTCTGAGATACTCTTGGGCGTCTCTTATCTTCTACTTTGGCTATATGGCTGGAACCTACCCCATTTCCCTTCTTGCCCAGCGTTTTCCAACCCGTTGGGTTATTACAGCAATTTGTCTTTTATGGGGTATTGTCGTTTTGACTACACCGGCTTGCAAAACCTTTGAACATTTCCTTGTTAATCGCTTCTTCCTTGGACTTATCGAAGCGGGTGTATCCCCTACGTTTATGCTTGTCGTCGGTCTGTGGTATACGCACGCCGAGCAGGTTTCTCGCTCGAGTTGGTGGTACTCTTTTAGCGGCGGCTCACTTCTCGTATCTCCACTCATCAACTACGGCCTTGGGCATATTAGTGGAGGCATACTTCGTCCTTGGCAGTATATGTACTTCATCGCTGGCGCTGCGGTATATTAAGACCTTCCCCTTTACTCTTATTTCATACTAACATTTGTGATTATTTAGACTTTGTTATGGGGTATTGCTCTTTGGTGGCTATTCCCTGATACCCCGGAGTTAGCTAAAGGCTTTACCGACGAGGAGCGTGAAACAATCCTTGAGCGCGTTCGTACAAACAACGCTGGTGCCGAAAACAAGTCCTTTAAGCCTTATCAGGTCTTTGAAGCTTTTAAGGACCTCCAGTTATGGGGAATATGCGTTCTGTCTATCGTTTCGTGCACTGGATCCGGGGCCGTCACTACGTTTGCCCCAATCGTTTTTAACGGCATGGGGTTTTCCGTATTCCAGTCCCTTCTTCTTAACCTACCTATTGGGGCGTTAGCTTTCTTTTGCATTCTCGGCTCCGGTTACCTAGGCCAGCGACTTCCGAATGCTCGTTTCCATATTATTACCGTCGCTTGTCTCCCCGTTATTCTGGGCTGCTGTCTAATGTAAGATATAAAATGAATTCTCCTCCCAATCCTAGTCTAGTCATAGACTATAGACACATAGAATCTTTTTACTAAGAGTTATTTAGGTGGCAACTACCATCATCAATGAGGGCGGCCCGTATTATTGGTTTTTACCTT